CTTTTGATGGCTCATCTACAGACCAAGACCTTTCTATAGAGAACCCTACCAAGGTTCTACACCCAGCCGTTCTCTGAAATTAGCTGTAACAAAAACCCGTTTTTCCTCCATAAGAATAACATGGGATGGGAATTTAAAGGCCACTGGGGCTGGGAATTTACCACGTTTCTCTTTTGATGGCTCATCTACAGACCAAGACCTTTCTTTAGAGACCCCTACCGAGTTTCTACGCCCAGCCGTTCTCTCAAATTAGCTGTCACAAAGAAAAACAGTTTCAAATTAATATATAGATAAGGTGCCGGAACTGTAGCCTATTTAATGTGATTAGTACCCATTGATGTCCTACTATTTATGCCAGTATTTTTCTCTTTCCAAAATAGAGGTACCGGAACACCGTTCAGCCGCAAATCGAGCACTGACTTAAGGGATTCTGAGTAGGAAACGTCACAAGTATCTTCATCACTTTGAATAAGGCATGAAACTTTACCTATTCACATACAGGTACAGGTTTACCTTATCTATTTAGGTATTGTCTTAATCTTCACATTGGGAAATCTGAAGACATTAAATATCATCTCCTAATGGTGTCTTTTGGGAATTCTGAGGCATAAAACATCACAAACATATCAATTACTTTCAAGCCGAGTACTAAAAATCACATGTATGTTTAACACTTAGGGTATGCTGTTCACACTAAGGCATGAAAAATCACCTATATTGTCTATTACTTTGGGAATGCTGAGGCATGTAACTTCACCAGCATATGGTTCACCAGCATTTGGTGATTGCAAGGACATGAATAATCAAACCTAGAGTGTTATGAATCTGGGTACGCAATAAAGTACCTGTATAAGGTGCCCCATACATCGTGACCACTGTAGACCTATCTTCAAAGACCTAAAGGTTCTGACCATCTATAGCCAGTACGTATTAAATAGCATGGTGCTACTTAAAGAAAATTCGACAAAACTTGCTCGACGTGAGGACCAGCATTCCTATCAAACACGACATGGCCATCTCCTTGACCTACCTAGATGCCGACTAGCCTGGACTCAAAAGGGCTACCCCTACTACACAAGTAAGCTCTATAACACGCTTCCAATTGAAGTGCGCGAGCTGGACATTAGGGCCTTCAAGGACACCCTGAGAGACTATTTGGTGGGCAGACCTCTATACTCACTAAGTGAGCTGGACGAAGCACCACTTTTTGGCAACCCGCCGCCATCTTAGTTAGTTTTTATGTAAATAGTAGTGTTTATTATATGTGACGCAATCTATTCCGACTTTGTCGGTCAACAATGCAGAATTCAAGTATTCAAGTAAGTAAGTATTCATAAGTAAACGGAAAATTCTAGGAAATTGTTATATCTGTAATAAGTAGTCTATCGGTAATAAAAAGCAAATCAAGAATGCATTTGTTCTAAAATGGGTTTTTAACCAGATAACTGCCATTTTGTATTTTTCCAAAATCATTTTGATCTTAATATTTTTCCAAACAATCTTTTTAATTTTTAATTTTTGCTTTATTTTCAACCTAATCATGTCCCAGAGCTGGCTGTTTACTTACTAGACACCCTGTAAAACTAAAAAAAAAAAAATTAACCACAAGTCATGAATGTATTACATATCTCTGTCATTTTACCAATTTATAAGTGTTACAGCAACTTATTTACTTACAAAAGGTATTTAAATGTAATATAGAGTCTGCAGATGGACAAGTTTTAATAGAATGCTTAACCACTCTCCAGGATTGTACAAACTACAAACAGTTGATAAACACGTAACAATCTGCGACAAGAACTTTTCTCATTAAACTGCACAAATGTCAAAGTCAAGCTGTAGAAGCTCAAAGGCCATTTACATCTGCAGTAAATCATTTATAATTATCTTATCTAAATAAAATTACAGTTTTGTCTGTATATTGCGTGGAATCATTACATTTTTGCATATTTTTACGTTTCAAAGCCAAAACAAGTCTTATCTCAATTTCTGTTTGTTTGCCTGTTTTTTGTCTGTATGTCTGTCTATCATTGTGTCTGTGACGCTAAAATGCCAATTTATACGGTCTACTAGAAAACTCAAGTACCAATCAAGATTCATATCATTTTACTGTATTCACTGGATTGATGGGAATATCTTTAGCTGTTAAACATGACCTTATTGCTTTGGAAATAAAATAACAAACATTAAAAAAACACAGTTTTGTGCGTTTTATTCATATTTCCTCCTAATATTTACTAAATCATCTATAAAATAACAATCAGTTGTTTGTATTAAAGTTCTTCCTTTGAACTGTCACTAATATGTTTACATAAAAAGTTGATTACTAAAGTACAATTATTTCCTATCATGTTTTGTAAGCAAATCCAAATCTAAGTGAAATTAATAACATTGAGACTTAAATAATGCACATTTAATTTATACATAATTTGCCTCCAGGATTGATTTAATGACTTAAAATGAGGTTACTAACCTGTCGTCAATCAGTCCTATATTGTCTTTTATGACTATAGTTTTGGGGTTAAAACCCCATTTTCAAATTTTCTCTTCAGTCGTCATATGTCAAACATATCCTCTTTCTTGCACAAGCCGTCGTCAAAATTACTTCACACATACACATAACACGTACAAAAACGTTTATAATACAAAGACATGTACATTCGCGTGAGGGCGGCCAAGGACAAAGATTTGAAAATGGGGTTTTAACCCTGAAACTATAGACGACAATATAGGACTGATTGACAACAGGTTAGTAACCTCATTTTAAGTCAATGCACATTCAATTAATCGCAAGTAAAATAGTTTGTGACTGTGAAATCAATAAAATGACTAAGTGCCATCCTGGCCAGGAAACCGGAGATTTGGTGTGTTTCAAACCGTACAGTACTTGTGTTTTGATAAATGGAAAAAGACCATGAATTAGTTTTTGTATAGGACTGGGAGACTTAAATTTTTAAATAATCGTCGCCAATAGCCAAACATTGAGGATTCGATTCATTAGCGGAGTTTCAATGGATGTTGTGTGAAGTAAAAACCACAACGGCATTGGTGGTTGAGGATATTGCTGCCATCTCAGGTGATAATTGTGATCTTAACCACAGAAAACACTACTATAACCCAGAATGCTGACCGCATAGAGCTTTGCCCGTCAATTCGTAGGCAGCGCCACCATCATACAATGCATCAGCATAGCAATGCTGGTGGCGCTGCCTACGAATTGACAGGCAAGCTCCACGCAGTCAGCATTCTGGGTTATAGTAGTGTTTTCTGTGTCGTAACAGAGGTTTATGGATGCTGCTAAAATCGCATTTTCAATGTGTTGATTTCAGTTTCGGCTCATAACTATTGTCCCGCCATCGCTAGACCTTACCACCAATAGGCTTATGTCCCATATACATTGTAACGTAGGGTAAACCGGAACTGCTTAAAAATCCCGTACCAATCCCAGGGTCAGAAAAGGTTCTCTCTGGCACTCACCAGGACTGTGCCAGCACTAGTTTAATACATGAAAACAATAATACTATAGACTCCCTCTTATCCGGCCTCCTCGGGACCGAGGCCAGTCCGGATAACACGTTTTTCGTTTAAACCGACGTCCCCAAAAACTCGTTAAAACGGACTGTTTACTGTGATATTCGACTTAAATTAATGAGAGCATTGCATTTAGACACGTGATCACTGGTCTCAAATCTTTCCCAGAAGAACAGTCCTTTCAGTACTGCCCACTTCCTGCCGATCTAGTCCGGTTATATCAATGTGCTGATAAAAATTGTCCGGTTAAACCGATGTCCGGTTAAAAGGTGTCCGGATAAGAGGGAGTCTACTGTATTTCGTTAAACTAGGTTTACTTAAATTTCTGTCTGTCAAATTTAGTTACCTAAAACCCATTAAGTGCCTGGTCTTTATTTCTATTGTTGTTGGTCAGTAACATTGTCTTTCTCTACTCTAATGATAACAGTTTAATTCACGTTTAGAATGAAGTAAATCTCCCTTTGGTATACTCTCTTTTAGCGAATTTCCCATATAGGGAATAAGCTATTACCGTAGTACTCATGGTAAGACCTGGACGCGGGACCGATTTTTTTTTTGTTTTGAGGTCCCTAGAGGCCAAAAACACTATCCGTTCAAATTCATATATATATATATATATATATTTATATATATATATATTTATATATATATATATTTATATATATATATATATATATATGTGTCCGTTAGCACGACAACTCGAGCAAAAGTGATCCGATTTTGATGAAATTTGGTACAAACGTGTAAACCTACGTTTATTCGAACGAGTTCGCGATCCAGCATGATCGGACCATGGGAACGGGGGTTTACGGGGGGTTTTATGGGGTAAAAGTAGGGTTTTCCCATTTTTGACCCAAAAAACATAAAATTTAGCAATTTCTTTCCAAACCATTTTGTAGAGCTTAAAAAAACAAATAATTTAGTATATTGAAGCGTTATTATGCGCCTAATGGTTTCGGAGAAAATTCAAAAAGATTGTAAATTTAATATTCCCATGTTATTCTTATGGAGAATAAGTAAACTGTTGTAGTTTGCTTGTTTATGAACATATTTTGATCAAATTTGGAAAATGTTTTTATTTCTTACTAACTATTAACATTTTACAAAAAAAAGTGTTACCCTCCCTGATGCAGCAAACCTAAGTACTTGTTAAACTAATTCTATTTGAATAGGGAATAAATTGTTATATTTTTAAGTAGACATTTCAGTGTAAATCCAATCAGTCAAATGGAAATTCGCTTAGTCTGTAGGTTTGCTGCGGCGGTTGTATTAATTAACCATTTGAGAAACATGGATGTATTACAAAAAGGGGTTTTTAATGCAACAAACACACAACATGCAATAAAACACATGTAATAAAACTTGTGTGGAAAGTCACAAATTTAACGAAAACTACATGTTAAGGTCATATTTAGTGATTGCCAGATGATGAGTTTCATGTAAATGGTTTATTTTGACAGTTGTCGATTAATAACTGTCGGTTGTAATCTGTTTGTGTTGTAAAACATTAGTCGTGTTACTAGAACTACACCGTCATGAAATACCTGATAGTTTTGGTAATATATTCTTATATAAATTGATTTTATTTTATTTATCGAATTATATATTACTTTTTGTGTTAAAAGAATTGTTTTGTAAAGCTACAAATTTAGTATAGTTTACCAAATATTTGTGTTTGGTATTTGTTACTGTAAACCTAAATAATCAATAATTCCTCACCAGCATTGTTCATCTAAAGAACCAAAATAAATTAACTGAGACACTTAGTATGGTGGGAGTCAAAAATTGTCTGTACTACATAATTACTTTTTAGTACATAACATTTGCTTTTGCGAGTTTTTATACGACAAAATAGTAAAGAATTGGTTGAATTACCAAACAAACAAGTTTTTTTGCTCCAATAAATATTGCTTGACAAAAAAATGCAATACAAAAAAACACGCTGACATACCTTTTATATACAATTTAGTTCAGAAAGTACAGTAGAAAAGTATGAAGTAATATAGAACAGTTTTCCTATTATTTTATCAACTGGTAAACCACCAAATATTATGTTGGCTCTGAATAAATCCAACAATTGAGTTCAGGAGGAAGTTGTTTAATTTTTGTATGATTTCAGAATCTTTTTTTATAATATTGTAATTACAGAAACTGTCTTCAAAGTTTGTAAGATCAAAATTTTGTAGTGATGATCACAATTTCACTTGAGCAAAAGGGATTCATAAATCGATATTTAATCCAAAGTCACTACCGTATCACAAAAACAATTCCAAACCATCACTTTTACTGAAAATTGGCCCATATATATACCTATAAAATGCTGGCTTAAAGGCTCAAACCAAGTTTTTTTCATAGTTGAGAAAATTAACAGCTCATTCACGGTTTCAAAGTTTTAACCGTGATGTGCAAGAACCTTAAATGATAAATACTGATACAGTAGACCCCTGCCCTCACTCATAAAATATTACAGTTTGTTTTATCCCACCTTGTTTTGAGCGCAGTTCGGTTTAACCGCTGCTTTCTAGGAATCTCGGCATTTCCGCTTCCACGGTCGGTGATGGGAACAATACGCCAAACTATACAGGCTAAAAATAGAAATCCTGTCTCGCAGCGAAATGGTTGCTTGTATCTTTAATTTCTACGACAAGTTTTGTACAGTATTACCATAGATTTGGAAACCATGAATTAATATTGCCAAAGGTATTAAAATAAGAATTATCAATTTGATCAATTATCAATTATTTAAGATGGGGACGCCACTATGTGCGTATTTTAACCCAAATATGAGTGAAGGATGAGTGTAGGATGATTGGCGCGATCTTGTAGTCTTGTTAGTGACTAAGGCCAACATGTTCCTTAGACACAGCTGTTAGTTAATAGCCCATACAGCTAATGGCAACTAAGGGACCTACTATAGTGGAATCCGAACCAAATTTTTTCCTTGTAATTTACAAATTGGTCTAATTATCAGGATAGTACTGCGGATAGTCGTAGCACTCACTAGTGCGGACGTTAATCCACACCAGGGAGCATCACATTCACATTGCATCCCTTTAAATATCCACAATTCGTGACCTCCTAGTAGCTGGATTACAGAACGACGCCACCCGTCAATCTTTGTTGAATCTAACCTACGACTATATAATTGTCATTATCAATTTAGTAATGATGCCACCTGGTTGGTATTTTAACCTAATATGTATTCCACTGAAAGTATTTGACTTTGCCCTGTTTTGAGTTTATATGTGACTTTTCTATCGATACTTAGGAAAAAAAGGAGTTAAGTGTAGTTTATTCTGTAAATAAAGCAAGCACAGCTTCAGAATTGTGATTATATATAATTCCAAATGAATAGCACTTCATTTTTTTAGTTTTTAGGGATTGCACATTTTAACCGACCGTTTGAGTTAACCGACCTAGGTCTGGTTCCGATTTAGGAGAGGGTCTACTGTATTTAGTGTTCTGAAAAATGCTTTATTTTTTGTGTTTAGCTTCTCGTTTCATGTTTGGTGCACGAGACTTTGGCTGGGAAGAAGAGAGAGAAGCTGAGGATATATCTCAAGAAAGTGTACAGGAGTGATCGCTTGTGGGCTCAAATAGAAGACTGTGACGAGTACAATGACTATGAATGGTAAAGTATCATACCAACAGTTCTACATGTTCACAGGTGTTTCATATATTGCAAAAAAACAACTCGTTAGCAATATAATTACAGTAAGCCTAACAATCCGGACCTCATTAACTACTTTAATCAATTACTTTACTTTACTTAATTAATTACTTTGCTCCAAACATTGACTAGACAAGGTTACAACTAGTAGACATTCCATCTCCATGTTAAAGTTGTTGCCGGTTTTTTTATCAAAATCGTCGTAGTAGATGTGAGGCATTGACAGATTTTACTAATCTAAATATTACTAATTTTTGTCAAATACACAAACGTTTTAGGTACAGTAATGGAATGACTTAAAGCAACTGTTTTAACTTATCAACTTGGTCAGCAACAAAAATAAGGTAGAAAATATAATTTTTTGACACTTGCGCATTCTGTGACTGGCTCACAAAACTATGTTCTTTTTAAATAAAAAATTTGCGACATCTGGTCCATATAGATGGGATGCATACTCCAGTATCCAATAGTAAATCCTTCAACTGAACAACCATTTGACAACAGAATATACTAAAATTAAGTAAGGATGTCATGAATACGCCACTATGAAAATTTTTCCGTTGCATGCTGTTTAATACCACATTATTGTCGATGCTACATGGAATTTAATGCCGGACACTTGACGGAAAAACATTGTCATCTGGCCAGAAGCCTTATTTCCCATAGATTACATCAATACAAGTGTTTACGGCTCCGTAATTCCTTAGTTGTGGCCAGTCTCAGTCATTAGCGCCTTCACTAGACTGAACAGTTAATGTACCCACTAACTACCACAGCCACTTGTCGTAGGCTGTACAGCGTTAGAGCAGCCGACATACATAAATCCCGGCATTTGATAATTTTAAGCATTCACTTTCACTCCATTACTTAGTAATATACATAATATAAATACAGTAATATAATACAGTAAATTCAGCCAAGACGGTCACAAAATCATTTTTTTTTTCAATTTTTCAAATTTCAAAATTTCAATTTTTTTATTTCTTTGATTTGTACGACTTGTAACCCCAATTAACCCAAATTAACAAGTTTTTCTTGTAAAGTACAATAGAGAAGTAAAGTAGACTCCATTTTGTTTGGGTGGCCTCAAAAACGTTTGTATTGAGTTTCCGATGAATTCATTGCGACAAGAATCAAGTTTTAAGTCATAGTGTGACCAAATACAAAATATACAACTCAGTTCAGTCAACTATTGCTGTCTAACCAAGTGTGGACAATATACAATACATTAAGTTTAGAGCCACATTTAAATATTTTCTCATGAGCCCAGAGGTTTTCTGTTAGAAGTAATTAGGGGAAAGCTGGATATTACTATGTGAGAATTATGCATGTGTTACAATATCTAAGGTCTTCTTTTTCCGTGTATGAATACATGATCTGAGTTGTTGAATACTGGTATAAATAAATTACTAGTAGGGAGATAAATCGCTGCAATCGAGATACAATTTTAAATGAGAGAGTTGTACTTAAGTCACGTTACTAAAGAAAGAGTAAAAAATTTTTGTCAGCATTCAATCACTAGCAAAACCTCAATCACTTAGTCTTCTTACTTGTGTGATACACAGAATTATGGTAAAACTTAAGTCAGAGCGAGGCGGAACCATATAACCGCACTAATAGTCTCATTCAATGAGAACCTATGAATCTTAAAAAGGTATTAGTGTGATAGTGTTAGATAATAACTTAAAAATTCACTTCATTTCAAATTTGGTATCAAAATGAACAGATGATTAAAACACTTTAATTATTTTTATATTTTCTTCAATTTAAAAAGATTGCACATAGATAGTAGAGCCAGAAGTACTGCCTGAGCAGCTCCAAGTGAGCACAATGGACTCAAGGGAAAATACTACTATAGTTCGGCCGCTTAGAAAACGACCTGCGCGCTAATGCTAAACCAATGCTGGAGGAGGTCGTTTTCTAAGCGGCCGACCTATAGTGTCAATTGTTCTTCCTCAAGCTGACCTGTATTTGACCTTATCTATCCAAATATAAGTGAGTGTGTATCAATAACTATTTTAACTACTAAATCTTATTTTTTACAAGAATTATTTCAAGTCAAATAAACAAAAGAAACAAGGTGTCTAAACATAACTGTTCAATGTTTTACTTTTCCTAACTGTGATTGAGATATTGATGCTCGGATGATAAGTTTTTTTATTTTTTTTTATTTTGTGGCCTCAAAGATATTTTTGCACATTTTCAGTTGAATACTACTCAGCCTCAAATAATTTTTGTATTGCTTACTTCCAGGTACAACATTGTTATGACGTGGATGAAATTAACAACTAAGGAAAAACTGATGGAAAAGCAATTGAAATGCAAGGAAGAGCTAAGGGAGATGGTCAGGGAAGCACTGAAAGACCCTCTGGGCTACATCACGGTTCACCAACCATGTGAATTTGGCCTCGGACAGTTCAACCTCTTCTGGTTTTACCAAATGTTTCGCAAAGCATTACCATGCTAAACATACAGACCACCCGGCAAAAACAGTTCTATCATTTACGTGTCTTATTTTCTGCCTCACAGTAAAACATAGAAACTTTATTGTTCTAAATATATATTTCTGGTTAACCAAAGTTTAGTTATTTCAACAATTAAAAAAGGGTAATGAAACTTAAATGCATAGATTGATAATAAAATTTTGAAAAAGTAAATATCCTACTGACAATCAATACAAGTTTGAAATAAAGAACTTTTAATACAAGATAAAATCCAGTGATATAGGCAAAATCATGATCATCTGCATTCTTGAAGACATAATGATTTCAACAAAACGCAATTGTGCTAACAAAATGGATTTTCAATTACACAATCTTCACAGGGATTTCTGTGAAAAGCTTTTAGGCTCATCTTAATTGAAAAATCTAGCTGCTTGCATGTCTCCACACTCCACAGACTAACAAATCACTACCAACTTTATTGGAATAATTATTCGATTAAAAAACACTACTTAAACTGTTCATCGCTTCATTAGAATTCCACCATTTGGTTGCTCAAAATAAAAATATGATCTTTGTAATTTATCTGTGGACCAAGTTCCAAAAGACAATGTTAATTAATGTTTACCTTTATGGTGGTCTCAGTTTGCAAACGAAGATTAGTTTTGTGACCTATATACATTTAGCGTGAGGTGCAGTGTCTCCAAAGTCTTCTTACACTATTTAGTGCGGATATGTTACACCTCACAGCAAAATGCATTTAATTCACTAACTACATTCAGAATTGAGGCAACCAAGGTAAATATAGTTCATTTTTAATCCTCACGCCATTCAAACTATGATTGCCAAATTGTTTATTATCTAACCTGGTACGATGGAGTAGATATGTTCCGAGCTTGGAAGCGTGAGCGCAGAGGCGGGTCTAGTGGGTTACCCGTGTACCCAGGCACTGGCAGACCCAGCGCGATCACTCGGAAGTCTTCACTGACTCTCACCAAACCCCACTTCTTCATCTCCTCCTCACCGTGCTCCTAAACCACAAGTCAAACTGTGACACAAGTCTTAAAGTTATTGTTAACTAAAGCTTCTTAGACTGTTAGACTGATAGTTGTTGATAAAACTTGTTGGTTTAACAATAAAGTGGATACGACACTGACTCATTAAGATGCACATTTTAAGGTGAAAGATGAGTGTTTAATAAAGTGTTTAATAAAGGAGATGATATAATTGTTAATTTACTGAGATCAGCTGATTCTTTGGCTGGCCATTCATTAAATGCCCAATGATCCAAAATCTGGACAGCTGGGGAGAGTTTTGAGCCATCGAATATCTTCTGGATTGACTCACTAACAGGCTGACAATCTTATTTTTATAATATTGTAATTAATTACCAGCACTATTACTCAACTGTAATGTATGTATAGAGATAACATTCTGGAATAGTTTTTGTCAACTGGATTGCAATGATAATGATCTTGATGATACAAGTTTTATCACTGTTGATACAACTCATGTTGAGGATAGTCATGCATGAAAATATCAGTATTCACATTAAATCGTGGTTGAGACTTTAACACTAATACTGAAACCCTACCCAGACTGACGCTAACCGAAACCCCCGGTCTGTGAGACCCCATTTGAAAATAATGGACCCCGCTTAGAAACACACAAACCGAAACCCTTGGCCTGTTAGACCCCGCTTTAAAATACACTAACTCTGGGCTTCTGAGACGGGCATGTAATGAACAGACAACCTGTCAAGGTCACGGCACTCACAAAAAATGAACAAACAATATATCGACAGGCAGGGGAAGAAAAGGGGGTGAAGGTATTGGGGGGATGGAATCCCCCAAGTAAACAGTGTTGCCAACATTGGTTTGTGAAAATTCCCATGGGCCTGTCAGACCGGGGTTTCGGTAATAGTGTTGAACATGGAAAATTTAAAAAAAATTAGAGAGTAGGCTTCCTTGGACAAAGTAGACCGTCAAATCAAAACATGGTCTTCGAAAGGTAAACACATCATTGAAATGGTAAAAACTGGCTAAATTTTGGAAGCGAATCTATCTTTGGGGCAAACTCCAATTCAATTCAGGTGAATTTTGCTTACTGTATTTTCAACCATTCAACAGCAAAGTAATTTGACAAAATTTGTATGCTATCATAATACACAAAATAGTATTCATTTTTAAAGAAACAATACAAAAATAAGCGTATGTAATCCTAAGAGAGTACATAAATATTGTTAAATAGGCTTACCTTTAACAGCTGGTCATATCTAGAGGCTGGTATCAAGAACCGACCATCCTCCAGGTGCATCTCTCTATTCTCTAGAAGGTTGTTGAGGACAGGTAGAACATTGCGCTCAGCCTTCTCTATACCTTGGAGAACCAAAACTCTTCCTTCCACCGCTGCTCTTACTGCACTCTACAAGTGACACGTAAGAATTCAAGAATATATGTGAATGATATGAATAGTACTAAGTGAAACAAATGTGTAGGCCTTTTTACTTTCTCCCCCTATACTATAGTATATAGAGAAAGTATTGTTTTTGTCAAAATTTTCGAGTTTGAGTTTTAAGTGGATATATTCGTTTTGGGTCCCCCAGGACCCAAAAAAGAGGTTTCAATACTGTAGTTTCAAAAGTTATTATAAATTATGCTATTTTCCCATAAAAACCCCATAAAATAACGGAAAAATCGGATTTTCTCAAAAATAGCCCGAACGATTTTGATAAAAATTTAGTATGTAGTCCTTTAAATTCTGAACAAAATTGTACTAATCCCATTTCCGTATATTTACTCTCACCGCTTACACATGATAAAGGTTGTTGACAAAACTTATGGGAGAAAGTATGTGTCAGAATGCTGATACCGTTTATTAACACTTATTATAATGAATTGTCCAAACGTAGTCTTTTTACGTTTAACGTCGACTTTTTGTTAGATAGCATCATGAATTAAAAGTCCAGACAAAAAAGTCATCTGGGTCCAAGAATTATCTTGCTTGGAACCGTACTGGCGATCTTCATATTTGAAAACAAGCACTGTAACCACTTAGCTACCGTACCCAAACAGTTCAATTTAATGATGATAAAATCATAAAAAACTATTAACCACTGTTTTTCTTTTTAGGCTGAATAAGCTAAACCTTATTCAAACTAAAAAGCATTCCAATGGTATGGTAGCGTACTTTACCTGATCAAAGTAAGTAGCAGTGGCTGAGTGTATCTCTCTGCGTTGCTTGAGGTCGCTCTCGGTCGTGTCACGCGACAGTGCGACATACTCCAGCTCCCGCTCTGTCAACTCTAGGTAGGCTAGAGCCAGTCTTGCGCGACGCGGCCCAGGCCCACCCAGGAGAAACATGTCTTGACCTGCGACACATCATTGATACGATATAGCTCAGATACGCCTAGATTGACCTTACCTTAGCAGTAGCGTTGTAATCTTTGAGTGGGAACGCTTACCATTATATGAGAAATGACAGACATCGGAGATGTTCACGATTTAATTGCGATCATGAGAGATGTTTGTAGTTTTCCCGCAATCGTGGGAGTCCAAAGTTATGACTCTCCGGTACGACCGCAGGTGTCGTTCACTGTTGTTGAAAACTTTCTTTAACAGGTTCATTCCCAGCCGTCACACTCCTCTGTATCTCTGGCTTCTCTCCACATGGGAGTGAGTGTGTTAATTCCAAAAAAAGGGGTAATAGGCCTTAAAAAAGGAATTCACTAGCATTTTAAAGAGATGTTTCACTCTCTAACCAAATAGGATAAATGTTAGTTGAATTATATTTTCATCGTGCTTAGGGGGTCAGGATTATATTGAATTATGTAGTTTACTTTACCATTCTGTCATTGATCCTGCTATTGTCTGGATTAAGCCATGATTATTTACCTGTGCCGAGTTATAGTGTCCTGTAATAGCCAGTTTTATACAATGTCTTTCCCTTTTTGGTGTTTTGACTTTACCATTACTATTAGTGTTTGTATGTGTACCGACGATCTCAACTTGAGGGATATGACATTTGAAATGAAGCCTGAGAGTGAGATTTTTATCTTAAAACCAGCCACTATTTAGACAAGATTTAAATCACCTCTGGTAAGGTAAACTAAACCATCTAATAAAATGTAATTGTCTATAAAACTTACACTATAAAACCTACCAGCTTTACCAATAACAATAACGCAAGCATTTTTAATGCACAAATAGAGTAGAGGTCCGTTGCTCTTAGAATAACATGCCGGAATTTAAGCTTACCTAAAATGTCTTTCTGCATCATCCAGCGCAGAGTATGTAAGTTATCCTGGGACAGAGGCTCCAATACTGAAACATTATTTTATACATCACTTAGATTTATTTCAACTATAAACAAGATCAATCACTTATACTTACTTGTTAGTTTTAGTTAACACCATGATGCTAAAACCAACAAGTACAAATTAGAGCTGTGCAATATCTAAAGATCAACAATAAAATGATTTTAACCCATTGGCGCCGAATTACGGGCGTTACTCGAAAGGCCGCTGCAGACCCAGTGGCTGACCGTTACACAGCACCACTAGTTATTTATTTTTCCCCCCTTTTTGTTTCTTCTTACTTTTATGATGTTTATAAAAGAATATGTTTCTTGTTTTGTATATTATACTCATTTATTTTTGTGAATAACAAACAAGTGTGTTGCCATGGAAATGAGATATCACCCAAAATCAGCTGTCGTAAGGTACCTGTAGTGTCATTTGGTGTCTGGATTAATCTAGGAATTTGTAAATCAAGTTTACTTAAAAAAAATTGTTTTAAAAGTTTTTATTTTTATAATCTTTATAATTTTTTATTTGAGACAGTTCTTATAATCCAATTTACTACTTTTTTTTAGACAATGTTACTGTGTACGAAATGGAGAAAGAATTATTATTTTACTACCTAAGGCTTTCTTTCTATAACAATTAAGGGTAAAAGTCTAAAAATTCTGTAAAATTAATTGCCGTCAGGGTGCTGCAGGCAGCGCATTAATTCTTTCTCCAATGGCTTAAAGATGGTATCAGGGAGTAGGTAAATATTTGGTTAGTAACTGAAAATCGTTCTTAAATAAAATAGTGTAAAAATATTTTGAGAACGTTAAAAAATCCCATAGAAATATGAGAAAATTTAAACATGTAACATTTCCGGGGAATGTCATCCCATCTCCTCTAAATCAGTAGGCCTATGACTGAATGATAACAAATGATACTCACAATACTTTCTTGGTACATATTCTGCATGCTTGGCTGGATTAACCGTCTTTGAAACGTCTCCAATAGAAACAATCTTCTCACCTAAAAAAATTAATGATTACTGTAATCAATAATAAAAATTGTAGACAAGATTATTATGTATTGAATATATAGGTAGTGTAAACTAACTATATACGTATTTACCATAGTCAATGTATGTTCAAAATATGAATTATAAGACTTTTTATTCTATAATTGTTCTAACTTCACTAAAAAGTTCAAATCAAACAACATAGGCTAATATGCTGCATATATTTAGGGGTTTTAACCGTTTTGGTTGTTTAATTGTTGTGTGCTAAGACCCAATTAGGTTGTGATTTTTTTGAGTGGAGGTAATTGAGGGCTAGTATTTAGTAAAAAGTATTCAAAATTAGGTTTAAATACTAGCATGACCTAAAAATTACCTTACGACAAACCCCTTAGGCCTACTTAGCTCTTCTCTAACACACGTTCGAAACCTTTACAGGTGCCACCAGTGAGGTACTAAAGGGATTTTGGTACTTTCCTGTTAAGGGAAACATTAACTATTATGGATGATTGCTTTTCGATGTATTGATATTTTGGTTTTCCTTTACAATCCATATTCCATCTGTTTTAATATCTTCAAACGCATTTAAATTACAGACAGACAGACAAAACAGACGTATAGCAAAATATATTTCTAAGTTAAACTAGGTTCAATAACCGAGTTATTGAGTTATAGCTGGTATTAGAGAATAGGATTAAGAACTAATCCTGTTTAGGCCATAAAAAAATAATTGTAAATTGGTTTGTTTGGACCGTTGGAAGCAAAATAAAATAAAATAGGCAAAAATAATAGCCTATATTGGAAGAAATTAAACTATTCTAAAACTAACCTAACATAACTAACCAAACTTGCTGTAGACTAAGTTTCCGTTTCATAGTTCCGTTTGATAACAGAAAGGGCATATATGGGGAACAGGCTATCAAACGGAATTTTGAAATGTTACAGCAAGTTTGGTTAGTTAGGTTAGTTTAGAACAGTTTCATTTCAATAGAATTTTTTTCTTATTGTTTGTTGACACTAAACACTATTTATTTATTTTTTGTAGTTGTCAGCTGATATAAGTTTCAATTTGTTAATATCAATATATCGAATAAAAAATAAAATATTGGTGCCTATATCGAAAGAAATCATAGGCCTAGTTAAAAATTAATGAAATGAAATGAAATGTCTTTATTGCTTTTAACGTCATATAACATGCATTGCAATCGTCAAAATACTTAGATTATAAAATAAGTAGCATATCATACAGTGCAAACCATGCAAAAAACTCAAACTTAAGTTAGAAAGAACAAAAACCATGCTTTCTACTCTACAATAAAACAATCCTGTTGAGGCAAACAAACCAATCTACTTACAGTAATGTTCCCTTTAAGAGGAAAGTACCGTACCGGTATTTCTTGCATTTAGTTTAATGACAAATTCTTCTCTAATCCCACCCTTTTAAATATTACTTACTGTGTTCGTGATATAAGAAACTCCCTTGTAAAAGCTACTTAAAGGGAAAATTCAGACAATACTGTAAACTAAAACTTAACAGGAGCACCCGCAGAAACTTTCTTCCATCGCCCAGGGGTCTGAGGACAACTTCTTCACCTTTATAAGTTAATGTAGGCCTAAAACGCTTTAAAATATGCGTTAGATGTCTAAAAGCTGGAAATATATTTTAGAATTTATCAATTATTAATTATTTAAGATGAGGACGGCACTATGTGCATTTTAACCCAAATGTGAGTGGCGCGATCTTGTAGTCTTGTTAGTGACTAAGGTTGATATTTTTCTTAGTCACAGCTGTTAATTAATAGCCCATACAGCCAATGGCAACTAAGGGACCTACAGTTTATAGTGGAATCCAAACCAAATTTTTCCTTGTGATAAACGAATTGGTCCAATTATCAGGATAGTACTGCAGATAGTCGTATTACTTACTAATACTTACTTACTTACTTACTGCTGTGGCCACTGGTACCCTAGATGGTACTTGGCCTCCCCAACACACTGCCTCCATAGGTCTCTGCTTCTTGCATCTTCCTTCCTTCTCCCTAGCTTCCTCAGGTCTTTCTCCACTTGGTCGAACCATCTAAGTTTCGGTCTTCCAAGGGGTCTTCTACCTTCTGGGTTATTCGTCAAGATGTTCTTTGATAGGGAGTTGTCATCTCTTCTCAGAATATGCCCTGCCCATCTCAGTCTTCTGCTCCGTACCTCAGCGACAATATCTGGATCCTTAAATCCGCTGGATCCGCCTGTGTAGTAAATGAGGTATTTTGGAGATTAAATCAATCATCTACTAGTGTATCAAAAAAGTAGTCATTGAAGTCGTCAGGTGATTATGGAGATGGCATTACATCACATGAGTGGATGATTTGTATTGTAACTTATCAAGCGGCTTTACAGGAGCTAGGAGCATTGTGCTGAAATTTTTTTTATCTAATGTTAATGGGTTGTAACACCGATTTGTAAAAAACACTAGGCCGAAAAACTTTTTTGTGCTAGGTTTAATCTATTTTGTATTTCTAGCTCTTCATCATTATTGCTAGTGAGGATGGCTCCCAAATACTTGAAATTTGTTACTATCTTAAATTTATACTGTTCAATTTCAATGTAGTTGTTATTTTGGTATCTTGGTTGGTCATCATCTTGTTTTCTTAGTCCCCAATTATCTTAGTTCCCAATTATGTCTCGATCTCCATTGTCCATCCTCAAAAATCGGTCCGTACACTTTCCTCAAAATCTTGTTCTCAAATACAATAGCTTTCCTTTCTGATTTCTTGCTTAAGATCCAATTTTCTGAACCATACAGGAGAACTGGTCTGATGATTGTCTTATAAATCCTGAGTTTGGTGGTGTGGGATATTATTTTTGAAGTTAGTATCTTGTGACAGGCCGAAAAACTTTTTTGTGCTAGGTCTATTTTGTATTTCTAGCTCTTCATCATTATCGCTAGTGAGGATGACTCCCAAATACTTGAAATTTGTTACTATCTTAAATTTATACTGTTCAATTTCAATGTAGTTGTTATTTTGGTATCTTGGTTGGTCATCATCTTGTTTTCTTCCACATGTCATAAACTTGGTTTTCTCTTCATTTATGTATAGCCCCATTTTTCTTGTATGTTCAATAAGCATTTTTGTTACATCTTTCATTTCTTTCTATATTATGTGTAATTAATACTATGTCATCTGCAAAAGCTAGCAAGTTTATGTTTGTTCCTATCTTAATCCCTACTTCTGTCTTTCTTATCTCCTGAAGGGCTGTTTCTATGGCTAAATTGAACAGCAATGGAGATACCCCGTCTCCCTGCCTCACACCCGTGTTCACCTCAAAGTCTTCCGATACGTCTCCATTTACTCTAACATTACTTACTAATGCGGACGTTAATACACACCAGGGAGAATCGCATCCACAGTGCCTATAAATATCCACAATTTGTGACCTAAATACTAGAAGCTTGATCACAGGATGACGGCACTGTCCCAGTCGAATGTTCAAATATGCATGCTATGCGCATAAATGCATTAAAACCTTACAGAGCATATTGGTTTTAAAAAAAGGTTTTTCTTAGGGCGTCCATGGCCCATCCGCTCCACTGCCCCCCCCCCCCACCAATATATGCCCATGTAAATTAAAAGCATTGTAACAATATCTCTATAAGATATTACCTTACCTTTAGTTGAGGTCGAGTACTGACGTTTCAGGTCTCCAGCACATGTATGTCTAACACTAGTACTAAGTATTTTATTTAAAACTGACAGTCTCCTTGTAGCAATATTACGGCTTATCATGTTTATTTTTGCAGTATCATAAATTTTAGTGGTTAGGTGTAATAATTGAACTAAGATACTAAGCTTTAATAATATGATTTACAAATTAACACTTTAATCTAATAAAGTTGTCATACATTGAATAGCCTATGTGTTTTAAACAAGGATTTGTTTAAATAAGACACAAAATCTAACGAACCGTTGTTTACCGTAACACCGCCCACCAGCGCGCCTTCCCCCACCACTGCGCCTCCTTGCCAAACGCGTCTGCTGTCTGCTAGTCTGCTGTAAGCTGGTGTCGGTGTCGTCTGCACGGCGTGTTGTTTTGTTTTCATAGTGTCTCGTCTTTGTTAGTTTGTTGGTAAAAATGTTTATTTGTAATCATTGCGATAATTAGTATGCGATAATTATTGCGAAACTGTTTAGTATTGATTCTTTGCAGTAAACATTTATCTGATGACACGACGATGAAGTTTAAGTTAGATAAGACTTGGAGCAATTGTCAAGCTCCTTAAAGATGACGCTGTGCTCACCGATTATGTACAGCAATTCAGAAAAAAAAACGCCGCCGTGGACAACTTTTCTATGGATAGCCTGATATTGTTGAGGTAAGATCTTTTACATCTTAAATACATATTAAGTTAAGGTTTTATCATAATAACATAATGATCATAATAAACCTAACCTAACTCTGCAAAGCGCTGTACAGTGATATTTCAGGGGGTTACAGAAAAAATAAGGCCTAGGTTGTTTGACAGTGACTGACTGACCATTTGAAATGTAATCGTTGCCAGTGGTCGTGCCCCCGTTTGGTATTACTCCACCAGAGAAGCAGTCCATCTTTAACCCTCGGAGTGTTAAGCGTCGCGTAATCGACGCACAACACACCCGCCGTGGTGTTATGCGTCGCTTCGCTTTTGCGACATACAAACATCGTTTACGGCAAAGGCTCTGGCACCGACTGAATCAGATTGAACTGGATCGAGATTGGTATCGTTGTATTCAGCAGATTCTAAGCTTTCTCCTGATGTCTGTTACTAGACGCTTTTCATTTTAATTCCGAATATATTGTAGCAGACAGATGACGTGCGTATTTGTAAACAACTTGGTTAACCTCGCACCGATGACTGATGTGTTTTATTACGTTTATCATTGTTTTAGTGTTAAAAATAAAATGTTGTGAGATGCGTGGTGCATTATGAGAAGATTTAAGTGATTTTGAAGGGCTGGTTGATGATGTAGTGATATTGATGTAAATCATCCGCCAGATTCCTAGCTATGGTTAGGCTAGCTAACGCTAAATGTACGAAATCTGTTTTTCACCCATAACTTATTTATTTGCAAACCTACTTCCTTATATTACTATATTTTTGGAATCCTCGTAAAATTTTGAACAAAGTGGCTATTTAAAAAATTTGTAGACCTATGAATTATAAACATTTATCAAGCGCAAACATAAAATTGTTTTATTTATTTTATAAATTTGAAAAATAATAACCCCGCAAAAGTGTTAGAAAATTTTTTTTGTCATGTTTTAGGCTATATATAACATTGAAGCCCATAATTTTCCAAACAATATGATATATAAAAAAGTATACTTTAGAGTGTTTTTCAGTTACATTTACATAAGGTACATTTTAATAAAGTCCTGCGATTGCGCAATAAATGGGCGGACATTAATACCATTACTATGGACACTTGGAGGGTTAAAATACCTTAAAATGAAAGTCTTCTGTGCCTTAGAAAAATGTTAAGGTTGTTTTCATGTATTATAAGATCGTACGAATAGGCCCACTTAATTTGAGGAAAAAATAAGCTGGCATCGCAAAATTTCACAGACACAGAAATTGGTGCTTATCAGCTAACTTATAACTTATGATAATATTTTGGCCTTAAAACTCAAGCAGACCTAACTTACTTGGATACTTGAAGTCTAAGTCGTTGACCGATGATATCGGTATGACTGCGTCATATTTACCTATAACCCTATCAGAACTACAATGCTACCTACTATAATATTCAGAAATAATTAGGCTGTTGTCCTATTAAAGAATACAATTTAGCCTACAGTGTAAACATTTTAGGTACTAAGTGTCTTATCGTTATTCATGCAATGTTTTAAAGTCCTCAGATTATCCTAAATTTTTCCTTCCGGATCGATATCTGCCATATGAATCTGGTGACAACATTACCTAACATAGGCCTAACTGCCACAGTGAGAGTAATAGTGACACTAACTTATTACTCTCACTGTGGCAGTTAATAGTGGCTGTAATTTTAATGAAATCCCTGTAAAAAAAAAACAATAAATTGTATTAGCTAATTTTGGGTGCACTTACATATAAGCACAGAAAACGTACTACTATAACCCAGAATGCCAACCGCATGGTAAAAAGCATTAAGCGTTTTGAGAGAGCTTTGCCTGTCAATCCGTAGGCAGCGCCACCAGCGTTGCCATGCAATAGCATAGCAACGCTGGTGGCGCTGCCTACGGATTGACAGGCAAAACTCTCTCAAAACGCTTAATGCTTTTTACCATGCGGTTGGCATTCTGGGTTATAGTAGTACATTTTCTGTGATATAAGGCCTGTGGCACAGCAACATGGAAGTATTTAGTGTAAAGTAATTTTGTTATCTGACGGAACTTTGAAACCTAACTATACCTGATTTAGTTTTCTATTATTTTTACTTTTATTACTTCTATCTGGTGTCAGCGCAAGTGTAGCCTTGATTTTTAAATTTTTACAGCTCATTTCAGTAGAAGCGAATTATTATCTCACACTCACAGTTTTGTCTAGTTTGGTTTAATCTTGATTGGTTTTTTGATTGAAACAGTTTAAAAATCTGAATCAGTAAAGGACCACCTCTTACTTTTTTTATCGAGTAATGTTATAAAAAAACTAAGGCCTTTTTTGTTTCAGACTCCAATTGAACCCATGGAGATTAAGACGCCAAGACAAAGCACAGTGAAAATCAAACGGACATCAGCCAAATCCACCACAGCAAACACACTCAAATTGATAGATCAGTTTCTCCAATGAAAAAAACTCCAAATGTAATGATCTAAGACTTGGATAAAAGAAGATTCACTTTGTTTTTGTGAAATGTTTAAATACACTGTATTTGACTAATTAATTTGTTTTATTTACTAAACCTCAACTTCCTCATCAATAAAATTCCTATTGTGCCTGTTTCTAAATTAGTTAAGTTACTCTTGCAAAATATATAGTTGTTTTATTTCACAGTCATTATTTTTTAATATTTTCATTCTGTCCTTCAGCATTGGAATTGTACAATTCCATTTGATTCCAATTCCAATTTTGAAATTCATTTAATCACCCTTAAAATTGCGATTCTAATCTAGTAAGGAATAACTTCTGGTATTGTGTCTTTAAAAGTTTGAAAACAAATTCAAGAATCTTGTAAATGTAGCCTATTTGTGAGTGAATCATAGCCTACAGTAATAGGCCTTAAAATGCATTCATGGTCACACCTTAATAAAATAATATATTACTTTTATTTGCTTTTACATACAGTTCTGCAGTGCTAACAGATTGTTATAATCAAAATTATAACTGTATAAAAAAAACTACATCTATAACTTTTAGGCCATTAATAATTAGTTAGAAACGTTAAAGTATGATTTTTAGCCAGGATATACTCTCTAGTTATAAAAAAAAGGAATGCTTGCCATACTAGAAGCTTGATTATAAATATGTTTAGAATTTTTGGCCCCAAGAACTGAATATGCAATGAAAACCTTCACGTTCAGATGTTCAAATCAATTAATCATGTAGATATATTACATGTATCTCTGAATTTTTGGCTATGTCAGGTAATTGTAAATAAAGACTATTATTAACAGAAATGTTATCACAATAAAACTCATTTATTTTTTTTTTCTAGTAAGAACTCGAAGGTTGAACACGAGCCATCAGCCCATTTATTAACACGCAATTTAAATTTCGCGCCAACTCCGGCCTCACGCAAACATGGCGGGCGTTTGACGCGGTGGTGGGGGAAGGCGCGCTGGTGGGCGGTGTTACGGTAAACAACGGTTCGTCAAAATCTAGGTTAAAAATCAAACCTAACCTTTACATAACAAAACCAAAACAAAGTCGCATCTTGCATCAGTCTGAATAAACCACTAAACACATACACAACAATCAGACTCTCATTCACAGCTGTTTTCAGCTGACAGCTGACAGCCCCTATACACATGGAACATGGAAGTTCATCGCCACGCCATATAACGTGAGGTCATGGTCATAGATTAAGAACACTGAGCTATTAATGATTAAGAATACATTTAAGAGTTCTTGAGATTGTTCTTAATCTTACGGTACGGTGTGGTTCCCTTTAAGTCAAGTCCTAAAATCTATGGTCTATTTTCTACCGTTCATATTTTTTTCATATTACTGACCAACATTTGAAGTCTTGAAGGTATCATTGTTTCAATGCATTTTTACCTTTGTAATGGTTTAAATTTTAAATAGGAAAACGTGAGAAACACCTAACGCCTACAAATTTAATTATATACCTTGAATTTCAATATCTATAACTCTTTCATTCAGTTGACGTTCTCATTGCATAAAGCAATAGCATAAGCAGAAACTGTAGATGCAATGGGATGTCAATTCTACCGTATTCCAGGAGTTAAATGTGGCCGTGATCCCACGTTTATTTTTATTGACAATTTTTAATTAGGCACTGTGGGATTATGCACTATGTCATGCCGTGCCCCTGTGCCCGATTTGTAATTATCCAATCCAGGTGTTGTAGTTATAAGCTATATGTTTCAATTATCGCGTGCCGCTATACGCTTGGTTGCATCATCTGCCTCCTGCGGATTTGTCTGCTATCTCACCACCACCTCATCTTCTGCGGCTTATGGAATTGCAATTGGAATATTGGAATAATAATCCGATTTTAGTGTTATTACTCGTAGACACGTGTTAATCGCTAGTTGTAATCGGTAAGAATTTGAAATTACGTATTATTCATTCCAGTATAAATTTAAAAAATAAATTATAATAGTTAGCTCAGAAACTGAACTCATTGGGTATTTAAAAATGTTAACCTAGTTTGGCTGTAAGAGAAATAGTCTTCTTGTATTATCAGTTTTTTGTAAATAGGCCTAACTCAGTACCGTATAAATTTTTGGGGCTTAGGCAATTCTTATCTAGATCTAAAACGATCTAACTGATATGTTCCAGGGGGGTGTTCCAGGTATTCCCCCTATAAGTCCGTACCAGTACCACATTACTTTTCCTAACCTAACATTATCTTAAAACTTAAGTACATCGGCCTAGGCTAAATATATTTCAAATTAGGGCTGCTTTTTGTAGTTATTTTATAATAGGCCTACAAGTAAACCTGGCAAAAAAACTTTATTGCTATTACTGCCCTCCCTCTGTAAAGTAGAATTCTGACTAGGCACCGGGTAGCTAGAGCACCAAATTTTGGGGGCGTGGCAATCGGCCAATAGATTTTATTAGATTGTCTTTTTTAATGTTGTATGGCATACAGTAACTATCAGCGAGCAGGGCCGAACCCCCAGTATGCGCTTCATCACCCTTTTTGTAGATTAGACTTGTTTTAGCAATCTTCAAGTTGGCATGAAATACATATGTAGTCAAGCAGCTGCATTTACCGGTATGTCTTGACTAAAAGAATCTTTGAAATGCTGAACTATTTTAATCAGATTTTTTCACTCACCTTAATTTATTGAATAGTGGGATTGTCGGAGAGGTGGTAAACTGTGTTAGCCTGTAACAGAGGTAGGTTGGAGATTAAATCAATCATCTACTAGTGTACCGGTATCAGAAAAGTAGTCATTGAAGTCGTCAGGTGATTATGGAGATGGCATTACATGAGTGGATGATTTGTTGGTTAATGTAACTTATCAAGCGGCTTTAGCCTACAGGAGCTAGGAGCATTGTGCTGAAAAGTTTTTTACCGGTATCTAATTTTACTTTGGTATAAAAACCGGATTATTGTTTTTCATTACTTTCAGGGCAGAGTTGTGGGTCAGTTTGCAATGATCATGAGCTGTAGTCATCAGAGAGCACAGTTTGTTTTGCTTTGGTGTGTACCATTGGTTGGGTTTTGTTACTTTGGTACTTGGGTTCAGATTTCATGACTTTTTTTTCTTGATTGCTCCAACTGGAATGTCAAATTTATTGAAAAAGATCTTAAAAACATACTAAAGGTACCTGGAAGATCAGGAATTGTATTGTACACAGGGTCAGCACGGTTTTTATTGGGTGTCTAGTTTTCATTTTTCTAATTTGTTTGGGTCTAGCCAGTGAGGTTCTTTGCTTACCTTAGTTAATCCAAATGTAAGGACTACATTTGTCACCAAAATGAGACACCATCTCCGACTTAAAGTCATAATTTATTGCAGCAGTGTTCAGGCACGCTGGGTTCTAAATTGAATCTTTTCACGAATAAATCAATTTTTATAATTATTTAGAAGGCTATCTTTTTGACCAATCAGCTTCCCAGTCAATCTGTTCATCAGATAACGCAAAATTAGTTATCATGTATGGATTAAAAAATTCTAACATTGCCTTCAAAAATGTTATTCAAAATAGTCTTTCCTGTTGCGGAGGCTCACAAAATATTAGGCTCAACCACTAAAACATAACATTAATATTTAACGATGGACATTAGTCTGTTACCCTAATATGAATCCTCTGTAGTTTAAGTTTTGATAACTTTTAACAAACAAGATAAAACTTAAATCATATCTTTGTTCCAGATAAGGTGATGCCAGAAATTGAATCTAAGTTGGCAGCCATGACTGTAGGTAAGATATGACTTAGCCTATTACATTTTTACTACTGGTACTCTAATCCTCATCTTAGTTATATTTAAGTTTATAAAACTAGTAACGCTATTAGCTAGTAATGCAGTTTTTGTTTTTTATAAATAGTTGTTTGATTGTTAAATTTATCTACAAACAATACTTAAATGTGTGTTGTGAAATTTTTTAGGTGAAATTTACACTTCAGAGAAAAGTGGCAGTGATGAAAATGGAGACGGAACTGAGGCTAAGCCCTTTAAAACCATCCTTCAAGCGATGAGGCTAGCAGGAAAAGAACCTTTTCCTACAATATACGTAGATTCTAAAGAGGAAGGAAAGGTTAGTATCATACTTATGGTGTTGAAATGCTTTAATTAGCCTTTACCGTTAAAATGTTGGAAACATATTACTTATTTTTCTTTGAGATCAAGCAAGGGACTTCAAAGTACTGTTTTTAAAATCCAATTAATTACTAATTGCTTTAAGGCAGGACAAAAGGATCATGGTGAGACTTAAGCATAAATTTATAACTCATCTTATAAAAACTCCATTTTATTCTACGCCTATTCAACTAGGCCACTCTTTAAGCTATCAATTCATCTTTGATCCTTCAATTGTTGTTGTTGTTGCTCATCAATAACAACAATAATGAGTTTATCTCAGGTATGGTACCTGGTATGTTTATCATCAGGATAACTTCTACAATCCAATTTGTAATCGTTCTTAGAAATTTGAGGTGGCTGCCAAATCCCAACTGAAGAAGATACAGAAGATCTGGGTCAGGGAAGTGCACAAGTCAGCCGACAAAGCAAAGAAAGACGCAGATAAAGAGGCGGAAGCTGAACACAGGGTGAAGAACTTGGAAGAAGCTAAGAAGATAAAAATAGTAGAGGATAAATCGTTTCCTTCAGCCAAGCTGATTAAAATCCACCATGCAACAGACAACAGAGACTCTCGAATTAAAGTGTCTGGTTGGGTACATCGTCTTAGAAGACAAGGTGAATTAGTTTTATTTTCATACTTTATAAAAGCCTAAGCCCGGTAATTGCAAACAGAAAATTATGTTGAATCTAGCGTCCGAGTTAAGTACTGTTTCAATTCATAAAATTGAATGTTTGTGTTTATACATAAGTGGCATTTTAAAAGTTTTTTGTCAAAGGGAACGGTCCTAATCGTGGTCTTGTTATTATGAAATGTCAAACTTCGGTAGGATAGCATTATTAATTGATTGACCAATGAAAAATGGCATCGGGGTCCAGAAACGATATCGCTTAGAATCATCGAGTGACCGATTTGAAGGTGCACTATAACCACTCAGCACTCAGACAATGTGCTTGCAATGTTGAGAATTTTTCATCAGATAAGATTTTACTTTAGCAACTCAATTTTAAAGCATTTATAATCAAATTTGTGATCGCTAAAATCCAGGCTAGGCTCATACTGAAGTGTTATGGAATCTAAAACATATTTTGCTATTAACTGTTTTCAAATTAAATGAAAACGTGAAACATCATTGTTATTGTTACAAATAAAAATCAATTTTTAATCCAAGTTATCCCTGTTTTATCAATGTTTTCTATTCACACTAATGTGCCTAATAGTAGTCGTAGTTAAAAAAAATTGAAAGAACCTGATTAAAGCTAGTTTAAATGTTTTACTTTAAAAGAACAATCATCATTGTTTTTTGCCTTAAAAATCAATAGGCTACAATAGTAATGCGTAAAACTTCTAAGCCCATTCTAGTTCAATATTCACTTTCACAGGCAAGTCGCTGATGTTCATAACATTGCGAGACGGCACCGGTTTCTTGCAGTGTGTGCTCAACGACCTCTTGGTTCAAACTTACGAAGCTCTCGTCTTATCCACTGAATCGTCTGTCCTTCTTTATGGCACACTCAAGAAAGTGCCAGAGGGCAAAAGTGTAAGTTATGAATTATGATTGGTAATAGTGTACATTGTTACATTCATTTTAATGGACTGTAAAATGTCTGGTCCATAATTGGTAATTTCATACTCAAACTGATATTTTAATCTCTAATTGCCACCTCTCTGACGTTCTTCGTTAAATGAATTGTTTTATCGTTGTACTGAAAGGGGCGTCAGCAGTTAAACGCCAGTTTATCCCCAACTTTGCCCCAGAGGCTAAGTCTAAAGGCATGGCAAAGTCAAGATCAACAAAAGTTACTGTAACAATCGGTGTTTTTATTTGTCTCTGTGACTATTTTTTAATGTTTTGTGTTAAAATTTATGTACTGTATTCTCAATTCCGACCCCACCCAACCTCAGTAATTTCAGATAAACAGAAAGGTCAATCAACACTAAAATAAATAATGCAAATAGCATTTTAAATATGAACTTAAAAAATTTATAAAATATATGATAAAAACCAATATTATAATGATTTACCATTTTCAAACTTTAAGGTTTTATTTTTGTTTCCTGTTGAAACAATCATCTTTAAAGAGTCTCAGGGGGCCTGTTAAGGTTTATGCCACAGTCATGCCACACAAAACTAGCATGCAATTTCATGTTACTTGATCCCCCCCAGTTGGGTTGGATAACTCCAAAGTCGGATAACCAAAGATTGTATAGTTGAGACTCCTACTGTACGTGTTTTAAATTTTTTAACTACTTTTTTCATTAGTCTAAGCTCCTGATTCTTGCATGAAATCTAAACTAGTTTTAGATGCCTGCTTGATCAAATTGCTGGTTGACATCTAATTAACATATTTCTTTTTTAACTTAGGCTCCCGGTGGACATGAGCTGCAGGTGGACTTCTGGGAGCTAGTTGGTCTGGCCCCGCCCGGGGGAGCCGACAGTATCCTCAACGAGGAGTCTCATTCAGACATTCAACTGGACAACCGACACATCATGATCCGAGGGGAGAACGTAAGTCACCTGCTTTGAATTTGGTTTCAACACATTTATTTTTTTTGTAATAAATAACCTTATCCCACAGTCTAGCCTAAGTAGAAAACCTTGTAGAAAAATCATATGGATATTTGAGTTGGGACTATCAATTGTTATGAATATTTATGCAAAAATATTTTGAATTAAGGTTAGAAGAGTGTCTACGGTAAATAATTTCTGAGGTGTGATTAGTTAATGAAACCTTATAAAATACTCCCGTGGCTATTTGTACCCAAAAGTTATTTGGTCACACAAACTTGCTGCTCATCTTTTTCTGATCCTGTTCTTCTACATCGGTTCTCAACATTCTGTTGTCTTTCACTACTTTATCTATTCACCTCTTAATTAAGTGTTCAATGTATTCCTTCCTGGGCTTCCTACTAATTGTTTTGTGATAGTTCCATCTTATCTTCTAACCAATGTTAAGTCTCTCTTAGATGTATGTTTTTTTTTTTCAGTAACCATGTTTGTAGCTTGAAATATATCCCTATAGTTCCCCATTGTGATTGATTCTCCTCTTTCTTTTTTAGTCTCAAGATATCTCTGAGTACTTTATTTTTAGAATTTTAACAGATTTTTATCATCTTGTTTGTCTAAAGTGCATGTTTCGGATTTGTTAGATTATTTTCAATTTTAATTTTTCCCTGGACACGGATAAATTTGTATGATAAGAGTTTGTTAAAAGTAAACATATTTCTACTGGGTTTAGCTATCTTAATTTAAAGAAACCCACAAATTAAATCATTTTGGGATTTTTGTTGAGATGATACAATTTTTCTAGCCTCAAAAATGTTGATAACCCTTACTTAAACTTATTTTTAATTTTTATAATTTGGTGTTTCAGACATCAAGAATTTTGAAGATGCGGTCCGTAGTGATGCAGGCTTTCCGAGACCACTACTTTGCCAATGGTTACTGCGAGGTCACTCCCCCCACCCTGGTCCAGACGCAGGTGGAGGGAGGCTCTACTCTCTTCAAACTAGACTACTTTGGGTTAGTTTTCTATAGTTCTTTTTGTTGCCAGTAGGCTGTGTTAAGCTTGGTACAGAACTTAATCTTAGTCTACGATGTAATATAGGGATCAAGGGTGTAGGTTTTTAAGCCTAGTCCACACATGGAGACTGAGTCGGCCGACTGTCTGCCGACTGTGCGCGGACAGTCGGCTGACAGTCTGTCAACACAGTTTCAGATACAAGTTTCCGATGTGTTTTGCGTCCACACTAGCCAGCCAGTGTTTCCATGTTTGTTGGTATGGTGACCGAGGAGGACGTAATTATATCCTATGCGGGCTTCATTTTTCTGAGCCATGGGCCTGTGAATCTAGGAAGAGATTTTGATAGACTCAACATTTTCTCGAGCAAGGTTCGTACGATGGTCGCAATATTCTATCAGACCTTCAGATTAGGTGGAGGATTTAGTAACTTCACGAGGTTGACTCCTAAAAGATTTTGAAATTTTGCTGGGCTTTGTTGGTCTTAAGATTTTAAACTTGAAGAGATGAACAATTCAATAAAATGTCATATAATGATATAAATCATTGAAAACTAATTCCAAAACTTTCAAGAAACTCAATCCACCTCTTTTATTACCGCCTAAAAATCGTAATATTACCGCTTTGCAGTCTAACTAAATGGGATGAATATTGAACACCTTCGGCTTGTATCCAGTCTCCTGTCTCCAGACACGTCCACACATGCAGACTTGAGACAAAAGTTTTGTCTCTTGTCTCCGTGTTTCCCATTCGAACGGGAAACAGAAAACACTGTATTTTGTCTCCAGAAACACCGAAATTTGTCTGCCTACAGTCGGCCGACATACTGGAGACAAAATAGCAACATACTGGAGACAGTCGGCAGACCATGTTTCCGCAGACAAATCGCCATGTGTGGACGAGGCTTTATCATTATACAGTAGTTATTTTTTAGATGGAAACCACCATAGGTGCCTGTTTTAAGCTGATAGTAAATGAAAGGTGAATGTAGAATGGAGTTAAATGATTTTGTTGCATAGTTTTTTTAGTCAGGACCTATTTTTTAAGCGTAGCTGGGATCAAGGACAGATGGGATGCTTATTTTCGATCCATTAATAATCTTTTTACCTGACGATTGTTGTTGGGATAGTAAGCTTGCTTAAATATTGAATAGTACATCTTGTGACTTAATAACTTAGCCTAATACTTTAAAACTTCTTAATTGAAATTGTGACCATACAAACTTTAATTAAACTACCAATATACAGTGATTGGAATACCTAAGATACAGCACAGCCTATTTAAAACATTTTTCATTTTTCCCTATTACTCAACCCAGTTGTCCAAAAGGGCCTAGTCTCTTTTATTTAGCTTAATCAGGGTTTTACGATAAGGATAAATGTTAATAAACAACTATATTAGGCTACTTGGGGAATCTTTATACATACTTAACATTGTTACAGAGAAGAAGCCTTCCTTACACAGAGTTCTCAGCTCTATTTAGAGACATGTATTCCTGCGCTGGGAGATGTATTCTGTATTGCGCAGAGCTACAGAGCAGAACAGAGCAGAACCAGGCGTCACTTGGCTGAGTGAGTATGGATACAGTTTGTTGGTTGACTAAAACTCTTGATAATGATGTATTTGGAATACGTTTGTATGCAATACTGGTGCACAAACACATTGAAGCTAAATGTTTGTTTTGTTTGATGACTTGGACAGACAAAGCCTCTTCTTCTTCTCCCTTCCCTCCTCAGTTTCACTCCCTCTTCCAGATGCCATCTCACTTCCTTCTTCATATCCCTCTTTACCCGATTAATCTGCATTCTTTTATGTCTTCCTCTGGGTCACCTTCCCTCTATCGCCATCAACTCCTTTACGTAAAATAATTGTCTTTTCTTGCATTCTTCTCAGCTAACCTACAATAGCTTTATCTTAAAAAAAGACATCTTGGTCTACCTTTTTCTACCATCCATCTTTTTTATGCCTCCAACTACCCCTATTCTGATCACTTCATTCTTAACTATCTCACCCTCCCTTATTAGGGTGTCTACCAGCTGATCAAACTTAATCAGGTTAATCAAAGTATTCATTGATGATCGGCAAGAGCTTGGTATGTACTGAAGATAGAATATCTAGTCCAGAATTGTACAGTTTAGTTTAATCATCACTGTTTACAGGTACACACACATTGAAGCGGAATGTCCCTTCATTAGCTTTGACGACTTGTTGGATCGGCTTGAAGATTTGATTTGTGACGTCGTAAAGAGAGTCCTTGATTCACCGTATGGTGAAATCGTCTACCAACTCAACCCGGTAACTAGAAATATTTTCAATTTACTTTTAAGTAATTCTTTAATCATTTCAAATCTCTGTGTATTCTCTAATCTACTCTTTGACTGTTTAAAAGTTATGTTTGAAAAGGCTGAGTTGTAAAAGTATATGTTTATAAGGGAGAAAGATATGTTTCAACTACACCGCCTGTCAATTATTGAGAGGCGGCTAAGATTAAAATCTATTTGAAGGAGGAATGAGTTTTTTAAGCTTAGTCTGTGTTAACCTTGTTGGGTTTTGTTAGCTTTCAATAGAAACTTTAAAACAATTAAGTAGTATATTTTTTTGGAAAGGGATGGAGATTATTAAGCTCATAAATCCCATGGGTATACAGGTATAAAAATGTGAATAATAGATAGTACTCTTGAAAGACTTCATTGGTGAGAAGATTAAGTTAGCCTTTATGGCTTTACATCAAATAAAAAGTGTTAATTATTACAGGAATTCAAAGCACCCAAGAAACCTTTCTTAAGAATGAACTACGCAGACGCCATCAAGTACTTGAAGGAGCACAACATCACAAAAGACGATGGTTCATTTTATGAATTCGGAGAGGTAAATTAAATATCTTTTGAAAACTCATCTCTTCTTGTACTATTTTATTGCCATGGATAGTGTATGAACTAAAATAGTCTCTTTTACCCCTTGAACATCTAAATAAATGAAGAAAAATGCACTTTCATTGTGTAGGTGGAATAGTAGAAAACAATTTGTTGATGCACAAATCATAAAGTATACACCCATCCAACATAAAAACAAACCTTCAGAGGGAAACTGGCATCACCTTTCTACCCAGTCACAGATTAATTTTCCTTGTCAGGACTGACAACTATTTGAATACCGGTACTTTTTCTATGGTTTTCCTCCCAGTCGTGAGCACTAAGTAAAATCCTGTCCAATTGGCACAAAATTTGTTTTCACGTCCATTGAATAGCTCAAACAATTAGGGAAAGAGTAATCTGGCACGAGAAACACAAAACATTACTTTGATTCAAAAACGATTAATATTTCACTGCCACTAACAGCATTTTCTACAGAGCGTTATTTTCAGGCCCAATGGTGGACAAAGTGAATTAATTCCTGGCCAACATTAGGTCTGGAAATAAATCTCTCTTTCTCTAACACAAACCTGACTTGTGTTGTGTGTGTGTTTTTTTGTTGTTTTTTTTTTTTTTTTTTTTTTGTGCCAGATTGGACTCTTTTTCCATTCATGTAGGCCTTGCTATCTTCACGAAAAATCCTAAAAATCAAGAAGCATTACTTTACATCCCAAAACAGTTGCAGCCTATGTTAGTGTTTTTAAATACAAATAGTTGAAAACCGTTGACACATGATTATGGCTGAAATAACCCCAGACTTTAGGAATTTCTGGAGAGTTTACACATTGTATATTTTGTCAGTTTGAGATGTTAATGACAACAGAAATCCTGCTTATTTGTTGGCACTAGTTAATTGAACATTTTTCGCTCTTGTAGGATATTCCCGAGATGCCTGAGCGGAAGATGACGGATGCCATCGGTCAGCCGATCATGCTTTGTCGGTTTCCAGCTGGCATCAAGGCATTCTATATGGCTCGCTGTACAGAAGACAATAACCTCACCGAGTCTGTGAGTACCAAACCATTCTCATACGCAGTAGTTGTACAAATGTGACTGTGTTTTAGTATCATTTTGTAATAGTGTTGTGTTGGTTGTAATCTGAGATTGTAGCACAATCAAGATCGTTTCCCGCTACCACAACTAATTTTGAACATCTCCAGCAATAGCAAGGATCATCGTCTTTAACAATTGCTGCAATATCAAATGCATACTCAAGATCATAGGGCATTTCATTTCATTATACACTCATATTTGGGTTAAACTACGCACATATCTGGTGACCCCATTTCAAACGGTGGTAGTAGTAAGGCATTAGTAACCCTCCCCCTCATGGAGAAGGCATCATCAGTGAATCCTGCTATCGCGGCAAAGGTTTGAACATTCCCACCATAGCAGTGAAATTACTGCATGGTAAGCAATAAGCCTAAACCAACATTTTTCTTCAAGTCTCGGTTTTGATTTTTTGTACTATTTTGATTTCCATTTTTGACAAGACTGTAACTTAAAATCACATACGTATAAGATCCCATAAGCATGTATTGTGCAGTGGCGTCTTTTAGTCAGGGGCGGACTGGGTACTCTATTAGGGCGTAAACCTTGACCAGCCCGAAGGCGCCAACCGGGGGGTCTGGGGGGTATGGAATACCCCCCTGTACAGAGGGGGGTCCGGGGGTCCTCCCCCGGGACATTTTTTTAAAATTATACCTTTAAACTCGCATTTTTAGGCAATGAGGCATTAACAGTGGAAAATCAGAAATCTGATAACTGACACTATTGATTAATGTTTGGTTTACCAAATTTAGACTATTTACCCACACGACTTGGTGCTATTCTGACAGTAAATATCCTAACAAAAATAAAAATACAAATGATTTTCTTAGGTTCTTTCGTATTATATTTGTGTATTTTCATTGTTTTCCCTTGCATGGCTTGGCTGCATGCATACAATATAAATCATTTGCTTCCTCTTTACAGCCTGAACTTGCAACTGTTGTATTTTTTGGCACTGTAAATAGCAGAAGTTATATATTTTAGATTTCTATGAAATTATTGTAACACAAACAATACGCTTTCACTGTGAACAAAACCAATTTATTGACTTAAACTTTTTAGCATTACATTAAGTCAAAACTGTAACCCTAAAGTAGGCCTACCTAACCTATTTCTACAAACGAAATAGCCTAGAGAGAACTACGAAGGTATTTTAGACTGGGTAGAAGGTAAAATTAGTGCCATAGTGCATATTGAAATAATTAATTAATAGGCTGTAGCCACATATTAAAATACTGTTTACTGTTTAACCTTTACTGTGTAATGGTTAAGTTAACAAATACACCGATTCTACAATACTGCTTTCGTTCATGTTTCCTGTGTAGGTAAAGAATATAAAAATAAATTGAAGCTTTCGACACAGAGACACAAATCAGACACTCACTAAAGAGAGTCACATTTTAATTGGCACTGGCAGCTCACACTATTTATTTTTCCTACAGTCACCCGACAAAGTTGGCTTCCTTGTACTGTTTATAGTACAGAAAGCTGCTAATTGCTGCATATTTATACTTTGCCGTACAGTTTATACTTTGCCGTATGGTTTATACTTTGCCGCACATCAGGATTCCAACGAAACAACACAAAACAGCGTGGTTCTATTATGCACGTAATCCGTGTACGCTTGGAAATAGGTTGGCAACACTTAAAGATAATAATACTATGAGCAGCTGATTGACTATTATAACTACAATTTAACCTGTCATTTCGTGTTTATAGTTTCGGTATTTCTGAACTTTCTGGACTTTTCTTTTAAACGTTTTTAAAACATTCCTACTATCTTAATAAACAAGAAAATACCTTTAAAGCATTTTTTTAGGCGCGGAAACCACTTCAAATTATAAAAACATACGGAACTATATTCTCAAAACGCGGAGCACATTTCTTGCCGAGGAAAAATAGCGGAGTGATACGGACCGCGGGTACTACTTTCTCTAAGGCACCATTTGTGTTGCCAGCTGAACCTAAAAACGTGTCGTATAGTGTTTGAAAGACTAATTATTTATATGCTTTATAGTGACTGTAGGAAAAATATAATGTGTAACACGAGTGAAAAAGGCCTTTGCTGCACTCGAGATCATTTCGCACTCGCCTGCGGCTCGTGCGTAAACATTGCTCTCGTGTGCAGCAAAGTGCCACTTTCACCTCTAGTTACACAAATAACTATATATATTACATGCACGGCAAACGCCATTTATATTACACGCAGTCACGAATACTAGAAAAATACCGGTATGGATCACAAACATAAACAAATGATGTCGTTGGCCCGAATCCTATACTGAGCATTGAACATATGATTTGGCAGTTCCATTTAAGCAATGTTAAATAATGTTTATTTTCGGGCCAAAAACGTCATTTGTTTATGTTTAGGTCCCATACCGGTATTTTTCTAGTACTCGTGGTCGCAGTGCAGTTTTTTCGGGTTCGGCGTAAAATAACGCGGGAAGAGGACAGCTGTTTTTAAGTAGCTCAGACCACAGAGTAAAGTAAGTGCCTTCCACTCGGAGTAGGCCTACACGTACGAGAGAGAAGAGCTGCTTTGCTCTCGCTTGTCGACAGTGTCTATTCAGGTCTCACACCCGACTTTATGTTTTGCTATTTACTGCTGAAACTTTTACTCTAAGTTTTTCCTCTTGCTTTCTAAAAAATACATCTCGTCTCATTTTTTTAAATTTTTTTATGAATTTTTCCTTTAACGAGGGCGCAAATATTGGAATGTTGAGAAGGCGCATCGGCCCACTGGCCGGTGGGCCGGCGGGCCAGTCCGCCCCTGCTTTTAGTTTCATTTTCGCTTATCGTACAGCATGTTAAAGCTAAGTTATCTAATTGGGATTTGGTTATTAGGTTTTTAATTGCTTTGGTAAATATCGTTAAGTGATAATTTTTTGCCAAGTCTGTAAAGCCAACATGAGTTTGAATTCTGTTTAGGTGGACGTGTTGCTCCCCAACGTAGGAGAGATCGTAGGAGGATCCATGCGTCTGTGGGATAGTGACGCCTTATTGGACGGTTACAAGAGAGAAGGCATTGACCCGGCCCCCTACTACTGGTACACTGATCAGGTGGGAAAATTCTAACTTTGAAAGTTCTTCAATTTGTGTCGTTTTAAACCCTCTTTTCCAGGGCATGTTTAAAAATTGTACAACAGAAAAAATCTTTTGAATTTTAATCCCATTTGTATCACAATATAACTAACACATGTAACTGTTAAAAGTCTTGTAACCATCAAACTATCAGCTGGGGAGCTGATAATGGTGAATGTTGTTTATTGTTGAATCTAGATAGGCTTTACGGTGATAGTAGATGATAAAATGTAGGTCATCAGGTGTGATTACCGCGTCATTGAATAAGCAAAACTAGAGACCCACGTTTTGGATTCGTAATCATTATCCATCTTTGAGGCAAACCACTGAATATTGTCCTGAAGATAGCTAGCTGTTACGCATCCGAAACGTTGGCCTCTAGTTTTGCTTATTCAAAGACAAAGTAATCACCCAAAGACCTAGATTTGAATTGTTAATCGATATGAGTGATGGCCTACTTGTTCTATTTACAATATTTCTTCTTGTAAACACATACATGATACTTTAGGATCGTCACTAAGAAACTTGTGACGTCAATAGGGTCTGAAAACATGTTACAAACCTGTACTGGTAACTACATTTTTCAACAGCACCGCAAGTCCCTTATATAACTTTCACTTCAATTATTTTCCTAGGGCTCGAAGCAGATTCTTTAAATAACATGGAGTAAGGTTAGTTTGGGTTTGGATAGGTTAGCTCTGGGGGTATTCAAACCAAATAAGTCAACGATAGCATTTCTTCCAAGAATTGGAGGCTTACTTAAATATTTGACATTATAATCTATTAATTCCTACTTTTGCATTAGTTAGCATTAAATATTACGCTACACAATTCAAATTTCTTCGATCCCAAAGTCTCCCACCATGTTTCACTCTTGTTTCTTTGGCTGTATTTTATTAATTAAATTAAATAAAGCCTCTTCCTTTAATAAGCTAATCCTTATGTTTTATTCTTCAACAGAGGAAGTACGGGACATGTCCCCACGGAGGCTACGGTCTAGGTCTGGAGAGGTTCCTGTGTTGGTTGCTCAACCGCTACCACATCCGCGAGGTCTGTCTCTACCCAAGATTCCTGGAGAGATGTCGTCCGTAGTCAAGTCAAACTTGACCAATTCTTCCTTCACAAGCTTTTATCAAGGGGGTCTTTGAATTTATCACAAAACCGGTTGTTGTGTACAGAAGTACGTGTAAGAAATATTTTTAATTTATTTTGCATTTAAAACATATTATAATCAATTTTCTTTAAGGTCGATTATTGAGAGGTGTTTTTCATCCATATACACTGCTAAAACATTTGTTTTCGCTGATTTAATTCCTTGCAAAATCTGCTTGCGATATAATGATTTTTTATTACGTTTATTCCAAGTAACTTTTTCACACTAAGTAGGCCTAAACTTGGGTAATTTTAGGTTTTTTTAAGTTCTTTGTAAACAAAAGAATATTGCAATAAACAATGATCTGAAAACTAAACGCCTAATTCACTGAATCTCAACCTTCTTCAACAATAATTGTTTATTTGTATGAATTGTTTCTGTTGTACATTAATGATTTGCCAATCAACATTAATACTCCACTTTACCTTTTTGCAGACGACACTACAGCAATAATTATGGGTCAAAACAAACAAATAACAAAAGTAAAGCTTTTAAATACTCTCCAAGAAATATCTGACTGGCTATCCAAAAACTGTCTTAGTTTGAATTGCTCCAAAACAAAAATCTTAGCTTTCACTTCTAACAATAGAAACAAACAAATAAATGAGGAATTCCTCATGCCAAATGAAGAACTTTGTGAAAATTCCCTTAGTGTGAACTTTCTAGGTTTTACACTTCAGGACAACTTAAAATGGCATGATCAAATTCTGGCCATACAAAAAAAACTTAATAAATCTCTTCATGCTATTAGAACTATTGCCAACATCTCAGATATAAAGACATGTCTTCAGGTTTATCATGGTTATTTTTTATCAATTGTTTTGTTAGGTACAGCATCATCCTTTGGGGTGGGACATAAGTAATTGACAAGATATTCAAGTTACAAAAAGAGGCCATTCGAGCAATGTTTAAACTAAAATTTAGAAAATCATGTAAACAATATTTCAAAAATTCTAAACTATTAACTGTACCAGCTCTTTATATTTTTGAAGTTCTGAAATTCTTTAAAAAACATCAACAATATTTTTCAAATAACAGTCTGGGGACTCAGGGTACAAGAAACACAGACACTCTGCGGTACCCTAAACATAGATTGTCTCTTTTGGAGAAGGGTCCATATTACATGGCAATTAAACTGTTTAATCACCTTCCACCAGAGATAAAAAAAGAAAAAAAAACTAACACATTTTTAAAAAAACTGGAAACTCATCTAGCTGCAACATGTCCTTATAAAGTGGAAGATTTTTTTTTTAAATGAGCACATCTGTCTGAGTCAGGGGTGTTGTACTGTATATATTCTCATTTTTGTTAGACTGTATCTTATCCATTGTATTTGATTTTTTAATAATTGATTGTAATAATTGTAATTGTAATTAATTGTAATAATTAATTTACACTCTAGCGTAATTGACATGCCATCTGTTACATGAGCTATGCTCAAATTTGTAATGTTTTTATGGCAAATAAAGAGTTTGAGTTTGAATCAATGAGAATTGAGGAGAGTTTTGAACAATGTTAAGGTGGATGAGAATATGATTTAAATGTCTTCCTCGAGGAACTTCTTGAAAAGGTGTAGCTTACCTGAGAAAATTAGACCCCATTAAACCCCTGGACCCTAATTTTCCCTGAATAGCTATCTGAACTCTACACCTTTTCAAAAGATTTCTAGCTAGCCAAATGGCTTTGCTTTAAATTACCTATACCCTAACATAACTTTAAATACATTGACTGATGTATTTGTTGAGCAACTGTCGGTTTTGCTCCTGAAACAAAGGCTAATCTTCTGTAAAAAGCTGATTATTTTTGTTTTCAGAACCATCAACTAGCGACATGATGTCCAAAACTACATTATGAGACTCTTTATTTATTTATTTTTGAATTAGAACTTTCTGTGAAGAGAAGGAACAAGTTCCTAGTAATTATTACAAACATATTCTGGTTTTATCACGATTTGGAAATCGGAACCGCTTTTTTGTAGCACTGAATCAAATCTTCAGATACTCAATGATTAAAGCTAGTGATAAGATTGAAGCTACTTATATCAACTAGAAACAGTGCTCGATTTGCAGGAGAACGGCGTTCCGGTAACTCTCTTTTGGAAAAATAAAACTATTGACATAAATAGGTACATAATGGTAATAATACTTACCAACCACATTAAATAGGTTACAGTTCCGGCACCTCATTTTTTACAAATCGAGCACTGACTAGAAGTATTATATCTCTCATGCTTCTTAAAATATAAAATTACCAACTGTAAAAATAAAATGGTAATAATTCACAATTGTGGCTCTGTACAAACTTTATTGATCATTCTCAGTTGAACGTAACAGTTTGCTCAGCCGTTTCCCTATAAGTTTAGGGTAAGTTTGGTTCTTGATGCGGAACTCTTTGCTCTGATGGGTGACGGCTCCGTGGCACAGCTGGTAGTCGCACAGTGCTCGTAACGGACGTGTCAGTTCATGTTTGTACATGTCTGAACCCTCTACAGCAGCCAAGGCCTCTGCGGCCGTCTCCAGAGTGGAGAGGCATCCGTCCGTGGGTTGACTGCGGATCACATACTCGCTGCTTGTCCCAACCACCAGCTTAGCCTGAACAGATGGGTCATAAATTGTTATCATTGTTATTGAAATCAATTTTGTTTTTCCGACTAATAAACCCATTTGTCAAAACCCACACACATTCTTTGCCTAGTGTTAAGTACGTGGTAGATAGATGGCACTTACCTCTTCTGTATGTGTAACGGGCCTATTAAAAGGTGGGGAAAGAATAGACTTCCTATTGACGTAAAAACTTTATTGGATTATATCTAGCATTCAAATTGCAAATTGAAATTTGGACATGTGTACCAACATTATCTACTGAAATAATTTGGGAACTAAGTACTAGGGAGGTGGTTGGATAAGCCAGACCACAGCAGTGATGCTGGAATAAATTGATACATAGTTTACAAATCACTCATCCTGCAAATAAACAAAGAGGCCTAAACTTAAAATTGTGCACCACCAATTACCGACTGTATTTGATTAAGGTGTTTTATTATAACAAACCTAGTTAAATAGATATTTAATTTTCCATTACCAGAGATGAGATTTGCTTTTCCTTAGTTACTCGTTAACTCGCCATAACAAAAATTTCACACTTAATACTAAATCTAAATAAAAATAAAGTTCTTATTGTGAGATTAGAATAGGGTACCCTTAAGAGAATATTAGGGATCCTATTTTAAAATATCCTATGCTTAACACGTTCACTGTTAATGGTATTAAACAAGGGCTATATGTGCAGTGCTAATTTATTTATCTATTGAATGAGAGGACTGTATGGCTGAGGACTAAAGGCCTACTACTACTATAAAACTACCAAGGTACCTACTAAGAGAAAAGAATTTATTTATAAAAATAAATACGTCTGCCTTAAAAAATAAGGTTGCCAATGACACAGAAAAAAATTTACACTTGAAATATTGAAGGATTATAACACTATAATAATCTATCTTAGTAAAACGTAGCAATGAGTGCAGCCTGGCCTGTTATAAACAAACAGTCCTCACCTGAGTCATAGAGTGCAGTAGAGGGGAATTATTGTAAATGGTTTTGGCTTGTGGCCAGGTGCCATCAATGATGACCAGATTGGTCGGCCGTTCCCTCTGCAGATCACCTAGCGTAGTGGCAGCTTTGCTTGGATAGAGCAACACAGACCTCGGATCCACCAGAATATCGTGTAAACCTTCATGCCTAAACAGTCACACTTTTGAGTACCGGTAATGAAAATATGTCTGAACAAAAATTACCATTGGCTAAGTATGATTCTTTCGACACTTTTTTTTAACATTATGTTTCACCAGAACATTAGACCTAACTAAATGTAGGCTATAAGTTTATCTTTCAAATAGATTATCCTAACAATTGTCTTGAAAAGGATGTTTAGGAATTGTTAAAAACACCTATCTTTGTTGTAATTTGGTACATCACTCATTGAAATGGGGGGTACTTTCCTGTTAAAGGGAACATTCGTTATTATCAAAGATTTTTTCTCGATATATCGATATTTTTATTTTCTGATCCTTTAAAAATTGACAACAACTAACTGATCTTGAAACTGTTCTAAGCTAACCTAACATAACCAACCAAACTTGCTGGACCATTTAAAAATTCCGTTTGGGTTTGATAATATAAAAGGCAAGTTAAACACGGAATTTTAAAATGTTATAGCAAGTTTGGTTAGTTATGTTAGGTTATTTTTTAGAAGAGTTTCATTTCATTATTGTTTGTTAATAGGCTACTGAACAATATGTATCGCGTAGTTGTCAGCTGATATGTTTTAATTTGTTAATATCGATATATCGAGAAAAAATCATCGATAATAATGAATGTTCCCTTTAACAGGAAAGTACCAAATGGGGATACAACTGATATTTAGCCTGAGTGTGAGTAGAGAATTGTGGGAGAGAGGTTTGTGTAGCTTTTTTCATGACTAAGGCCAGCAATTTAAAGCTAAATCTAGGCTACTTTTAAGCATCAACAATGTAGTATCATTAGCCAACTGTGAAATACGATGGTCAACGATACCATTTGGTGTTGACTAGCTTCAGTAGCCTATGAGCTCCATTTTGGATTGCAAATTAATTGTATAAAATACCATTAAGCATTATTTTTTATATAGGATCTGGCTTATTACGATACCACTTACTTAACATTATTTTACATTTTTAATCTGAGTTTAATTGATGTACCACTTCATATTATTTTAGATATTGGATCTGACTTACTATGAGACCATTAGGCATTATTTTGGATATTGCATACGACTTTCAATTGTTAATCGAGTGGATTGAATGAATAATAATTCTTATCACTGAAAATTTTCCACACTCAAATTGCTATCCCAGAGTTCCCAGGAAGGAGTCATAAATGTTCGGGGAACGATTTGCTTTAAAATAAAATTAGAAGAGAGGGCTCAAATAGGCTTAGTCCTCCAGAGACTCGGCCTGTCTATAAATATCATACCTTTGTTGGGGGAATTTTTTCCCTTTGTATATAAGGCATTTTCCTGGTGATAGTCCTAAGCTTAACATTGGTGCAGTTCTAAGGCATCTCTTCTCTTCTGCTGGGTGCTGCAGAAGAATTACTCGACAATTGGGGTTGAGTGGTTCATCAGGAAGATGTGAGCACCAACACACAATACTGGGTCGCCTGAAATTAGAACAATGCAAAGAAATAACTTAGTAGAACCGTTAGAAGTAGAGTTTAGGGCAATATGCTTGAGATGGCCCCTGCAACCTTCGGTTTTGAAGGTAAGCGCTAGGCCTATAACCACTCGGCCATCCAGACGATAAGTGTCTCTATTCTCTTAGAGGGTACACTTTAGTTTACACCCCACACTTACTATTATACATTAACTACCAGCTGTTGAATGAATGAAACTGTTCTTAACTAAACTAACCTAACATAAGTTGCTGTAGGTCTATGTGAGTACCTAAATGTGGGGTGTAAACTAAAGTGCAGCCCTCTTTGATTTTTGGAGCTTACGTAAACTTTTTGTTTGCAAAAGTTTCCACCTACCTGCATTTGTCACAAATCTCGCGTTTAGAGGGAGGATCTGCTGGTAACTCAACCAAATCTTCCCAAGTTAATTCCATATCTCTTGGGTAGGCGCATAAACTCAGGCATACTTTACAAGAGAGCAAAATGAAATCATCAAGATCAAACGTACGATGAGAACGTTTTATTGACTGTGTATTAATCTCATTGTTTAGCTTTTAGAACGTGTCATAACTTTTAACTTTGATTTTGATAACCTAACCTTACTTTAGTCACAACACAACAATCAACATTGAACGAACATTTTAACTTTTTTTTGTTCTTCTTCTTCTGAGTATGTCTGCCTGGTCTGCCAGTGCCAGATCCGGATCAAATGTTTAAATTTTCAGCTGATTGAAGTTCAGTGTTTTTTGGTGCATGTGGTACTACGCACTGAGCTATAATTCTACGTTATAATTTTAGCTCAGTGGGTGGGTACTACACTGCAGCTTTTCTTACGGCTAAGTTTACGTGTTTCCAGTGGTACACTATAGAATAGAACATGTAATCAAGTGGTCTTGTCTTAGCAAATTAAATACACTCTCTTAGTAAGTTAGGTTTGTTATCCTTATTTAGAAGAAATGCTGAAACCAATTTAACCAGATAATGAGCTGCATTTGACAAGTCTATTGCTGGTTCCGTCCGGTGCCGCTAAGGTCGTGTTTTTGTTTACAATTTGTTCCTTGCTTTTTCAGTTATTTAAAACCTGGTTTAACAAAATGAAACGATCTAATCATGAACAAGAACTCGTTCTCTAGTTATATAACCAACAGCAAAGCACAAATCAAAAAATTAACTCTAAAAAAATATAAAAAAATTCGTTGACACTAGTGCCCAACATGAACTAAGTTTAATCATAATATTAATCACCTTAAATTGTCAATACAAAAGGATTGCCCTTTCCAGGATACTACCATAGACTAACCAACACAAGTAAGTAAGTACTAAGGGAGTATGTTTTATCTATGATACTACGTTGTAGTCAAAGATACTACATAAAACGCGATTCTTTACATGTGTACTAAATAGTGCTAAATATGCTGATGAAAAACGTCTAAAACGAATGTGGTGGTGTTAGTGTACGGTATTGTGGTGGTCTGTGAGTGTGAGAGAGACCGACAGGCGATATGGTGACTACACGATGATGTCTGCTGTCTGCTATGTGAGACTGATGACGACATAAATAAAACAACAAAACTAAACAAAATAAATACCTAATTAATTGTACAATGTTATTCAGTCTGTGGCTCATTTTTTGAATATTTTCTAACTAACTTTCTTCCAAGTGACTAACAGTAATTCAGTTTTTCAACTGGTTTAGATTTTTCCAATTGTGAGAACTCAGTTGCTTATCCACATTACCTGTTGTAAAATCATCACCAAAGTTTGGTTACAATAATGGCAAGTATAAGTTATTTTCATTCCTTTTCTTGTCATGTAAATCATAGATTGTAACTCATCTTAAAACTAACAAAAAAACCTTAGGCTATGTTAAAAAATAAAGTTTTAAGCTTATAGGTATATTTCTATTTTACACACTGGATTTTGATTTCAATTGGCACTAAGCCTAGGCCTAACTTAAAGATCTGAGATTAATAACAGAATCTTGTTTTAAATTAAATTAAACCCGTTGATAGCTTTAAAACGTAGCTCATATGTTGTGTTTCGTTATCCGTACTATCCGATACAACAGGCCACGTTATAATAACCAGCAAGAGCGAGCCAACACAACTCACGTATACAAGTTCGGTTTTAAGTAACTTGGCGATAATCTACCTATTGATTGAAATGCTAAAATTTTATATCTGACTCTATCGTATTATCAAACTTTGCGTAAGTAGGCTACCAATTTTATCAAAAACAAAAAAGAACATGGTATCCTAAGTTATGCCTAGACAAAAACTAATATGTCTAGATATATATTGCGACTATAATACTAGTTGGATGTTTCGAAGGTAATAAAAGCAATTTTTTGTGTTTAAGGTTGCAGGCAATTCGGCAATAAGAGAGGGTTTTAGGAAATTTCCCATATAGGGAATATTACTCATTGTAAAGTACTCATTGTAAGACCTGGACCCAGGACCGATTCACTTTTTTTGTTTTGAGGTCCCTAGATGCCATAAACACCATCCGTTCAGATTCATAAAAATATTATGTTTTATATATGTATATAGGCTATACCAAATTAAGAAAATAAACTAGCTGCTGTACCCGTTCTTTGCAATGGCAAGAAAACCCGGTTTCATAATCATTTAAATATATTTAGAATTTATGCACAATCTCTCTCAAATGATCAAGGACAGGGCAGTTATAGATCCACTATTCAGTTAGGAATCATCAAAAAGCATCTGAATTTTGTCAGGATCAAACCGGAGGCCTTTTCTCTGTGTGTGTCTGTGTTTTACTTCACAGTGGCATTTTTTACGTTTTCTAAGCGAACATTCCAGTTACCCAGGAGATTGGAATATGGGATATGAATTAGATACGATTAGATGAGGTAATGACTTGAGAAACGTTACATAGCAGCTAATATAAAACATGTCAAGGTATTTAACCAACACAGTTTTGAGTGAGGACTAAGAGTTGGTTACGTTTTGTTTACAATTTTTATCTCATTATTTCAGCCATTTAACAACTCGTTTAGCCAAATAAAACTATATATAATCATAAACGATAAACTAGTGCTCTATATACCGTAGTTATAGTTATATAACCAAAAATAGTAAAGCACAAATCTTAAAATTAACCCTAAAATAATAGAAACAAAATTTCGTCGACACTAACGCACAGTGCCACCAGAACACACTACACAAGAAAAACGAGTTTATAAATTTACAATGGGATGAGAAGTCTACTTGTGGTTGGTTTATTCTATGATATAAGTAGGATTAGCCTTACATTCAACTCATACCGACAGTTGTACCTATTTTGAAAGGCGCCTTTTCCTTTTCAAATCAAATCAAATCGTTTATTAAGCCAGAATTAACAAAATATTTCACATTAAGTCACTTAAGTTATATATGTTAAGGTAATTTATTCGGTAACTTATTCCTTAACTGTAAACTAACTTCAAGTTTTGTATTAACCCTCCGAGTGTTATGTGTCGTAAAAGCGACTCATAACACACTTTGTGTACCGGTAGTGTTTTGTGTTGCTTTTGCGACTCACAAACACTGTTTACGGCGAAGGCTCTATGACTGACTAAATCGGATTGAACTGGATCGAGTTAGGTATCGTTTTTTTTGGCAGATTCTAAGCTTTCTCCTGAGGTCTGTCTCTAAACGCTTTTTTTTCTCGAGCCGATCATAATTGTAGCAGACAGCTGACGTGCGTATTTGTAAACAGCTTGGTTAACCTCGCACCGATGACTGATGTGTTTTATTACGTTTATCATTGTTTTAGTGTTAAAAATCAAAAGTAGTGATATACGTGGTGCATTATAAGAAGATTTAAGTGATTTTGAAGGGCTGGTTGATGATCCTGAAGAAGTAGGTATAGTGATATTGATGTAAATTATCAGCCAGATTCCTAGGTATGGTTAGGCTATGCATTCCTAGCTAAACGCTATGTACTGAAATCTGATGCGATCTGTTGAAATCTGTATGTACTGTTATGGAATGCGATAGCGAGCGAGTCACTATTTGAGTATTGAATGACAGATCGAATCCCAGCAGCGTTTACATTGTAGTTGTTACTGGAATAATAATAGCAGTCGCGAGTGATGTAGTTGTAGTGATGTAGGCAAAAGCTAAATAGTATTCATAATCAGCGATCACATTGGTATTATGTTATCGCTGTGTATATGTTTATGTTTAGTAGGCCTATGTATAATGAGTGAACTTGTAAAATAACTATGTAGAAATTTGTAATACCTATGCTTTTATAAGTAGAATAAGTAAAAATAACTTATTCAAGAAGGTGTTTTGGTGGTCTGTGGGAATAAAAAAAATGAAATTTAACATACATTATCAATAAACTCAGCCATAATTCACTGAACAGTAAACAAAAAAGCTATAAACAAACAGAAATATTCCTTTTCCACAACTCCTAGGGTCTACCTTTTCACAAACTACTGGGCTTCACAAAGATATCGTATGCGAGCATTTTCCGACATGTTGGAAAGTAACTCGAACGACAAAATGTCATTCGTGCTTGCATTCCACTGCTAGAATGCGAGTAAATTTGTAGTTGACACCAATTCAAGGAGGAATGCGAGCTGTACTCGTATGCGTGCTCGAATTAATGTAAACGCGCTTTAAGTTAATTACTTCATTCAAAATACCTCTGGCAGAGATACTCGAAGGAATTTTTGAGACAGTAAAGCTTTAAGACGGTGACACACTATCGATCTTTTCCCCGAACAAGACCCCGAACCGAGCAGGGAGAAGGGAGAAGAGAGGTCGAAGGGAGCATGTTCGATAGTGTGTCAGGGGTCCGTACACCGAACCAGACATCAGGCCGAGTAGGGAGACGAGCGCTCTGGAGGCGGTTTTTTGGCGAAAGATCAAAGAAAAGATCGGTCCGATGTACGGAGTGATGTACGATAGTGTGTCACGGTATATTTTCGCCCCGTACATCGTCGCGAGCGCCGCACCGAGCGGCCGCCTGCACTAGCGATGATAGTTCTAATTTAATATGGCATTTTAACTCTATAATTAGTAAAATAAATAAATGCTGGGTAATATTTTGCCGTTTTATATTATGGACATTTATGTTATAATTTTTTGGTTTGTTTGGTCAAGGTTGAAAATGGATTTTACAAGTTGAAACCGTCAACTCAATAATACCAATAATGTTTACCTTTAATTGATATTATACATAAATTCCTTCATAATTAACATAAACATAAATATTATTATAGGCAATTAAAATTATCATTAGGTAACATGTTATTTCATGTTTTATTACTGTTTTATTATTACTACCTCCGCGCTCTCACTCGCACACACTCTCCAACTCTCTCTAAACTCCCTTTTGCCGCGCTCGGTAGAATTCGTCTGGTCTTGGTCTTGTTCGGGGAAATGTTCGGAGTGAAATTTTGCTGATATTTATCTCCCTTCTCGGTTCGGGGTCTTGAGCGGGGAAAAGATCGATAGTGTGTCACCGCCTTTATGGAGGCTATGCTGCAGCTGTAAGTCCAGGCCAGCCAGCTGAGTAGTAGTACTTTGACCTGGCAAATAATTAGTGTAACCATTGACTATTGGATACTAAAGTAGAAATCCCATCCACCAGCTGTCGCCAATCTTTTATTAAAAATGGACATGAGTTGTGTAAGCCAGTCACAGAATGTGCTGGTGTCTAAAATTATATTTTCCATCTTATTTTTTTTCTGATCACGTTGATGGGTCATAAAAGTTGATATAGCTCACAATAAGTCATTCCATTAGTTTAACGTGGTAAACAAGTTAGTATTCAATAGAAATTAGTGATTTAGATCAGCACAGTCTATTGGTGGCTCACATCAATCACGACAATTTTAATTTTAAAACTGGCAACAACTTTAACATGGAACAACTTTAACATATAGCCTATGTCATTAAGTCGGGTGTAACTACTTTCATCAATGAGTAAGCCTACTATAGAAACTAAGCTGGTAACTTAGGCCTACTGAATTCATAGTTAGCTGAAAAGCTCAAATTAACCAAACAATTAGAAATAATTAGCTTACCTATATTAATTTTGCTCTGTTGCACATGTTTTGCTTACTTATAGGTTACCTACCTAAATAAGTATATGGAATTAACACACCCCTACAAAATAGCTTAAACTAAATTCCATCGGTAAAAATTGTTTTTAATAGGCCTAAAGGTCGATTCACACAGTTCCATCACGGTTCAGACACAGTTCAGTCTCAGTTGCATCGGCAATTCCTCAGTCAACTGCCCGTCAGTTGGCTTCAGTCAGTCTTCCGCCACTTTATTTACAGTAATGTTACAGTTAAGAATTTTTCAACACTTAACATTAATTTCTCATTTTCTATCTATTTGATTGTTACAAATAGTACTTAAAAAATATAAACATAATTATTTAAATAACAAAAACACTAAATTTTAAATGTCAAACACATACATCTCACAACCGTCAGGTGTCCAAACCATCCCCAAATATATGTGAGAAGATATCTGAAATAAACTGATGGACGTCGGCCGAGCGACTGATGAACCTACGTCAGAACTGCGCCGTATGAGTATTGATAGCGCAAAAGAGAAGCCATTAATGAATAAACTTCTTGACTGTAAAGTGCCGGAACTGATGTGTGTGAATCGACCTTAATCCTTAATTGTGCCTCTAGCCTATGTCTTAGTAGTCTAACTTATATCATCCTAAGAAAACTTGATACTAAGTAAATATTTCTTGTACGTAGTCGTAGAAAACAATTTTTAATTACAGTACATGATTTTTTTGTTTCAGTCGGCCATATTCAATTTCCAGAGTCTACTGACTGTTATACTCCTACTAATCTGCACTTGTGCTTACATCAGAAATTTATTTCCAAGTCTTCTCGATCGAAACAAAGTTGGGTAAGTTAATGTAAAAAATACCATATAGATCTACATTACATGTTTATTTGAGGTTATTGAGAACAAAGTTCAAAAATATTTTGGCCCGTGTGATAAAAATTACATTTTAGCGAATTTCCCATATAGGGAATAAGCTATTACCGTAGTACTCATGGTAAGACCTGGACGCGGGACCGATTTTTTTTTTCGTTTCGAGGTCCCTAGAGACCAAAAACACCATCCGTTCAAATTCATATATATATATATATATTTATATATTTATATATTTATATATTTATATATATATATACAGGGTGAGTTTCTACTGACCATGTTAACTTCGCCAGTGGGTTCTACTCACTAAAAGGAACAAAAAAGTTCCTATAAACCCATGTCCGATTTTCGACCGTTTGGCTGTTTTGGGGATTTTGTGTTTTTCTTATTTTATTAGACTTTGCTCCACAATTTATGTAATAAAAACTTAACCAATTACTTTAGAGAGTTATAGTTAAAATCGTTGGAAAGAACATTAAATTTGCTATAAATCAAAGGTTTCATTCAACAATTATACCATTACATAGTCCACGTTATAACCAAAATTAAGTAAAAATGTCATTAAATTAATTAATTACGATAATTTTCATGGGCCTCCTTTGATACATAAACCTGCATTTATGCAATGTTGAAATGCATAAAAAACTTTGCATTTTAATAATCTTTCAAATGATATGCTATTCAATACTATTATTGATATAAACCAGTGAGAAATTACTAATAAACTACAATAAAACACGGTTTACAGATTTTGTTTTTGCACAGTTTTACTGTTAATTATAATTACTGTATACTCAATTATGTATTTTATTGAACTATCTGATAAAATTTGTACATTATTTTAACTTTTAAATATTTATTAAAATTATCTGAATTAATAAAATGTATAAACTCAAGGTTTTTCACATTTTCAAAGATGTAGTGTGTTTGATTCTCAAATGCTGTGTAATTAGTTTTACCTTGTGCTTGATTAAGTCAGCTTTTATTTATTTGTCATCTATAGCTAGATAACTCAGCTGCTTGAACATACCTTGTTGAGTAATTTGCTGTTTTAACTTTATATTTCCAAGTCAATTAAGAGTTTTTCAACATTTATTAAAATATGGAGCCTTTTAAATAAGATTATGCCAACATGATGAATACAGTAATTATTACTAACAGTAAAACTGTGCAAAAACAAAATCTGTAAACCGTGTTTTATTGTAGTTTATTAGTAATTTCTCACTGGTTTATATCAATAATAGTATTGAATAGCATATCATTTGAAAGATTATTAAAATGCCAAGTTTTTTATGCATTTCAACATTGCATAAATGCAGGTTTATGTATCAAAGGAGGCCCATGAAAATTATCGTAATTAATTAATTTAATGACATTTTTACTTTATTTTGGTTATAACGTGGACTATGTAATGGTATAATTGTTGAATGAAACCTTTGATTTATAGCAAATTTAATGTTCTTTTCAATAATTTTAACTATAACTCTCTAAAGTAATTGGTTAAGTTTTTATTACATTAATTGTGGAGCAAAGTCTAATAAAATAAGAAAAACACAAAATCCCCCAAAACAGCCAAACGGTCGAAAATCGGACATGGGTTTATAGGAACTTTTTTGTTCCTTTTAGTGAGTAGAACCCACTGGCGAAGTTAACACGGTCAGTAGAAACTCACCCTGTATATATATATGTGTCCGTTAGCACGATAACTCGAGCAAAAATGATCCGATTTTGATGAAATTCGGTACAAACGTGTAAACCTACGTTTATTCGAACGAGTTCGCGATCCAGCATGATCGGACCATGGGAACGGGGGTTTATGGGGGCTTTTATGGGGTAAAAATAGGTTTTTCGCATTTTTGACCCAAAAAACATAAAATTTAGCAATTTCTTTCCAAACCATTTTGTAGAGCTTAAAAAAACAAATAATTTAGTATATTGAAGCGTTATTATGCGCCTAATGGTTACGGAGAAAATTCTAAAAAATTGTAAATTTAAAATTCCCATGTTATTCTTATGGAGAATAAGTAAACTGTTGTAGTTTGCTTGTTTATGAACATATTTTGATCGAATTTGAAAAATGTTTTTATTTCTTACTAACTATTAACATAAAAAAAACAGTTTTACCTCCCTGATGCAGCAAACCTAAGTACTTGTTAAACTAATTCTATTTAAATCGGGAATAAATGTTATATTTTTAAGTAGACATTTCAGTGTAAATCAAATGGAAATTCGCTTAGTCTGCAGGTTTACTGTGGCGGGGGTATTTTTATACTCTGCTGCATTCTTTAATCTAATTAACTCGCAAAACAAAAATGTTGAATTTGGTTTTCTTTTTAACTGTAAGTAGATCACCAAAATGTCTTTCATCTAAGTAACAGTGTTATTCAACCATTCGGTTTGTTATCCTTTTGAAATTGTACAGTAACGGTACGACTGATCATTGACATGTTGACACTTTGGCACTTTTTCCAAGCACCGGGCTTAAAAAAAAATTGACCCCGACAGCTGTTCTGCCTTATGCCTGTGCATGCACAGTTGCCCTTTTGGTATGAAACTGTAAATGCTCGATACCAGAGAATGATATTCTCCTATTGTTTTGACAGACTGTTGGGGACATTTTGGAAGTGTGCCAGGATCGGAGAGCGCAAGAGTCCTTACGTTGCTGTGTTCTGTGTCATCATGGCGACAAGTGTTCTCCTTAAATCTTGACATGCCTAGTCAAGACTAATTCTTCTTACTTTTGTATACAATTTGTAAATAAACCGTTTCTAATTACAACTTCCCCATAAATGTTAATTTCTCCCATAAACTCCTTGAAAATGTTTTTAAATAAAAACTCTGGATTTTTTATCTGCCACAAACATTTTTCACGAATACGTTTGGTACGTCAGCGTTTGAATTGAAAGACAGTTTCTTAACTAATTATATACCGTACAAAGCTACAAATCCAAATCAGCGGTAGTCTAGATTGTAGAACAGTAGAGTCCCACAAACTCTGCCGAGTTTGTGAAATGCCAAGTTATCGGGAACTAGGATTAAAAATAAGAACAATACAATTTTTAAGCCTTTTAGCTGCGTTCTTTATTTATATTTATATATAATAAGTCAGGTGGGCCATCAGATACAACAAAACCTCGGTACGAGCTGCAAATGATTTGACTTGAGTCCATGTTCAACTCGGACTCAAAATCACAAATACTCTGAGCCAGGTGATGGTCGAGTTATCCAGACTGTCGGGTTATCGAGTGCCGAGTTTGCGGGACTCTACTGTATATTAATCAATTTTAAGAACAACTATTGATAAAAAATGCATAATTTTACTTTGGAAGCTCTTTTCATAAGGGTCACGTATCTTTTATCGCAATTTTTATAAATGTTCAAGAGTTAATAAGAGTATTTGAGTCTATTTCATGCATCCCATTTGTAGGTAACTTGCATAATAAATGTTTGGATTCAATCTCATAATAGCACGGGTAGTTTAGTAAATTAAAACATAATTAACACAACTGAATTTATTGAACTCACAAATCAGACTAAACTAAAAAGTAAACAAAACATAATAATGTAAACAGTCATCTGACAGATGTTATAAATAAAACATATGGACTTATTTCTTGATACATAACACTCCTCCCCCCGTTAGGTAGTCCTTCAGATATGCCGGTGGTCGACGGATACGAACAGGTCGAGGACTCATGCTCATTGAAGTGTTTTGGGAGTTTGATCTAGAGACACGTGACCGAACAGGTTGTGGACTCGTGCTCATGCTAGTGGAGTCTTGAATTAAACCAGAAACGTTGAAACCAGCATCTTCTTGATGAGGGTTAATTGAACCTTCTATACCACTAAAGGAATTGCGAGATTGTTGCATCACTGATGGTCGCATTGGTTGTACGTCTGGTGTTCTCATCATAATAGGATTGCGAACCATTGATGGTGGTTGCACTGGAGTGATATGATGTGCTTCTGGTGTTCTCATTTGAATAGGATTCTGGAGTAGTGGGTGGAATGGTGGGTTTACTGGAGATTCAGGATTATCCAAGTGTGAGTTAGTAGATGCTTTTGATGTTTCTGAGCGAGGTCTCAATTGGTCAATATGACGTCGTATTTCAATGCCTTCTTTTGTTATCAAATGGTAGCTCAGTGGCCCGGTTATTCTAGTTACTTTAGCAGGAATCCACTTTGGTCCTCGCTGATTATAGTTTCTTGCAAATACGGAGTCATTTTCTTTAAATTTCCTCTGAGGTGACTGTTGGTAATCGTGAAGCGCTTTATCCAAGATTTTCTCTTCTTTGTCACTTGAAGAATAATCTGGGTGAACTCTGTCTAAGATGGTTCTAATACGCCTTCCGAACAGCAGTTCACTCGGTGACATATTAGTAGAACAATTTGGCGTTATATGAGATGATATTAGGAACTGAGCCAATCTTTTTTGCCAATCTCCTTGAAGTATTCGTCGCAAAGAATTTTTTGTCGTTTGGACCATCCTTTCTGCCTGACCATTCGATGACGGATGGTATGGTGCAACCACGACGTGGCGGATGCCATTGCTTTCGTTAAACGATCGAAATTCTTGTGAAGTGAAAGCCGACCCGTTATCAGATACTATTGTGTCTGGAACACCATGTGTTGCGAAAAGGCTTCTGAGGACCTTTATAGTTGATCTTGAATCTGTAGAAGGCACCAAAACTACTTCTAACCATTTGCTGAAAGAATCGACAACAATCAAAAACAACTTGTTTTGGAAGGGCCCAGCGAAATCTATGTGGAGACGAGACCAGGGTTGTTTCGTTTTCTCCCAGGGAAGAACTGTTGCTCTTGGAGGGTTGTGACGACTTTGTTGACATGCTTGACAAGAATTCACTATGTTTTCTATGTCTTGATCAAGTTTTGGCCACCAGAAATAGCTTCGAGCCAACGCCTTTGTTCGAACAATGCCCTCATGTCCCATGTGTAGAAGCTTCAGAGCTTGTTGCCTGAGAGTGGATGGAATGATCACCCTAGTTCCCCAAAGTAAACATTGTTTGTATTGAGAAATTGAATTTTGACGAGAAATGAAAGGCGTAAGGTTGATATCTGAGTTATGAGTTGGCCAACCACGTTGAGTCCATAATAGTACTTTAGATAGAAGTGGATCCTTTTCTGTTTCTTTTGCTATTATATTAGCGGTGATTGGTTTAACCTCATCGGATTCAATGTATAGCACGTCATTCAAGACTTCATTTATCTCTTGATCAACAACATTGGAGGAACATGGAAGACGACTCAAACCATCAGCATTCGGAATAGAAATCCCCGGTTTGTATACAAGATCAAAGTCATATCCATTTAAAAGGATACTCCAGCGAATCATTCGAGGTGACAGTGTGTTTGGTGTTTGTTTATCCACAGTGAAAAGACCCAGAAGTGGCTTATGATCTGTTCTAATTTCAAAGTGCCTCCCATATAAGTAATTGTGGAATTTTTTAACCCCTCCAATGATGGAAAGTGCTTCCCTATCTACTTGAGCATACCTTCGTTCTGACTGACTCATTGTCCTGGAATAAAACGCAATTGGAACTTCCTTTTCCCCTCGAACCTGACTAAGCACACAACCAATACCATAAGGAGATGCATCACAAGTTAGTATAAGATGGCTGGAGGGATTGTAATGAGCCAGTATACTATCGGAAGAAAGGAGCTTCTTTGAAGCATTGAAAGCAAGTTTATGTTTTTCCTCCCACCGCCATTTAACATTTTTGTCCAATAAGCGATGTAAAGGTTCTGCAACATTGGCTTTGTTGGGTAAAAAACAGTGATAGAAATTAAGTAAACCTAAAAATGCCTGCAGTTGTTCCTTGTTAGTCGGCTCAGGAGCATCTTGAATGGATTTGACTTTGTCCGGGTTAGGACGAATTCCGTCAGAGCTCACAACAAATCCCAAGAAGTCAACTGATGTAGATAACAAAGAACACTTTTCGCTTTGGAGTGTAATCCCTGCATCTCTAAAACGAGTGAATACTTGTCTTAATGTGGTAATCAATTCGTGTATTGTTCCTGCTTTAACCAAAATATCATCAAAGTAAGGGATTACATTGTCCAAGCCCGAAAGCAAACCCTCAATAAAATGTTGAAATATAGATGGAGCTGAGCTAATACCGAATTGTAGTCTTTTTGGTTTAAAAGCACCCTTGTGTGTAATTAGTGTCTGAGCTAGTGCCGACTTCTCGTCAACAACCAGTTGTTGATAAGCTTGGGCTAAATCTAACTTAGCAAAATATTTCCCTTGGTTTAAGTTTGCTAAGAGCTGAGAGATTGGTGGAATAGGGTACAGATGATCTTGGATAGCTTTGTTTAACGTTGCCTTATAATCACCGCAAATTCGTATTTTACCATTGCTTTTTACGGAAACAACAATTGGTGTGGCCCAATCCGATACCTGAACAGGTTCTAACACTCCCTGATTAACTAACTTATTCAGCTCTTCTTCTACTGGGGCCTGCAATGCATAAGGTAAAGGGCGCGCTCTTGAGTGAATTGGGTTATAATTCTGGTCAATTTTCAGTTCGATCGGAGGTCCTTTATAGCACCCTAAAGAATTTGAAAATACATCGGAAAATTCACTTTTCAGATGTTGAACATCCAGCTGAGCTTTATTAAGAACTTCAGATTCATGACAGTTGATTGAAAGTACTCCGTTTACTTCAATGTTAAGACTTTTTAGCCAATTACGCCCCAATAAACTATTTCTATTACCTTCAGTTATGACTAACGGAAGGAAACCATTGAACTTACCGTATTTCACATAAACATTAGTCTGACCTAAAACACTTACAGGTTTACCACTGTAATCCTTGAGTTTCCAAGGAGAAGGTTGTAGTTTACAGTTTTTATGAGAAATTGTATTCCATAGTTCTCCTCCTATGATAGAAACACCTGCACCAGTATCAACTTCCATTAGAACTTTGTGATTATTTATGTTGACAGTTGTATACAGTTCCGGTACTTTAGTGCAGTTAACTTCCTGGACGTATTGAGTTGTTTCGTTATTTGATTGAGGTGGAAACGTTTCTTCTTGTTCATAATTGGTTTCCTCTGACAAAACTTCATGAGCCCGCTGTCCCTTTGATCCGTGTTTTTGGCTAAAATATTCTTTGGGGCGTGGTTTCCCTCCTTTACAAACTCGTGCTAGATGCCCAATTTTCTTGCAAATATTACAAGTAGTCTGAAGATGGGGACAATCCCTTCTAAAATGTCTTAGTCCACAACCAAGACAAACATTAGGTGTAACAGAGTGAGCTGGATTGTTGTTGAATGCAACAAATTTCCTGTTTGAATGGTCAATTTTATGTGCATTAGCAAAACTTGAGCTACTGAAAGAAAGTTCCTTACTTTGAGTTTGAAATAATTCATTTGACTTAGCTGTAATAACAACATCCTGAAGTTTAATAGTAGGTTCTTTCAAAATTTTATTCCTTAACTCATCACTTCTAGATCCAATCAAAATTTGCATAATTAATTCCCTATCCAAGTCTTTGAATTCACAGTTCACAGCTAATGTTCTTAGTCGAGAATAGAAAGAGTTAAACGACTCTGATTCTGCTTGATGACACTTCCTAAAATTAAATATTTCAAAAAGGACATTTTTGGTAGGAGCGAAATAGTCAGTTAATAGTTTTATAACATTTTTGTACGTTATTTCATTAGGTTGTGGTAAACTGTCAAAAATGTAAGCCACTTCCTCACCAGCTAGATTAAGTACTAGTGCAGTTTTCCTTACATCACTGGTAATGTCTGCAGCTAAAGCATACCTCTCAAATTGCTTAATCCATGTACCCCAACGCTGTGCGACACTTGCAGGATTTGTATGGGGGTCAAAACGATTAGGCTTATTGAGATCCATTATCCAATTATCCTCGTCGCCAGTTTAGTAAATTAAAACATAATTAACACAACTGAATTTATTGAACTCACAAATCAGACTAAACTAAAAAGTAAACAAAACATAATAATGTAAACAGTCATCTGACAGATGTTATAAATAAAACATATGGACTTATTTCTTGATACATAACAGGTAGAAACTTTTAACAAGGTAATAAAATCAAATATTCATACAAAAACTTGTATTTGTTATTTTATTTATAAAATAAAACTGGCAACATTTTCACCTGAACCATCCATTGGCACTGATTCCTTTTCCTGCTTGCTCATTGGTTCTGTTAACTTGATGGCTGGAAAAAAATTATTCATTGAATTTTTTATGTATATTACTCGGCAATCAAGACTGAGGCCTTTTAAATTTTTCAATCTGTTTTATATCACTGTTGCTGTATGGACTGAGCTAAAATTAGTTTAGTACAATATATATATTTATATATATATATAGATGTTGCCTTTCACAAAAAATTACGTGTGAACCTCGATGACACATATTCTGTAATTATTGTTTGCAATGTAATTTAAGTTAGCCAATCAAAATTTAATTTGGACTATTATCATACTAAATTTTGCAGAGCTTTAAAAAAGGGCCCATTGCCATACTTATCAGAGCTAGTTTTCAGCACTTCAAAGATAACAACTAGTTTCATTGATTCTGATAAGGACAAGACATTGGTAAAGCAAAACTAAAATGGACCCGGGATAATTTTTTTGCCAAAAATTTATATAATTCACAGTAGACTGCCACTAGTTCAGTTTGGTTCAGACAGCTAACTATGCTTGACTTGCATGTGCGTACACACCTAGCTTTATTAATTTTGACACATTGTATGGATTTGAAATGTATATACTAATTTTTGTGCTTATGTTTGGACTAGGGATGGTCAAGTCTCGAAATTTCGGGAAATTTTAAATCTTGTTACACGAGACAAGATTTCTTTTTGGCTGAGATTTTTATCGAGACGAGAATTAAAAAAAAAATAAATAAATAAAAACGCATGCAGAAAGTCAATGCAATACCCGCAATACAGGAGCGTGTTGTAGTTGCGTTTCCTTTGTGAAGGCGTTCTTATTTAATTAATTCTATAAATGTAAATATTACTTTAATTATTTTAATAATATTACTTTAATAACATTTGAGAAGTTTTGTTAAGTGTAAGCAGTGTGAGGAATGTTTTATTACTATAAAAAGTCAAAACAAGTAACTATTTTATAAAAATTAATATTGCTTTTATTTTATGATTTATTTTATTTTAGGATAAGTTGAACTCTATCCTAACTGATATCACTATGTTTCCTAATCGTAGGCATTTTTAATAAGTTAGGCGTGATTAATAAAAAAAATGTTATTCTAATGTTAAAAGATTGTAAATATTCTTGCCTATTATCATTATTTTTGTATTTAAACAGTCATCTAACAATGTTACAAAATCAGGTAAAAATTTTGAACGTGCATTTCCCGTTGTGTATGAGAAGGGAAATCCCGTCTCAATCTCGTCTCGAAATTTTATGAGAAATAAAAAATCTCGTCTCGTCTCGTCTCGAACTAAAAATTCAATCTCGTCCATCCCTAGTTTGGACCTTTTTCCTTCTCGGACCAGGGTCCTGTCCTCGAGTGTCTGAACAAGACAGTCTACTGTGTATCAAGTTTTCCTAATTTTGATTAAAAAGGAGAGGTTCGCGAGACAGATTTTCGATCAGTGCTGAAGTTTAGGGGTAGGACAAGCTATTAGCACAAGACAAACTATGCCAGCACTTTTAGTCCTGTATTCAGCACTTTTCCTACAAAATTCAGCATTCCCTAACTAAAACTAAAGTACAAGGCAATGTAAAAACATCCACTTAGCTCAAATAAATAAAATAGTAAAATAGTAAATTCCACTTTAGTAGCGAATGGCCTTAAGTTTATGTGTTCCAAGATTTATAACTAGATCCCAAACGAAATAAAAAACATTGAAGACATAGAAAAGTTCTAGATTTTATACAAGGAGTATCTATTAAAGAGGCCATACTACTCATTGGTAGATTACTTTGAGGATGACTGAAAATGGCCGCTATTTTGACGACCACAGCGCAGTGACGCTTCCAGTGGTAAAGTCTTCAAGTATCAAGTAGTGATGGGCTCGACTTGGAAAAAAAACTAAGCAAACTATCTACTTAAATGACGCTTAATTTTGTTTTGGTTGATGCAATGCTCGTATTTGTTTATTATATTACCAGTTGATCAAGTTTTGTAATGCTGGCCATCATGGTGTTGAAAGGTTTGATCAAAGCTCCTACGAAGGACATAATTTTATCCCAGAAACCTCCGCCTCCTGATCCTTCAGAAGTGTCTTGGGCAGAGACAGTGCAGGCTATCTGAAATCATTTATTCATACAAATTAGGATCATAAGAGTTTTCAAACAGCGAGGTATTGTGTGAGCAAATTTTACATTTATGATTGTTAACATTGTTGATTCTAAGTCAACAAAGAAGGGTTTACATAATTTTTATTGTCATGTTAGGCACCTATGAAGGTTTATTGGAATTGAATTAGGGCAGTATACTAGCTGCTATGTAAATAAAGTGTTGTGAATCAGCATTGCAACATACAGTGAAATTGAAAAGAAAGTGGTTCCGTGTGGCCGTGTGGTTGCTTCAAATTAGGTATGTTTAATTCTTGAACTGCACCGGATCACCGTTTACTTTGCTGGATACATTCCATGTAAGCCTTTTCAAGTCAATGTCGACAGGCAAATTCAAGGGAAGACCTTTTGAAGAATCCCCATAATAAAACGTACAGTCTGTGTGACAAATAGGCATTTATTTTATTTCCAGTGTGTGGTAAAAAGCTGAAAAAAATAAATGTAATAACAATCTAGGGATTTGTTAATATAAGCCTAAAATTAAAAAAGTATATATAATAATTAATATATATATATATAAGCCTAGCTATTTTGTCATGATCGGACAACTTTTACTGAGTTTTGCAGCCTATAGACAGATACATCTATATATTTAATACGCGACATGAAACTTTGTGAACAATAAGGCTTTTTTGTTTTAAGATTTAACCCCACATATTATATACCAAAATGTTCGTCTAGGTGTGTAGATGTGCAAACTGGCTTTAGATTTTCAAAATATATCTTTTTAAGGGCGTGGGCTGCCCTCAAAGTTCCTTCCATAAGGATAGCATTGTGATTGATTTGAATGTTATTATATTCTGAAACAGATGTCAATACATTAGTTTACAAAAAAAATAATTCCCAGCTGTTTTGTTTGGTTTTGAAATGTAAACAGTTTGCATGTTTTTGAAAATAATTAGAAACCTGGCAAAGAAATGTTATCTATAGAAACGACGAGAGAAAAGTTTTACATTATATTTTCGTTTATACATGCCAAGGACCCGACGAGAAAGAAATATTGCCGGTCGGACACGGCGAGTCAACATACAGCAAGCAATACAAAACGTAAGAAGCCTAGACGAGGAGCTGGAGCAGTTAGTGGCAACGTGTACTTACAAAATTACACTGACAAATACAAGATGCTGAATTCTTGCATTCACCTGGCGAGATGGCATTAAAATGTCAGAAATGTGATGCGCTACATTTAAAAGAAGAACAAAGAGGACGAGGCGAAGGATTTTCATCCTGCTGCTATAAAGGAACAGTGAATATACCACCATACCGGGAAATATATTTTATACAAGAGCCTACCTATTGGAGCTAATCATTTGTGTAGAAACGAAACTACAAAGAGAACATTACATCGTACAACTCTGCGCTCGCAATGGTCAGCACTCAAGCTAAAATTGAAGAACATAACGATGGAGGGCATTTCATGTATAAGGTGCACGACACAATTTATCAATCAATTGGCACCTTTCAACTGTCAGAAGGGGAGCATCCCACACATGCCCAAGTTTATATCTACGGACGTCGAAACCGCTGTTCAAGAAAGAATGCTAAAGAAAGCTAATGGCTCTTTCAGCACTGAACTCATGCACATTTTGACTCAACATTTGGTTAATATTAATCCATAGGCACAAGCTTTCAGCACGATGAGCTCCGTCCTGCAAAATACTCCTAAGCAAAAAGACCTTAGAATGCATATAGCCTACGATCGAGCTCAAGACCAACGCCGATACAACGACGCAACTTCTAACGACGTTGCTATAATATCCTAATTTATTATTTGTGCGAATTCGCACGGGTTCACCTAGTAACGATGTAAACAATGAATTGGTATTTTTGGTTTCTGAGCTCCCAATTTGAAAATGTAGCCTATAGCAGTCCTAGATCTCTTAATGATGTTTGGTAGACTCTATGATTTCAATAGAAGGTGCAAATTTAGAAACTACAGTATAATTAAACTCCTGAAGTTAAAAGTAACAATATTCACTTAAAAACAAACTACTACACAAGCTTTCCCCTTGTATATTAAAAACTGGAATTAAATTATATTTTAAGTTTTTGACACTATGTATCAAAAATTCTCTGTGGTTAGTAATAAAATGTTAACTTACTAGAAATCCAACTAAGCAAGCAGTTAATTGCAGGTTAAGTCTAAGTCCCATGAAAGACTGCATGTTTGATAAGAGAGACAAATTTTTACGGCTGCACACGTAGAGTGGTTTTTGTTTGCGGTGAGTTGTCATGTTTATGACACTCATAAACATTCGAGGTTGTTTAGTAACGGGGAAAAAGTTGAGTGGCCTTTTGAAAACAACTATGAAAAGGACACCAAGTTTAACTTTTTTGTTAATGTTGCTTAGATCCAGAAGTACAAATCTTTTTTGTTAATGGTTACATAGCAAATATATTTTAATTGCAAAAATTAATAATTTTATTCAGTCATTAAACATACAGCAATGGAACAAGTTACAGCAGACCTAATTTGTTTCAGTGCAATATCTTTTAGACAAATCAAAGATGATTTTGTATTAAAATAAGATTTAGCAAGCTTACAGCTTGTTGTTATAAACTAGTCCACCCCATTGATCAAAAAATGTTTTTAAATATTTAATGTCTTCAATGAAATGGATAAAGAATCAGAAGCAAGTCAAATTGGTGACATTAATTAATCACACAAATTAATTATTTATATTAATTTTATTGTCTGGGTAGCCGAGTGGATATAGTGCTCGACTTCAAATTTGAAGGTCGCTGGTTCGAATCCTAGCGAAATCGTTTCCAGGCCCAGATGCTATTATTCTCATTGGGATATGAATTAATGATTCTATCTAACAAAAAGTTCAACATTAGATAGTAACAAGACCAGGGTTTGGCCCGTTCCCTTTCAAAACGTATAATATGTCATGGCGTATAAACACACACAAAATAAATAAATATTAACAAAAAATACCCAATTCAAAATTCAAGATAATGCAAATAAATAATCAATCATTAGCAAAGTGAGAGAGTACAGTCATAGATAAATCATACTCCCTTAGTAGATTTGTCATCCTTATGGAACAGCTGAAGCCAATTTTATTGTTTGTTCTGTACGTCCAACTGTAGAGCTATGTTTTGTTTACAATTTGTTTCTTGTTATTTCAGTCATTTAAAACCTCATTTAATCATATAAAACGATTTAATCATAAAGAATAACTGGTCCCCTAGTTATATAACCAAATAGTAAAGCACAAATCATGAAAATAACCCTAAAATAATAGAAACAAAATGTGGTCTACCCCAGCGATCAGTGTGGACGTACATGAACTAGACATGAAAAACAAGCTTCAAAATTTACAATGGGATGAGGAGTCTAAAAGTTCTCTCATAATTTACCTTGAACATGTACAAGCATGTTTTGAAGGTAGAAGGAAGATTTTTGTACAGCTTTGGACCAAAACGCCTCCATCCAAACTCATCTCACTCTACGAAAGTGAAAAGCATCCATGGTTCTGCGCTGAGGTGGGTTATGTAAGCCTTCTGCACCATGTAGAAAATCACGATGTTACACATACTGCAGCTCTGTAAGGAATACCATTTTTGTATTAAATAAGGTTTTTTGTTGCTTGCGTTCTTGAGCTAGTAGTTTGTACTCACTACGCAAGCTGCATTTTTGTCAGACAGTATAATTTAATTTTTTAAATCTGGAATGACACCAAAATGTTGACATTTTTAGACAAAAAAATAAACGTGTTTTGCAGATTTGTGTCCACTAAATGTCTTTTCAGAAAATGTCATCAGTCTTATCATTATAACTGTACGATATTTCAGGTGTGAAAAATCAGTACAGCTGTGCAATATCTCAATATAGTTGTTAAATATCAATACAGTTCTGTATATCTCAGTATAGTTGTGCAATACAGACTGTTCTAGTGACAAATATGTGGTACCTCTGCTCGGAAATCCACAAATAACACAATCACACTGCTTTTACATATTGTAAAATCAAGCATTTAATTTCCAAGGATCATGTATTACTATGTCATTCATTACTGTAATCGTTTTTAGAGACAGCAACACCACATATGCAGGCATAATTTATGCTGAATGAATACAAGGTGAGTGTACAATGGAGTCATTTAATCTGTAAAGGTTTTTTACTTACTATCAGCTGTTTACGCTCATAATATTGCAATATTACTAGGATTTTTAGTTAGTTCTAAATCTCACCTGATTTCTGTAGTTTCCAATACACTCTGCACAGAATTGCTTATTTTCATTAAATGTCATTATCAAAAGCACAATTCTTAAATCTCATTCAACCTGGACACTTTTGACCCATTCAAGTGAACCACATTTCTAAAATGTCAGACACTTGGCTTATTTTGATCCAATGTTACCAGGCAAAACTCCCAACAGTCCCAACCTCGTATATCCGTCAAGCATGTGGGTTGACACCCTCACACTCGTCAGATTTATTCTACGGTTTGATCCCGACATCCCTTAAGCAACACTTGAAATATTTTAGGTCCGGTGACACTGGCAAACGTCTTCTGCGACCACGGCAACGCCCTTGAGCATATCTTGCGTTCTCGGCAACACCGGTAATCGTCTATCGATACCACAGCAACACCTTTGAGTATGCATTGTAGTCTCTGTGACACCAGTATTACCCGTGAGCAAATCTTACGGTCCTGGCAAAAGCGGTGATCGCCTGCCGTGATTACGGCAATACCTGTGATAGGTCATTCGGTCAACCGAAGGCGCACAGCGTTATCACCCCAGACAGGAAACAAGTAGATGGTCCGACAATAGGTCGGATCTATTCTTAGCTGCATGGACGAAGTCGCCTAGTGTGGCTGTAGCCTGAAACAGCTGATTCTTCATCCTGGACAACTTGTGAAAACGTTTTTGATTAAAACCTTAAGATCAAAGACATCTGGATCCAGGAAAACCATCAAAAAGCTATTAGCTCATAAGAATTTACTGACAACATTCTTACTTTCGCAAAATTTACGCGATTCAAGGGGAAGTTTTCTTCCAATATATTTAGCTAAATGTATTTATCAGCTGTCAGCTGTTGTTTCAAATTTACGGTGAGGTGGAGGGGATTTTTCCCTCAAACCGCCTAAATTTTGTGAGCGAAGTATAGTAAGCAAGCAGATATCAAGTTTGTCAAAGACTTGTTGTAGACTATTGTTAATACACTGTAAGAATCAAACAATATCACTTTTGCATTTCTTTTCTTTTGTAAATGTAATTACCGATCCATATTGCAATAGTGAATATGTTATTCTGAACCAGAAAATTTCTCCCAAGTTTAAGTATTATTGTATTACTGTACTAGTATATTAACAATCTAAAACAAAAGTCCCAAGTTACCCTAGAATAAAAGACAGGGTACTCAATATGCTTTATTACATTGATAAATACGCACAAAGTAGAATATTTTATATACTATTTTACCATTTGATTAAATATGACATGAATGTGTATTCATTTAATTTAATATAAATAAATAAGATAGTTCACTTTCACAGTAAATAAGGTTCTACTCCAAACTGCAGTACAATGGGGGCCTCAGAGTTTGCAGGTAAATTTTGGCAAAAAGCACCAAAGAATCAGATATCTCATTGAAAGCAAAATCTTCTTTTTTTAATTTTTCTTTTTCATAAAAGCGTTGCCTGGAACAGGGTTTACATTTAACATTAATAGTTACAATATTAATTAATGTTTTTGGGGCAGAATTATGCATTTTATCATTGCTATAAGGATATTGTTCTTACTAAACCTCTACTTCAATGTCAATAGTGTTAATTATTTAATGTTAGTTAATTAGTTAATGTGTTAATAATTTAATTAGTTAATGTCAATGTTAATTATTTACAATGTTGTCATTTTGATTATACTGATTGTTATTGATGTTAAGCATTCACACTTATTGTTATTGTAGTTAATTATTTACACTGTTTCTTGTTATTGTTATTAATGTTAATTATTTACACTGTTTCTTGTTATTGATATTGATGTTAATTATTTACACTGTTTCTTGTTATTGTTATTGATGTTAATTATTTACACTGTTTCTTGTTATTGTTACTTTTTTTCACAATGTTGTAACTGTTGAAATTTTACTCAAATTGTTCACCATCACCACCAAATTTCTTACTCATTTATTAATGTTTTCTATTGTACATCTTGTTGCATGTAAATCTTGTCTATGTATTATTTTGTAAAATGGCGATTGCCGTAGAAATGAATTTAAAAAAATAGTTCCTTAATTGTTTATCAAAACTTATATAAATAAACGTAAATGGTGAATTTGTTGAATCTCCCCCTGAACAATTCATTACATTTGTGCACTGTTGTATAAACACTATCAACAAGTATTTAGGAACAGGGTGAGGTAATAAGAGCACCCAAATTTATAAATGGTACAAATTTAATCCTATTTACCCTATATATTACCCCCCCCCCCCTATATATTTTTCCTACAGTTACCTAACAATGTACATGTTCCCTCACTGATTTGAGAAAGCAAAGTGGCCAATTCGCTCATCAGTGAGACAATGATAACATTGTCTCACTCACCCCAGATTTGCAACGTGAAGGCTGGAAATAGTGAGCGCGTAACATGCAGACAAGGTCGTATGCGCGCGAAATACATTGGTAGCACTGGCTGTAAATCAGCTGGTCAGCTGTTGTACTGTTGTATCATTAAAAATAATATTAAAAGTTCATTTCTGTATAAAAATATGTCACGTTTCTTTACCAATTTATTTGTTTTATGGTAACTGTAGGAAAAGTATAATGTGCAACTCGAGTGCAAAGTGCAATTGCCTCACTCGAGAAACCATTCCTCACTCGTCTACGGCTCGTGAGTAAGTATTTCTCTCGAGTGAGTAAATTGCTCCCTTTGCTCACTAGTTGCACAAATAACTATAACCTATATTATCACATCAAAACACAGGTTATCTTATGCCATTTTAACTTGATGTTATTATTTTTCAATTTTTTTGTTTGAACAGCATCTTTCAAGTGACGTCCTTGCCCTACTTGACATTCCTTTAGTTGCTTGAAAATTCCAACGAATGCTTAATCTTGCATTTCTTCAAGAAATCGCTTAAATTTTCTGGGAAATTCTTAGCTTTGGTTTAAACAAATCTTTGGGGTGACTTTTGAAAAATCTTGAACTGTAAGTAGCTTAGGGAGAACCCCCAAATAAAGAAAATAGCCAATGGAAAGTTTCCAAGAACGAAAGCCTTCTGCCAAACCTCTATGGACTTTGAGTAACTGCGAGCGACCCCCACTATTTTAAAAACTTTTCTGGTGAACGAAGAGTATTCCCATTTACACCGATTATTTTTCAGGGTGTAAGCTCTTATTTTAAATAATTTTACCCAGTTTGCATAGTTTTTACAGTGCCATGTCGACCATCAATGAAATGTGGTCCATTTACGAATTTTTGCAATAGAATCACTAGTCTTGAAGTAGGTTTCCACGGAAAAATTTAATATTTGATAAGGTTACTTTCATTACTAATTAGACTTTTTTTATAATACTATATCCATTGGAACACATAATTTCTGTACAAACAGTCTAATAAAAGGCTAGCAAGTTTTATGAATCAGTTAAAAAAAAAATAAGAAATATACAATGAGTGTTGGCGGCCCTTGTATTAAAACCTTTCCTGAAAATCCAATAAAGTGCTTAACAGAAAATATGGTGACCAAAATATGTTGCTGATTTGATACACTGCAAGGTGTGTACTGAAGTATTTAAACAATTACACTACAAGGCCAGGAAGTATGTGTTATTTAGGGTACAAGTGCAAGTGGGCCTCAGATTTCACGTGAGTACCGTGAATATCTTCCTAGGTAAGTTGTCTAAAATATATTTTGCCACACTACCAGCAACAAAAATACAGAGCAAATAAAAAACAACCAAAACATACAATCACAACTCTGTTTACACTTCTTTAGCACACAATTTTAACATTTTTTAAATTAAAAACTAAAAAGGTAATTTTTTTTAAACCTCTCTTTTATATTGTGATTTGTAAAAGTGCACTGGGCCTGTCCAAACCTAATACTTACAATTTCGCTTTGTTGAAAGCCTACTCATATTGAGCCGTCATGAAAAAGTGCTCTTTTAGAGCGTTCGGTAAATTTACTCGCACACAGGTCCTCTAATTCAGTTTTATTCTTAACGGGGAAAAACTGGTGACATCCATAGAAATGGGAAGTGTACCTTAGTATTCAACGTCAACAACTTAAAACAAAACAAAAATGTTTTTATTATAAATATTTTACCTACCCCACCAAATCACAAAGTAGAGTCGCCAAATGCTGACGTCTCAAGCTCATATGAACCCACAGGCGGTTAATACCCACTCTCACTGGTACAGGGTTCTCCTCCAAATCCATGTAGCTTCTATTTTGACGGAGAATACGATGAGCCTGAAGGAGCTTCTCTGCGACCACGATTCCCACAACCCGTTTGTGAGAAACTGCCATATACATCTGCAAGGGAGATTAAACGTGGGTTTCTTTTTGTATAAATTACCTTAGCAAAGAAGGGCCATCAAAAAATTAATAAAGGTGTAAAACTAACAGTTTTTGTTTTTAGCATTGATCAACATCGCCATCTTGCAAAGTCATGGAAATGAAGTTGTGCTTGCAAAATCATGATGAATTTCAACTCATCATTTTTTCATCAACTATGAATTCTCCAAGACATTGACTCACACTAAGGTGCATATTTTAAGCTAAATATGAACAAAGGTGGCTGTAGAATGAAGTGAGATGAACTGTGTAGCTTACTAAGATTAGCTGTTTCATTAGTCAGGATCATCAAAAGCCCAATGGTGAAGGATATAGCTGGGCACAGATTTGAACCATCAAAAACGGGTCGCCGGAATTTTATCCCCCTGGAATTTTACCCCCTGGGCAAAGCTGACGTCACTATGACGTAGTAACCTGAGTGGCCAAAAGTTTGTTCGCGGCCGGAATTTTACCCCCGCGGATTTGGAAGTCTAATGAATAGTCAGAGCGTGATTAATTAGATTAGCGATAAAAACCGGAATGAGGTGTATAGTCAATGGTTAAAGTTACAAATAAATTAAGATAGGCTACTTAATAATAAAATGTTAACTAACTGAATGAAGATAACTAATAATCATTCTCACTAATTAATTTATGTATCTGGCCAGGGGGTAAAATTCCGGGGGTAAAAATCCGGGGGTAAAAATCCAGGGGGTAAAATTCCGGGGGTAAAATTCCGGGGGTAAAAATCCGGGCCGTACATTCTAGTTTTTTATAATTTGATGTGTTCTGATTAAATTCACAACCGTGAAAATATATGTTTAATTCCGCGTTTAATCCATCGAGCTGATGTCGCGAAACTCAAAAGTTCGCGGCCGGAATTTTACCCCCTGGTTTGTGATGTCACGTTTGCCCAGGGGGTAAAATTCCAGGGGGATAAAAATCCGCTACCCCTCAAAAACTACTGATGAATTGATTAACGAACCGGCAACCTTCTGAAATCCAGGCAAGCACTGTAATTACTCAGCTAGCACATAAAAAAACAACACTATAAATACAACTGATACACAAAATTAACAGATATTTACAAATCAGGTTTTATCCTCAAAAATAGGAGAGCATTGTACTAATATTATATATTTTTTACAAAACTGTAAATCATAATAAACTTGTATTTAGTTTTTTTTTTTACAATAAGAGCTTACCTTGCGATCACTCTTCTGAACATAATGAAATATATTAAAACAAGTTCTGTCCCCAAAGCCTATCTCTACATCAATGTACTTGAGCACTTGTTCGGCCTTCAGTTTGAGAGGATTGGTGCTTGTCATTGGAATGTTATACACAACGATTGTGTTTGTGTTGTTTGCTGCCAAAATCAGTTGTTCATCCAGCAGTAAGTCCTAAAACATTAAATTAAACCTAAAATAGGTAAATAAGTTTAGATGGTGGAGGTGACAAACACGCCTGGCTTTAGAAGAGTGATTGTTTCCTAAGTCTTAAAATTAAACCCCTCTTGCTGTGTAAAGGTTCATCAAAAATCAGTTATTACATCATTATTTTGTACAGGACATAACATCTGCTTCACTAATGTGATAAAGCTCAACTGAAACGGATGAGTAATAAGTTTTCATATCTGAATTCCTCAGTACCAAAATGTTGTCCAAAACTTTTCAGGCTGTATAGCAATTATATACAGGGTGTCCCATGAGGAGGCTGCTGTAAGTATATTGTTAGAAAATAAATAAAAATATGTCTAACAACACTTGAAACATATACAGGGTGATAAAAAAGTCCCAGGACAGTTAAATATTAAAAAAAAAATTAAAATTATTTAAAATAGAGCTACAATACTTGGTACAAAGTTGCAGGGCATAAAACTCTATTTTAACACATATTCAGTGATCCAATAACTCTTCAGGGGGACGGCCCACAATGAGTCGGGAAAAAATCTTAAATAGAAGCATAGGTCAATATGCACATCAAATTAAAGGTCTTTTTTAGTAGAATACAATGCCGCAAACCGCACTTCAAATGGTTGATCCTGCGCAAAATGACAGTTGCTCAAAGATTCATTTAATTTACATTGCTATTATACGCTTACTCCTCAGGGGGCACAGCCCTAGGAATCGGAAGAAAATTATTAACGTAAGCATAGGTCGATATGCACATCAAATTAAAGGTCTTCACTAGTAGATTACGATGCCGTAAATTCAAGCTCAAAAGAATGCCTGAGTAAAAAATGGCAGTCGTTCAAAGATTCAAAATGGCGGATTCAAGAAATCTTTGAACATCTGCCATTTTGCGCAGGATCAACCTTTTGAAGTGCGGTTTGCGGCATTGTATTCTACTAAAAAAGACCTTTAATTTGATGTGCATATTGACCTATGCTTCCATCTAAGATTTTCTTCCGACTCCTTGTGGGCCGTCCCCCTGAAGAGTTATTGGATCACTGAATATGTGTTAAAATAGAGTTTTATGACCTGTAACTTTGTACCAAGTATTGTAGCTCTATCTACATTATTTTTTTTAAATATTTAACTGTCCTGGGACTTTTTTACCACCCTGTATTTACACTTATACTGTTAACTCACAAGACTCTAAATAGATATAAAATATGTGAACATCAATTGGATATTCCAATCCAACAGGCAAATAAGAATATTTCGCCATCACAGCATTTTCTACTAAGGAAGGTTTGAGTAGTCTTCAGGCCCAATGAGGAATGGAAAGATTACCTGGCTACCATTGTGCCTGAGTACCTCTCCAATTCAGTCTTCTTCCACAAGTTCTACATATAATATCTATATAAAACTATTCCTATACTCTGTTCACATAATTTAGGCGGTTTTTTGAGGGGAAGCGATTCCATCCCCTCCCCCTCACCTTAACTTTGAAACAACAGTCACAGCTGATCAGCTGATATACATTAAGCTAAAAAAAAGTGGTGGGGGAACTACGACCCAGGAAATCTTCCCCCAAAACCACCTAAATTTAGTGAACGTACCATAGCTCTGTTATGGTGTACACAGCTATGATGATTCACATTGTAACTGTCAAACCCCCTAATTCATTTCACAAATTTCTATAGAAACAGTGGTTTAGTGGTTCCCACTCTGATTTTTCAAAAGAATCTATGAAAGCGACCCCTTTTTCCCCACGACAAAAGTGAGTGTGTCCTTGGACTGGAAAATTACAACTACACCACTGTATTGGAAATTAATACCTACATCCTACATACTGATCTTTTTTTTTAAACCTTTACCTTATTCCTCCATAAACTCCGTAACTAATTGCACTTACCTCGCAACACAACAGAAAGCTGTAGTTGTGTACTTTCTGTATATGTGCGTCAGACCAGCAAAGTGGGTGCTTCGACACTCCGCATGCACACGGTGGAGGTTCTCGTGGATATCCAATACTTCTAGCATCCTCCTCCAACTCTCTATCCAACATTTCTTCCTCCCTCAACACTCGACTCAGGGTTGCCACTCCAAGAGTGCCTGGATCAATGTCTGTAGAATACAACAATCATGAAAATTCTTTGTTGGCCACTCATTTGACTGTCAGAATTACAATTCATATTTATTCATATTTGCTGTGTTGGCTGTCTTTTGGTCTAAGAAGAAGAATGTAAGACCTTAGAAAAATTAGCTTTTTCTTAGTCCAAAATTGGACCTTTACTCGATCACTCAGCACAATAAGTTCTAAACACTTGTGAAAAATCAGCCAGTTTGGATAAACTGAGTTTTTGGTTATTCGGGGCACTTACTTGTTTGGAAAATCAAACTTCAATGGTAAATTAAAATAACCTAGATGATTTTTAAAGATGTTGAAAATATAGATTTTTTATCCTCACAACATAAACCAACAATCTATAATATATTTAACTGTGCACAGGGATTAAGTGAAAAATACAATAATATATTACCTATAGCACGTTTACGAAGACGTTTAGGTTTCTCCAAAACAGTTTGAAAGAGGCCTCTAGCAGAGCGGCCATCTACAACAAAAAAAGAGGGGGTGACAACATTTCTTTTAGAAAATATGTTAAACTTTAACTGCATATGATTTTTCATTAAGCTTACTGATAATATTAGACTTGACACCAACAACGGTTTGGAAACAAAGATAGACGCCAATTTCAATTGGTATAACAATGGCTGCTGCAAAATCCTTCAAAATCTTTTAACGAAATCCTAACATACCACAGCAATTATTGTGTACTAATAATTTGAGTATAGCCCCGTTCACACGGGGCGAGTTTACAAGTTACAAGCCGGATTTTTTTCACACAGCTAGTAAAATAGCTCAGTGTGAACGACGTACTTGCTCAAAAGCTGCTTGTAAAAAAGCTCTGGAAAAAGTTGACGCTGCCGCTACTTTACAAGCCAACTCGCTAGCTTTTGAGCAAATAGGCATGTAAAGTAGCCCAGTGTGAACACAGTTGCTTGGGCTTGTGCGCATGTTATCCGAAGATGTCGGAGGATTTAGTTCAAGCAAGCTACTGAGCGAGTGGAAAAAGCATCGTGTGAACTACTACAAGTGCACTCGCCACTCGCCGGCGTCTTTCTACACGTCGGCGAGTTGGCAAGTGGACAAGCTCCGTGTGACCGAGTACACGCACACTTGCCAACTTGCCGGCTTCTTACACGCCGGCGAGTAGCGTGTAAACTCGCCCCGTGTGAACGAGGCTTATGTTTATTTTTTGTCCTTTTATCTATTCATAGTCATTTTCACATTATTTTATAGCATTGTTAGTCAATTTAATTGTTTTAAGCATTATTACAATTGCAATGTTTAATTTCCAGGGTAGCTGAGTGGTTAATACTCACTTTAAAAAATGAAGGTCGCTATTTGATTTCAAGCAAGATTGTTTCCAGATCCAGATGACATTTGTAATTGGACTATCGATTAATGATGATATCTAATAAAATGTTAATGTTAGATAGTAACAAGGATTCGACTGTTTCCATGGGCTACACAAAAACATAATAAATGCCACAGCCGTAAATATACACAAAATACAATCCAAAACAATATCTTTCAATCTGTTGACCAATGACAATCAAAAAATTACACTCAAAAAGTGACATTCAACTTAAACAAAATTTAAGGTGTAGCGCCGTAGCGGGCAAATCTGTATCTGTATATCTGTAATCTGTGTTATTTATTACTTTTCCAGGATTCTTATCACATTAGATGTTATATTTAGATTATTTAACAATTTCTCTAATTTAGATTATGCTGTTACAGAGCTGCTAACTAACACTGTGAAATCAAAAATTGTCTGCAACATCCGAAACTGAAAGATGTACCTGAAGATGTTGAAGTAGATCTATGCTCTATTCTTCGATCATGTCTTCTCTTTCTGTGGTGAGATCTATCTGATGACGATGATTTTCTAGAATCTTTATTATCTGGTTGTACATGGAACCCAAGTGTCTGGTCAACTGCTGATTTGTGAACTAAGCAGTGTAAACAAAAGAAAAATGTTCATGAAACCAAATGTTTACTATGTTAATTGTTAACGAGTAAACTAAAAAAATGATACTTTCCTAGGTGCAAATAGTAGTATTCACAATTTCATGAAACTATATCACAGTCAGGAGCTATATTTTTTAAGCTCTATATGATGACTGCAATGAAAATATAAAAATTTGAACATAAACTCTTTAGTATTTTTATTCCCCGGGGCAATCGAAACAAAAATATTGGTCCCAGGTCTACTGTCGGGGAAAAAAGTTTAGACACTCGAGTTTGGAGCTCTACAGAAAAGTAACCAACTAACTTAGAAAAACACGTAGTATATATAAATTTTCGTTGTTTTATTCTACCTATTCACATAAAAGTATACACAAGGGAACATGGACCTCACCAAACGGAAATACAGTCAATCAGATTGATCATGTATTAGTGGATAAAAGGAATAAAAGATGGATCTTGGATGTGCGCAGCCTCAGGGGAGCTGAATGTGGATCTGACCATTACTTGGTACTGGTGACAGTAAGACAGAGGCTAACAGTTGAAAGAACCCATGTAGAAATCTAATTCTGGCCCAGGTTCTGGCCAGTACTGGTACAGTACTGGCCAGTACTGCTACAGTACTGGCCAGTAATACCCAGGTTCTGTCCAGTACTGCCCAGGTTCTGGCCAGTACTGCCCAGGTTCTGGCCAGTACTGCCCAGGTTCTGGCCCAGTACTTCCCAGGTTCTGGCCAGTACTGCCCAGGTTCTGACCAGTACTTCCCAGGTTCTGGCCAGTAATGTCCAGGTTCTGGCCAGTAATGTCCAGGTCCTGGCCAGTACTGGTTAGAACCTGGACCAGAACCGGCCAGTACTGGCCAGAACTCACCAGTACTGGCCAGAACTCACCCGTATTGGCCAGAACTTGCCAGTACTGGCCAGAACTTACCAGTAACTGGCTAGTACTTGTAGATTCTAGACCAATAATCAATCTTGACAGAGTACAGTATGTAAATAAAGGAACCGAGGTTAAGGTAATAAAATACAGATATTTGAAGTAAAAACTAGTCAATTAGTTAAACCTATATTTATTGAAAAATTAAGTTTAAAGCAAGACAAAATTTATAGGCCTACATGTTTAGATAATTTTCAAGGGTAAAAACTGTTACCATCAATAATATTGACTCAACTTGAACTCGCTCCCCCCCCCCCACCATGGTTTTAAACCTCTCTGGATTTGGATCCAGTCCAGTTAGTCCAATTGAAGGTTTGGGTTTGGCAATGGCTTTGACCTTTGACCAATGAATACGAATACACAATTTAACGTTTTTTTAAGCTCAACGCATCGCCAACAAAAATCTAACACAAGAGGACAATAATTAAGACGAGGACAAGACAGAAGTGAGAAGAGCAAAGACGAAGATAACTATTTTTTTTTGTACGAGTTCCATTCCATTCCAAAATCAAATCCGATCCAATCCAACGTGACGCACGCCGGAGCGGAGCGGAGTTGTTACTAACTAACCTCAAATCTCAACCTGTCAGTTGGTCAGTTCAGTTTTGGTCTCGACATCTTTATTAACAGTTAATTTCTAACTAAGGTGTTCTTGTCTTAGTTATATCTTAATATTAATCGTAGAACAACGTTCTACCTAATTTGCTGTGAAAAATATCTATTCGTGTGGAATCAGAATGGATTATCGACAAAGAATCAGGTCGAACTTGGCAAACCATCAGGTTTATAGACAACTGAGTTCACAGGCCTCATTTTAGCAAAAAGTTGTAAGTAATGCACCACAGGTTAGCATAAGTGTCATATTATTAAGTTGTCATATTAAACTCATAATATGCCTTAATGTTGAGGTGGCTGTTAGGTTTAGTTTTTATGTGTCCAGTACCTAGTATAGGCCTAGGTAAACTTTAACTTAGGCCTACCTTATTCAGTGCAACAAAATAAACTAGCCTAGGCCTAGTTCCAATTTTAACGATTTTCTACTCATTGAAGTGTTAAATTTGGAGTTGTGAAGTATTTAGTCAGTATGTTACTTCATTATTTGATCTCACAAATTGTGTACGGTACGGTAAGTTTAGGCCTTGATAGCCTAGGCCTATGACTAGGCCTACAAGTAAAGCAAACCTTGATTGGATTTGTAAATTAATGATGAGATTCGATTGCAATTAAGTCAATTTTTAGTACCGGTAGCCTAACTTTTGTTCAGCGTAGGTTCCGTTTGGGGTTACATTTGGGTACAGTTTCCGATTGAAACTATCAAATGGAAAATATTGATTAATAATCGATTTTGAAATATATCTAGGCCTATTTTATAATTAAACTATCATGACCTAACCTAACCAACCAAACTTGCTGATGGTGAAAAAATCGCATGAAGGCTTACTAATCGAATCGATAGTTTCAATCAATATTAGCATAGCCCAGTTAAGAAACTGTACCCGCCTACTTAACTTATGCCTAGATCAAAAGTAACTTAGGCTTAAACATCAAAATGCAAAACTACCTAATGAATAAGTTAGAGCCTACACAAAAACATTGTTTTTCATTTGAATGGGCGGCTATTTTTATTCACAGATTGTTTCGTTAAGTAAGTTATCTTAGGCCGGACTAACTTAACTTAACTTGATGTTTGGTTATGTTTGCTGTTGTATTTTATAATATGAAGCCTACTAAGTTAGCCCTGATTATGTAAATAATATGATAAATAGGTCTTAGCTTAAGTGCTAAGGTAGGCCTAAGGCAGAGAACCCATGATGGGTTACATTAACGGATTAAATATTAAAATAGTCTACTTCGATATAACTTAGGCCTAACTATCGATTAACATGTTTCAATCGATATAAATATTGAATTTCAATATTGATTTTCGTTTACAGTAAGTTATGGCGTTTAGGTTAGGTTACCTACCTAGTTTAGTTTATGAAACTTATTAAAAAACTATATGAATAGGCCTACAAATTGATGTCTTTGTGATTGTAATCTGTTAAACAAACCAAAGTAATATCAACTCTAATACCTACCAACAATTTTACTTTGATTGCTACTATCATAAACTAAACTAAAACAACCTAACCGCCGCAGAATGTGTGGAAAAAGTCTTCTTGAAACAACAATATTGATACAATTGTTACAATGGATATTTACATGAAAGCAAACTCATCCGATACAATATAACTACAGAATATAGTAGGTTCTCTACGGAACTGCACCCTTGGAAGTGCCAACATGAAAAAAGTACGGTAACAAGAAAGATAGGCTATAACATTTTTTTTTTAGTCTTTTTATTTTAAGTCCCTATAACTGAGTATTTAAGTAGGCCTACCTATTTAACTTTATTTATGGCCTTTGAAATGATTTTTCATTATACTTATATAAGTTACGTAGCCTATTACAGTAAAATTTTAAGATGGCCGCTTAAGTTAACCTGAATTGGGATAAAACTAGATTACCTATTAGGTCCTATATTGATTCTAAATGGTGTAGGCCTATTGCCAGGTTATTTTACAAAATCAAGTTTTAATTTGATTATTGAGATATGTACAATCTCATTTCTATTCAATATAAATCTAGCCTAGCCCGCATTAGGAACTGCGCAGCTTATGCGGCTATACATTAAAAATAATGGAGTTGTTCAAGTCTGCACATGTACATTGAAAGCGAATTAGCCCAAACTTAAAGACAACCCAACATAAAGGCCAAGCTGAGCTCTGGAGATACAAATATACTTACATCAGCTCACCATTTTTTATAGTTGTAACTTGTCTGTTTCAGGTAAAAAAAACTTTATGACAACTACTGTACTACATTTATATTCTAAAGACCATTGTGTTAATACTATAAATCTGACATTATTAATTTGATTAATAATTATAACCCCGACAAATTAGATTCATTGGATATTTTGATTGTTTAATTTTTTACATTTTCAATATAAAATTAAATTTAGTATTGTAGGGTATTATCAATAGTATTCTTTTTGGTGATTTTACTTTTTCATACAACTTTTATTGTAATTTTGCAAAAAAATAATTTATTACCTAACCTTGATTTTTGTTAACATAATTTGTATTTTAGCATATGTAATTTTCAAATACAAATTGTTTATTGCTAAAGGTGTCTTATTAATTCATCTTCCATATTGGTTCAATTCTCACTACTGTATGATCCAGATACTGGTCCAGTATTGGCCAGGTTCTGGCCCAGTACTGCCCAGGTTCTGGTCCAGTAATGCCCAGGTTCTGGTCCAGTCCTTCCCAGGTTCTGGCCCAGTACTACCCAGGTTCTGGCCCAGTACTGCCCAGGTTCTGGCCCAGTACTGCCCAGGTTCTGGCCCAGTACTGCCCAGGTTCTGGCCCAGTAATGCCCAGGTTCTGGCCAGTACTGCCCAGGTTCTGGCCCAGTACTTCCCAGGTTCTGGCCCAGTACTTCCCAGGTTCTGGCCAGTACTGGCCAGTTCTTGCCAATTTTGGAAGTGCCCAGAACCTGGGCCAGAAAATTTTTTTACTGGCCCAGAAAATTTTTTTCCACATGGGAAGAGAGAAGACAAAAGCTGGAAGAAGACTAGACATTGAAAAAATTAAGAATGATCAGGTGCGCAATAGTTTTGAAGTAGCACTACACAATAGGTTTCAAATCCTAAGCGAGCAAGAAGCGGAAGATGAAGAACTGGATGTTAATGAGGAATGGCGTAGAATTAAACATGGGATTATGGAAACAGCAGAGGAAGTCATAGGATTCAAGAAAAATGACCGTAATGGGAAACCATGGTTTAATAGAATGTGTGAAGAACAAATAGAGAGGAGAAGGATAGCAAAGCGGTGCCTCCTAAATAATGCAGTAGAGGAAAATAGAAACCAATATAGAGAAATGAATAAAGCAGTCACGAGAAGACTTAGACCAGAAAAGCGCAAATATATTAATAGACAACTAGACAAAACAGAAAATGACAGATACGGAAATAATGCAAAGGATTTCTATGCAACAATTAGGCACTTTCAGAAGGGATACATACCCAAAGCAACAAGTGTTAAAGATCAAAACGGAAACAAAACAACAGAGAAGGCCAAAGTTCTAAATATTTGGAAAGACTACTTTGAAAACCTGTTAAAAGAAGAAGATAAAGATGAAAATGAGGAAATAGAATATTTTCAAAATGTACAACCTTTTATACCAGAACCATCTCTACAGGAGGTTAAGGAGGCAATACAACTTTTAAAAAATGGGAAAGCTCCTGGGGAAGACGAAATATCAGCAGAAGTTTTAAAACACAGTGGCGAAATAGTACATAAGGCAATTTACAGACTTATTGAAAGAATATGGAGAAAAGAAAAAATACCAGAGGAATGGAGCGAGGCTGTTATTGTACCACTTCACAAAAAAGGAGACAAAGAAGTTTGTAGTAATTATAGGGGAATATCCCTACTTAACACCACATACAAGATACTGTCCAAAATAATTCTGAGGAGAATCAAAATATATGCTGAAGAATGTATAGAAGACCATCAGGCAGGCTTTATAAGTGGACGCTCAACAGCAAACCAAATACATGTGTTGCAGCAGATAATATCAAAGTATTGGGAGTATGATAAAGAGTGCCACATCCTGTTTATTGACTTTATTAAAGCATACGATACCATAAAGAGACCCAAACTCTGGGAAGCAATGCAAAAGTTTGGGATACCGGACAAGCTGATACGTTTGACAAAGATGTGTGTGGATGGATCCAAAAATAAAGTAAAGGTAGAAAGTGAATACTCTGACACTTTTCAGACTAACACAGGAGTTAGGCAAGGAGATGGATTGTCTCCAATCTTGTTTAACATAGCAATTGAAGAAGCACTACAAAACACAAAGAAAGTGGAAGCTGGAGCATACCTTGGGTCAAAAATAAACGTACTGGCCTTTGCCGACGACGTAGCATTAGTAGCAGAAACTGAAGAGGATCTTAAGAAACTGGCCCAAACTATTACAACAGAATCAAAAAAGATAGGACTTAAAGTAAGTGCAGAGAAATCCAAATATCTCAAAGTGGGAAGAATTCAAAATGAGGATATGGGACCATTAAAAGTCGACAACCTGACGTTTGAGAGAGTGTCCGAATTTAAGTACTTAGGAATAACAGTCAACTCCAGTAACAAAACAGAAAATGAAATAGAAAAGAGACTTATCACGGCAACTAACTGCTTTCGAAGCATGTCAAAAATCTTAGGATCCAGATTACTGTCAAAAGCCACAAAAATTAGAATTTATAAAACTATTATCCAACCAGTTCTCTTATATGGATCTGAGGCCTGGACCCTAACCAAACAAAACGAAAGGAGATTGATCGTCTTTGAGAATAAGATATTAAGAAAGATTTTTGGCCCTATAAAAGAAAATGAAATATGGCGGATCAGGAAAAACAGAGAACTACGAGAACTCTACGAAGACCCAGATATTGTAGCTATTGTTAAGAGCCGAAGATTGAGGTGGGCAGGGCACATAGCGAGAAGAGAAGAAAACAGTCTCCTGAAGATAGCTACAAATGGACGACCACGAGGGACCCGACCACTAGGAAGACCCAAACTACGATGGGGAGACCAGGTGCGGAAAGACCTTCATCGCATGGGGACATCAATTGACCGAGCAGCAGACAGAAAACACTGGAGGCAACTTGTTGGCGAGGCCAAAAACCAACTTAGGTTTGAATGGCCAAGGAGGTAAGGTAAGTAATTCTACGTATTCCTGTGAAAACAAAAATTTTTTAGCTCTTTTAGGAAATTTTTTATGACAGTCGGAAGGTAAAACTGCCTGTTTTTAGAGTACCAAAAACCATCTTATGACTTTGAAAATTCGCACACTGTAAACTAAACGACAGAACTTTATCAAACTTTAATACAATATGGACACATATATAATGAATTAATTTGTGTAGTTTCATAATTTTTACTCTACCCAAAATGTTTTTGTTGTAACTTTTGTAAATCAACTTTTTCTCAAAATCGGCAAACGCTAGAAAAAAAATTAAAAGCTTGTTTTGGAGGTGATTGGTTTTGTATTTGAAATATCGATACTGCTCAACCAAACTGTTACACATGTTATTTATATAAATTAACAAAAAACTGGATGATCTCGCGTCTGCACCCCCTGCATTTTTTTTGGGTGCAGACGCCATCGCCCGCTCAGGAATCCAGTGCAGTGTTGCCACGATGGACCTTGACCGAGCGTAAGGTGATTCACGCAGTGTGTGTCACTGACTGACTCACATGAAATATCATGTTTTACATTCTTCCAAAGGGTCAAAAGTACAGGTCGAAAGTTGTATTGAAAGTTGTATTGATTGTATATTGAAAGTTGTATTACCACCCCAAATATAAGTGCTAAATCTAAATTGTCAGATTCGGAATATGCAATGATTGTCAGTGCTATAGGTTTTTTTTTTAGAAGTGTGGGAGTGACGATGGAGGTCCAAAGCCCTCATTAGCAAAGGTGATGAAAAATGGTTAATAATTAATAATAACTGCTGTTCAGTTTTGACTCAACAGTTCGCAGCCCATTGCTGCTCAGTGTCCAGGTGTTCAATTTGGCAACACTGTACGGAGTATGCGCCCAGTCAGAGCCGGTGGCGGTCTGGAAGTGCCGTATTCGGCCTTTGCACTATCCAAATTAAATGTTAACTTTTATAAATAATATGCGTAACAATTTGGTTGAGCAGTATCAATATTTCTAAAACAAAACCAATCACCTCCAAAACAAGCTTTTAAATGTTTTTCTAGCGTTTGCCGTTTTTGAGAAAAATTTAATTTACAAAAGTTACAACAAAAACTTTTTGGGTAGAGTAAAAATTCTGAAACTACACAAATTAATGCATTATATATGTGTCCATATTGTATTAAAGTTTGATAAAGTTCTGCCGTTTAGTTTACATTGTGCTAATTTTCAAAGTCATAAGATGGTTTTTGGTACTCTAAAAACAGGCAGTTTTTACCTTCCGACTGTCATAAAAAATTTCCTAAAAGAGCTGAAACATTTTTGTTTTCACAGGAATACGTAGAATAAAACAACAAAAATTTATATATACTACGTGTTTTTCTAAGTTAGTTGGTAACTTTTCTGTAGAGCTCCAAACTCGAGTGTCTAAACTTTTTTCCCCGACAGTAGTTGTCACTGTACCCTCTATAGTAAGGCCTAATAGCTTAATCTCTACAATAAGGGGGAAATTTCACAAGTAACAGTAATTAAAATGTTAAAAGTAGTAACAAACAGCAAAACTTACCAGTGCAAAAATTCCTGATGGAAACATTTAAATAATGGAAAAACTCAGTATATTTGGAGGATTATTTTTAAGCTATGCATAATATATTAGTTGAAAATACAGTACCCTTTTTATGTGATACGCTGGAAGATTGCCTCAGTTCAAAGGAGGGTTCCGACATGAGCATAGACGGAGGAGGTTCTAGAAGTGTTCTCATCATCGAGTCGGAGCTGCTGCTTTTGTCTGGAACAATTTTTTACAGACTGTTATTTTAACCTAAGCAGGTGTTCAACTGTTGTAAAATAATTGTTTACCTATTTGCGTGAGTTATTATGTGGAACATAGGGTCTCAAAGAAATCCCACCAACCGTCTCGGTCCTCAGCAAGTGCCTTGGCCTGCCTCCATGTCATCTTCTTCTTGCCAGGTCCCTTTCTATGGTTCTCTTCCACGTTGTTTGGTCTGCCCCACTTTCAGTTTCCCTGCGATTTCCAGTCTACTGCCTGTCTTACTATACAGCTCTGTGACCTTCTCAATGTATGGCCAATCCATCTCCACCTTCCTCTGGTGATAATATTTTTGATTGTTTCGTGCTAAGTTATCCTCCAGACGAGGCCACCAGATTCTCAAAATGTACCTCAGGCATCTATTGGAATATATTTGTAGGCTTTGCACTGCTGTGTTGTGTAGTTGTAGGGCTTCGTTGTTGCATGCATTTTTCTGCATTTTGTTAGTCTTCCTTTTGTTGGTTTTTAGCCCAACATCTGAAGCTTCTACACATAGATCATTTAGCTTTATTTCAATGTCACGGAAGCTTTCTGCGAGGAGACATAAGTCGTTGCAAAATCCAGTTCTTCTAGGCGGCCATGCAGCCGCTTATTCCTCGGTTTCTATTAGGTGCCTTCCGAAGCATACAATCAAGCGTCATAATAAACAGAATTGGCGACAAGAGGCACTCCTGCTTTACTCCAGACTCCACTGTGATTCGTTCTGAGAGGCTCACAGCATGTTCCACCTGATAAGTGTATTCATTATACATCTAATACTGTAATAGTTCTGTCATGATGATTATTTAGGCAAGCAGTTCACAACTCAAGGTTATTCAATAATTTGAAAAATACAATAATTTAGTAACTGTAACATTTGGAGGATAATTTCTAAGCTATTCATTGTATATTTGTTGGAAATACCCAAGTGTGATGAGCCAGGAGATTTCCCCGGTTCAAGGGAGGCTTCTGACACGAGCATAGACGGAGGAGGTTCTAGAAGTATTCTCATCATGGAATCTGGACTGCTGCTTTTGTCTGGAACATTTTTTTACAAAAACTGTTAACCTAATTATTCATCTGTTGTAAAATCTATATTGGAAATTAATTGTTTAACAAATCGTAAATTCTATGTAACCCAAACAGTTCTTCTATCACAATGATTTATGATTATCATTAGCATTTTACAATTCAATGTTATCCAATAAATTGAATAAAATGCAATAGATTTTTGAAGCTGTATTTAGCTGCTGGTTTTCCTTACAAATGAAAAAAGTAATGCGGATTCATGAGACCTCCCACTTAGGTCAGGTCTAAAGTGAATCTGGTGGCGGCAAACATTGCTGACTGAACAAAATTGAAATGTTTTGAGTTCAAACAAGTTAAGCCTACGATAGAAAATACAGTAAGAAAACACTTTAGACCCACATCGCCGCGTATATTCAACTACAATGTTTGCAGACGACACAACCTTTCTTAGTTTAAGCAATGATACAAATGTCTTGTCTAATATTGCCAAAAATACTATTTTAGAAGCCAAGCAATGGTTTAGTGCTAATGGTTTGATTATTAATGAGAATAAAACTCAACACTTACTCTGTCAGACTAGAAATAGAGTCGAGGATTACAATGAACCAAATGACATAAAAATTTTAGGTTTAGTGATTGACAACTGTTTGACCTGGTCTCAACACATTGATTTCATTAGTGGTAAGTTGTCTAGGTGTATTTATCTTCTTAAATGTCTTAGCTCTAGTCTGCCTCAGAATTATTTGAAGTCTGTGTATTATGCTTTTTTCACTCAATTTTAAGTTATGGTGTTTTGTTATGGGGAAATAGTACCCATGTAAATAATGTATTGTTAATTCAAAAGAAGGCTGTGAGAATCATAACTAGATCTCGCCGAAGAGCACATTGTAAACCGTTATTTGTGGGCACTGGTATATTAACTGTCATTAATGTTTTTATCCTGCATTGTCTGATTAATGTTAAGAAAAAGGAAAAAGAGTATGATTTGCGCCAAGACATTCATGGTTATAACACAAGGAATAGGGGTCTAGTTGATGTACCTCAGTGTAGGCTACAGAAAACTGCAGTCATTTTGTTTTAGGTATTAAATTATTTAATAAGCTTCATCCCCAAGTCAAGTCCTTGCCGCTAAGTGTCTTTAAAAGAAAATTAACTATGTGGCTTTCATCTCACCCATTTTACAAAATTGAGGAATTTTTTGAATGTGATCTCATTTTTTGCTAATGTTAAATGTTTTTAAGTTAGGCTAGGATTTTTATTACTGTAACTAATTTTCATATATTTCATGTTCACTATTTTGATATGTTTTTTACCATATTCCATCTGTGATATTGTTAGAAATTTTGTTTTTAAGTTAGGCTAGGATTTTTTACTGTAATTAATTTTCATATATTTCATGTTCACTATTTTGATACGTTTTTTTACCATATTCCATCTGTGATAATGTTAGAAATTTTGTCCCTCTATGTTCATTGTTACATCTGTGATAACCATTAGCCTTTTTAAGAAAGACCCACTATTATTCACTATTTTTCATAATTTAAGTTTGTTATGTTTGCCTATTTTTTTTTTTAATATTTTAAACCTGTTAAATGTTAAACTAAGGGCAGCCTATATTTTGGAATTTTCATGTCAAATTTTTTAATTATAAGTATTGCATCTTATATCTTTACAATAATAATGACGATGTCAATTACAATAATGTATTGTTTAAAGACTGAATAAATGACTATTCTTGACTATTCTATTCTATGAAAAACATTCGTTCAATTGTGTTCGCTTTTACCAGGAAAACTAGAAATTTATGAGTTATGTTTTGGTCAAATTTCAAAAGGATGGAAAAATACTGAAGATTGTCATACAAGGTATGGATCTAAACAAGAAATCTAGAGCAATCATGTTTCTGTCCTTATAAGGATATTATGTATGACAACATATTACGCTTTATGCCCATAAGCAAGTATACGATAAATTCCTTGTCTTTTGAATTGGTTTCAAGTGAAATATTTGAAATTTCAAGCTAAATAAAGTGTTGGTACTCACCCGATCTGGTCTTCGACACCTCCATTGAAGGCAGTTCACCAGGTAACATTGCGATTGGCAAAGGCTCTTCATCTTCGTCTGGAACATAAACAAGTAATGGGCAAAAATAATTCTTTGTTTTAATATTAGCAACTATAATTTTGAGTATTATTAATAAACTTGATTTTAGAGCCAGCAAACAAGTATAAATTTTGTAGTGCAAATTGTTATTTAACATTAAATAATTCAAATAACTCTTAGACATATAAAATAATAACATTGTGCTATTAATTAAAATCAATCATACTTCGTTCACAGTATTTAAGCGGGTTGAGGGGAAGCTCCTGCACCACAGTTATAAGCAAGCGCAAATTTATAAACAGGTTTCCTCTGTACCTTACTTCTCTGAGTATAAGCTTCATTTGATTATTCCTATTAACTCATCTTGAAATCGTACAAAGAATTTGACAAAAATTTTATCAATATTTTACAGTTTTTCGAGTCAATCAAGTGTTTTTGTGAAAAGAAACATAAACCTGAATCCAGCCAAGTTCTCACCTTTAATGTCATCAACATTCCAGCCTAGCTCAGGATGCATCCGTACAAAGTCTCGGAAGGAAAGTTCCTCCGTGGGAACATCCGTGGCTGACTGACCTGCTGGAACCACACCCCATTGATTAACAACCAATACACAGTACAACCATACAGATCAACTATACAGTTATTTGAAGTGTCAAGAAGAGAGATCTTACTTCTCAATGTAAACTTTGTATCTTCACAGGTTGACAGCTGAATCGACACTAGGCCTAAACGTAAAATGTATTGTATTCAGAACATTGTTCATTAAGGAGTAAGCACCAAGGGCTTCAGGGACGTCCCTAGGGTTGGCGGTGCCCGGAGCAAACGTGGTCGTGGCGCCCCCTCCCCCCCCCCAGCAGTAATAGTCGCATTCGCATATTTCAATACTATGTTAATACAAATAGCCACTGCGCGGCGCCCCCTCGGCCACAGCGCCTGGGGCAGCCCCCTCCCTTCGGACAGCCCTGAAGGGCTTTAAGTATTTTTTCCATCCTGACTGTTAATTAAATTAATTGGCCAATCTGCTATACAACCCACAACACTTGCGCCCCTGAGCAGATTTATATTTTGCCCGGTTATGGAGTAAGGCCTCAGACCAAAACATTTCTAAACCCACACTCATATAACAACCTGAAAACATACATCTGTTCAGTTTAATTTTTTAATAGTTTTTGGGGGGTTATGGTTAACTAATTTTCAACAAACTCAAATTTAAAATTATTTGTGGCAGTTATAGAATTACTTTGGGAAAACGAAAAATGATCCTTACTTTCAAGATATATTTTAGGCATCCAAGACACAAGTTTTAAAGTTGTCAACCAATCTAAAAATGCTGATCAAAAGTGTTTCCATTAACGGTAGCTTAAATATGGTTTCTATTGAATAAATTCATGAAATGAAAATCACTCACCAACATCAATGTTTGTTGTTTCTGGATGGGTAAAGGATGTTAGGGATTGGTTTGATATGTCTTGGTCATCAAGGTAATATGTAGTATCTGAAATAAGTATTATGTTAGGAGGGGGTAAAACATGTTCACCTATCACTTGGGAAATTGCTCCATTTTTTCATGCACCAACACTTAAATAAAAAAAAATTCATTCAATTGCAAGTTAACCAATAAGTTACTTTACTGTAATTAAATAGACTGTAACTTCAAACAAAATATGGTATTATCGCTCACCTTTTGATCCAAATTTCGCAATAACTGTAGTAGCAGTAGATGAGGTAAAGGCAGTTGTGGCGTCAGCTTCTGCAAAACAATAGTCATTGAGTTAAAAGAGACCATTGTGATCAGTTTGAGAGGTCATTTAAGAACACAGGGCCACATTATTAATGAAAATATATATTTGTTTTGGATGGTTAACAATAGTTATTTGTGTAACTAGTGGGCAAAGTGGCACTTTGCTGCACACGAGAGCAATGTTTGTTTGATCTCGAGTGCAGCAAAGGCCTTTTGCACTCGTGTTACACATTATATTTTTCCTACAGTCACTATACAGCATATAAATAATTAGTCTTTCAAACACTATACAACACATTTTTAGGTTCAGCTGGCAACACAAATAGGTGCCCTAGAGAAAGTAGTACCCGGTCCGTATCACTACGCTATTTTTCCTCGGCAAGAAATGTGCTCCTCGTTTTGAGAATATAGTTCCGTATGTTTTTGTAATTTGAAGTGGTTTCCGCGCCTAAAAAAAATGCTTTAAAGGTATTTTCTTGTTTATAAGATCGTAGGTGTTTAGTTTTATAAAAAGTAAAAAGTATTTTTTTAACATTCAAGTTGTTTTTCTTTATTCCATTACTGTTTACAATTCAATATCATTGCTTAATTATTATTGACAACATCTGTTAAACAAATTATTTTAAACAAAGACTTGTAAGTTAATATGTAAGTAAGTAATATACAAACATCTCCCTTTTTTAGCCGTCTTGACTGTCCTTCTTTTTTAACATAGATTTAATTTTTCTTATATGGTGTGTGTTTCTTCTTAAAACAATATTACTTTCTAATTTTACCAAATAAGAACGAGGTTCCGGTAATTTTTTAAAAATCACACCATGATTCCAAAATTTGGTTTTAATATCCTGTACTAAAACCTCTTCTCCCACTTGGAATTCATCTTCTTTCTTCAAGGCTGATCTGTTATACATTTGTTCTTGATACCTTTTGCTTTCATTTATGCTTTCATGTACCTCAAAAGAAACTGTTTTAGGCTGTAAATAACTGTTTGGTATAGGTAGTTTTGATCTTATGTGTCTGCTGTTTAAAAGCTGAGAAGGTGAATAGTCCAGGTTTGCAACAGGTGATTTTCTATAATTTAATAAGAAGAGTTCAAAATCCTGTTTACTTTCAGCACTCTTCCGTAACATTTGCTTTACAATTCCTACAGCCTTTTCTGCTAGTCCATTACTTTTTGGATAGTGAGGACTTGATGTGATTATTGTAAAATTCCAATTTATAGAAAACTGTTTCATTTCATAGCTATTAAATGGTTGATTATCAGCCACCAAATACATAGGGATCCCATTTCGACTGAATAGCTCTTTGAATTTACCAATTATTGTATTACTGTTTTTACTGTTCAACTTAAATACATCAATCCAACGTGAATAAAAGTCAACAGTTACAAGATAGTATTTACCTGCATATTCAGCAATATCAGCTCCAATCTTGATGAAGGGTATTTGAGGAACACTGTGAGCTTTTAAAGGTTCATTCAATTTTGAACGTTGGTGTTTCATACATATAGAACATTGAGATACTGTATTTCTTATGTCTGATGACATTCCTGGCCAGTAAAAAAATAAATTGGCAGTTTTCAATATTTTAGTTGTTCCCAGATGAGTCTCATGCAGGTGTGACAGCATAAATTTCCTGAGTTTACTTGGTATTATAAGTTTGTCATTCAAATAGAGTAATCCATCTTGATGAGTTACATCATTTCTCATATTGAAATAAGTCTTTAGGTCACCATCATTAACAGATTTTGGCCATTGGGTTTTACTAAATTGTATAACTTTGTTTAAAACATCATCATTTCTTGTTTCCTCTTTAAATTCCTCGAGTCTTCTATCACTAAACTTCACTTCAGAAGATTCAATACAATGCACAATACCATCCAAGGGTTCATGCCATTCAACCTCATCTTTAATACCATTCCGGGATAAAAAATCTGCAATATGCATGTTTTTACCTGGCAAATATTTTAGTTTAAAACTGTATATCATTAATTTAAGTCTAAGTCTTCTTATTCTGTTATTGACAATTTTAAACAATGGCTTATTAAAAATTGACAAAAGAGGTAAATGGTCAGTAAAAATTGTTACATTTTCATTTCCATATATATAGTTGTGGTATTTCTTGCACGAAAAACAAATAGCTAATAATTCTTTTTCAATTTGAGCATAATTAACTTCTGCTGTGGTCATACTTCTAGAAAAGTAACTAACAGGCCTGCCATTCTGCATGCAACAACACCCTACAGAATCCTGTGAAGCATCACATTGTATTTCAATAGGAAGAGATGGATCAAAATTCCCTAAGACCTGATTACTACAGAGTGATTGTTTGATTTTTTCAAGAGCATTAGAATGATGTTCATACCATTGCCAGGGAACATTCTTTTTTAGTAAATCTCTAAGAGGTGATGCTATTGAAGCCAAATTAGGGACGAAATTTCTGATGTAATTTACCATACCTAAAAATCTTTGTAATTCTACCTTAGATGTAGGAGTTTTAAAATTCTTTATTGCTTCTATTTTTGAAGGATCCGGTTGCATCCCTTGTTCACTGAATATAGCACCAATATACTTTACCTTATTAACACAGTATTGCATTTTACTATAGTTAAATCTAATATTATACTGTTTTGCTCTTTCCATTACCTGCTTTATAATTTTATCATTTTCCTCTTTAGTATCAGTAGCAATGCACAAATCATCGAAATAGATTGAAAGACCTTTAATATCTTTGAAATATTTGTGTACCAATCTTTGAAATATTTCAGGTACACAAGAGAGGCCAAAAGGTGCCCTCAAAAATCTGTAAGTTCCAAAGATTGTACTGAATGAACACATTTTACTGGATTCTTCATCTAGTTTTATATGATAAAACCCGTCTTTCAAATCTAAAATTGTAAAGTATTTCTTATTACTTAAGTTTGGAGCCAAGTCCTCTAGCAAAGGAATTGCATACCTCTCTCTTATGACGTATTTATTAAGTTGTGTAGGATCAATACATATTCTTAAAGATCCATTTGGCTTTTCTAATACTACAATATTATTGACCCATTCAACCGGCTCTTCAACTTGCTTAATAATTTCATTGTCAACCAGCGAATTTAATGCCTTTTCAAATTTATCTTTAATTTTGTATGGTATTCTTCTAGCAGAACTTACTTGTGGTACTGCATCTTCCTTTAATTTTATCTTACAAATGTCAGGGAAACAACCCACACCATCAAAAACATCTTTATAATTGTTATAAATTTTTAATTTTTCTTCATCTTCTATTACTGATAAACCATTAGCAACAGTATCTACCTTCTTTATTAAATTTAAACTTAGACAAGATTTCAGCCCTAGGATTGGAGTACATTCTCCACTGACCACAACTAACTTTACAACATCCATTTTATTTTCTGTCTCAATCTGTGCATCTATGTATCCTACTGGATTTATTTGAAACCCCCCGAATGAAATTAGTTTGCTTAGGTTTTTCTTCATCCTATTTTGTAGTTTATTTAGTTTTACAAAGGAATATGGGACAATGTCTACTTCAGACCCAGTATCAAGTTTCATTCTTACATTGAACCCTTCAACTTTAACACTTTTATACCAAGCTTTTTCTTGATTACCAATGGAATCAACTAGACAAACTGTGTTAATCTCATAGCCTTGGCAATTAGGCACAAAAGAACTACTACTTTGATCAGTTACTTCGTTACATTTCTCATTAGAAAGAATATTTAAGTTTGTCCTACACACACTTGCAAAATGATTTGACTTTTTGCATTTACTGCAGATCTTACCCCAAGCTGGACATTGTTGTTTTCCATGACTACCACTACATCTATAACATTTAAAACATCTTTTACCTGTGGGATTCCTCTCCTCCAACTTACGTGTTCCAGCAAAGGTTTTAGTTACTTGATGAACTTCTTTCTTATCATCATGAATATTTGTAATTTGAAGTACTTCTTTCTTCTCATTGATTTAATTCATATTTTGTTCGGTTAGCTCCATTGTTCGGCAGGTTTCTATTACCTTTTCCAATTTTAAATCTTCTCTCAAAAGTTTTTCTTGGACATTTTTTGAACTTAATCCCAGTATTATCTGAGCTCTCAACAGTTTTTCCTCCTGTTCTTCAAATTTACATGGTTTGACCAAATTTTTTAGGTCTGAATAGAATTTATTAAATGGTTCATCTTGTTGCTGCTTTCTTTTGAAAAACTTATAAATATCCATAATTTCATTCCTTCTTGGCGTGCAATACTTCTCTAGTGTCTCTAATATAGTTTTTACTGTTTCTGGTTCATCTTGTTTGAAATCTTTATAAATTTTCAATGCTTCTTTTCCTAGTAGGTTTTTAAGCCTTGCTGCTTGTATAGAGTTAGGTTTCTTTTCGGTTTCAGTGGCTATAAAATATATCTCCACTTCTTCTTTAAATGTCCTAAAATTTTCCTCCAAGTTGCCTTCAAGGCTTAGGATATCCGGTTTGTTAAATTCCATTTCCGTGTATATTCTTCTGATATTATTCTTAATCAAATCTTTACCGACTGCGCCATGTTTAGTTTTATAAAAAGTAAAAAGTATTTTTTTAACATTCAAGTTGTTTTTCTTTATTCCATTACTGTTTACAATTCAATATCATTGCTTAATTATTATTGACAACATCTGTTAAACAAATTATTTTAAACAAAGACTTGTAAGTTAATATGTAAGTAAGTAATATACAAACAGTAGGAATGTTTTAAAAACGTTTAAAAGAAAAGTCCAGAAAGTTCAGAAATACCGAAACTATAAACACGAAATTACAGGTTAAATCGTAGTTGAAATGAAATGAAATGAAATAATGTTTATTTCCCAACTGAAAAATACAGTTCATGGTATTTTACATAATAAATTACACAATCCTTGACTTAAAAATAACTTACAAAATACTATCAAAACTAAATAGCACAAAGAAAAAAAAACCTTATCAACTTATATGGAAATGGTCGTTTTAGTGTTGCCAACCTATTTCCAAGCATACACGGATTACGTGCATAATAGAACCACGCTGTTTTGTGTTGTTTCGTTGGAATCCTGATGTGCGGCAAAGTATAAACCGTACGACAAAGTATAAACCGTACGGCAAAGTATAAATATGCAGCAATTAGCAGCTTTCTGTACTATAAACAGTACAAGGAAGCCAACTTTGTCGGGTGACTGTAGGAAAAAGAATGTTTTTATCCAAGAGGTTAATGAGTTGAGCAACTTATAAAGTAATTGCTGGGAATAATATCCTATGAAAAAAAAACTGTAAAATTGATGTAAAAATTATAAACTTTGTCCCCACTTCAACATTAGTTTAAAAAATTCTCTTACATTTCCATATGTGAATACGAAGTTCTAGACTACCGCGAGGCTAAGATTTATTAACAGCCAGGAAATTATAAAATTTAGAATATTTTTTTTAAACATCTAGCTTAATTGTTTGTTAGAACATCCTGGCTGAATAATCGGCGTGTTTCACGTAATAACTAAAGTTCTGGTCTATGAGGCTGATTTACCAGCAGCTTGAATCAGCGGCGTTTATCAGCACGGTTGGTCAGTGGCGTATCCAGGGGGGTTTTGGCCCCCCACGACCTTATTAAACGTTATTTATCATTTTACAGATGGATTTTTTTCCTACAACCAAACAATCTATATGTCTCTAAATAGCCTAAAAAAACGCAAGTTTACAGATCTAAATTTCAAAAGTTTTCCCTTCTTCGACGACCCGGTGTAGCCCCCCCCCCCCCCTTAGCGTCATTCTAGTTATACCTATGCGGCTGGTTAATTTGAAAAACTAGGTCACATGTAGTGTGTTTTAAGTGCAAACCATCAGCACTTTTTGTGAGCTTACTATTAGTTGGCTGTGTTTACTGTTCCTGGTTTTCGAGTGTCAAGATGTCGTCTGTGGGAATAAGTCGTAATGCACTTTGTTTAGTATTACAACTTCGGTTGGTATAAGTGTTCAAATCCTGTCAGCTCTTCAAGGGTTTTTAGTTTCATTTACTTCAACGCGGTATGATTACTTTTGGATAAACGGCCAAATCATTCGCCATCCAGGTGGCTGAACAATGTGGTAAAAGCTGCATCCCTCACATCTCATTTCAAATACTTGTCATTTGACTTATTTTCACATCATTTTAAACACACAAACAACTGCAAACACCCAGTGACGACTTTACAGCAACCATGTAGTTCTGAGAGCATTCAACCGATCACATATGGCAGTCGTTTAAAAGCGTTTAGCAAGCTTTTTTTTGTCGAAACCGCTGGTAATACTAAACATGTTAAAGCTACCAACTAGTGTTAAGTCGTCAGGGTGAAGCCAAAGCGACAAGCTAGGAAAGTGATCAAAGGGGACAATTCAAAAGCGCTGATAAAAAAATGCATTAACCAGTCTTGTAACCAGGCCTTAACGCATAAGCTATTATCGCAATTATATGCACGTTTCATCTTAAGTTCAATTTGCACTTTTCACTCAAATTTGTCTCAAACCACACTCTTATGTGTTTAGGCTATTAGAATATATTTGGTTAATAACTAATTTTTCAACAAAACCAATATCACTTTACCCTCTCTTCCATCCAATGCTAGTAAAAACTGTGAGATAGACGATTCAGAAATATCACTCATTGTTCAGCTTTTCTGAAACAATAAAAAAATTAAATAATTTTTAAATTATTATTCTATCCAAAAAAACTAAGAATAAGTTAAGAGTACAATTATATTAATTGAGGGAGTTCAAACGTAAAATCTAGGCCTAATTTAAATATAATTAGAACATTGGTTAAAACTTTCACCTTTCAGCCTGAAATTAGGTTTGTTTCGCGCAAATCTAAAACTAACTTAGCCTACCGTACTCAGATATTCCAGAGTGCAAAAAATATTAAGGCCTAAGTTAAACACATTGTCAATTGTCTGGGTAGCCGAGTGGTTATATAGAGCTCGCCTTCAAATCTGAGGGTCGCTGGTTTGAGTTTGAATCCAAGCGAGATTGTTTCCAGACCTAGATGCCATTACTGTATTTGTCATTGGGCTAAGAAATTAATCAATTAACTAATTATGAAATTATTTAATTAATGAAGCTAACAAAAAAGTCTACGTTAGACAGTACAGTAGAGTCCCGCAAACTCGGCGTAGGCCTAACGTGGACTGGAAGGGTGCCGAGTTTGTGAAATGGCGGGTTATCAGGAACTAGCCGTTAAAAATAAGAACAATAAGATTTTTAAGCTTTTCAACCGCCGTTTTATTTATATTTATATTACAAGTCAGTATTAAGTCATCAGATATAGAACAACAAACCCTTGGTATGAGTTGCGAATGATTTGACTTGAGCTGGCTTGAGGCAATGTTTAACTCAGACTAAAAAAATCACTAATTTTCTGAGCCAGGTGATGGTCAATTTATCCAGACTGCCGGGTTATCGAGTGCCGAGGTTGCGGGATTCTACTGTAACATGACCAGGGTTTGGACCGTTCCCTTTCAAAACGTAAAAAATGCAACTGGCGTAAAAACACACAAAATAAAAAATTGCTCGCAGACTGTATTATGAATTATCAAGTAGGCCTAAGTTTAGACTAATGTATGAGACAAAGCCTATTGTACATTTTGTATTGAATGGCGAATAAAGTTTTTGAATCTTTTGAATAAAGTTTTTGAATCTTAAAGTTTTTTTGAATCTTTTGAATGTTAATAATAAACTGATTATCGGGTAAGTTTAACTAAGTTATTATTTTTTCCTCCTCCAATGTAACTTAGCTTAACTTGGTGATTTTTTATTTTAATTTCTTAAATCACAGTCAATCTAATTTTTTTTAACTGTTTTACGATTAAAAAACTTTTTCCATCTAAGTTAAGTTTGCCTGGTTTAAAATTAAGTTATGTTAGGTTGGGCTAAGTTACCATTTTCTATTTAAATTTTGTATTTTACCTTAAACATGTTAACATTGTTAAAATTTTATCTTTCTATCATCTTTTTAATTAAATTTTATCTTTTTTCATATACTAGCTCATGTTCTTCAAGTTAACCTTTAACGTTGTATTGTTATTTCATTTGCTTATTGTTCAACGTTTGAACAGATTGTAACTTAAATTAAATAAATTTTAAAAATTCATGTTAAATTATCTAAAAAGCTGACAGAGTTTTTATAGAGTACGGTAGCCTACTTCTATTATTATTATTACCTATTATTTTAAGAGTGATGAATGATTTTATTTGCCATTCGGTACATATAATACAATATGCTTCAAAACTAAAAAAAAAAAACACAATCTTGACTAACATGTATCAATCTAACTACAGCACACGTCACGCAGCAAACCAAAATAATAGGTATAGAAATAAAACAAGCAATAAACAAGAGTAGAGGTAACTTAACTTAGCATAAGTTAACTTAGTTATCAACTCTTTTGGATGATTCCCTAAATTGACTGGAATTCCTATAGGCCTATTTACTAGTTTACAGGCGAGGGTCTGTGTTTGGAAACAGGTCTGGTGTTTGGACTCGTGAAAACCGTTTTTTAAATCAGAACCAACAACCTATGGATGCAACGTAGATAGGCCTACTGCTCATATAAAGGGACTAGTGTTTACTGTTGCTCACTGGAATGTTCAAGGTGTTACCGGCACTAGTAAAATTGATGAATTAATAAACTTGGATGAGAAATACAATTTAAGTGTTCTATGTATATGTGAACATTGGATTGGGAACCTTGATAACCTTTCTAACTTAATCATACCTGGTTTTTCACTTGCCAGTTCCTATGTTAGACCTTTAGAAAATAGGGGTGGAACTGCTATTTTTGTTAAGTCGCATATTATTTCTGAAGAATTAACTTATCTTGTGGACCTATCAATAAAAAATGTCTGTGAGGTTGCGGCAATTTTTATTAAGGATATGAACATTATCTGCATTGAGATCTACCGAGTACCTGATGAGACGAACTTCGAAAGTTTCTTGGAATGTATGTACAGAATTTTAAGTCTTTTAAGTAGTAGAAATAAGTCCAATGCTTCAATAATTTTGTGTTCCGATTATAATGTAGATATATTGTCAAGTAGTGTTAAAAAATATGTTGTTGATAACCTCTTAATCAGTTTTAATTTGAGGAATACTATATTTGAGGTTACCAGACCAAGTTTTGGCGGTGAAATCGGGGGAACTTGCATTGATAACATATCAGTATCGGTGCATCCTGAAAGGATTGATAAGGCTTTTGTTGAGCCTATGGTTGTGTCAGATCATCATGCTCTAATTCTTAGGGCTAAGTTGGATGTCACTGAAAGCAGTAATTTAGATAGAAAAGCACAATGTGCTCCCTCAATTACTAGACCTATACCTGATTTAAATGTATTTTATTTTAGTACCTTATTAAGTAAGGTTAATTGGTTATTTTTGTACAGTTTGAGTAGCTTAGATGAAAAGTTTGAATATTTCTTCGAGACATTTATGAACATTGTTGATATAGCTTTCCCAGTCAAGATTAAAAAAGCTGTTAGTAAAAGGTCAAAAAATAAATTTAAGTGGTTCAATAATGATTTAGCTGTGTTAAAAGAAAAGTGTCTTTTGATGTATCACCATTTTAAAACAACTGGGTGCATAGAGTATAGAGATAATTATAATAGGCTTAAGCGTGATTATAAAAAAGCAGTTAGAAAGGCAAAATTAGCCTATAATTCCAATAGAGTGCAAAATGCCTGCAATAAACCCAAGGAAATTTGGTCTATTGTAAATGAGGGCCTGAACAAAAATGAGAAACCAATAGCTGATGGTAACCATTTGAACTTAGATTGTTCAAAGTTTAATGACAATTTTATGAACTCCGTAAAAGCTACTGTCCTAAGTGTTCCTAAGTCAAATAAAGGTGTACAATTTTATCTGGATAAACTCAATATAAATGGGGTACAGAATAAGTTTACATTTTGTAATGTGTCAGTTGAACATGTATATAGTGCAATTAACTCGTTAAGCGATAGTCTCTGTCTAGATGTATATTTTATTAATTCTTTAATTTTAAAACTTGCTGCACCATACATTGTAGAAGTGCTTTCATATTTGTTTAATTCATGTATTGATGAGGGTGTTGTCCCACAATGTTTAAAGTTTGTAAAAGTGATACCTGTGTTTAAGAAAGGCTGTAAAGAAAATTATGACAGCTACCGCCCTATATCAATTATCCCAGCATTATCTAAGGTTTTTGAGTTCTTGTTAAATGTTCAAGTCAAAGCTTATTTTGAGGGTAATAAGTTATTTTCTGACATGCAGTATGGTTTTAGGGCGAAGAGAGGGACAAGTAATGCTATCGTTAATTTTACGAAAGATTGTATATCTGGTTTAGATGCTAGAGAAATTGTGCGTGGACATTTCTATGACATGTCAAAAGCTTTTGACACCATAGACCATGATGTTTTATTGAATAAGCTTTATTTTTATGGTTTTGACACTCTCTCTGTAAAATTGATACACTCATACTTGTCACAGCGATATCAGTCAGTCCTCTACAATGGCTGTTTTTCACCTTACCTGCCAGTCCCGACTGGTGTGCCACAAGGGTCTATTTTAGGCCCTACTATCTTCATTATTTATGTAAATGACTTACCTGCTGCTCTGTTAAATGATCATGTAACACCTTATATGTATGCAGATGACCTGGCCTTGCAAACTCAGTGTAAGGATAAAAATCTTGCTGATCAACTGTTTCTTAGTTCGAATAGGCTAATTGAAGATTGGGCTGCTGCAAATATGTTATGTTTAAATAAAGAGAAAACGCAGAGTCTTGAATTTTGTCTTGGAAATAGTAATGATGAATTGTCTGTTGTAAAGTTTTTAGGTGTGTTTTTACAGTCTAATGTAAAATGGGACAATCACATAAGTTACCTGTGCAATAAAATTTCCAAAGCTACTTTTATTATTAGAAGACTTAAGTCAATTGTTAGTTTACATGTTTTATCTGCTATTTATTTTGCACATATACAGAGTCATTTGTCATATGGCATATTGGCTTGGGGCTGTGATAGTGACATAAGAAAGCTGTTATTGTTGCAGAAGAGAGCATTAAGATTGATTTTAAATGTTAACCGTAGATCTCATTGTAAACCACTTTTTAGGAAACTTAAGATATTGACTGCTCCATCTTTGTATGTTTTTGAATGTTTAGTATATATTTTAATTAATTTAGATCAGTTTAAAACTAATAGTTCTGTTCATAACTATGAAACAAGACAAAAAAATCATTTAAGAATCAACCAATGTAATTTTCAAAGAACTATTAATTCAACTTTAGAGGTTAGTAAAAGAATGTTTAACAGATTGCCTGAACATGTAAAAAATCTCAACTTAACTAATTTTAGAAGGTTCTTAAAACAGTTTTTGATAGATTTGTCCATGTACAAAGTTTCAGAATTTAATGAATACTGGGATTCTGCAGGTAGACGCCATCTTGACTAAAATATCATTTGTTTCATTTAGTATTGAATGAGTATTATCTCTATGTGATAATTAAAAAAATATTGTATTGACGATGCACCTATTTAAGGTTACAATGTAATCATGTAAATGTTTTGTGCAAATAAAGATTTGATTTGATTTGATTTGATTTAATGATAATGTGAAAACTAAAACCTGTATTTAACATGCTTTATTATGACTTTCAAAGGCTATTACACATGTGGACCTGTTGATTACACATAGCACATAGGCCTAAGCTACTAGCCTACCTTAACATTTAGGTTATTCGTCCCTATCTAGTAAATAAGTTATAGGCTAGGACTCAGACTCAAAGGTTATTACTGCTAGGCATTCAGGTCTATGCATGCTATTATTAGTCTTCAAACATTTCATGTCCAGGCTGAAATAGGTCCATTAAGTTAAGTGTTTTATAGGGTTATAGGCTAGTCCTACACTTTAATTATTTTCTAAAAGATATATTTTCTAGTTACTGAAAGCCCATTAAATGTTAGATTCAAATATAAAACAGGCTACATAGCCTATGGACTCACCTGTAAAGCTGATTCCAAACCTGGGCCCTAACTTAGGCTGTATGTTTACCCAAAAGAGAGATAGGTTAAATACATAAGAGAGTTAGGTTAAAGGCTATTTTGCAGTGGGTCTGTGGATTTCGATTACCTAATTAGGCCTAAGTTAAACTTTTTATTGGGCTCTATAACAAATCCACCAGTTGCTTTCAATTCAACACTGACCACAACCGCCATCGATCATCGAATCGATGTCTTGGACAGTACAGACCGGTAGTGGTACTGATAACGATAACGATAACGTGGGAGTGGGGTGGGGTAAACCAAAACAAACAACAGTATTTTGTTGTTATTAGAAGAAAAGTTACGGAGGGGTGGGGAAAGAAATGAAACCTGTAACTTGAAACTGAAACTGTTCTAAAACGAATGATAAGATAACTACTAAACTACTTCAACAATGAAACAGGTGATTCTAGATGATTCTAGCTTCCGGTTAGAGCGTATCAGTAACAGTTTATGAGACTGCGCATGGGAGGAGATTCATGACCTATTTATTTACCTATGGAGCTTTACGGTCAGGGACTGTGGGAGTTTTGATTACGTCATTGGAGAGTTTAGTAAAATGCAGCGTTGTTATATAGTCAATGGTTTGTTTTACCATAGATAAAATAAAACATGTTGTACATGTTATGCAAGGCGTATGAAAGAATTTACCACTTTCATACGCCTTGCATGTTATGCATTGTATATGGATGGTTGCGTTACAATTTACAAACAACACACGGGAAAGTGATCAGAAAATGAGCATGAAGCGTACTCCTCGTATTTGTTTATTTATTTCACCACATAATAATGTGAGAATAATAATTCTAGGTAGGTAGATATAAGCATAAGTTAATCTATGTTGATGTTTAGCTGGAGAAAATATAAGGTATATGTTTATGTTTAGTCGCACTAGAGTGCGTCGATGTCCTTTTTCTTTTCATAACTTATTTTCTAAGATTTAAAAGTAAAATGTATGACAAAATAGAACAAGTGTTACCTGTCCCAAGAATCGCAGAATAAAACAGCAAGCTTCAGAATTTTACGTGGGACGAGTCACAACTTAAGTGAAAGAAATTAACATATCCTTCCTACTTCTTGAGAACCTTTCCTTACCAGCTGTGTACGTCTGAACAAATTGCTTCAAAAAGTAGATGTTTAGGTATATGTAGGCCTACTGAGTGTTTTCCAAACCGTTATAGTCTGCAATGAATTGATGTTTGAAAATAAAATGCTGTGTCCTTGGACCTTTTGAAGACCCTGTACATCATTGATTATACATTTCCCAAAGATCATATTAGCACTCTTAAATTTGTTTCTGTGAAGTATTAGCTTATTTTTACACTTTGCCCATATCCATGCGGTACAATCGTGTAACCCATGGCGTTTTCCCACCCCACCAAGGGTGTGTAACCGTTGAAAGTAAATAAATTATGTGCTGATAAATGTTATTTTTTTATGTTTTATTTTACTTTTACTAGCCCCTCTTAGGATTCTGGGTGTCTGGCAGCTAGCTACCCCAACCAACATCTTGGTCATTTGCAAATCTACTCATCTGATTCTGGTTATGATTATTATGATTTATCTTTTCACATTTTTCTCAAAATACGTATTTTTTTCTTAAAATACGTTAAGTATTTTAAGATAGCCTACATACCGTACATACTTTTTCAGAAAAATAATATTTTTGGACATGAATAATATGACATACCGGTAACTCAGATGGCTTTAAGAAGATTCCAACTGACCTGATTCAGGCCTATCAAAGGACTACTCCACCAAGACCTTTGTGAAGACAATGAATGGTTTACAAATTTACTTAATTAACATTTGAAGTTATGGGTATTCATCCCTCAAACCTGAGCAGGTTTTTAATAATTAATCTATGGGGAGGAAAGAAGTGTCATTGCAATGTTGTCCATCTTGATCCTTATTTTTGAAGGAGCTGATAATTAACTGTAGGCCTACTGTAATTCCTAGCCACTATTCCTTACACACAATATTGCAAACACTTATGTATTATGCAGTGAATGCAGCCGCAATACACAACAGCCCCTTTCCTCTCAATAATTTGTTTACCACAGTACCTACTCTTGCCAGAGTGTCATACTGTCAGGGGCAATGTAGCCTCTGACACAATGTTCTCTTCAATGTTGAGTGTTAGCTGCCTCTTCTCTTCATTATGATCCTAAGCCCTAAGAGACTGATTTAATCTTTTCAGCTGTAATGGAAAGATAAGGCTCTATTGCTAAAAAGACTTATTGAATTGAATCTATTTCAAATTATTTAATGGTAATCACACACGCGGTGCCCTACATATCTGATATACTATATAAATGAGACCTATTGCTCTTGTTGTTTTATGTGGGTAACAGTTACAACACAATTCACCTGATAAGGGTCTTATTGCAGATCACATCCCAAAAATAGAGTTAATTTTGTAAAATGTTTGCTACAGTATTAGAGTTGTGTTTTGTTGCATTAACAGCCAAATATTTAAACTATGTAAAAAAAAGCATAGCTTAGATTTTGAGTTTTTTTTAAGTTTCACTCTCAAGATTCTAAATTTATGCTTTGATCATCACTAGAAATAATTGAAAGCTATTAAATTAAATCTATAAAAGGCAAAGCCCTCACTGACTCACTCACTCATCACTAATTCTCCCACTTCCCATATTTTTTTACCTAGGAGGCTGAAATTCGGTACACCGATTCTTTGGGCATTAAATACGAAAACTAAGTAGTTTTTATTCTGATCGGGCTTTCGGGCTCCGCTCCAGTGGAAGACCTTTAGAAAATTTGAAGATGGGACTGGAGTACCGGCTTTTTATTAATTAAAATAGCATTGTTATTTTTTCCCTATTAAGTGACATGTATATCTTGTACAATAACAAAAACAATATTTAAAAGCCTATGTACAACTGTATAAGTTTGAAATAAATTCTTCTTCAAAATTGAAAGCTATTAAACAAAATGTGAAAGATTAAACAGTTACTTAAAAGTTTAATACATAATAATTATTAATAATACACAAATTTAAACAATGTATCTCCTCTCCAAGTTGCCAAAAACAAAAATAAAAAATCCCTGCACTAAAGCATTATGTAAAAAATTGCCAAATATGATGATTTGGCTTTTAAGGAATCTAAAATCAAACCAGCACAAGTCTATAACCTAGTCTTTTTCTGAATAAGCTTAGGTAATAGTTTTTCAATTTGTAAATTTCTTTAAAATCAAAAGGGAACATAAAAAGTAATTTCACCAATACGTCCAAAAGAAACTTTCTTGTTTTTATTTATGCATATATCACACTTTAAAATAAATTTCAACTGATTTCAACATTTTATTCATGGCTATGAAGCACTTCACCCAGTCTAGATAATTCAGTCGTATAGAAGGTGATGCGAGTCCTCACAAACAAGGAAGGTTTGTCGGACCCACTTTGAGTGAGAGGAGTGAATCCCATTAGTCCTTCTCGGAAGGAACAGTGAGTTTGGAGGGAGTTGGTGATTGGTAAATGTATCACACATCGTTCTCGTTCTGCAGCCCTTCTCTGAATGTTACACATAGCAATGTTCTGATAGATTTCTTTTCTAGCTGCTTCTCTAACAGCATGGCACAAATCAATTTCAGCAGCTTTGCCACAGTCCCAACAAATAACCATCGCAGTGGACCAAATGTTTTCAGGATAAATTACAGAAAAATCTACTATAAACTGGACTTCATTATCATCCACTCGCGAGTACATGGCTAAACAACCTTCATGAGTTTTCCATTTTTCCTCATCTGGCTCAACGTATCGACTTTTTTTCAATGTTTCTTTATCGGCTGAATAATACAATGGATTACTAGTAAACACTTCCTCAAATGCGTCTTCGGGGCAAAACTCTTTTCTTAGAGTGACAAAATTTGTTGGCTTGTCTAGTAGCAAATATGGTTTATATTTCCCTTTGGGATAGTCTTCAGAAAACTTGATTAATAATTCTGCAAAGATATCTTCAGCAAAAGTAAATGTTACTAGAGGTTCATCAGGAGGATTCTTAGCGGATAGTTTTAGTCTCCTGATTTCAACATCTAAATATGATCCCCTTTTACAACTGTTTCTGAAAATAATTGGAAGAGTGTTAGGTGCTTTGAATTTTTTTACAGCTGCTTCAAATCTTGTTCTTGTTTTTAGAATGAAATTTTCTTCATCCCCAGTTATTTCATGATCCTAAAAAAACATTCCTTTAATAGTCATAAACAAATATGTATTTGCAAAGCAAAATATATAAGGTTTAAAATGGTATAGATTTATTTATTTGTTATCTATCTGATTTATTACAATGTATACACTGAGTCTCACCGGTATTTACTCAGGGGAGGTATAGAAGAGGCTACGATGACAGCTGAGGGCTTCTTATTAGCTGAGGGAACACCATTACCGTAACAAAACGATTGATAGACATCGGCCTCGGTGGTCTAATGGTCAGCGTGCCGGGCTGATATTCTGTAGGTCCCGAGTTCGAATCCCGCTGGTAGCATTAACTTTTTGTCCAAGATTTTTTTATTATCAGCAAGTTTGGTTGGTTTGGTTTGGTTATTACAGTTTAATTTTATTATTAAGTCATTATAAAATTTTAATTGAGCAATTTCTAGTTTTATTTAATAAACAGAATTATTTTTCTGATTACTAAACTTTTGTTATATTATTTATTTATCAGCAAGTTTGGTTAGTTCGGTTAGGTTATGATAGTTTAATTTTATAATTTAAAAATAATAAAATTGAATTTGAGGCATTTATAATTTTATTTTATGAACAGAATTATTTTTGCGATTAGTAAAACCTTCATTGCCAAAGTGCTCTCTACTACAGCGCTGTTCACGGAGGAATTTTGAACTAAATGCCTCATTTGTACCTCCCCTAAGTCAGACCCAGTCTCACCTCCCCCCCCCCCCCAGTGTATACAGGGTGTTCAAAAAAGGTGGGGACATAATTTACGTACCGATTCCTTAGATATGATAGGTTACATACCTTTGTTCGTAACTTACACAACTTCATAACTTATACACTTAATGTTCAAAAATGATTCCTTAGGTCAAAATAAAGAGAAAGTCAAGAATAAGATTTTTTCCAAAATCGCTTCGTTAACCAGATATCCGCCATTCTGTATTTTTAACATAAACATTATTATCTTTGTATTTTTTCAACCGATCCTTATGAAACTTGGTATGTGTGTTAAGGTAGAAAAGACCCTTGTTAGAAAAAAAATGCATCTTGATTGAACAAAAAATTTCAAAATGGCGACCATTTTTATTTTTTAATCTTAAATTACTACAAAATGGCTGGTTTGATAAAACAATTTCAGGGAAACTTTTATTTAGTAATTTTAATTACCTTATCAAACGATACCAAGTTCAAAAAGATCAAATAAGAAATATCTGAAATATTACGATTTTTAATTATAAAATAGAGCAAACCTAACTAGCTTTCTGCCTTATTCCACCCCATTTTTCATTGAAAAATCGTAATATTTCTTATTCAATCTTTTTGTAGGTACTTTGGTATTGTTTGATAGATAATTAAGAATGCTAAATTAAAGTGTTATAGACATTTATTCATAAAAGCAGCCTTTTTTGAGTAATTTAAGTGTAAACATTTTAAATGGCTGCCATTTAAACATTTTAGGTTGAATCAAGGTGAACTTTATCTCTAACACGGGTATCTTCTACCTTATAACATACATACCAGGTTTCATAAAGATTGGTTAAAAATATTAAAAGATAAAAATGTTTGTGTAAAAAATACAAAATGGCGGATATCTGGTTAACAAAACGATTTTGGAAAAAATGTTATTCTTGATTTTCTTTTTATTTTGACCCAAGGAATCACTAGGTAAAATATGTCCCCACCTTTTTTAAACACCCTGTATAATGAGGTAGAGTTGAATGTTGAGAGAGTTGAAAGTGACAATTCCACAAAATATTGGGCCAGTTTGGCTCTCAGAGCCCCAAATGCTAATAAATCAGGTACAATTAATAAAATAACAAAACTTTCACTACAAACAATATTATGCAAGCAGAAAAATATTGCTGAAACCTGTACCTGACGTTATTGTGTTGTCACTTTGTTTATAAGATTACAACTACTCTGCTGTTTAATTGAGTTTAAAGAGTTTGCAGTTGTATCATATGTGAGTTGAGTCACAAACCAGGCATTCTGCTAATTCTTTCTCACCTTCATAGTTTGTATTCACTTTAAGCTTGTTTAAAACAATTATAAATATTTGTGCCCATAAGAAGAGGAATTAAATTGTAAAGAGGCGCTGAACAAAATGGGACTCAAGAAGTTTATCTTTCTGAACTTACAATAGCTCAGTAGACTATAACTCATAGAACTATATATTATCTATTGTGTATACACCGTAAGGTTTGGCTCTTTATGAACAGGCACTTTATTGTTAGTGAAAACAAAATAATGTATACCTTATCCAAACTTCCTAAATACATACCTTAAATTCTGGGAAAATACTGTTCTGGACAGCAATGTAAGAGTCTTGGCCAGAGTGAGGTAAGGCCATGCGATTTATGTTGTAGCGTTCCATTTCCTGACTGTCGGAAGAAATTAATCTGCAAAATAATGATACGGAATTTAAATATTCTCCAAAAGTTCAGTTAAATAGCAAGTTAAACCTAGTAGAGTAGGTAGTATGATTAGGAAGAATGAAAATATATGTAGGTTAATCTGCTTGAAATTTAAACATGATTTCACATACAAAACTTCTCAAATACTTTTAATATCTTCATTATTTTTATAATAATTATAAACCTGAAAGCCCTCTCTGGTATAATAAATTAAAGTTTTTGCCATCCACAGATTTAGGCTACTTATTTATATATGTTACATTAACTTTTTTTAACAGAATTAAGGTAAGTTAGGTACTGTTTAAAATTATTGAAAATGTAATACAGCACTGTACAGGCTAGTTCACACGTGGCGATCTTACTCCCTGGAACTAGAGTACCGGTAGCGGCTACTACAGTAGACTCTCGCTCATCCGGACTAATGTGGCGGGCGTCCGGTCCGGATTACGAAAAATCCGGACTATTGAGAGTCGAGCAAATACACAATACTGTATATAGCCGTTTTTTTCAATTTAGTTCCAGGTCCACAGTAATGATAGCCCGGGCATATGCACTTCCACCGGTATAATTTTTTCGTCCGAATTTTGTTCCAGGTCTACAGTAATGATAGTTATTTGATTTTTTTCATTATTCAAGGTAGTCTCGGTCCCGTTTCGCTTGGATAATCGGACTTCTACTGTACTGTGCCCCTAAAAAAAATCACGATTGCCGATCCGGACTACCGGGAGTCCGGACAAGGCCGATCCGGATGAGCGAGAGTCTACTGTACTCGCTATGTGAGAACAGAATGTAGCAGCGACTAGCACTCACCAGCGTCGACTAAGTCGCAGCGAGTCAGTCGCCTGTACTGTATACAATAATGTACCATAATGTTGTCATTTTACGATATTTATATTTGTGTTATAAAAGAGTTGGCAATATGTTTTGCATTTGTGAGCTGACTGCAATCAGGCGACTGAGACGTCATATTGTATGTTTCTAATAAAGCTCCCGGATTGGTTACACCCCATCACGCCACTTTTCCCTCCATGTATCAACTGCCGATCCAAAAGTTTTGTCTTCAGCAAAGATAAGATAAGACTCCAGCAAACCGTAAACATGTAGTCAGCCGGGTTTTATTTCAATCCCAAATGGTGTTGTTATTTTGTTGTAGTAATGTGTGAACGAGCCTTAAGAGACCATACAAGAGAGTTTTTCTGACATAGAACCATAGCCTAAGTTATGCAGATGTTTTGCTTGACCTTATAAATTTTGTTGTCAGGCTGTGTCCAGTACATGTTTCTGAATGAGAGTATGAATGGGGATGCAAATGACTCGCTTCCCAGAGATAGTAGCCTATTTAGCCTACCTTTAAACGTATATATTTTACACACTGAACTTCTTAGTTTATGACAGCAATAGTATTTTAGTTACCTAAGTGATGTCTGTCTAAGCCGCTATTTTAAGCCAGTAGGAAATCTTTTGAAAACAAACTTTGGGTAACAACCCAGTTCAATGAAAAAGCTTCAGTTCTTCAGTCAAGTCATGAGTCAACATTTTATTTCAGTTTAACTTAATCAATCAATAGTTTTATTAATACTTGTTAAGTCAAACGGAATGGAGCCCGTGGGTAACAGCTAGTTTAATTTAATTTAATTTCATTTCAACTCTAGTTTCACATCGGCATGTTACATTTAACATTTACATTACTTAATCTGCGTTTAAGTTCAGTGCAGGTTTGTTACTGACTAAGATTAGTTGGTTCTGAGTCAGGATCATTTACTCAAATGCTACTCACTTTTCTAAGAATCGAACCATCTTTTTCCATAAGTTACTAGGCATAAAACGTCAGAACTTCTATAAAAGTACAACTCCATGGTATCAAATGTTACAGACAGTTTGGGTTTTGGTTAGCTTAACCTTATCGATAAAATCGCTACTTTTATTGTTTGATTATGATGGAGTTAGATATCGAAATTTTGTCGGTGACTAGGGCTAACTTACTCTGCTACCCACATGAAAAAAATAATGTTAAGTTAACCTGTATAATATTAACCTATAGCTATTATAATAATCATATAATAATATTATAAATTATAATAATAATAGGCCTAATAAGGTTAATAGCCTATAATAGGCTATGGCTAAATAGGGCCAACTTGATCTAAAAGAAATAGCTACGGGTACAGTTTCTTAACTGGGCTAGGCCTATGCTAATATCAATTGAAACTATCGAATTGAAAATATTGATTAATAAACGATATTTTTAAATATTTCTATTATAAAATCAAACTATCATAACCTAACCTAACCAACCAAACTTGCTCATGGTGAAAAAATCGCATGAAGGTTTACTTGATACTTAATACTTGGTTACTTCATCCTTGACCAACCAAGTTGGATTGATTGCGTCTTATTTACATTAAACAACTAAGCAACAATGGCGGGTATGGCGGTATTATTTACAAAAACCAGAGGCTCGTCAAACATTTCTTGCCAGGAGTATAGCGTTCTACTGATCAAAACTCTGGCGTAGCGTTCGATTAAATCTCTTTTTGTCAAGAGCACGAACTCCTATCGGCAGTGTATTAAAAAGCCGAATAGCAAGCGATGGGAAGGAGTTAAGAGTGTGACTGAGTCGGCAGCGGGGCAGGTCACGATCACATGCTCTGCGCGTCCCATAATCATGCTGCACGCTTCTAGTAATGAAGGATGGTTCATTTTCGTTTACTGATCGAATCGATAGTTTCAATCGATATTAGCATAGCCCAGTTAAGAAACTGTACCCATAGCTACATTAATCCAATCCAATATAGGAATAAGTTACCTGTAAGCGTTGACTGTAAAATCAAAGCCGAGTGACTAATGACTAGAGTTGGAGTTAATAGGTTAGGTTAGACTGAGATCACTGTATTGCTTTACCTGTATTGCTTACGCTGATTAACTATTTGATTATACGAAGTGAAAGCTGAAACTCCTGAAAGCACTCTTTCTAATCTTCACTTTCAAGTTTCATTGGTGGATGGCGGCAGAAGCTTAGTTTCAGTGTTATAGTCAGTTTATTTTATTTAACACAACACAAACAAAAAACATTCACGCACGCACGAATACTCACTCAACTCACTCAATACTCAAACTCAAACATAGCAAGCAGAAGCAGACAGCAGTGACAGCACATATCAGTTGCTTGGCAATGGCAGCACACTATGATGAGGGAGAGGGTTTTGTTTAAAATGGGATCCTGGAAAAACTAAGCTAAGTAGTGTTAGTGTCTAGAGATAAAACCACCGATTATTGGATATTCTTGGGCAGTTCTTAACCTATTCATTAGGTTAGCCTCTTAAAAAATGGTGTTCGATGGATATTTGCCATTCTAAATATAAATTTATATATGAGCATAAGTTACAGCATATTTATAAATCCACATATGAGCCACGGCCGCCTTTTACCTTTTACCTTCGATGTCTTCACCACAATCCGTAGATCGGGGAATCGTCATAGACACACACATATAAGTATATATATATACAATTTTGAAGGAATAGTGTTTTAGTAGCCTCTGGGCACGGCCGCCTTTAACTCCAGGCCGCGGCCTTCGAACTGGCAACGTCGCAAGTGGTGTTGTAACAGCTGTTTTTGTTTGGAAACAGCTAATAAATGGTATTTGTGTATTTACGAATGATTGGTTACTGGACTATGACAATTTGACTCCACTTAAAAATGTACGGATATAGATTTTAATTCATATGGTTTCGGTTTTCAATTCTGTATGTTTTATTTTCAATATTTTAATAAAATTATGTTCATAAATTTAAATTTATATCAATAAAGTGCGAATTAATGAGCTGATGTCACCTGTCTGCCATGTTATCTTATGGGACGTCTGCCACTGAGCAACACCACTTGCAACGTTGCCAATTCTACCAGGCCGCGGCCTGTAGTTGTAGTTAAAGGCGGCCGTGCTCTGGGGCAATCAAAATGAAAAAGTATAAAACAAACTACATCCCTACAACAGGGAAACTTGATAAATTTTCCATAATCCCAGACTAAAACTAACTTAACTCTTGATAGTGTCAGAGACCAAGAAGAAGAAGACAAACCTATGGGTTTATGTTTTTGTTTACATTACACCATACACATTTATTGTAGGCCTAACTACTATAATACTACTGAGTAAAATGCAAAAAATATGATTAAAATATAAGTTTTTCAAAACGATGGCGTCGTTTTTCTCCTCATCAATTCCACCAGGGTAGGTTTTGACTTAAGTTTACACATTTTTAAGGTGTCCCGCTTTGGAGAGGTCTAATTTATGTTATCCATAGTCTAGGCCTAGGCCTACTTAACTTAATACACATTGGTTAAACAGGTAGGCTAAACAATGGCACACAGGAAACACACAATTGCCTCTGGATCACAGTTTTTTACAAATAAAAATGTTAAATACCTATGGTACTGTCAGTGATCCGGGCTGCACTTTAGTAGCCTGTCCTACACTCATTAGAATGAAATTCTCGATAAATCGATTATTTTGTCCGATATATCAAGTTTGGTTAGATAGGTTAACCTACTAACTAACCAAATTTAATAATAGATATATCGAATAATCAATATTTCGATTGATATATTCATTCAAATCAGTGTAGGACAGATTCTAAAGTGCAGCCATGAGGTTTAAAGTACAGTACCAAGGTTTTGAACCTAAAGATTCATTTTCAAGCTGTCTACCAAGTTGAAAAACCCTCAGACGGAGTAAGACCCTGTAACTTACGATATGAGAGGAATTTCCGCACAGTGTTCCCCGCTCAGGCTCTTCCTCGCTCATCACAAGTATATTTCTGACACAACATACTAGAGCTGAAAGCACATGGTTGTCCCATAAGTTGCCTCTGTAAGTTACAGTAGAGTCCCGCAAACTCGGCACTCGATAGCCCGGCAGTCTTGATAACTCGGCCACCACCTGGCTCAGAAAGCTAGTGATTTTTTAGTCCGAGTTAAACATGGACTCAAGCCAGGTAAAGTCAAATCAATTGCAACTCATACCAAGGAGTTGTTGTACTAAGTTATATCTGATGACTTAATACTGAATTGTAACATAAATAAAATACCCCCGCCGCAGCAAACCTGCAGACTTAGCGAATTTCCATTTGCCTGGATTTGATTTTCAATTAAATCTATTCAAATAACATTAGGTTTAACGAGTACCTAGGTTTGCTGCCTACAGGGTAATAAAGTGTGTTTTTTAGTAAAATATTAATAATAGCTTAGTAGAAAATAAATAGATTGGCCAAGTTTGATCCAAATATATGCATAAACAAGCAAACTACAAAAGTTTACTTATTCTCCATAAGAATAACATGGGAACTTTTAATTTATAATTTTATCCGTAACCAATAACCATACAAAAACACTTCAATATACTGAATTATTTGTTTTTTTAAGCTCTTCAAAATGGTCTAGAAGAAATTTGGGAAATTTTATGTTTTGAGGGTCAAAAATGAGAAAAACCAATTTTTACCCCATAAATCCCCCCATAAAACTCCGTTCCCATGGTCCGACCATGCTGGTTCGCGAACTCGTTTGAATAAACATAGGTTTACACGTTTATACCAAATTTCATCGAAATCGGATCATTTTTGCTCGAGTTATCGTGCTGACGGACATATATATAAATACAGGGTGAGTTTCTACTGACCGTGTTAACTTCGCCAGTAGGTTCTACTCACTAAAAGGAACAAAAAAGTTCATATAAACCCATGTCCGATTTTCAACCGTTTGGCTGTAATAGGGGATTTTGTGTTTTTCTTATTTTATTAGACTTTGCTCCACAATTTATGTAATAAAAACTTAACCAATTACTTTAGAGAGTTATAGTTAAAATCATTGGAAAGAATATTAAATTTGCTATAAATCAAAGGTTTCATTCAAGAATTATGCCATTACATAGTCCACGTTATATCCAAAATAAAGTAAAAATGTCATTAAATTAATTAATTACGATAATTTTCATGAGCCCACTTTGATACATAAACCTTCATCTATGCAATGTTGAAATGCATAAAAAACTTGGCCATTTAATAATCTTTCAAATGATATGCTATTCAATACTATTATTGATATAAACCACTGAGAAATTACTAATAAACTACAATAAAACACGGTCTACAGATTTTGTTTTGACACAGTTTTTACTGTTAATAATAATTACTGTATTCATCATGTTAGCATACTCTTGATTGGTAAAAGACTCCATCTTACTAATATTATAAATCTGAAAGTTTGTGAGTTTGTGTGTATGTTTGTGTGTGTGTGTGTGTGTGTTGCTCAATCACGCATAAACTACTGGACGGATTGGGCTGAAATTTGGCATGATGATAGCTCACATTCCCGATTAACATTAAAGCATATTCTTATCTCAAAAACCCTTTCGGGCTCTGTAGTTAGCGAGTTAGCGTAGCGAACGAGCTAACCTGAAGGCAAGTGAGCGCAGCAAACGAGCTCCAACCAGGACGTGAATGAGCCATGCGAATACTTATGAAGTTAAACGGGGCGAAGCCCGCGGGTACAGCTAGTAGTTTAATAAATGTTGAAAAACTCTTAATTGACTTGGAAATATAAAGTTAAAACAGCAAATTACTCAACAAGGTATGTTTAAGCAGCTGAGTTATCTAGCTATAGATGACAAATCAATAAAAGCTGACTTAATAAAGCACAAGGTAAAACTAATTTACAGCATTTAAGAATCAAATACACTATCTTTGAAAATGTGAAAAACCTTGAGTTTATACATTTTATTAATTCAGATCATTTTAATAAATATTTAAAAGTTAAAATAATGTACAAATCTTATCAGATTGTTCAATAAAATACAACATGGAGTATACAGTAATTATTATCAACAGTAAAACTGTGCAAAAACAAAATCTGTAAACCGTGTTTTATTGTAGTTTATTAGTAATTTCTCAGTGGTTTATATCAATAATAGTATTGAATAGCAGATCATTTGAAAGATTATTAAATGGCCAAGTTTTTTATGCATTTCAACATTGCATAGATGAAGGTTTATGTGTCAAAGTGGGCTCATGAAAATTATCGTAATTAATTAATTTAATGACATTTTTACTTTATTTTGGATATAACGTGGACTATGTAATGGCATAATTCTTGAATGAAACCTTTGATTTATAGAAAATTTAATATTCTTTCCAATGATTTTAACTATAACTCTCTAAAGTAATTGGTTAAGTTTTTATTACATAAATTGTGGAGCAAAGTCTAATAAAATAAGAAAAACACAAAATCCCCTATTACAGCCAAACGGTTGAAAACCGGACATGGGTTTATAGGACCTTTTTTGTTCCTTTTAGTGAGTAGAACCTACTGGCGAAGTTAACACGCTAAGTAGAAACTCACCCTGTATACATATATATATGAATTTGAACGGATGGTGTTTTTGGCTTCTAGGGACATCAAAATGAAAAAGTAAATCGGTCCCGAGACTAAGTCTTACCATGAGACCTACGGTAATAGCTTATTCCCTAAAGAGAAATTCGCTAATATCCCCTATAGGGAAATTCGCTAAAAGTCCCTTCCAGTCCACATTACGCCGAGTTTGCGGGACTCTACTGTACCTTACATGTCTGTGACAATGGCTAAACCCGATTTTCAATACTATTCCTAACAAAACTTAAATACCTATACCTAAACTTACGACTTCCTCGTAATGTAGCCTTCATCGTCCAAAACCATAGGCTAAACTATTGCAATTTATCAAATCAATTACCATTCCTAATTGAGAGAGTGACACAATTGACTACATCTAGAAGAAGAGCTGGTAATATTGGGTTGTATAGCCTACAATTTAAAATAAATACATCAATATTGAATTAATTTTTAATTAATTTAATATTGGTGATGTTCTCATTTAAAATTTTAATCTATAGTAGCCTAACTTATATTCTTGCAAAAGTATTATATGGAATAAATGTTAAGTTAAAGGAAATATAACCAATGAACCTTTCTTGGTTCTTAGGTTACAGTCCGGTGTTGGTGTGATCAACAACATTGACTCACAGAAGTTTCCTCTAATTCTGAACAGAGTCTCTCAATGTATTCAGAACAATTCAGATGATTTGAAACCATTTTCAAAGGATGAAGAGGATAAGCTCGTGTCTACATTGGGTATAACCCCAAAGGAACTGAAACTTGTACTGGATTGTTCTACTCTTATCCTTAAACAGGTTGGTTGAGTTGTATTTTACTAAACTGTAAGTATTAACTTATGTAAAAATCACAATATTTCCACTTTACGAGACATGGCCACAATAATCTATTTAAAAGCCTTTTTTACATTTGATGTCTTAACCACAATCTGCGGATTAGAGAATCGTCAATGTTCATTAAATGTTGGGTTTATTTATATTAAAAAATTAATTGTCGTTCAATTAACGGTAGATTCTACAACCTTTTGGACATCAAGACATTTTTTAGGTACTTGATAAGGGGATCCCTAAGCTTACCACAGGCTCTAAACTAGCGAGTTATGAAATTGTCTTAGCCGTTACTTAGTGACTGGTGGGTGAACCTAGGGTTTTAGTTCTACCATCATATTAGCTGTATTGAGATACCTAACTAGTTTAGACTTAAAATGGTTTGATTAGTTTGATAAAAAAATGAGATAGCTAACACATGTAACTTACGGATGGGCTCTTATTTTTCCTACTTAAATTTTTACTAGACAAAGGGCTTTCCTTTAAAATATACAAGTGTACCTGTTGCTCGAATTCGAGCAATTGCGTAGTATTACTACAGGTGTTATTTTAAATCGAATAACAGTCATAACTTCCGGTAACTTTAAAAGAGTCGACTCAAAGATTATGGAAATACTCACGATGTACAAAATAGTTCAATATAATCAACATTTCTTGTAAATATTTTATCATTTTTAAAAAGCTGATCTAGTTTTTTAGTTTTTTCTACAAATGTTTCACACTCATAGCCGCATTAGGTTGTCCATAATACAAATTATTAATTTAAAAAAATCTTTATTTCTATTTCGTCTACTTGAGACTTTCCTATGTTTCAATAGTTTGCAAATCGGCTCTTTCAATGATTGCTCAAGAAATGCGGCTCAGTGTAAATTCAGTTTTTTTTTTGTATATTAAATTGTGCGGGCTTTCTTGCTTTTTTCCAAAGTTAATATGTATACCAACCCAAATTCAAATAGTAAATATTTCATTTCAACCAAGTCAGGCCTATTATTAATTTAGATTTACAGTAAATCAATGGTCAAAGGTTCTAAAGCACAATTTTTTTTAGGCTGCATTCAATATAACAAAACCAGCTATATTGCAACAACAGCTGACTCATCACTTGAAGCTGGATGAAGACAAAGCTGGTGCATTTGTTTCTATTTGGACGAATCAAGCGAAAAACATTGTTGGTACACTGAAACAAAAATCAACTCATCCAAACCAGGTTTGTATTTTTTTTACTAGCAGTGCACCCCTTCCATAGAAGGGGGTCTAGTAGTCAGTCAGTTGAAACCGTAGTCTTTACAGAACGCCAGTTTGTTCGGATTAAGTTTTACATTTAAATACATTTTTACAGATATGCAAGCAAAACTATTTATATACACATACCCGATGGTATCTGTCAGTTTTGAGGCAACCCTAAAGCCTTGCGAATCAACGTCACACATAAATATATTTTTTAGTAGTTTATATTTGATATCGGTTGATAAAAACTATACTAACAGTTTTTTAGCTTTAAGGACTGTTCACACCGGCGTTGCCAGACGTATTAATACTTTTTTGAAATACGTAGCTTCCTAATGTAATTCATAATGAGTGTTCACACCGGCATATTAATACGTGAGCTACGGAAGCTACGGCGCTGCCGCTACGCCGGCTAGCTACGTGTAGCTCGCATAGCCGAATACGCGCATGCTTACTAGAACACCGGGCTGTCACCGCCACCCTCCCTCCACCTCATAATTAATTTATAAGTGGTAAATGTTGGACTATAACATAAAAATTCACTTAAAAAAATCATTAAATCACATTAACCTATCACATTCAAATTAAACTATAACATAACAATCATAAGACAACTTTATATGATCAATATAATAATACTTCATCATACACCTAATGTCCACTAAATGTTTTTGTTTATGTTTGCAAATCTCCTTACTGTGTCAAAAACAATGTCTCTCCTAATATGGTTTATTAAGGTTTATTTACTGGGCTGACATTTATGAAACATTAATGAACTATTTCTAGACATAAGCCTACGTCTTACTTACACCATAGACTATTTTATTATGTAATCCTTATGGATGAGAAAAACTATTGCATGTTTTCTGGTAAAATTGTTTTAAATTATAATATAGCGCAAATCCTATAGTCTTCTATATACGGCCTAAAATTAGAGTGAAATATTTTTGTCAACATTAACACATTAATCAACAGAACTAAAAATTAACCATTCCCAGACAGCCTATAATATGTAATACAGACAGCAAAATTAATCTATATAAATAAAATTAGAGTTTTGTCTGTACATTGCTTAGAATAATGAACTTTTTGGTTATTTTTACATTTCATAGGTCAGAGAAACCGAATCAAACCTTATCTCAATTTCTGTCTGTCTGTCTGTCTGTCTGTCTGTCTGTCTATCTGTCATTCTCTTGGTAACGCTAAAATACGCACTTTATTACAACTACTCCTCAATAACTATAGCACTGTCCCGCCTGAAACTTATTTTCCAAATACTATACATATATGAGATGGTTTTAGACGTATTTCATCGAATATGAGACAGTTAGATATTTAACAGTAAACCCTTGAAAATCAAGTTTTTGTCGATTTTTGACGTGGAATTTCTGGAAGCCCATGTTAACCTTATGAGAAATGAAATTATTGAATCTTAACAGCTGTTTCAATTAAACAAGTTGGTTCTGTTCTGTGATGTTCAATAGCATTAAAGTTACAAGGATTACCAACAGGGTGCAGCACTAGCACTATTATTTCTTTTACATTTATGACAACAGCTAATTTGCAACCTGGAGGCGAGTGAGCGTAGCGAACGAGCTAACCTGAAGGCAAGTGAGCGTAGCGAACGAGCTAACCTGAAGGAAAGTGAGCGCAGCGAACGAGCTCCAACATACAGGTGAGTGAGCGTAGCGAACGAACTTCAACCAGGACGTGATTGAGCCATGCAAACGAGATCAGATAGTAAAAATAAAAGTAAGCCTACCGTTATAGGATCGACCGGCAGACACAGAGGTAATTTAACCTTTTATTGATTGTCATACCGATCCGGAACAACAAAAAACAACATAAAATGAAGCTATGTATAATAGTTTGGCCAGCATATCTTAAAATATGCAAACCAACTGCTGTTCTTTATATAAGAAGGTTTCAACTGAATATTATAAGATCCCCGTGCGTAGAACGGGTACACAGCTAGTTCAAAATAAAAAAATATCTTTTTTACATCTGTAATTTGTAGATTGTTGTATATAGTTGACATCCAAAATAGTTTTGTTGGACTTATTTATTTTTTAAACATTTTTTGTTACATTTTTTATTTTTTTAGAAAAACATTCCTAGTACATCGGTTGAAGATATAATTGAATACAAGGCCGTTTTTACGAAGATTGATGTTGTTTGTTATATAAAATCAACTATAACAATGGATGTTGTAATAGGCGGATATCTACAACGTCCGCTATGCACATAATGATAGCGGATATATCCACCTATTGTCTGGGAAGGGTAAAATCAAAAGCTACATTCCACTTTGTTTGAAGGTAGGGTGAAGTGGGGTAAGTTGAACCAGGGGGCAAGTGTAACCACAGCTTATCAATCAACTGATAAGAGAAGTTTCAGCTTAATTGCCATCATATTGTTTTATTTATTTTTATTTTTAAGAATTTATTTTTCTTTTTTTAAGTTAGTCTTAAACAACTAGTTACAATTACAACTACTACAAGTGTAGTATTACTTAAGCAATGTAAGGTCAAAGTTGAACTATGCTAAAACCTGGTTCCACTTACCCCACTTAGCCCTAATTAAAGACAACTTCGATAAAAATGTAAGGTAATGTACAATATGTGGGCTACAAACTAGTGATATACAAACAACGTAAAGTGTAAACAATTCATGACAGTGTATACATTTTCATGACATAAAATATGTTCAGCCGTTATTGCGTGGTTTGGTAACAAAGTTTGCATTAAGAGCTTCGTTTAATGAGATTACCCTACTCTACGACCTCCCCATACTGGGGAATAACGAATAGCAATATTTGTTAGTTTTTTGGCGAACTTCTATTTTATTCGTTAGTTTTTAAAAAGTGCTGGAAATAACCTCTACTTAGTTAGATGTATAGCTAACGAATAGATAATATATTCGTTAGATTTTTGGTCAGGCGGAAGTATCTCAAATACGGGCTATTTATTTTATGTGATTAGTGAGGGTTGTGTGCGGTCATGAGGGGTCAGTGCCCTTGTTGACAAAAAACGCGGGGGGTGGGGAAAGAGAAAGTCAAAGTCCAGTAGCTTTGGTATGCAGTGGGCCTGTGGAAGGGCAGTGACGGCCAATAAGAACACCCCAAGCACCGATGGCTGGGAAAGGGGGAATGTTTGTTTGGTGATTATACACTCAAGTGTCAAAACATTGTCCTCAGTTTAAGTTCATTATCTGACAGTGACGACAAGTTTTATTTTAAGTCATTTGTTTCTGTTGTAGTAATGTAAAATGTAACAATTTTTGATTAAAACACAAGTACCAGGTGGCCGAGCATTGCTCGAGGTAATTCATTTGTTCAAGAGGTAAAAAAATATAACTTATCTTATAAGCCTACAAATATTTTCAGTTTTACTATGATTAATTAAGTTGAAAGTCAATTTGTTTTCGGTAGACATCCAATCACCCTTAATTATTTACCTAACAAACTTTTTCATGTGGAAGAGCAATTTATAAAACATCTACAATAAGCTTCAATATCAAACTCATAATATGATACAGTACAAAACATCTGTTATCTGTTGACCGTTATTGCGTTAGTCACTGGGATCGTGGAACGTCGCAACTATAATCACGGGATGGTGTATTAACGCACCAATTTGTGCGGTGCGGTGCATCCTCAAAAACTACATAACGTCCTTGGCCTTTCCTTTAGACTTTTAGTTGAATATGAGTGTATAATGTTTTTGAACAGTCTTAATTAATTATCCCTTTGGTTAGTAATATATCATACAATCCAAATGTATTATTTAAGCAATGCTCAATAGCATTCATAGAATTCATAGCATTCCTTTTCCTTTGTACTGTATTTTGTAATTTACTACTGTACTGTAGATGATTTGTTACAAGCTTATGATACAATCCATTTGTTTACATTTTCGTAACAGTCATAGCTACTTTACAGTCGATAAGACTAATGTTAAAAATATTAAAATGTTTTTAATGAAAAATGAAATTGTCCCAGAACAGAGCCTGGCATGGATATTGTTTTTAGCATAAAACTAAGATATTACTAATAATTTGGAGGAAAATCGTTGGAGCCGTTTTTTATTTCATTATGCGCAAACTTTACTCATATTATAGTATAGATTAGTTACCAAGATGTGTCATTATTTCATTACATATGAAATCCTTTAAAACAAGTGACCAACAAAGAGCTAGGCCTATTTCTACAAAAACTAACTTTATTTTCTATCAGTAAGTTTTTCAACTAACTAATAACTTCTATCAGTTACTTTTTAAACTAACTAACTAATAACTTCTATCAGTTACTATTCACGGGACTAACTAATAACTTCTAATTATTTAGAATTTTTGACTAACATTCCCAACTATGGGCCTCCCGCTCATTCGCAATTTCAATGTGAAGCTTATATAGTTGTGGAGACTTATGGGTACAATATAGTTTGTTGTGTTGGTACAGGTTGAGGGTGTGACTTGGTTGTTGGATGCAGCGGTTGGCAGCAGTGATGGGCCAGTGTTGGAGCCTCGTGCTGTTGTGGAGCTTAAGTTGAAAGATTCCGGCCATCTGAGGTTAGACCTCAACCAACAACAGATGCTTGCATTGTACGAAACTCTTGAGGCTGTTCAGAGCCAACTAGATACCTTAAGATGATTAATCCTCAACATATGACATTCCTCAAAAGTTTATACTGTTATAATTTGTCTTGTATATATAATCTATTAAACATTATTCTTAAATAATGAATGTAGTGAACTTTATTCCTTCCAAGAGGGTTATGTTATAACATTCCTTTGAATATTCTCATTTGTACAAAAGTTAAACTGTAGAACATTGTAAGAAGCAACTAATGAGATCAAATTGGTGTAACAATTTTAACTGCATGTTCCGCCTAAAAGATTCCCAGTTCCAACTAGCCACAGCTGTCTGCCATTCATTGAGAATAAAATTCCAATTATTTAAATCAGCTTTTATGACCAACTATCAACAGTATAATCAATATTTGAATAGGCCATCATTTATTAGGATTTATTATTGACCTCAGTGCAAGTAAACTTCTCGTTCAGTTTCACTCTATAAAAATTTAAACGCTACAAGTGCAACGGTTCTCGAGTTTTGACCTGAACACCCAGAGTGACAGACAAGCGGACAACTAATCTCCGACTCCGCTATACACGATACATAGATTCATTCACTTCGTACTGTATCAAAAACGTCCTATTGTAGGAATAGAGATAAATTATTTAGCTTAGTTGGCTGTTTCACCCAATTATTGAAAAAGTAGTCCTGAACAGAAAACAGAACATAAGCAATATATATATACAAATTCAACACATATAGCTGGCCCAACAGACGTCGTCCTGTCCTAATGTGATTTTATGTCAAATGCTCGTTCACTTTCAAGATGAGCTCGTTCGCATGGCTCAATCACGTCCTGGTTGAAGTTCGTTCACTACGCTCACTCACCTGGTTGTTCGCTACGCTCACTCACCTTTTGGTTACAAATTACCTGTTGTCATAAATTTAAAAAAATAATAGTGCTGCACCCTGTTGGTAAACCTATTAACTTTTTAATGCTATTGAAAATCACAGAATTTAATTGTTTAGTTGGACCAGCCGTTAAGATTCTTTAATTCTAATTAAATGAGTACTCACAAGGTTAACATGGAAAACTCCAGAACCACTGGGGCGGAGCCCTTTTGACGGATCTGCACCATACTTCACACAAACCATCCTTGAATAATGCTTAGAAATGACTGAAAGTTTCATTACAATCTGTCGAGCGGTTTCGGAGTCCATAAAGGACAAACAAACATACATACATTGGATTTTATATGTATAGATAGGCATGCAGGGAGATTAAATTTAAAAATATATAAGTTACATTACACAAGAAAATAAACATCAAGGAATGTGGACGATAATGGTGTGTATTCAAACTCCTTCAATCTGAGAGCCGCAATAATTCATACTTTCTTTTGGATCCTCTGATCTTTGTTATTACTGAATCATAAATTTATATTTTGGACTCTCACTAGGTTCACAAGATCCAAAGGAGGTCGTTTTAAGTTAGTTCAATGTAAAATATTAGACTACTTATGGTAATGAGTTTTTTTTTGTTTTTTTATCTTTGGATCTATTTTTGGGTCTTATGAAGATGATCCGTTTATGTACATTCAACTGCAGGAGTATAAAACATATTCATGTTAGTTATTATTTTTACTTTTGTCTTGAAAATTGGAAGATTTTATTTCAGAGTCCTTATGGACCAGTGCCACTGCCTATCCTAGTGTACGTACAGTCTTCATAGCACAAAGAAAACTCCAACCAATGGCTAAGCACTTGGGATTTAGCTTTGTGAAGAATAGATTTTTTGTTTTATTTTAAGATAAATTAATGCAGCTATGCTGTATTAATGTTTGTTTACAACTCAAATTATTTATAGTGGCTGGCTAAACCACTGAGCTATAATAATATAACTGGAGTAACCACTCTGTGTTTTAAAAACGTACCACTGTTTTTGCTGGTTTTGTTTCAGAGTTTCGTTTTGTTAGGTTGGCCGGGTGATCGGGTTGGTGGGACTTGTCAAATTAGAGAGGCAAAATCAAGATGGCGTCATCCTGTTTTGTTGATGATAGTAAACAAAAATCTGCCAACTCAACGTTATGATTGCAATATAAGTTTATTTGTTTATTTTACGAGCAAGAGCATAAAGATAAAGATCATAAACCGATGGTCGTTATTTAATCAAATGCCATAAGGCTATTGGCCTAAACCAATATCTCCAAACCATCTCCAGGAAACTTGACTAGCCTATTTTCACCACATAGCTTTAAAAGAGGTAAATAAGTTAGTATTTATTTACTATCAAACAAAAACAATTTATAATGTTTCAAAATAACTTTAAATACAGAGGTTTTAACGTGCAATAACTTAAATAAGTTTTTGATACAAGTCCCTGAAATAACGGATAACATAACCCCAAATAAATAGTATGGTTAGGTTAGAATGAATTGGAATTATTTGACAGCATCCCACCAACCGATCACACGGCCAACCTAACAACACGAAATGCCAAAAACAAACCAGCCAAAACAGTGGCACGTTTTTCTCTAACGTTTAACCAGAGAGTAGTGACTCCAGTTATAATCTATATCTCAATGGGCTAAACAAGCACTACTTTAGAGGCCTATGAAACATGCACAAGAAAAGGGATTAAAAAACACAATACTTTTACTGAACTTTGGATATGTTTATTTTTTAAATTCAAGATATAAATTAAAATTTACAAATTTTGTATTTATTTTCTATCAGTTTAAATGTCAACACACTAAATTGTTGATATAAATATTAAATCGATTAACTATATGGCTTTGGCCTAAAAACATTCCAGAAAATATTTAGTTCAAAAATATGTACTCAGTACAAACTTTTACGAACAATTTCTTCATTTACCATCAACGGCTAAAAAAATATCAAATTTGTTGACAAGACAAAGCTTAAATATTAAACACTGCAATAATAAACTTAAATAACTGTTAGATATAAAATATTGGAACAAAAACACAATTACGTTGCTAATGGGCTTAAATAGTGTTATAATAATTATAAAACATATCGTATCATGTATGGGGATTTGAATAGTGCTGACGTGTTCTTGCTGGTGTGGACTTATTATAAGACTTACTTTATATGGTCATGCTAAGTAGATTATGAGAAAATCTGGGGCTTCATTCACTAATTTTTAGGGAACTTAGCTTTTTTGAATTGCTCTAGAACAATTTTTATTTTAAAAGCAATAAATAGGTGAAGAAAGAGCTTTCAAGCTAGGTATATCTCAACCACAAGTTACAGTGCTTAAAATGTTGCATGATGGCTAGAAGTTTACTGAAATGGTATATGTTGATTATTAATTTTTATGATTTGGGGGATTGCAAAAATTATTTGATAAGATACATAAAGATCAAGATAACAAGCAATTAACATATTAATATTGCTTATTGTTAACAATAACAGTAATTATTTTGTTTAGGGTAAAGATATTTTATTTTTGTTTGTTAATTGCAATTTAGATATTGTTACCTAAGATAGTTTTAGGCGTGCCAACCGACAACCGAGAGGTTACTGCTGTAGCATGTAGTCACGTTCTCTGCGTGGGATATTGAAGTGCATTTCCAATTAATTTTGAAAATAAAGCGTTTTTTCATTGAGTAATTTTTATTCACTAGGATAAAATTTAACTAACATTTTATATAATTTATATGGAGTCTCTGGAAAACCTTCCAATTCTATTAAAAATGCAAGAATCCAACAGCGAGTACCTATTGCCTCACTGGACATTGTTGGGAGATCATTACGACGGTTGATGGGTTGTCATTACGACCTGGCTCACATCACCAGATACAAAAATAATGTTAAAGGAACTTAAAAAAAATCTGCCCATGCCATAAACATTGAAAGTTCCCTTTAGAAAGGAATTACAGCCCTTAAGGGCAATTTATGATATAATGGACAGTTTGGCACCAGGTTTCTCATCATTACGAAAATTTTAAGTTTATGGGTGTGTGACTTTTAAGTTTTCTAAAAGGTTCATGGGTACTTTGGGATTTTTATATGGATAGTTGAGATACACTTCTGAGCCAACTGCCTTTATTTAATAAATTTAGATGAGATAAAAAAATGTGGTGTTTCATTATACATTTTATAAATATAAAATATTGTTGGAAATTATCGAGCCTGCTTGATGTGTACAATCTTTGTGTATTTTACACATATCATGCAGTAAAAATAATATTATTTTTAAATAGTGTAGCGGTCAATTGCCATCAACACTCTTTACTGAGAGGACTTTCACATACCGAAGAGTATTTAAAAAACAAAAAATAACATCTGAGCATCATCTAAGGGGATTAGATTTAGGTAACATAATCACATGTTACTAAATAGATTCATTATGAGTTTGGTCAATAAAAGTATGTTCCTTCTTTAGTATTGCACGAGGTGGATCACTTTTTATATTTTACAACCACAATTTGCAAAAGAAATCTCTCGCTTCACTTGAGAATTTATTTTAATTTTAAATGTGACTTCAAATCTACAATACCTTTTTGGTAACTAACTAAATTATTAATAGGGCCTAGCATTTCAGTAAACCTACGTCTTATCCGTTTATTTTGAAATTATATCACCAATACATTACAAAAAGCTTTATTTATGCCAAGAAAAGAATCAAAGCGATTACAACAATTAAAATAATGTTTTCATAAAGTTAGGAATAAATTTAATTTTACTAACTAATACAAAGGGGTAGTTTACTAATTTTCAGCAAGAACATGAGAGCACACAAAATAGATTACAGATATTTACAAAAATCTGTGCTGCTACAAGAAAGAATTTCTTTTTAAGTTAAATAAAAACAATTTCTATGCCATTTTTTTGCCCGGAACACATGGTCTTACCTACTATCACAATCCTCTTAAAATCCTTCACATGCTGAATTTCATTCTTTTAACCTGAGCAGATTTGTTAAACAAAAAAAACTTCCTTCACTATTTTTGAAAAAATCTTTGATAAAACTTGTTCAACTTAAGTACACACCTTTCACATATAAATATACAAAATACGAGAACTATATGCAGTAAACCGGGTATTAAAATATAACATACAACATAAATAAAATATAAAATAGAGTAAAAGTAAAAACTTAAAAGTCTTTTAAACTTGAATCGGGGAAAGAAATTCATGTAAACACAAAATCTAGTTTCCAATTACAATTCAAACATTAACTCGGCGAACATGCCTAACTCATACCCAATCGAGGGTCATGTGTCAATTTTTTTCATTAAAAGTTCTCCAAGTGGATTTTCCAACATTTTTGAATTTTTTTGTACATTTTTTTTTTGAATTTTTTTTGTACATTTTTGGTTTTTTCTTTTATTTTTGTATGGCCCCTCATGGACCACTTCAGCTGGGTAACCGTTAGTTTAGTTTTTTTTTAGCTATACTGTACAATAACAAACGATATGTCACTCTGTAACATCTTCACAGCCTAATTCAAAAATTCAGTCTTAAAGTATCGAGGTCACGTGGATGGAATGGCCACGTGGAAGATGGAGTCGAGAGTGTGGGACTCCTGCAAGGCCTGACATGAAGCTCTAAACACCGCCACTATGTAGCGGAATTTCTCCTCATTGTATACTGCTCTTGCCGTGTTTGTATGGTCGAAGGGCTCTATAACATAACACAATGTTTTATATACTTCCTCCCTTAACCCTTCCTGAGCGTCGGCTGCAGGGCGAAGCCCTACACACTAAGCAATCAATAATTTGGTTAAGGTTAAAAATTGATTTTTGAATTAGGATGTTTTTACTTTTATCTGATGGTTAAAGTTGATTATAGACACCTTTTTATCAAAATCATTTTTTGTACAAGTGTTATGACCATAAAAAACAACACTCGCTGTGGAATGCATTAATTATCATAACCAGTGGTTGATTTGCAAACGTGGCGGAGCGGCATTCCAGTACCTCTTTCAGAAAGATAAAAATATTGGCATAAATAGGTACCGCACATTAAATAGGTAACAGTTCCAGGACCTCATTTTTTACAAATCTAGCACTGCGTCTAAGGATTGTAAGTTTTGTTAAGGTAAACATTTATTTTTAATAAACTGTTAAAAAATTATATATTCGGACTTAAAAACTTATGCAGGACTCAAAATTGTGCAATGGAAAACAAACCTTCAATGTTAAGCCAGGACCAGGCTCTAGGTTCGTTCTTGGGGCTCAGAAAACGTTGGCAAGTTACTTTGGGCAAAATGGTACCGCTTCGCACGGAGATGGCCTTGTCAGCAAACCTAAGGACAATATAGAGAGTCAATAGCGAACTATTTTACACACCGATGACACATAAAACACCGGTATTAAGTCATTTAGTCCTTTTTAGAGTATAAACATACTACAAGGAGATCTAAGCTATCTGCTTTTCCTTCACATACAAATCGAATTCCCAGTGTAGAGCCTTTCCTTGATCAAATCTATTCTAAATGTTCAAGAAACAGATGATACACTGCATGGTACGTTACACTATTCCAAACACTAGTGCTGGTGTCTAGGGCAAAGTCCAAACCCCCCCCCCCCCTCACGCTCATGTGCTACAACGGTCAAGGTGGAGGAAGACCCTGTGCCCTGTGCGATAGGAATTTCGCAGTGCTTGCCGTTCAGGCTCTTCCTTGCTCGTCACATATACCCTTGCGCATACGGTTGCCCGATAAGCGTGTTTACTCTGTACCTTCTTGTCTGTGGTTAAGAGCAATGCACATGTAAAAAATCTTAAATTTTAAGATTTCATAGGTGATAAAAATTGTTGCCATTATGTGTGTGTTTATGTTGTTGTTATGGCATTGGTAAAGTGAAGTGTGGCATGGAACGTTTGGAAACAGTGTTTCCACAATGTGTTTTTCCAAAGAACCTTTAAATATTGGTAAGTGACCTGTATTTTTCTACGGCAATAGTAAGCGCTTCCGCACTGGAAAATTTATGACTAAAGGTGTGTCTATTTTTTCTGTTAGGGCAAAAACTAAAGCTTCTTGAGGCACCACTCTACCCTTAAAGCAAGCTCGGTTAAGACAAATCTTCAAATTTAAGGGTTTTTTTTCCAAAAATTGGACTCAATCAGAATCCTAAGGCTCGCACAACTTGAAACTTAACATAAAAAAACTATGGAGAATTTTATTTAAATTCGCTTAGGGCTTTAAGTGTTAACCCTGAAAGAAAGGGCACAGCTCCCAACACTAAATTTTACTGTTAAAAAATTAATGCAATCTTTGTGATTTCCCTGAATATGAATGAATAGATACTCCCGCTGTTTATAATTTTACAAGTGCCAGTATGCTTAAAACCATTTATTTGACGAGTCTAGGTACACATACTCAAAGTCACAGTAGTATTGGAAGAACTGCAGCAACAGTTGGCCAAGAGGCTGAGTGTTCTCTGAGGGAGGCAAGTCCAGCTTTTCTAAGATGATCACATCGTGGATCTCTCGGTTCTCCCGGAACTTATGAGGATACTCTTTGTGCAGACATGGCAACACGGCTGGCTTCACACCACCTGTAACAAAAACGAACTTGTGAAGAACAGTATTCCTTACACAGGATCCCCGATTCTAGCTACAACGACTGTCCGCAGTACTATCCTGATAATTAGACCAATTCGTATATACCAAGGCAAAATGTGGTTCGGATTCCACTATAAACAGTAGATCCTTAATGCGGATGGGATACTACCTAGTATGGATTAACGACCACACTAATGAGTACCGTACTGCGACTATCCGCAGTACTATCCTGATAGACCGATACCTACGTTATAACCAAGCCAAAAATGTGGTTTGGATTCCACTATAAACTCCCTTAGTTGCCATTAGCTGTATGGGCTATTAATTAACAGCTGTGCCTAAGGAATATGTCGGCCTTAGTCATTAAGAAGACTACAAGATTGCGCCACTCATCCCACACTCATCTCCATTCATACTTGGCTTAAAATACCTACTTTGTATGGTCGCCATTTGATTGAAAAGTATAAGTACAGTATAAAAGTATAAGTATAAGCTTGAAAATTGACTGTGGAACTGCCAATTGGTTATTCCAAAACTGTGTTATTGCCACAATTTGCATAGAAAACTTTTTTTTGCACACATCAAATTGAAACGAATATTTGCTATTCCAGAAACAAATAGTTGCTCGGAAAACAACACATGTGTAGACATCTACTCGTTAATCGGCTAATAGCAAGACATTTAGATCGCCGAACATAAAATATTTTGTGCTTGGCGATTGGCTTTACCGGTTCAGTGAAAAATAGAGTATTTTTTGTATAGTAATAAAACCTAACCACATTTTGATGATGTATTTATTTACAAGTATATTTTATAAACAAAATTTCATCCAATCAAAATAGTTACGAAGTAAAAAAAAAAAAAAACAATAAATGAGATATAAGGTTGATTATGAACATGTTGGAAATCTTAACTACTTTTTCAAAATAAAGTATTCTGTGTTGTAAACATGCCACAAAATTTAATTTTGTTTGTTGTTGAACAATTTAAATATCTAGGGGTAATTATATCAAGCAGCAATAGTGAAGAAATGGAAATAAATTATAGGATTGATCAGGCTAATAAGTATAAACACTTGGCCCAACACAATAAAATAGAGAGAAAGGCATAATTGGGAGATGAAGAATATGTATAATGATTATAATGTAGTAGCACACGTGAAAGCAAGGAGAATAAGGTGGGCAGGACACGCACTACGGAGGGAATCGGGTTTGCTATTAAAAGAAGCAAGCATAGGAAAGCCAGAAGGGAAACAACCTAATGGTCCAAGAACACAATGGTCCAAAACAACATGGAAGGCCCAAGAAGAGATGGTGGGATAGTGTCTCCAAAGGACGTCAGAGAAGTGGGGGCAGCAGTGGAAGAGGCAGAAGATAGAGGGATGGAGAGCAGTTGTTGGTGCGGCCTAATCCCGCCTTGGGCATAAATGGCCATGGGAGTGAGAGTGTGTTTGCAAAAAATACTGTTTAGCTGACAGGGATCGGTCAAGTCAACTGTAACAGGATGCCAACCCAACAAGAATTACTACTGGCAAGTTAACAGTATAGCAAACATCTAACATTTTACATCTAAGTCATTCCGTTGATTGTGTTAAGTTAGCTATGAGATGTATTTAGACAAGTGATTACTGGTCTTAAATCTTTCCCACAAGAAAAGTCGTTTCAGTACTGCCCACTTCATGTTGATCCAGTCCACGGTTAAACCAGTGCTAATAAAAATTGTCCGGTTAAGGAGATGTCACTTCTGCCGAGTGTAGTTCGGTTATATCCTTGTCCGGTTAAAAGGTGCCGGGATAAGACGTACAGTTGGTGGTCCTACAGCCTAGCGTGGAACTCTAATCATCAGGTTTCTTGATAATCATAAGTTTATTGTCATTGGTGATAAGACAGGACTAGAGGCAGAAGTGTGAATCACTACAGCTAATAACTTGTAAATTACATCTACCAGAACAGTTACTCACACTGCAGGAAGTGTATCACCATGAGAGCGAGCGAGTAGGAAGATATGGTGCAGTTCTTGGCATCGTTTATCTGGTGACTCTGAGCCCACAGCTTCACCAGCAACACCAGCGGCTGCACCCTCCAATCAGCTGATGATATACATTCAAACATTTAGTTTATGTGCAAGTTACCCCAACAATAAAACATTTTGTTTTAATAACAGCCTCACATTAAAAGGTGTTATGACTACTATATGCTATTGCTCCTGCAGACATATCTTTTGTTGCATATCTTAACCCTTACCGCGCTGTAGACGAATAAACTCGCCGAAATTCCCTTTGCTCTAAACGCCATAGACGACTATACTCGCCTTACAGAGTGCATTGGCTGGTCCTTGTAGTTCCCAGTTTTGCCGATAGAGTGCAGCAGCTTTTGGAGAAAATATCACGTGATGGAAAATCACAATAACAACGTTACCCGCCCTCTGTTCAAAATGGCGACACCCTACACTTGCTGGTCTCTGCTATGAGAGACGCCAGCGCTGTGGACGAACTAACTCGCAAGTGTTTGGTTAACTCGCAGACTCCACAGAAAACTTCGTTCTCTGCTACGTTCGCTATTATATTGGCTTATTAAAAAAAAATTCAGCTTGTTGACTTTTGGGAAAATATATTTTTTGGGTGTATGAAGCGTTACAGTCAAGTCCACCCAACATATCTGTAGCGCGGTAAGGGTTAAATAAAACATATTCATGGCACAGTATCAATTGTAAACTTTTTTTAATAAGGTTAACAGCTTCTGTTAACCGTGCATTTTCCTATCCTCATAGGGCCTGTGTGTTAAATGTTTACATAAAAGCAAGGGATGTACCAGTACAGTATCCGAATCCCAGGATCCGAATTCACAACATAATTTCCTTGGACCCAAATACAAATTGTGTTTACCTAATATTTTGTAGAAACATTTTTAACCTTGACAACCTAACACTGCTTAAGGCCTGTTAAGGTTTGTAAACTGTGGGTTGTAAAACTTAACCTAAAGTAGTAAGACAATAACTCCTTGCTAGGATTGTAAAACAATAGACAAACATCCTATTGTGTTTTACTACAAACTTACCCTGAGAATAGCAATGGAGTAGATGGGTGTTGAGGATGCCGACGGGGTTGTTGCAATTGATGTCAACATCGATGCCAGTGCAGTGTCGGAACTTGAGCAGGGGCACTTTGGCATCAATCATCTCAATGTTCTGAAATGAGCACACGTCTGGCTCCTTGTGATCTACACAAATCAATAAGATACAATGTCAGAGTTAACAAACTCATTTTGAATGCCAATAAACTGTAGGCAATAGAAATCTCTTATTTTGCCATGAATTGCAGAGTTTCGACAAAAGTCTGTGATTGTGTATTTAAAAACAGAACTTATCCAGTACCGTACTAATGTTTTGTGTATATCATGTAAAGTTTTTTCAATTGCAATGGCGGCCTTACAAAGGTAAGTATTTGAAGCCAAGTATGAATGGAGATGAGTGTAAGAAGAGTGGAACAATCTTGTATTCTTGTTACTGACTAAGGCCAACATGTTCATTGGACAGGACTGTTAATAGCCCATGCAATGAATGGTAACTATGGGACCAACAGTTTATAGTGGAATCCATGGAGTTATGTTGTTATCTTTCAAATTTTCACATATCCGTGATAGTCATATTCATGTAATGTATATTCTCATTCTGTTTTTAAAGGACAAAGAAGATATACAATACTATTCCAACGGTTTTAACATTTAAGTGTTGAAATAACTAGGCTTTAAAGTTTTCAGGTGTTACCGTACAGTAGCATAAATTTCTTACATATTTATTTACCCTTCTCCTCGGTCAGTCTAATTGTTTACGATTAAATGAAAGTTATTGAGCTATACCATAGAAACAAATACATGTACCTAGTGTATAATACAACTGAAAGGTATAAACAGTTAAGTACTCACTGATGTCAAAAATGATGTCCTTGACATTGTTGAGGTGCATTAGTGCATCTGCTCGAGGGTCGAGGAAGAATTGGCTTTTAATGACTAGACACAAGTCGAGATCACTGCTGTTGCCGCCGAACCCATTGAACGTGGAGCCAACGATGAACATGCTGTAGCCCAGTTGCCTCTGTAATCGTACAATGTTTATTTAGGCGGGGCAGACCATTGGTAGTTATTTTCTTGCTAAGCAGTTCTTTCAAATATTTACTGTTTGGTCCGTTTCTGGTTGCATTTCATATTAACAAATCCAGATTACAAATGGACAGAATTTATAAAATCCACCTTACCTTGATGTTTATGTAGAGCTGCTTGAACAAATGCATCTTCTTGAGGTAGTTTTCCGACGTCTGTTGACAATTCATGAACTTTTTCCATATCTCTGTTGACAGCTGATCCCATTCATTTCCCCCTACCAAGTCTGAGGGAGTCATTGTCACTTGGACGGAATCACTGCGATTCAGGTAACGGTCGGGTACAGTACTGAAATAAACCATAGATACTTTAGTAATATGTAAAGAGCAAATCTCTAAGATAATCTTAGAATGTGGTGCATGTCTGTGTGTTACAGCTTAAATAGCCTACTTAACCTAGCCAATAGAGCTAAAATTTGTATTTGACATTTATGATCTAGGTACAGTGGAGTCCCAATAATCCCAACTTCGGTAATCCGAAAGTCCGCTTAACCCTCCGAGTGTTATGTGTCGTAAAAGCGACTCATAACACATCCGCTGTAGTGTTATGTGTCGCTTTTGCGACTCACAAACACTGTTTACGGCGCCGGCTCTGGGACTGACTGAATCAGATTGAACTAGATCGAGTTAGGTATAATTTTTTTCAGCAGATTCAGAGCTTTCTCCTGATGTCTGTTTCTATACGCTTTTCATTTTAGTTCCGAAAATATTGTAGCAGACAGCTGATGTAAACAGCTTGGTTAACCTCGCACTGATGACTGATGTGTTTTATTACGTTTATCAGTGTTAAAAATCAAAAGTAGTGATATACGTGGTGCATTATAAGAAGATTTAAGTGATTTTGAAAAGCTGGTTGATGATCCTGAAGAAGTTAGGTAGTGATATTGATGTAAATTATCAGCCAGATTCCTAGCTATGGTTAGGCTATGCATTCTTAGCTAAACGCTATGTACCAAAATCTGTTTTTTGCCCATAACTTATTTATTTACAAACCTACTTCCTTATATTATTATATTTTTGGAATCCTCATAAAATTCTGAACAAAGTGGCTATTTTAAAATATTTGTAGACCTATAAATTATAACAATTTATTGAGCGCAAACATAAATTTTTTTCATTTATTTTATAATTTTTGAGAAATGTCAACCCCACAAAAATTGTTGAACATTTTTTTTGTAATGTTTTATATGTTACATTGAAGCCCATAATTTTCCATAATAAACAAAATGATATATAAAACAGTATACTTTACATTGTTTTTAAGTTTCTAAGATACATTTTAATAAAACCCTGCGATTGCGCAATAAATGGGCGAACATTAAGACCAAAACTAGAGACACTTGGAGGGTTAATCCGAAACAAAAAAATACATTTTTATATACAAAATTTTAAAATTTTTTTGAAAATTGTTTGACATTTTTTTTATTAAACTTTTAACACAGTTAGCTGTACCTCGTCAAAGTATTCTGTAGCGGCCGGGCGAGATAGACTTTTTTGTCTATTTTAGTAAATAGAGAGTATTTTAGTAAATATTTCACCATTTTTGTTACTTTATTATTTTTCATTTTCGTCCCGAGTTCCAATCCCGCCAAATCACAAATGGATTTTATTAAGTGATAATGCTGCAGCCACTAGGTCTAGCCTTAAGTAATGTGAAAAACAATCCCGAGCTCAGCCTGCGTCCTAAGACAAAAAAAATAGTTCAAAAAATAAAAAAAAATTTAAATTTTGTTTTCAAAATTTTCAAAAATAAAAAAAGTTTAATCCGAAATATTTGGTAATCCGAAATGGGCCCAGTCCCAACCATTTCGGACAAACGGGACTCTACTGTACTACACTTTTGTAAATAAGGTAATGAGAATAATTGTTGTGTTGAATAAATTGTTACATTGATTGTTTAATGCTTACATTGATAAAACTTGTATTCTGAACAACATAGGGTTATGAAAGTTTTCTATTATATTTGTTCTTGCTGTTGTATTTATTTAATGAGTTGCAGGCTGCAGTTTTTGGGAGAAGCCTGACTAAAACCAAAGAGAGTTTAGGCAAAGCATATCTATTTTTGTAATAGACTATCAATATCAAATAATAGATTTTTTTCTTCACTACAGTATCCTATATTGAATAATTCTGTTTTACCAATTAACTTTAAATATAGGCCTAAGTAGGTTGTTCGACTAAACAAACACTGAAGTTAGAATATCTTTTAACTGCAGAAAGTATAAGCTTTATAGTTTACTATCCTCCCACTTACTCATAGTTGTTGTTGCCGCCGGGGAGGTGCTTGTGACGCCGCATGTGAGGCAGAGCAACCGGGTGTCGTCGCTTGTGGTTAGGTTGGTATCCATGGTTGTTGTAACCATGAGTATAAGGCATGCACGAGCGCACCATCTGGGGATGGGATCCATTGAGTTCACAATGTCGTCTGCAATTGTAAGAATAACGGAATTAAAAATACTAAGGATGGACGGGTCCCGAAATTTCGGGAATTTTTCAGGAAAAAATATTCCTGATTATCGGGACGGGATAACATTTGATTCGGGAATTTTTCGGGTCGGGATTTGGTCCGATCGTCGGCGATTTTTCCGCTTCGCGAGTGCCGATAACGCCGCTATTGCGAGCCATAGGTCCGCGAACGCAGGAGACGAAGTAATTTCGACGAATGCGCCGTGACCGCGGAGTCATAACGACGATCGCGCCGTGACAGCGAGTCATACCGACGATCACGCCGTGACCGCGGAGTCTTACCGGCGATCGTGCCGTGACCGCAGAGTCATGCCGGCGATCGTGCTGTGACCGCGGAGTCATGCCGACGATCGCGCCGTAATTGCGAGTCATACCGACGATCATGCCGTGACCGCGAGTCATACCGACGATCACCCCGTGACCGCGAGTCATACCGACGATCACCCCGTGACCGCGGAGTCAAACCGACGATCGCGACGTGACCGTGAGTCATACCGACGATCATACCGTGACCGCGAGTCATACCGACAATCAAACTCTGTGACCGCAAAGTCATACCGACGATCGCGCCGTGACCGCGGAGTCATGCCGACGATCACGCCATGACCACGGAGTCATGCCGGCGATCGTGCCGTGATTGCGAGTCATAGCGACGATCATGCCTTGACCGCGAGTCGTACCGACAATCACGCCGTGACCGCGGAATCATACCGACGATCGTGCTGTGACCGTGAGTCATACCGGCGATCACCCCGTGACCGCGAGTCATTTTGACGATTACCCCGTGACCGCGAGTCATACCGATGATCACCCCGTGACCGCGGTCATTTTGACGATCCCACCGTGACCGCGAGTCATTTCGATTGTGAGTCACAAGTTTCTATAGGTACCTGTAAATTGTTACCCATTTTTTTGTTTTTATAGATTAGTGCCACAAACGGTAAAAATTGATTTCGTATGTTTTTTTTGGTAACTGCAATACTCAAGACTTTCTTTTTATGCACAGAAAAAAAATCCCGTCCCGTCCCGAAAATCGGGAAGGAAATAAAAATCCCGTCCCGTCCCGAAAATCGGGAAGGAAATAAAAATCCCGTCCCGTCCCGAAAATCGGGAAGGAAATAAAAATCCCGTCCATCCCTAAAATATACTATGTCAAACACTTTAAAAGATTTACCAAGTGTGTTTAGAATTTTTAAGAATACTTTATTAATTGTCTTCCCTAATTTTGGTCCTGGTTAACATAGTTAGCAAAGACTAAAAAATGGTAGTTGAAATACTGATAAAATAGTGAGTCAAAAATGCTATTATACTGTTAATACTGTTCTATGAAATGGCAACCATACAAGGATTTTAAGCCAAGTATGAATGGAGATGAGTGTAGGATGAGTGGCGCGATCTTGTAGTCTTGTTAGTGACTAAGGCCGACATTCCTAAGACACAGCTGTTAATTAATAGCCCATACAGCTAATGGCAACTAAGGGACCTACAGTTTATAGTAGAATCCGAACCAAATTTTAGACTTAAACTTGGTCTAATTATCAGGTTAGTACTGCGGATAGTCGTAGTACTCATCCGTGCGGACGTTAATCCACACAAGGGAGTATCACATCCACAGTGCATGCCTATAAATACCCACAATTCGTGACCTCCTAGTAAGTAGCTGGATTACAGGACAAAGCCACCCGTCCCAGTCATATTAGAGACTATGTAGTGAGCAGGCCTGTTTAGCCTTAAATTAACACCTCAATTCAGACGTTTACCTACAAAATCTCCTGATGTAAAAGTTTATTTACCCTAAAAACCCCTTAGATATGGTGGGGTTTTACTATGGTACCATTCACTTAGTAATAATATAATACCTTTGGTATCTGTATACATCTACGTTTGCTAACAGTTTGGTACTTACTGGGATTTATTGTGAAATAATGTTATTCTTACTTGACTCCTTTGCTAGACAGGTAGTTCAATTCTTCAGAAGAGCTATCAGTTTGGGAGTCCTGAGAAGGGGGACGAGGAGGACACAGCGGCTCCTGTATCTGACCTGATAACCTGCAAACACAAAGTTTTTTTTAGGACAATAGGCTCTAGCCTGGGATGGTTTTTCACATTACTTCAGGCTAAACCTAGGGTTTTTTTGCATCACTAAGATAAAATCCATTGGTGCCTCAGGACGCCTAAGTCCTACGCTTTACGACTAGACCAGCTTATACTAATACCTGACAACGTATAATAACCTATAGGTTAATACTAACAGAGCGGTCAAGAATTTTGAGGTTCTGCAAATATACTGCAAGCCCCTTTTCAGGCTTTGACTTTTCAAGTTTAAATGTAAGTTGTTAGATATTTTACATTTTTTTCAAGTGTTCATTAGGCTAGTTTGAAAACCAAGCGCTCCTGAAGCTCTAACTTTGTAAAAAGTACAGTAGACCCTATATAATCCGGCAGTGCGCCACTCCAGTAATCTGGCGTCTTTTGAAAGGTGTGGTCTCCCGCGATAACAGCAAAATTCTCATTATCTCCCGCAACCGTTTGGACATCATCATCAAATCCCGCGGTCACATAAACGTCATCGTCGTCTTGCGCGATCGTGGCAAAATTCTGATCATCTCTCACGGCCGTGTAGACAATACAAAACTTGTTCATTCCGAGCTGTCAAGAACTTTTCTGATTGGGGGCGAGCTTTCCTGAAGATTTATTTTTACAATGATTTAGGCTACATGAGAAAAGTAAGCCTATTGGGCAATGGATCCAAGAGTTTTAATTTAGCTCCTTTTACTTAAAAGCTTAAAAAAACTTATGTTTACTACGTTTAACCGAATAAACCTCGTATTCATCTTACCTATGCTGATTTTACACAGTTGCCATGAACTAAAGAACCAGCCTAAACAAACTAGAGATGTAAAATACTCAGGTTAGCATTTGTACTACTGCAGTGGTCCCAGTGTACCTCAGCTTGGGAAACACTGATCTAGACAACTAAATGAGGAAATTACTAAAAATGTATGTTGGACATCTACTCAAGTTAACAACCGAACACTGTGACACAACGAGAAAAACTATTTTCTCTAATTGTTAACCTATTTTTATGACTACTATAATTGGAAATACCTTGGGTTGTTGTAGCAATTGTTTGGCATCCAGTTGTGTTTTTTGTTGTTTTGCTTGTTGTTATACATATAATAATGTTGACCAACATTAACATACATATGCTGAGGTGTATCATTCTTCAAACAGTGAACGGTATTGTCACTTCGCTCTTTCATCGGACAATGCTGTCGTAACTGGTCTTCAGTCATCTGTATCATCATTTGCGGTTGGTACATCGCAGATGTGTACATTATAAGATGAATTCTCTGGTTGAATGGAAATAGTTTACAAACAAATGTTCTTATTCCATTTTAACAAAGTTTATCAGCAACTCGGAATATATATCTTTACTGTTTATTGTTTCTATTTATTGTCTTGTTTCAGTTTGATTCAGCTTGCATCTGTCCAACAGCACTGGCTTTATTAAATCTGAAAACAAATAGGTTTTAAGTAGCATAATGTTTAGCATATTATGTAATGCAAGGGGTCAAATATTGTAAGCAGGAAGGTGTTTTATGTTGTATGAGTAGGCTGGGGGTGTTGTTACAGTAACATGTTGAGCTGACCTACTGAAGGCTGTTGCTTTCAGTAGGTCAGTGCACTTGATCAGGCGGTCAGTTTTGTGTAGTGGTGAGTGTGGTGCACCGAGGACAGGGTCCTACTGGGGGAGCAGGAGCCCAAGGCCCTTGGCCTGGAGGAAATGTTATAATAAACAATAAAAATCAGTAGGCCTACGCAAGTTCTGTGGATAAAATAAGACTAACTTTTTTATACATATACGCTACAGTACATTACTATCGTATAACATTGGAAAAAATTGTAATAGTGAGTGACATAAAACACCTAACTTATGGTCTAATGAAAAAAATCATTTTCCTACAGTCGCACGACAATGTTGGTTCCTTGTACTGTTTTATAGTTATCTATATATATAATTCCGTAAGTCAAATTTTTGTAAAGAAATTGTGAGTGACTGGATGGCCGTAGAAGGATGGGAGGGGTCTTATTTTAAAGGTCTTGAGGTATAAATAAATATAAATACGAATAAAACTTTTCCCATTAAAACAACATGGGGTTTAATTTGTTTACATCTTTTGAAATTAAAACAGCTGTGCCACAGATTTGAAAACAGTGATCAATACCACTGAGCTAAAATTATAACTGGAGGTAGCACTGCCATGGCAGAAGTCTGTCAAAAGCGAGTCGCTGATTTTTTTAGGTTGGTATAGCAGTAAGTTTTCTTACCATAGCAATAACATGGCTTCTTATAACTAGGTTGTATAGCAGTGAGTTTTTTTGTCATAGCAATAACATGGGTTCTTATGGACACCCACCTCACGCAAACATGGCGGCTGGCGACACGCATCTTTGACATTCAGTGCTACCTCCAGTTAGAATTATAGCTCAGTGATCAATACACACATTTGGTTTACTTTTAGCCAGTCAACTATGAAATGTATACTATAATAAAACTGAAATATTGAAGATTAGTCGGAAAAACGTCTGCATTCTTTGTTTATATTTAAATCATATACTCAAGTTTCATTTTTCATGCTTTTACGTTATTGTCGTGTTAAAGGAATAAACGACATAGAATAAATATTCTGTATAAATAATCGAAGAGTCGAAATTAAATCTAACTTCTGTTTTGTTTTTATTTTTAAATCATATGTTCAAGTTTATTTTAAATGATGTTGTTTTCATTATATTTCTACACATTTTAAGGTTAAGGTTGTGTAAATATATACAACTAAAATAACCTATAAATGTTATTGGTTCTAAAATGGTGTATTTGCATTCCTTCGTAAGTAAATTTTTTTAGTGCAGTGAATATACAACGTAGTTTAATCATATTCGATCATACTTTTATAAAATCACCAGGGATTCAAGATGTTTTGGTATGTAGGCTGCTGGATATATATTCTTTTCATTATAAGTACTGTAATTAATATGAACGCCAGGGGAATACCACAAAGGCGGGGAACTGTTCATAGGAATGACAGTGCGCGTAGGAGAGCAAGAGTAGATAATGACGACGAACTTAATCAAGATATGTAACAATCCCTTTTTAGGAGACCCATGGTAGACGAGAGAAATGTAAAGATCCATGATGCAGGATTATTGGACCAAGAGTGCATTCAATGTAGTGCTCTTCATTTTAGAGAAGAACTAACGAATTATCATTTTATGACATGTTGTCATTACGGACTTATTAACCTTCCTCAGCCAAAAACTAATGTAGAACTTAAAAGTTTGTTTGAAGAGAGCCCACAACTGTATAAATTCATTCGACAATGCAACAGTGCGATGGCTTTGGCTTATTTTTCAGCCAGTAAGAAATATATTCCAGGAAAAGGACCATACTGTTTCAAAATTCAAGGACAGATTTATCGTTCAATCTCAGATTTGCTGCCTCAGCATGATGAAGACCCCGTGTATGGCCAATTGTACATTATTGACACATCAACAGCAACAGAAATTCGTCAAAGGCGTCGAGAAAATATTGACTTAAAACCTGAAATATTGTCAAAACTAGCTGAAATTCTATTAGAAAATCCATTTGCACAAATTTACAAAAGAGCTTCGGATGAAATGGTTGTACAAGGTGACAGTGAATTAGAACTTAGGTTTGTAGACAGGATAAATATGGATCGTCGTAGGTATAATAAGCCTACTGCAGATGAAATTGCAGGCGTCTTCAATTCATCTGAAGGCGAACCTCCAATGAATTTTTAAAATTCCAAACAGGGAAGCTTTTATTTATTCTCATTAACCACAAGACCAAAGCTACCTTAGTAAACCAGTATTTATTCACAAACAATGATATGTTTGCTGCCTTTTCATGTTAAACCACTGGAGCGATTCAAATTATTTATTGAAAATGACATCAACAAAAGCAAACAAAGAAGAACAACAAACTGGTTTTTACACAAAAGATATGGTGTAGGGATGCCTATTCTGACACATAGATAATGTTATTCTGAGTTTGTTTAAATACCGGTATTGCAAAAAGTTGTTTTACATTTGAGCTTTTTAGGGACTTATGTCCCTACAAGCCACTAGTAGTACAGAAAGCTGCTAATTGCTGCATATTTATACTTTGTCATACGGTTTATATTTTGGCGCACATCAGGATTCCAACGAAACAACACAAAACAGTGTGGTTCTATTATGCACGTAATCCGTGTACACTTGGAAATAGGTTGGCAACACTTAAAGATAATAATACTATGAGCAGCTGATTGACTATTATAACTATGATTTAACCTAGGTCATTTTGTGTTTATAGTTTCGGTATTTCTGAACTTTCTGGACTTTACTTTTAAACGTTTTTAAAACATTCCTACGATCTTAATAAACAAGAAAATACCTTTAAAGCATTTTTTAGGCGTGGAAACCACTTCAAATTACAAAAACATACGGTACTATTTTCTCAAGTCGCGGAGCACATTGCTTGCCGAGGAAAAAATAGCAGAGGGATACGGACCCGTGACTACTTTCTCTAGGGCACCTATTTGTGTTGTCAGCTGAACCTAAAGACGTGTTGTAAGTACCGGTAAGGCTATAGAGTTTGAAAGACTAATTATTTCTATTCTTTATAGTGACTGTAGGAAAAATATCATGTGTAACACGAGTGCAAAAGGCCTTTGCTGCACTCAAGATCATTCCGCATGAGCCGCTTGCTCTCGTGTGCAGCAAAGTGCCACTTTGCTCACTAGTTACACAAATAACTATTTTGTTACCTACCATAAGAATCCATAAGAAGACCATAAGAATCAGTTATGGTCAGTTGAGGTAGTTGTGACCACTTTTCAATTTTTTATTTCAACTTATTAATTACCTACTTAAAAAAAATTAATGGTTTTAATTGTTTAGGGTGATCTTTTGGCTCTTTATGAATGTAGAAAAAAAATTCTAACACCCTAGGTATCTTACTTTGGACATTAAAGGGGTGGTTATAATCACCCCACTGAATTTAAAAAAAATGAAAATATGGGGTTTTTCTGACCACAGATGGGGGAATTATGACCACTCTTTTTTCTTGTAATTTATAAATGAATAAGCATTGATTGGGGCAATTATGACCAATAATGCTCGTATTTGAACAATCAAGATTTTTTAACTAAACAAAGTCAACTTTTGGTGGTGGTCATAATCACCCTATTCTGGTCAAAAACAAACATAACCAGGTTTAAAGTTAATTAGTGTAAGTAGAAAAATAGAAAATCTTACAAATGTGAGGCTTTATCTAGGCAACTTAAAACTACTACAAAATTTCCCCTTTATAATTAAGACTGTTTGAAAATTGATACAGTACCCAGTAAAACATGTGCTAATGATGTAATCAAGCGGTCTTTTGAAATCAGCTTCTGTTCCGGCAACACACTAATGATTTGGTTTTTGCTCATAACAAACTCATATCTTTCACCAAGATAATAAGTTGCGTGGCAAGTTTATCTGTAAGTCTCAGTCGTCACTCTCATTTTAAGGACCTTACAATCTTCGTCCTCATCATATTCATCAGCCTCCTATATAGACTGCATGAAACAAACCTAGGCTACTTATAGTTTGTTGTTTTCCTATAACCTCCTTTGACATTGACTATAAAACATAAGTTCCAGGCTTCAAGTTTGTCTCGGTTGGTGTTATATACAACAACGACGGCTAACAAAGCAGGCTTTATCTGGTGATGTCAGATTTTTCTCCTTATAAACTTCGTCCAGTTTTTTGTAAAAATAGTAACATAGGCTACTTCTGGGATTGTGTTATTTTGAGGCAATGTCTGAAGATGCTCAGGTTTTTTATATGGATAAGCGAGGATGTCTCCGCATAAAGGCTAAATACCAATCCTCCCCTTGTTTCCCGTCATTAAGAACAATAGGAATATAATGTTCTGCAACGTACGGTGCAACAAGACCCAAAAGTTCCTGCCTGTCATAAGGATACCGGTAACCAAATTTGGCTCATGACAACAAGCACTCTACTCTACAAGTTCATTTTCTTCTGTAATTGACAAAGTTGTTGAGCGTCCAGCTCCTTGATTCTCTGAACTCACTTTTCCACTAATATGCAGCTGTATTACTGATTTCGTAATCCCATATTTTGCTGCAGCTTGACGCTGGCTCAGTTTCTCTTTAACCAAATTACCTAACAGCTTCCTGCAGGTCCTGTAAGGAGTAGCCTAAGTAACAGATGGTTTCTTTTTTTTTTGTATGTTCTTGGCATGATTTTTGATGATTTTCAATCACTTTCTTGTAACAGGAAAGCACAAATAATTAATTTTCTGTCCATATCAAATGTGGTCATTTAAACTACCCCATTTATATAAATGGGGTAATGACCATATAACTTAGCCTACAGTACTATTTTGATATTAAAATTGTTAATGGATGAAAATGATAATCAAAAGTAGGTAGAAAAAAACTTCATGGGATTAGTAGCCTACCTAAATAAATTCCTTCAAACAAAATCTTTTTAGGGTTGGGGTCACTTTGAATCAACGCGTATGAAAACGGATGGGGCTAATAGAAAATTTGTAACATATAATTTAAAATTATAAAAATATTTACCTTTTTAATGTTTTCCTCTAACAACTAGCCCCTATTTACAGGTTGCCAACACAAAATATACATAGGCCTATAAAACCATGTAAAAGACATTTTTTTAAATTTTACTGTCATTAGGTTCTTAAATAATGACACCGGCCATAATTATCCCCGCTGGTCATAATTACCCCAACTGACCCAACTCATTGTGTCAAAACTCTTAGACAAAAATTGCATTGAGGCCTATTGTATGACGTAAGTTAGGCCTAAAAACACCTCTAAGTTATAGTCTTTGAGAAAAAAAAAACATTTAAACAAGGACATCTTATTTTGTCAAAGCTCTTAACTAAGAAAAATTCAAATACGGTAGCCTACCTAACTTAGTGTAATAAATAAAACAGCTTTGTAAGTTAGGCCTATGGTTTGATGAAAAGTAAATCATTTGTTAGAAGAAGGACTACTCAATTCATCAAAGCTCTTTATAAAAAAAAAGTTCCTGAACAAACGCACAAGTAGGTTTTTCCACTAAATGTTGTTCCCTGTCCTCCCTTTCAACTCTAGCCAGCAATAGTGCACTTAATTCTTCTTCAAATATAAAAAAGAAATATTTATGAAAGTGTCGATTTTTCGACGCACGAACATCGTTTACGGCGAAGGCTCTATGACTGACTGAATCGGATTGAACTGGATCGAGTTAGGTATCGTTCTTTTCGTTAGATTCTAAGCTTTCTCCAGAGGTCTGTCTCTAAGCGCTTTATGTTCTCCGAGCTGATCGTAATTGTAGCAGACAGCTGACGTTCGTGTTTTAGACAACTTGGTTATTTCACATCGGTGACTTGTGTGTTTTTGTACGTTTATCGTCGTTTTTAGTGGTAAAAATGGACAGTAGTGATATACGTAATGCACTAGAAGATGATATTAGTGATGTTGAAGGACTTATTGACGATCCGGATGAAGTTGGTAGTGACATTGTTGATGTTAATTATCAGCCAGATTCCTAGCTATGGTTAGGCTATGCATTCTTAGCTAAACGCTATGTACTGAAATCTGATTTTGCCCATAACTTATTTATTTGCAAATCTACTTCCTTATATTATTATATAGGATTTGTAATCCTCATAAAATTTAGAACAAAGTGGCTATTTTCAAATATTTATAGGCCTATATCTTAGTTCATTGAGCGCGAACTTATTTTTGTTTTCAATTTTTCCAAAATAATTTTTTACCTAAAAATTTTTTTTGAAACATATTCCTTATGTTTTATGTATGATATTGAAGCCCATGATTTTCCAAACAAAATGGTATATAGAACAGTAGAATTAACATTGTTTTAAGCTTCTCAGATCCGTTTTAATAAAACCTTGCAAATGCGCCAAAAATAGGTGGACATTAAGGCCTAAACTATGAACACTCGGAGGGTTAAAATATCGAAAAATAAGGTCAAACACGGAACTAGGCTCCGGGTAAGCCCGTTACATCACAGGGCGCTCAGTAGTGACACAAACCACTCCCCAAGGTCGACAACCAACCGGGAAAAGGGTACTAAGAGTAGCCAAATTCCACAAAAGAGGTGCGTGAGGTACCCAACAACTAATGATGAGGCAGGCAACATCCAATCTCTGTCAAATGTAAACTATGGTTATTATAACGAAAAATGTAGTGACTTGGAGGTAACATCCGTGATGCGCCGGTGGAAGGTTAATTAGGTAGATTTAATTGAAAATCCATCCAGACAAATGGAATTTCGCTTGTAGTCTGGAGGTTTGATGTGGCGGGGGTATTAGGTAATCCAAATTAGGCCTACTCTATATTTTATGTTAGGCCCTTAAGCCTAGTAATATTAGTCTCTTAGGACCAAAATATTGAATACATTAGTCTGAGAGAAGAGGTACCTAGGCTATTTACTAATGAGGATTAAACTCATAATGAGTGAAAAAGATTAGTAGCAGGTATTCAATCAGTCATAATGGAACCTCAATGTCACAGGAAAACTTACAATATCAAGTAGGTAAATTAATTACTTACGTCAGTGAGCTAGTTAACACATGAATGTAGATAAAAAGTAGGGGGCTCAGGTCTTTGAACAAACAGCAAATCAATGTTGGCTAAGTATATACAAGAAGGGAAATCACGGCTGAGCCCTCAAAGGAAAAATGTACACTTTATTCTACTATAGTAAAAATCCAATATTGAACAGCAAAACCTATCCAAAATCTAATTCTAGTTGGATTTTGTAGGCTAATTGTAACTGTAGCCGGCCCTCGCCTCGTCTTAAAATTCGACCAACCGGCCTCGTGAGATTCAAAGGTGCAATGGTTGTGTAATAACATTTTCTTTTAAAATTCAACACTATAAGAAAAGTGGGTTCCATAGTGTCGACAATCATTAGAGTCGATATCCCGTAGCACCAGGATTTCAAAATGATTAATGATATGAGTTAAGTCGATTGTTTTCTTTCATATTTAAAGATTAATTGTATTTAGATTCAAGTTTAATGACTCTTGCAATGTACAATTATTGCATTTAATGGCACTAAAGAGTTCTGAGTTTTCATTCCACAACATACCGACTCTCTTTGATGTATTTCCCAGTGGCAAGAACTAGAATATTTGATTATTGAACGTTTGTTACCTTATAGCATGCTTATAGCCTTTGTTCTTGTAGAAAGATGACGTGTATAAGCACAGCCGCCTTTAACTACAGGCCGCGGCCTGGGGCCCATTTCATAATAAAGTACAAACTAATATTATTAGTAAATCAGCTGATCGCCCAATGCAAATCTAATGGAAATTACAAGTTACAAGTTGTAACTTGTAACTTGTAGTTTATTATGAAATGGGCCCCTGGTAGAATTGGCAACGTCGCAAGTGGTGTTGTTCAGTGACAGACGTCCCATAAGATAAGCACTATTTCAGCTGCAGTTATTTTAATAAGAACAAAATGAGAGCATTCTATTCATTCATTCATTTATTCATTTATTCATTTAACGGTTACAACCAATACAGTTAAATTAATACATTGTTGTGCATGCTTAATAGTAACAAATAATTTGATCAAGAGTGAATACATGGACGGCTGTTCAATTATGTTAATACTCTAAATAGATAAAAAGTGACAAAGATTGAGTGCAATATGAGTAACAATAAATAAATATTCTCAGAATAAATAACAACTTACAATGAAAAATTAATAACAGTGAGTAACAATTAATAAATAACAACAGTGAGTAACAATAATTAATAAATAACAACAGTGAGTAACAAATAATAAATAACAACTCTTAGATAACAATATTGGGATAACAATTTGGTTATAATATTGGCTGAGGGAACACCATTAGCGCAATGAAACGGAGTGATGCCATAGGCCTCGGTGGTCTAATGGATAGCGTGCCGGGCTACGTTACTTAGGGTACCAGGTTCGAAACCCATCGGGTGCACAAACTTTTTGTCTAAGATTTTTGCATTATCAGCAAGTTTGGTTAGTTTTGTTAGGTTATAACAGTTAAATTTTATAATTAAAACCTTATAAAATTGAATTTGAGCTATTTATAGTTTTATTTTATGAACAGAACTATTTTTTCGATTAGTAAACATTCATTCAATTTTTTTCATTATCAGCAAGTTTGGTTAGGTTATGACAGTTTAATTTTATAATTAAAAAATATAAAATTTAATTTGAGGCATTTATAGTTTTATTTTATGAACAGAACTATTTTTTTCTATTAGTAAACCTTCATTCAATTTTGTCATTGTCAGCAAGTTTGGTTAGTTAGGTTAGGTTATGACAGCTTGATTAAAAAATTAATTAATTATATATTTTATTTTAGTTTTAGGCCTATGATAATTTTTTTTTAATTTCTAATTTTTAAACTCTCATTTTGTCCGTTGTAAAAAACTGCAGCTGAAATAAAAATCGTGCATAAGATAACATGGCAGACAGGTGACATCAGCTCATTAATTCGCACTTTATTGATTTAAATTTAAATTTATGAACATAAATTTAATAAAATATTGAAAATAAAACATACAGAATTGAAAACCGAAACAATATTAATTAAAATCTATATCTGTACATTTTTAAACGGAGTCAATATTGTCATAGTCCATAACCAATCTTTCGTTTTTTTTTTTTTACAGCATTTATTTCTGGTTCAATGTAGACATTATACACAGAAGTGTTAACAAAATTAAAAAGAAATTAACTATAATAACATCGTGGGTTCGCCCAAACCTGGTACACCCTGTAACATAATTAATTTAGAGAATAATTTAATCGTCTTTAGGCTTCATTCATCCAATAGATCTTGAGGGAGCCTTCGACGTAGCCTCCTGTTCTCAGTTGCTTCACCAAGATGAAAAGTTAATGCACCAGGAACATCGTTTAAAGATTTTAGAAATTTTGAGGTGGTTTTTTCAATAAAGGCCGAGATAGACTCCACTCCTAGTTCTTCATGTATATGCCTGTTTCTAACAAACCAGGGAGCATTCACCGCTATTCTTAGAATTTTGTTTTGAATCACTTGAATTTTGAAGAGTTTGTTTTTTGATATAGCTAATCCCCAGATAGGAGATGCATATGTAATCAAGGGCCGAATTATTGATTTGTAGATTAGAACTGTACAAGCTGGCTTCAGAGTAGATTTCCTATTGATTAAAGGGAAAAGCTTTGCAAGGCGTGCATAACCTTGGGACAGTTTTTGATTAACGTGGTAGTTCCAGTTAAGTTTTTTGTCCAGCCATACTCCAAGATATTTTATGGCCTGGTCATCAGGGTTCCAAGGTAGAAAGTTACCATATATTTGAATTTCATGTGGCAATGTATGTTTTTTCAAGGAAAATATTTTTGTTTCACATTTAGTTGAATTTAGGCGAAATTTCCACTTGTAGAACCAATCAATGAGAAGATCCACAGAGTATTGCAGTTTCGTAAATATACACAAATGCCATTAGCTGCTTCCAAACAAAAACAGCTGTTAGCATGACAGATCACTTATTGCAAACGAAAAAAACTGAAAAAGGCCACTGAAAAAGAAGAACCTTCGTTGGATGGGTGGGCAGATTTTCCCATCCTTGTTAGTCAGTCGTGACGTCATCGTTGATTCGTTCGATTCGAGAAGTCGATGTTGTTTTGCAACATAGTCACTTCGACATATCGTCTATCGATATTTGATCGTTGTTCGCGTCGAATTCGTTTATCATCATGGTTGTTTGTTAGGTTCAGGTTGTTTCTCTACGTTTTTATGAATATGAATCTGATAGTCACAGTAGAAAAACCTTTTAAACTTATAGAACGGTCTGTAATTTAAATTTACCGCTCATATGCAAATCTAATTGTATTATCGGATCGGAAATAAGGAGCTTAAACCAAGTTGGACGTGGCTTTTGTGACCAAAAGTAAAAGATATAATAAACAAGAAAGACTTAAAGCTCTACATAACCTGGCCAAAATCCGCACGTGCCCACTAACTACCTTGGTTATTTATGGATCTTTATTTCGGGATCTTTTAACAAGATTGGACTTTGTTTTACTGATTTTCATTCAACAATGTAGGCCTATTTAAGTTATTAAAATGTATTTTGTTCTCATTTGTTACCCCTAGTATATTAATTTAATATGGGTATTTTGTGTTTGGTCTTAGCTTAAGATTTATGAAACTTAAGTTGTGCTTATAAAACTATTACCGGTAACTATTAAGTTTTTGGGCATTTCAAATGCTTAATTTTAGACGTAGGCTAAAATATCATATCAGGCATAGCCTAATTGAACATCAAGAGGATGTCATAGGCTATCTAGACTACTTTGCAAGTCCTAGGTCCTATTATTTTGGTAATAAACCCCTTTATAATTCAAAGGCATGATCATCAAAATAGAAATGAAGATCCAACCTCTAATAATTTACACAGTTTAGGCCTGGCCTATAAACTCAAAGCAGTGTTAACAACTTCTGAAGCCCAGCTAGCTTAAAGCTTCCGAATCTATTAACATAGACTTATTAGATTCTATATCATATTCCCAATATGGCCAGCCTATGGAAATTCAGAATTCACCAAGGTAAAAACATTAGTTAAGTCGGGTTTTCCTAGGCGCGGAGTCGGCCAGCGGAGAGAGGAACGCGGAGAGCGGACTCAGCTTGTCTTAGGTAATTTAATGTTACTGTTTTCCTAGCAGCGGAGCGGAATGCCATGTTAATTTCAATTCCGCTCTCCGCGTTCCTCTCTCCGCTGGCCGACTCCGCGTCTAGGAAAACCCAGCTTTATTAACAAAAGTGTAATTTCGATTCCACTTGATCACCATCATTATTATCTTCTGTCACCTCCATTCCTCTAATAGGCCTAGGCCCAAGTTAAGTTAATAGGTACTTAAGTCATATAAGTAAATATAAAAATGTATAATTTAAGTGAAACTATCTAGAAAACAACATCTCGTAAGTTAAGTGACAATTAAACAAACTAGTAAGTTATAGTATCTGAAAACAAGATTAACAAATTTTCTTTCGTTACGCTTGTCGACATACATCATACATCCAATCCAACTAAACAAAGAAAGAGAAAGAACCAAAGAACGAGAATCAAGATTCGAGAAAGATAGATTTGAGAAGGATGCGTTTCTCTAGTACGTAAATTAGGGGTATTCGATTATCGACTATTTTGACTTGTGGAGCTATGCGATACCAGTACGGTAATTGCATCGCATCGACGATGGTCGATGACGTCACGACTGACTAACAAGGATCTACCCACCCGTTGGGTGACTGCGGCCTCTCGTCTGCTACATCTTCTACATCTATATTTATAAAAGAGGAAGTTTGTATATTTGAACGTTATGGGCTCCCAAACCGCTCGACAGATTGTTATGAAACTTTCAGGCAATATTAAGCATTATTCAAGGATGGTTTGTGTGAAGTTTGGTGCAGATCCGTCAAAAGGGCTACGCCCCAGTGGCTCTGGAGTTTCCCATGTTAACATTATGAGTACATATTTAAATGGAATTAAAGAATCTTAACAGGTGGTTCCGGTTCAATCATAAACAATTTGATTCTGTGATGTTCAATAGCATTAAAAAGTGAATAGAGGTTTACCAAAAGGGCGCAGCGCTGTTGTTTTATATTTTTTTATTGATGACAACATCTAATTTGCAACCATAAGGTGAGTGAGCGTAGCGAACAAACTTCAACCTGGAGGCAAGTTAGCGTAGCGAACGAGCAAAACCTGAATTCAAGTGAGAAAAGCGAACGAGGAATGAGCTCATCTTGAAAATGAACGAGCGTTTGACATAAAACCACATTAGGACAGGAAGGGTACATCAGGCCTAGCTCAACTTTCGGGTTAATTAAATTTATGGCTGAACATTAAACCAAACTGGACATTCATAGAAAATGTTTATTAATTTATACAAAAAATTAAAATATTACAGCAAAAAGTAAACAAAATTATTTCACCATTGCCATTATAAATTACTATCATTGTCATGTTTCTTGATTTTTTTTAATAGACAGTTAAGTCTATTTCACAGCAAAGACCAAAATCTTTTCAATTTTTTTTTCATTTCCTACCAGACACATTATTAATACAATTAATTTAATTTACCACAATCATTAAGAATTTCTTTTAAAAACGTTCCAAGAATAAAATGGTAAAGAAAGCTAAGCTAGGTCTAATCAAACAGCTATATAGTGGACTGAAGCGGAAGCGGAACTGGAGAAGACGAAGAGCTAAACTGCGAAACAAAACAGACGACAGATTGCTTACGTTATCTAGAAAATTTAGTTCTTCTTTTTAGTAGCCAGTTTTTTTCGTTTGCAATAAGTGATCAATCAGGCCGTGGCTGTTAACTCTTGTCTTGTCTACTTGTCGAATCGAGTCAAGTTTGGTGTTCCGTTCTGTTCTGTTGTTCTGGTTTAAGTTCAACAAACAACAAACAAGTTTACCACCGTACCGACCCGGCAGCGCGGCAGCTCTCGAGACTTTCATCACTGCTCTATCAATTTGTTGCTTCGCAATAATTCTATTATTCTCCAACCTCCTAACCCAACTTTTAAGTCTGTGTTTGTTTATGCCATAAGGTTCTGTAGCTTAAATTAATTCAAACGTAAATGTTTAAGAGTTCTGTGATTTTTTTCTACAGGACAGGGACCTAACTTCTTGAGAAACTCAGTTTTACTGTAAGTTATCGCTCTTGAAACTTAGCCTAGTCTTGCCGACAAACTTTGATTAACTTAAATGTAACGTGTTGTAGTTGTCCAAGAAGGCTAAGTCAACTCAACTTAATAGCTCAGCCTAACGGATATCGGTGGAATTGTTGTGTAGAGTTTAGATAATTCAAAGAATGAGTAGGACTAGCTGAGCTATTCCACCACTAAGTTAGATACTAGGACTTGAAGATTGACCATTAGCTTAAGTTTTATAAATAGGCCTAGGCCTAGTCCTATACATTTCTCTAATTCTTAACTAGGCCTAGCCCATTATACCTTTTGATTCTCAGCCTTGTGACTAAGGCCGACTTATTCCTTAGACACATGTTTAATAGCCCAATGGCCACTTTTTTTAATTCTTGACATTTTTTTTTTCATAACGCCACTCATTTAGGAGTTACAGCCTATGAAAAAATGACTTCTGGTGTACATTTTGCATCATGTAGCTCCTAAACGATTAGGTTTGGTAGCGAAAATGCGAAGAGTAGGCATAAATAAGTCTTAATATTGCATCTACATTCCAAAAAGACTATAAAATAAGTTAAGTTACCGTACGTAAAAAATATATTGATTCTAACTTATTTGAAAAATGGCGCCCATTTTCCAAAATAGCAGCAAACTTGAAAAGTGGAAAACTGTGTAAGTTATTTCATGGTCTTTTTTCTATAAGAATCTCAGGGTTTTCTATAAAAAAAAATTTTAACTTAAATGTTCACCACAAATGTTGGAAAATGGCCGCTGAATTAAAAAAAAAAAAACTAACCCTTAAGTTAACTTAAATTCACATTTTTAATTGCCACGAAAGTAAAGGAATGTTCCCAAAAGTTTTCCCTAATTCTTAGCCTACAGGGCTAAAAGTACCGGTAAGCCTATAATATGTAATGCAAAATGCTTCAGTAACTTCAGTTGTTTAGTTTAATGTAGGGTATTATCTAACCCCTTAAAAACCTTTCTGTAGCTGAAATAAAACACAATAGTTTTATAAAATTGTTTTAAATTAAACTTTCCTACACACAGTGGTAATAAATAGACTATTTTTAGCATAGCCTATATGACAGGTTAACCGAAAAATTGGTTACCGAAACGGCTCCCCCCCTTTATTTTGGTTAACCGGGGTTCTACTGTATAGGTCTATAGGCCTACATGTATAAGGATTTGAACAAATGGTGTTTTTGGTCTCTCAGGACATCAAAATAAAAAAGTAGGCCTAAATCGGACCCGGACCTAGGTCTTATCATGCAACCTACGGTAATAGCTAATTCTCTACAGGGAAATTCGCTAACAAGAAGGTAAAAAAGTGAGTAAACTACCAAAGATTGATAAGTAAAAAAAATTAAAACTGGATTTTGCTGATACTTCCAAAAGTCAATCCGCGACGATGGTGTTGGTGAGATTGAATGTGATTGTGGGTGTAAAATATTTAAGTCAGAAGAGAGTTTTTAATTTTTTTCTTCTGGTAACCAAAATTCAGAAGTCCACCAAAACGTGAGTAAGGCTGCTGATTTAATTTCGTTGGAGTTTATTAGGGGGGAGGGGTAGAATGAGCCTACGAAAAGGGGGGCACAGGGACTTGCATTGGGACGCAGTCAGACTAGTTACGCCACTGGGTCCCTTAGGGGAGAAAATATTGCGTTGTTACATGTCTTCTGTGTGTTCTAATGCCTAGCTGTACCTATTTCTTCTTAGATAAGCTAGCTGCTATCTTCTTTATTCTTTAGTTCAAAATTGTGGCCTGGGTAGGCCTATAGCCTTTTCTTGAACAAAACAAAGAAAAGATAAGCTGTCTGACCAAGATCCCTACCCATTTGCATTTCCTTTTACACAACATAAACATTGTATCATGGGCATTCTTTAATGATATACATGGCATGAACATTTCATTCAATAATTAATTCATCACAGTTTTTCTGCGGAACTGTACCCGCATTTTGTTTACTAAAAAAGGCCGTGGGAATCTTAGATCAGCGATAAAATTACTTAAGTTATGTTTTCCCTTGTCTAATGCTTAATGACTATTTTGAATACAGGTTCAATGCTGGTTCAGTCACAATGAGTGATCACAATGAAGAATTTAAACCCGAGGAAATGGAAGGAGTAGAAATCCCAGAATCGCAAATCCCTGAATCTCAGAGCTCTTGTGAAACTCTCATGAGTCAACAGAGGTAGGCCTACAGTACCTACTAACATGTTGCCTAAATAGACCTATTCAATAAATTTGTTTGAAGAATGTGTGACAATGTGTAAGTTACCTAAACTTACAAAACTTTAATAAATCAAGAAACCCCTTTAGTAACATCTGAAAAGCAAACAGTGCAAAAATAATATGTAAGCTAAATTGTTTAATATGGAGAAAGTTGTGTGAATATGTTAGTAATACATAGGTGTCCGCCCAAACCATCCTTAGTTAGATTAAAAATTAAACAGATAAATAAATAAATAAGATCTAAATGTGATGTCCAAATTGTGGATATTTATAGGCATGCACTGTGGATGCGATACTCCCTGGTGTGGATTAACTTCCACACTAGTGAGTACTACGACTATCCGCAGTACTATCCTGATAATTAGACCATTTCGTTGATTACAAGGGAAAATTGTGGTTCGGAGTCCAAAAACTGTAGGTCCCTTATTTTCCATTGGCTGCATGGGCTATTAACTAACAGCTGTAAGAATTTCCTTAACTTGTTGCCTACCAGCTGTCACACTCCTCTACGTGGCCTTGTGTGACATGGTATCTAATTATATCAAAAGTTAAACAATCACTTTACATTGCAGCCATGTCATGGTCCTGAGGGTAGACAAAAGTCTGATTATTTCATCAAAACCGTAAGTTAATCTACCTAAAAATCCGCACCCACGTAGTTTTTGTGTTAGTGCACCTCCTTTTGTGTCAAAGTGTTTTTTCCGTTATGTTTTGTACTTTGTATGCTTGTGCTTTCTATGTAGCCCCTATAGGCCTACATATTTTTCTGGTCCTATTCTAGCTGGGTATATATATATATTATTTCCAAGCTTGTTTAGACCTCTAAGAATATTAATATTACCCTTAAAAATACAAAAATTTATGAAATATATTTAGGGATACCTAATGAGTGGATACGCAACTAACTGAGGTCTACCTTAGAAAAGAGTTCCAGGTAGTCATGAATACAAATAAAGTTCACAACACAACCAACTTTATATTTCGCCCTTGGGCTTTTTCAGAAGAAAGAAGTTGAATAGCAGTTACACAACTGGCACTATTTGATTTAACCAAATCAGTCTTACCAACATATCACTTTCTAATCACTAAATAACAAAACTAGTCCAAATTTGTTGGTATTTTACATCTATAGGGCCTACATAATATATAATCAATAGTAATTCGGGTTTACTTTAAAGTTACAGTTAGTCCTGTGGGTTAGGGGTAGGGGAAGGGTTTTATCTAACATTTAGGTTAGGTGCAGTTGATAACACGTTTGTAGGCTAAAATTCCCATCTCCTAAGCATAGAGCTGTTGCATTGGTTCTTTGGAAATGATTTCAAAGCTTGGGTGGTGAAACAGGTGTCAAATTCCAGGTTGTGGGATTGGGCACGTTGGGCTATGTGTTTTACATAATGTTTGTGTCCATTCATTCTTTTTTTCTCATAGGTTTAATTTTCTCTGTTTCAGACAAAGTAATATGCATTTTTTCTTTAAAAACAGTAGGATACTATTGGTACGTTCAATATTTGTTTCGATGCAAAATAGGCTAGCCAAAATCAACTGAGCACCAAGAACATTTAAATATGTTTTTAATAATAACTAAATAAAATCTGTTTGACAGACTTGTGTATATTGTATGATGTAAAAATACTTGTTAAATTGAAAGTTTTCAGAAAACTGAGCCAATACTTAAGTAATAAAACTTTGCATAAACTTACAGCCTTAATGTGTGGCCAATAGAGAATGATGTAGGTTATTGACAGCGGGGAACCATTTCTGTTGTCATCTGCGTAATCGTAGTAATAGTTGGACCACATGCGTATTCTGTTTTGTCCAACTATCCTTTTTTTATCCTTCTCGGATGTAGTGAAATTTAAAAACTATCTACCGGTAATTAATATTTACTTGGAGTTTCAACGTGGTTTCTGTTTAAGAAATTCATAAGCCAATTCCATACACTGATGGATTTGAATCCTGTACGATCTATAATAAATGTATATTTTGTTTCAGTGAAAATGAGTTCTGGGAAATTCCAACAGAAAAAGCTGTCGAAGGTAAAACAATTTGCTTCATACCTACGGTACTTTGGATAAAGCTAGACAGTTAGTTTTAAATGTATTATTAGGTAATTAGATTTTACTTGCAATGTAACATTTGTCCTTTTTAATTTACAATTTTTGTGTAGCTTTAGTTTTTGTTACCGGGAAAGTAAAGAAAAGCAATTATTTATCACTCTCTAAAAAGTAGTTTATACCTCCCTCGAGTAATGTTTTTCAGTTCAAATAAAACTTGTCAGTGCGGCAGTGAACTTTAAAGTAGTACAACAAATTTTGTTATCTTTGATATTTGCTGTGTGCCACATGTTTTTGTGATGTACAGCGCACAACGCCCAAACTCGTTTAAGGCTGATTCATCTGACGATCAACATGACAAAAACTATTTTTGCAAGCATAAACACAAAGTAACAAATTCTGCAGAGCACTGATCCATATACAAACACTGATAACTGATACACTTCAATTTATTTAAGAGCTTCTCTATTAAAAAGTAAATTCCAATCAGAAATTTTGCACTTCCTTGAATTCTTTTCCTCTGCCTCAGCCTTTTAAATCAGAAACCATATACTATATTTCAAAGTCACAAAACAAACAATTTACATTGATTTGTCTTCGAGAAACTGATCTATACTATAATAATTCTTTTCCAACAAAAATTCAAAAATTTTTCTTTAAAAGATACTAATCCTATTATAGGTTTGTAGTACCCAGGCAAATTGTTAAAAAATCTTTTACCCATATAAGGTGTCCTTTCCACAAGATTTAATCTGTGTATAGGATATTGAAAATCTGTATGAAATCTAGTGTTATAATTGTGCCGATTATTTGCCATCTTATAATTTGTTAAGTTTTAGTACTCAAATATTTTACTGCTGTCAATATACCTCCTCGTAAAGGTATTTTAGAAAAGTTTTCCCCCCAAAATAAAATTGTTTGAATTCATTGTAAAGACAATTTTTCAAAAACACTGATGATGCTTATTTTTTGTTTTGCGACACAATGTTATAGCGGGAGGGAATTGGAGAGATAATAGAAAATAAAGCATCGTAGCTATTTGCAGGTGCAATTAGTTTTAGTTCCACAAAAACAATTACTGTTTTTAAGATCATTGTTTTCCTGAAGTTTCAGACGTCAAACCTGCTGATAAGACCGTAAACAGTTCTCTTGAAGCAAATACTTCCGGGGAGAATAATGGGAACAGCCATTCCAGAATCATACTGCCACGACAAAGTTTGTAAGTGCTAATTACCCTACCTACACTAATTTAATTACTAAAACTTTTTATTCAATAATTTTTTATGCTGCTGAGTATTTGTACAATGTGTGTGTATTTGTATTGGGGTTTTTTTATAACACAACCCAAATTAAAAGTACCGTGAGCCACATTTTAAAACAAGGTTATGTCGGTATCCCTGATTTCTATACTTCATTGCCAATCAGCTGATATGCTTTGCTGCGTAGTTAACCATGAGCTTTAGTGTTATTGGGAATTTATTGTAAATGAGACTCGACATGGTGATTCCCAAAGCTCAAAAAGTTAGAAGAATTTGTTAAAAGTGAATCATTGGTTTTTGAAATACATTTCCTGATTCGAGTAGGCCTACCTAAAAAGTCAACTATTATTGAAAACATTTAAGGAAACCGTAGCCGTAGTAAACAAAAAAAAACTTAAACCTACAATACATACTCCATTTGAGCTTGTGAAAACTCCATGTTGAGTCTTTTTTACAATAACACTAAACTTTATAGGTGACTATGCAACAATGAATATCAGCTGATCGGCAATGAAGTAAATAAAACAGGGATACCAACAAAGCTGTTTTCACACTAAACAGTGCCTCACAGTACTAGTAATATTTGATTCGATTGCGTAAAAAAAACACTCTGTGTAGATTATTATAAATACATTTTAATTTTTAAGCCCAACATTGGACCACACAAGTCAGAGAAGTAGGAGTTGTTTTTTTGTCCCAGTACTTTTTCATCTGGTCACATCACAAAGTTTTCTTTCTTTCTCTGAAATCAGTGAAATCGCTCTTAAGTTTCCTCTGATGGTAGGGGAATAAAAAGCCAAAATAACAGTGATGATTTAAACTAACAAAAATTGTTATAAATTATATTGAAAGTATATTCTTTCAGTTTTTGTTTTCTAATACCGATTATTTTTCAGGGAAAGTTCAGTGCAAGAGCAAGATCCTTCAATTACTGACGAAGGTAAGCAAATGAATTAATATATATTATATATACAGGGTGAGTTTTAATTGTCCCCCCCCCCAAATTTTTTCTACATTTTTTCAAATATCAATCCCAAACCACTTCCAAACATTGTTGGGTAGTAAGTACTTCATTTTGACATTGTGGTCATTTCCGGCCGCCATCTTGGATCCGCCATATTGGATCCGCCATATTGGATGCAAAATATTTTTTTCAAATATAAAGGTGGGGTTGTGACCCATTATTTCGAACTAGATTTTTATCTTGATTACAATGCCGCAAACCGTTTTTAAAAATCTAGATTCATTCTAAAGTTATGAGGCCTTTTTAAAACTGTATTTTTAGCCCATTTTAACATTGTGCATTTACAAGCTAAGGCCATAATCTCAAAATAGTGCTAGATAAAGATAAGTATACACTACCAGTTATTGTAAACCTATTTTCACTTATTTATGACTGATGCATTTTTTTCGGCCGCCATCTTGGATCCGCCATTTTGAAATGGGATAAATTATTTTAAATATGAAGGGTGTGTTGTGACCCATAATTTTGAACTACTTTTTTAAGCTAAACACAATGCCGCAATCCATTTTTTGTTATCAAGTTTTATTTATGAATTATTGCAATATTTTTGTTAAAAATGTTAATATTTCAAAATTAAAATATGAAAATAAAAAATGGACCATGGAATTGAGTTCAGCTTAAAAAAGTAATCCGAAATGATGGGTCACAACACCCCTTTTATATTAAAAATAATTTATCAATTCAAAATGGCGGATCCAAGATGGCGGCCGAAAAAATACATCATTCATAACCAAGTGGAAATAGGTTGGCAATGACTGGTAGTGTATACTTATCTTTATCTAGCACTATTTTGAGATTATGGTCTTAGTTTGTACAAGCACAATGTTAAAATGGGCTAAAAATAAAGTTTTAAAAAGACCTCATAACTTAAGAATGAATCTAGATTTTTAAAAACGGTTTGCGGAATTGTAATCAGGGTAAAAATCTAGTTCGAAATAATGGGTCACAACCCCACCATTACATTTGAAAAAAATATTTTGCATCCAATATGGCGGATCCAAGATGGCGGCCGGAAATGACCACCTTGTCAAAATGAAGTACTTACTACCCAACAATGTTTGGAAGTGGTCTGGGATTGATATTTGAAAAAATGTAGAAAAAAGTTGGGGGGGGGGGGGACAATTAAAAATCACCCTGTATATATATGATATTAATATTAATATATTGGTATATTACTAACTAACTTACTTTACTGTGTTACTTAGTGTGTCATGAACTCAATGAATGTCATTCAGCATTGAGGTAAATAGCTCACATAGAGTGGTCACGCTTTCGAACCCGATTGTATTAAATGAAATGAAATCAACTTTATTGATACTTTGCAAACATGTGCACGAATGGCGTCATTACATTGGATCAAAATCATAATGCTTAATCCTAAAAAAGTACAAGATATAACCACTATTGAAAAAGTTCTTATTCTAATATATTTTTTTAATATAATTTCTAATATTGTATATCTATTTTTTTTTTATACATCCTTAATACAAATACTTTAATTACATTTTGAACACTTAAATATGTTTAACAAAATTGGTGTTTTAAGGAGGAATCAGGTATTCTTTTCAAATGTTAAAGTAAAAGAGAATCCAGATTGGAAGAAAAATTTTACAAGATATGTAATATTTTATACCATTAATTTATTTATACAGTTAGGCCTAGTTAAATATAAGTATAACTTTGATGTAGTTGATTCAAGAAGGTATAACTGCATAAATGTATAACTAAATTTAAAAGTTCAAAAAGGTATATAATAAATTATTTTAATCACTTTTTAAAAATAAATTGTTTCTGAACTTTTAAATTTTGTTATACATTTCATTATTCATTGACAATATCTCCAATATAAGTTATAGTTGATTCAACTTCAAGCGACTTACAGACAGGGAAAGTAGAGAAGTTTCTGACTGCTTTCTAAAGTACTTGCCTTTTGCATTTTTGCCTACTTACGCCTACAATAGTATGGGTATTTTCCTTGGTAAATGTAGTTGTAGCCATGAACCTCCATCCCTATTTTCCCCATATATAAGCTGCATAGTAAATCATTTTTATACTCCTATTTTTGCAGTGGCGACAATACCATAAGGGCAGGTGGGTCTAAGCCCCACCAATAATAAAAAAAAGAAAAACAGGTTATTAAAATAAAATAAAACACTGAATTAACTTGTAAACAGCGTGTGAGTCTATGAACCTGAAGGCATTATAGGTGCTCGCCAAGTACCAAGAAGGTAGGGCTGACCTTTTTTAGCCCTCAGCGATACCATTGCGTAAATGCAGGGTCACGTAACACAAAGGTTTCCCTCGCCCGAGCGGCCAATACGAGAGGAGCGTCACAAAAAGCGTCTCTAAGGCTATGCCCGGTGGGGATAGCCAATAAGAGAACACTGTCCCTAGACTCACTCACTCAGTCCGTTCCTGGCGGCAAGTGTCGTCAGTTCATTTCAGTGAAGTCCAATCTAATTGGACTAACCTAACTTGGACTAATCTAACTGTGTTGTCACTGTCTGTCAGTCTGATTCATGTGTAGTGCAGCTGTGATAATGACTTATGCTGCTCCCCATGTTTTGTGCTTGTTTAGTGTATTAGTATCACAATATATGACTTTTTAAATAGGTACTACTAATATTTTTAAGAAAAATTAATTTAAATCATGTATACAGTGTGCTCCATACCCCCAGACCCCCTGGTAAGCACGGCCTCCAGTATTAGCCCAACCAATTATCTTAAGCATGCGCCGCTACTGTACTTTTGTGTGTTTACTGTGTTTTTTTTTAATTTGGCTAATATTTTTTCAGGTCTTGGAGGTAAATCTCAAAATGATATGTTTGAAGATGATAAAGAAGAAGATGACAGATTGACAAAGTTAGTACCGTAGCCTATAGGGTAAACTATAGCATAGCACTAAGTTTACTTAAACATTGTATAGAGTAGGTACTACTCCTGGAATTTCAAAGAGGGTCAGTTTCCAGACAGTCTTCTGACTGGGGGCTTTAATTGGGGCTTCAATTTGGCATATAAAGTAAATGCCAAATTGATTGCCCTTCACACGTTCGCTCTGTAACTTTCCAATTTTTTAAGTTTTTCAAATCTCTATTGTCTACCGCTGGTGATACAGTGATACTAAAACTGTGACGTGCGTCACCAGTGGACACTTAACAATAGAACAGTATTTCACGGATTTTGTGACTGGTTTTTTATATGTATTTGTGTTTTTACCTGATGTAGGACTTCTCCAGAGATTAGAATGAATAAAAAAATACAACCTCAATTATATGCTTTTATTCATTAGAGCACAAAACTGTGTTGTTAAAATATAAATGTTTTAAATCTCAAGTAACCATTAACATCACCCAAAATTAACAGCTTACTCTAATAAAACACTAATCATAAACATCTTGGCATTATGATTCGTCATTGCCTAAAGCAGTGTCTTGTGCACTCTAGGGACAAAACCATCAATTGACTAGTCATCCTGGCAGGCTTTATGTAGTAGGTTTCTCAAGAACTCGGTGATGTGCTGGAGTAATTAATGGAGAGTTTTATAATTTTGAAGAATTTACTGCACTATGTTCAAATATGTAAATAACATGTAAATATGTAAAAAAAATGAAAAAATAAATAAAAAAATAAAATGGATCAGGAAAATGGTTTTAGTATTAGTTATAGTTTAGGATTAAGACACATTCATGTACACATTGTTGTATGTCTGAATAAAGATTTATTTGACTTGCGGTTGTGCATAGTACTGGACGTGGTCACAGGTGGCGCACATCGACCAGTGGCTTTGTCGACACACAGAGGTCGATAGGTATTTTACTCCTTGGTACGTCCTTGGTAATTTGTTCCCATATTTACTTTTGGCCGAAATACAATATGTGTTCCAATGCGCCACTGGTGGCCATGTCAAAGCAACGTGCATCATCAGGTTGGCTTTACTTCACTAAATCAGATAAACCAGCATTTATTAGAGACATAGATTTGACAGTGTAATGCTGGACCAATTTTTCTGTTTAAACTTTTACTTAGGCGTATGTATTTTAAACATTATATATTTTACCCCTTGTCTTAAGTCTTTGGCTTTAGGGATATACATGTAAATGTGGTTTTAACTGGTGCCATACACGGCCAGATAGATAACACTGTGATTGTTTTTAATAATTGTGCTTTGTCATCTAAGCTTTTTGTACAGTTGTGGTAGTCTTCAAAGTCTAACTATATAAATTTGATTTCTAGACAAGAAACAAGAAAACGTAAAAGCCGATCTGACGATTCCACCCCTTCGCCGAAAAGACCAAGAAGAAGTATTCCGATTGAAATCTCTTCAGATGACAATCACTCAGTGGAGGTAAGAAATAATATTATAATTGTCAAATATGTAGTATTTCAATGCAACAGTTTATTGATTTCACTAAATAAATACACAGTTTTGTCATTATATTTTGAGTTCTTATTCGAAGCTTTGTCCTATGTTGATACCAAGGATGCACTAACACTTTACATGGTGTAATAGTTTTAACTAATTTTTTTTATCAAAGGTGGAGCGTAATTTGATTTTCCACAACAGTTGATCTGGTTACTTATATTTGTAAGGGTAGGTTACCCTCGGATGTAGGTTATCTGGAGGCTTACACAACTACTTGGCTGACGTCACGTAGAAGCAAGGTACAGAGGAAACCTTTTTATGGGAAACCCCTGTGCTTTCAGCTCTTGTATGTTGTGTCAGAAATATACTTGTGACGAGCAAGGAAGAGCATGAGTGACGCGCACTGTGAGGAAATTCATATCGCACTGTTCACAGGATCTTCCTCCACCGTGAGCGTTATAGTAAATGATGGCGAAGGGGTGTTGGACTTTGCCCTAGACACCAGCAACTAGTGCTAGTCACCACTTAAGTGTACCACTGAATGTTTCCTCTGTGCCTTACAACTCAGTGGTGATGTAACTCAAAAATTAAACTCGGAAGTGCCTAGCAATAATATATATATAAGGTGTGAATACTTATTGGTGTCATGTTTAATCTTTATCTCCAAACTGAAAAGCTTTAAAAAATAACCTCGGAGTATTCATTTCACCAACATTAATTTTAATTCTTAATCTAAAGCCGATCCATACCTTGTGTTAACTTTTGTGCATAATGCCACAAGTTAACCTTTTTTTGTGTATTTTTCAAAGTTGTTGAAAATTCACAGAATCAAGACTTATCGGTGTTGGAAATATCGGCAACTCCAGAGAAGACTATAATTATCGACGATTCTCAGGAGTTCAGCCTCAGGATAGAAGAGGAACCCTCTGCCACCCAGGTCAAGGCAGAGGTCTCTCAAAAAGAGGTTACTGGTAAGTTAAAATATCTACATCACTTGAAATCAAAATCTACTGCATTTATTAGGGACGTTACTCGTGCCTATTATTAGGCTAAATTAAAAAACCTGAATTGACTAGCCTTAGTTATAATTTAAATAGTTTCGTTCATAAACTTCAATCCAATGTAAGAAAAATACTATACCTTTAAAAAACACCAATGTAAATTGAAATAATCTCTCAGTCAAGGGCCAAACACCGAACTTACTTATAGTAGTAAGAGCTGATATAATGTATGAATCAATTACATTCAAGTTTGCGGCTTGTTCTGTAAAGGTGTGAAGGCACCCACTACTGTCAGTCCAACGATCTCCACCCAATCACAGAAGAACGTTCTCTCCTGGTCTTCACAGACACAACAGTTGACCTGGGACTCTCACAAGTACACGCAAGATGTATGTTCAAATCTTAGCGATAGAATTAGGTTGTGTTAGATAAAGTTTTGTTTTTGTGGTTCGTAAAACCTGTGGTTTTATACTTTTTTGTATACAAAACCAAATTTTATACCCTTAGTTAGTCCTAAATTAGTAAGGCGTCGTTTTGCAGAAGATGTACTGTAATTAATATACAAATTATAATTCATCTTTATAGCCACAGGGATTCAAGACACGTGATCACTGGTCTCAAATCTTTCCCACAAGAACAGTCGTTTCAGCACCGCCCACCTCCTGCCGATCTAGTCCGGTTAAACCAATATGCTGATAAATTTTGTCCGGTTAAAGAGATGTCGTTTACGGCTAGTGTAGTCCGGTTAAACCGATGTCCGGTTAAAAGGTGTCCGGATAAGAGAGAGTCTACTGTATAAAGGAAACTGTATGACTTTAACTTTTTATAAATGTAATCGGTTGCAGAATTGTAAAAATACATAATGAATCAATATATCTGGTAATTCATGGAGTCAGCTTAGTGAGCAAATGTCAATCAGTTGAACACAAGTTGAACGTTATCAATTCCGTTAATAAATTATTATATCGATGTGAAATTAACAATGCTACTATTATTTAAAAATTAAAGTTTATTTTGATTTTAGGTAAAAACCTTTATGGCAGGAGACTCTTGTTCTCAGCCCTCTGAATATGAGAAGAATTCTCCTTCAGAAAGTTGTGTAGGAAAACCAGTAAGTCACCAATTTATACATTTACAATGGCAGAGCATGCCTTTTAGGGAGTAAATAAATTTAATTATTTTGATATTCTGAACATAGCATCATGATCTATGGATACAACAAGGGCAGAAAGTCCGAGGTTTTAAGGATTTAGTTGAATAACAGGATTTTCCAGCCAGGTGACGCCAACACTACCATTCCATAAGGATCCTTGCAGCCATCTTGGATCATTTCAAACAGCTGTTAAAGGGTTATTGTTATTTATCATGCAATATTTTTTCAATTACCAAAGTAATTGTATTTTAAATAACTAGTGCACTGTGAGATTAGTAATGTTCTCCCTACTTATGTAATTGTTTTATGAGTTACATAATATAACGTCTAGGCTCCAAGGACTCTTAATTCACTACACCACCATTTTAATAAGTATTTGCAAAAGAACTTGTTCTGCACAATTTGCTATGATTTCTTTTTCCTGTAATAAGCTGTAAGAACTTAACCAAACAACCCATTACAGATCAAACTAACCTACCTTACTTGTGGTCAGTCACCAAAGTTAAAGCAAAAGAGTAGTAATGATAAATTAAGACCGTAATTTGTCTGTGGAATATTTCATCATATTGTACTAAGACCGGTTCATTCTACAGGTAGATAGTGGGACAGATACGGAGACAGAAATACTACCAGTGATGCCATACGGGTCATGGTTCATCGACAGCAAGACGAAGATGCCATCTTTCAAGATCAAAGGGGTATTGGTTTTATATTCAGTTGTGGGTTTTAAGTAGAGATGTGTGAATATATAAACAGTTTTAAATATACAATGAAACTAACATTATGTTACATAGTTTTTACTTCCATTTCAAAATCATAAACAACACAAAACAAAAACAAATTATTACGTCAGCTGAAAACTATTTAAACAAATATATCTGTTTTAAGACAGTACAAACTCTTCCGCCATGAAATAATTCAAAGCATATTGTAAATTCTATATCTTCCGAAGTTGATTTATATGCCGTCTCCATAGCATGTCATCAACAGCAACGGAGTACATCACTCTTCCAATTCTTTTCTTTATTTCACCTTTTCTCCAAACAATTTTGCCATTTTTCACCATTTCTCTTACCAAAACATGTTCACCTTCTTTGAACTCTCTTATGGTTCCTTTGAAAAATGTACGTCCTTGTTGGGCTGTGCGAAAGGTAGGTTTCAACGTTGACTCTAGTGAAGGTCTCAACACATCTAACGAATTCCGCAGTTTTCTTCCAAACATCAACCCCACCGGACTTTTTGTCGTTGTCGATGTTCGTCGGTGCAAACCCTTCCAATAATAAATAGGTACTAGGAGATCTTACTGATGCTTAATATCTTTCTAGGTCACGATAACATCACCACTGTCTTCTGTGATCGTGGTAAAATTCTGTTTATCTCCTGCGGTCTTACGGACATCATCATTGTGTCCCGCGTTCATGGGAACATTATATCGGTGGTATCAAGAATCAACACTTCCCTTGTCCTGAACTATCTCTATTCATTGTACTTATAACTAAAAGAGCTAGTTTTTTCTTCATGTGCTTATACCCCTGCCGTAAAATATAAGAGTAAGAATAATAATTGTAAAAAATCTAGTCTCCTATTTTTGACACTTTTAGTGGAGCAAATATATTTCTAATTTCCCTATGTGTTGAAATGTGTGCTCAACTATATTGGATCAAGCCTTATCCTCCCCCACTGCAAACACAAAGATAGAGTATAACTGCAACCAACACTTTATACTTATACGCCAACACCGTATGAAGAATGGGTACTCTGCTAGTCCATATATCAATCCCAAAGTACCCATGAACTTTTGAGAAAACTACAAGTCACACCCCCATAAACCATATACTTAAAATGTTCGTCATGACGAGAAACCTTGCGCAAAACTATCCATTATTTAATAATATATTGACGACAGATAGCGCCACTGTTCTTAAACTTTGACCCTTAACTGTACTTAAGTGATGCCTGTTATTAATATACTGAGACGTATTTGCACATCTACGTAAAAATACCAATTTGACACCTCAAACGTTAAAATCCATCCGGCCGTTATCGAGTTATGACTGTGAAAAGAAAACTGCTTGTGTATTTTTATATAGAAGATATGGGTTCAAGATTTGAAGTATATGTATTTCACCATTTTTTAATTCTATGTTGTCTTTAACATAAATTACTTTAATTACTCTCTTTTTATTCCATATCTCTTAATCATGCTTACAGTTTGTATTTCAAGAAGAACGTCCAGTTGAAAAACCTGGACGCACGTCAATGGTTTCAACTACCAGCGCCAAATCTTCTTCTAGCGCCGGTTATGTAGGGTAAGTATAGCATTTTGTTTATATAGTGATGGGTTGGTACTTAACGTCAAATGAAGGTTCCACCGGTTCTTGGGAAAAGTACCGGGACCGAGAATCGATGGTGAAATGTCGGTACTGATACCTTTGGTACCAGATTAATTTGGTTATATTTTTATTTACTCATTTACAAAATTTAAATTGGCAACTATGATGATTATTTTACTTAAGGCAATTTAAAAATTGAAATATAGAACTGTATTTTGTTTGGTTATCATGAGTTACAACTTCCTTTGTTAGGCTATGTATACTATTTTCCAGGAATCTTTACTCACATTTGATGAATTAACTATTTTGTTATTAAAAAACTTTTTCTAACTGTTTGCTATAAGTTGAGTGTGCAGTTTCTTAGTTTTACTATATTCCAGTTTACAGTTAATATCCTGTAATATCCTACTTTGCCAATAAATATTTACCATTACTAGGAATTGTGACGTCACAAACAGCACATGGTGCGCTAGTTTCATCCATAGCTCTCTCGTGCAATCTTCCAGCATAGATATTTGTCACTCAATAACTCTGCAATGGTCAGAATGTTTCCAAATATCTTCTTCTTGCTTTAAAATACCATATTCAGCAACTTATTAATGTCAAAATTGGAAAAGTTACTATTGACTAAGACTAAACATTTTAATTCTCATTACCAGACAAAACATACCTAGCCAAGATAAGAATGCAAGGTAGAAAACAAGGGTACATTTTTAAGTTGTTTTTTCAAACTCTTCCTCATTCAGGAAAGCCTATCCTAACAGAAGTTTAGTTTATAATTAATGTAAAGTTTCAACAGTATCTTGGCTACCTATCACCTGATTGATTCTAAATGGAAAATGTTATGCTGTAGGCTACCTGGTCCGTTTCCACTGCCAGGCAAAACATTCCGCTCTAGACTATCGACAGTATCCTCGGCCTCCTCTGCCAGCAGCAACCCAGGTAATTGGTTGTTAAACCCTGTTTGCTCATTCAACTTAAGGTCCTTGGAGGCTAGCGGCCATCTTGGATAGTTTCAAACTGCTGCTGAAGATTTTATCATCCAAAAATAGTTGTTCAAACACCAAAGTGATCATAATGTAAATATCTAGTATACTGTGAGATTAGAAATTTGCTTTGTAGTTTTTTAGTTGTTTTATGAGTTGGAAGGACTCCAAGGACTCTTAAGGAATTATTCTATGATTCAGTAATACCTGTTTTGATCATGTTTTGCCTTAACATAACATATTTTGGGGGGCGAGCTGGTCTAGTGGTTAGAGCGCGGGACTCCGGTTTCTGGGGTCCTGGGTTAAAATCCCGCCAAATCACCAATGGATTTTTATCTAAGTGATAATGCCGTAACCCCTAGGTCTAGCCCGAAGTAATGTGAAAAACAATTCCAGGTTCGTGCCCAGTGTCCTAGGACAAAAAACCATGACATACTTTTAAACGATTTGAAAACTAGTTTTTGTTGGCACTATTGATGCGTGATTGTCGACGGTTAAAATCAAAATATTTTATAAATTCTAACCATTCTAAATGTTTTGTCTCTGACGGCTACAATCGAAACATTTTAGAAATCCTAACCATTCTAAATGTTTTGGCTCTGATGGTTACACTTGAAATGTAGTATTTTTTCCAGACTTTGACAGAACAATCTCACACTCGTGCATCAAACGAATGGTTTACATTTATTTTTAATTATTTAGTTTGTAACAGATTCATATTTTTAAGTCACAATTCATACTACCTATTTCAAAACATGTTTTTGTTCAATTCCTTCTATAAGTAATAGGCCTACTACTAAAAAGGTCTCAGCACACCATCACCAAATTTTGATAAATATTTTAGCCAAACTAAACTTACCGTTGTAATTATGAAAGATAACTTGCAAACATCAAAACCAGTTAGTTACAATAATTAGAAAGGTTATTTTTGTTACCCTCATCCTATTATTTAGTGTCAGCCATGCCTTTAAGAGATGATTAATTCAGTTATTTCTTTTCAGCCTGGGATGGACCGTTTGTAAAACCTTTTCCATTACCTGAATCAAAGCAGAACCAGAATGTGGTTCTTTTGTGTGGAAAGTGTGATCATAACTTCCCCGTCGACCGACATGCTCATTCTAGCCCAGTTGTGTGAGTATCGTAGTGCCTGTAATAACTTTGAGTTTGTATAACGCTATACACCCTTTTTGGTTATAAAGTTATATTTTTCATTAAGTTTTTCCTTGGTGTTTGCATTGATTCATCTTCTTCTGGGCTCTAATAAAAATATTGTGTATTAGCACTTTCCAGAAGTAGCTTTTCCAATGGTTAGTTTAAATCTTTTTAGTTAAAAATTTGTTCTATAAAAATTGGTTTTAAAATAGTTTATTACTTTTATTTCAGAAATGGCAGTTCACCAGTGATTGAAGAAGAAATCTCGGACGCAAAGACCCTTACTCCTAGAAGAGGACGAAAAGTAAGTTATTAATTATTTGATTTTGGTCAGTTAGTGTAATAGTTTAAAAAAAAACTCTCCCAGCCTTTTTTACCTAACCTCAATTATTTTTGGTGATTGTTATTTCTTGATAATGTTATTCTTGGTGATTGTTGTTTCTCGGTAATGGTAATGATTGTATTTTCTGCAATCAGTTATACATTTTAACTTAACCCTTATAAAACAAATACTAACAATTTAAATTCTCATCTTTACATCCATGCACTTCAAGACCACATACCTAATGTTTATCTTGTACTGTCTGGTTTAGACAAGTAGTGCGGCAGGCAGTACTGTGTCCAGTGGACAATTAGAAGAAGAAACTTCCAGTTCTGGAGCCCAAGCTGCCCCCCAGGCATCCAGTACCCCCACCATGCAGTCCAGAGGACGAGTGAAGAGCAGACGGAAACAGGACACAACTCCTCTCAAGTCGAAGAAAGAGGCGCAACCATCAAAGACACCCAAGGCTGTGGGACGAAGAAACAGAAGTTCCAACACAGCCCAAACTGTGGGAAAAGGTAAGGAAATTGCAGACAAGTTTGTATACGCGTAACATCGTCAGATGCAACTGTGTTCTTAACATTTTAAACATTTATTATCACTCCATTTTGTACACATCCTCAGGCTATTTAAAGTAATCTTGTCATTGTCATATTCATTTGAAACATGTCACATTGCTAGTAGTAATATTTATATCAAACATGCCCTTGTGCAGGTGAGGGAGAGCCTGTGATGGCCAGATGGGGAGCTGATGGTATATACTACCCGGGCTGGGTGTCCGAGCCTCTCACTGTAGCACAGGTGAAGGTTCAGTTCTGTGATGGTCAGGTCAAGTCCACCCCGGTCTCCAAGCTTGTGAAAGCAGACATCATCACTCCAGGCACTCTGGTCCTTGCAGCCACTCAGAGTGGCGAGTACGAGGAGGCGTTGGTCGTCAAAGTCGACATGTGAGTTTTTCATCAATTATATCTGTTGTGCTTAAAAAGTCCTTTGCATTTTTTCTGTTTATAATAGGGATGGTCAAGTCTCGAAATTTCGGGAAATTTTAAATCTCGTTACACAAGATGAGATTTTTTTTTAGCCGAGATTTTTATCGAGACGAGAATAAAAAAAAAAAAAAAAAAATTAAAAAACGCCTGCAGGAAGTCAATGCAATACCCGCAATACAGGAGCGTGTTGTAGTTGCGTTTCCTTTACGAAGGCGTTCTTATTTAATTAATTCTTTAAGAGGCGGCAGGAGTCAGGTTGAAAATCGTCAATCTGCGACTCCTGCATTTGTACGGTCCGCAACCCGCACGGCTAGTTTCTGACCTTGAGCCTATTGATCGTAACTTCCATGGTTAGAGCAGTGTTGAAAAATGGACAGTTCGTACATTTCTAAATGGTGCAATACTGTGGCCGACGCGACGGGTCGAATGAATCTGTCTTTTTACACAAACAAACATTCGGCCTGCAATTCTACAGGGGTGCCCACAAGGGGGGGCTGTGACGCAGACTGCGTCATTGAAATTCTTGGGGGGGGTTGCAAAATTTCAAATGGGGGGGGTGGCTAAAGTTAATTATAAAATTAGTTAATTAATAAAGTTAACAGTGTTTAACGTGACGACAATCAAAAATATATTATGAAGTCACCAGATATAAAGTTGATTAATTAATGACAATAGTTATATTATTGAATTCAATTAGTTAAAATAGGATTTTAGGATAGTTTAGGATTCGTGTAGGAAGTTATTATTCAAGATTAGCAAGACGTGAGATCTAGAGGGAGGGCACGGAATGGCTCAACTGCTGTGATAGATAAAGATAACGCGTGGTACAGACACGTCCAGCTACACTGCGACTCGGCACAAAACGCTTTGTTGACATAAAACTCGTTAAAATACAATCAAGTAGCATAGGCTACAATACTTAACACTATTGTGTAGATACTCGATTACCTGAGTGAATATGGAGGGGGGTAATGAAAATACGGTTAATCCATTATAGTATAAATAAACAGATGACAAACCCGTCACGATTTGCATTTTTATAAACGAAATTCAATATTGCACAATCATTATTATTGTACATTTCAAATCATCTATCTTGGTTCAGTTGTACAAACGGAAACGTTTAAATTACGGCCAACTCAAACTCAACTAATAACTAGCCAAACACTGATGCATTGCTATAAATAATGTAAATATTAAAGTACCCTTTAGAAAGTGTTAAAAGCTACTGCTCATGATAGACGGATAGGCTACCGGTAGGTGCTGTATCACAGCATAGGAGTTGATAGATTAGTAATAAAAATGTGTAAAATTATATTTAGAGATAATAAAACACTCTTAAAAAAATGTGACGAGAACAATATTGTTATTCCTTTTCTTTGTTCTTAGGTTCTTTATTAGGTTTCTCTTCAATTCATATTTACTAATCACTCAATCACAGTTTACTAAGCATTATCGTCATCATCCCCCAGCTGTTGTATCTTAAATCTGTTGTAACATAGCGCACAGCAGACAGAAGTGTAAAACGGAGCAGACGATTGTTGGCGCAAGCGTTGTTTCCGTTCATTTTCATCAAAGGAGCTATGATGTTTCCAAAGGGAGGGAGAGGGGTCGTTATATCAAGATAAAGACGCTCACAATTCGTTAAGCAGAGGTTAAGGACGCTATACAGATATTCTGGCAATACAAAATTCCTTAAATTGAGGTGACCTATAAAACTCTATTTTTATTTATATAGAAAGATAAGTTTCCCAGTCCTGTACAACACTGATTCAAGGCCTTTTCCCGGTAATCAAAATTCACGTACAACTTGATACACACAGAATCTCCGGTTCCCGACCTGAATGATGGCTAGTTATTCAATTTAATTTACAGTTACATATACATTTTAGTACCCGTGATAAGTCAAACGCGTTATGTAAGCCAAAGCCACACGGTTATTTTTCTCACTGGGTTTTGGATTTGCTTACAAACGTGATCAGAAATGGTTAGGGCCTACACAGTATTCGTATAAAAAACATCTATACAGTATATAAAGCCAAAAGTACCCATGAACTTTTGAGAAAACTACAATTCACACTCCCAATAACCATTTGCTTAAAATGTTCGTCATGACGAGAAACTTTGTGCAAAACTGTCCATTTTTTCATAAATTGCCCTTTAAGGTCATAATTGCGTTTCAAAGGGAACTTTCCATGTACTTAATGTTAAAAATACCTCAGCTGTTCTTATTTGTATGTTATTCTTTCAATTTATTACCTTATTAAAATCTGGTGTGATTATTTGTTTGTAACTTTGCTGTATTCTGTTTTGTTTTATTTCAGCTTAACTTAACCAATCAATAGTTTTTTATAATACTTATGAAGTCAAACGGGTTGAAGCCCGTGGGTAACAGCTAGTTTATTTAAATATATCAGTGACAGCTAGAAAAATGAATCTTTATCAAAACAGCTGTTCGTAATTTAATATATGACTTGTTCTTTTAACAGATTATTAGTATTTCATGAATTACGTATGTAGTAAACATGGAGGAAAAAAACTAGAAAAATCACAAAAAATTGGATTTTTGATCGTCCGTTATTTTATTTTCATAATAGTGAGGCCATATTTTAATGGCTAAGGACACTCTCGCCAATCCTGTGAATACAATTAAACCATTAGAATCATAATCGGTACTCTAGTTTTCTTTAGAGTAGGCTGCGTAAAATGCATTCTGGGCCGTGACAGACGGACATTAATTGAGATAAGACATGTTTCAACTTATTCAATGTATAAAACGTAAAAATAACCCAAAATATGTATAATTCTGAGCAATGTACAGAAATAACCATAACTTTTTTATATAGATTAACTGGGTTTAAGTTTTCAATATCTAAAAAAATGTATAAAACTTCTTTTAGTTTTACAAATAGTGCTGGGCGGGGAAATAATGTTTCTCATTTGTTGTGTACCTCATTTATGGGGGGGGGGGCTGTTGCTCAATTTGGGGGGGGGGGGTGCGTCATGAGTCTAGGGGGGGATGGGCACCCCTGAATTCTACGCTAATTTTTAACGTACAAATTTAATTTATACGTTTTAAAATTTTATTTTTTAGTTTTAAAATGTATGTAGTGCGTGCGAGAAGCCGGTAATTATTACTATATTATTTTGGTAAAACTGAATTAAATTTGAAATTTTACGTTTATGCAAATATGCAATTTATTTCATAGCTTTATTTATTTATTTATTCATTACTTTATTTATTTCATAAATGAGATACCATAACTAATTGTTGTTTTTTCAATATATGTTTTATTACATTACGTTAAAAGTTCTTCTATGGAATTGAGTTTTCATTTACACTCAATTTATATAACTGAGTTTAAATAATTTGATGGAAATGGGTATGGTCAATTCAATACTCATGTTTTCCTTTAGAAAACTATTTATTTCGGCTTTACAATGTAGTTGATGTTAATGAGTCTTTAAAAAAAAAAATCAAAACAAACATGTATTAAAAATAATTATATGTACAAAAATGAATGATCATTTTACAAGCTATGATGATGAGCTCATCGGGGGAATGTCCATTGTGGAAAAAACTTCCTCTAATTGAGCATGGCCCCCACCTGTTGCCATAGTTCCACTAACAGCACTTGTATTTATATCCATCAAATCATTTTTCTTTGTTTCTGACCAAATAACCTTTGTTATGTTGCACATGGAACATTTAAATACAAAACCACTCTTCAGTCCAACTCTCTTTTCCCGCAAAAATGTCAAATCTTTGAAACTACAACCTGTAGGACTATGATTATCTAATTCTTTCACTTGATCGAAAATATCTTTAATTGTCACTATTCTACGACCACACAGCATTGAGACGTGAGAAGTTTCTGTTGCGTCTTTCTCCCCATCGTGACTTGGTTCTTTCCTGAAAATACAAGAGATATGATGGTACAATGCTAATGCGTCAAACGTCAAACTGACAAAAAATATATGTTTTTTTAAGTTTGGACAGTAAATACCTACTACAAATTATTGTAGGCCTCATTTAAAAGTCCCTCTTAAGTCACAGTGAAGTTAATTGAATTGCACATAATTATTTTTTTGAATTACAGTACTAATACCACAATAAGTCTCCTATATAGTATCCAGGCATATTCTAAAATCAAGACTAAATATTATGCATACTTACTTCTTATCATCAAAGTATTTTTTTAAATAGGAAGGCAGCTTCCGCTTTTTCGTCCTCGACGGGAACTTCTTCAGATGACCCATCACGGTTTGATAGAAACAACTCAATAATACTGACACTGCCAAAATTGTTGATCTTCCGATGTAGACTTTGCTAAGTGTGGGTTTATACTAAAATTTGTATTTTGCGCGCCTTTTCGTTCACATCGACGCTAGTGCTATCTGTGTGGAGAACGCTGAACTGTTACGCCGCCCCGCGCTGCGCGTGAGGGGGTTGCAGTTGTAGAGTTATTTTAAAACAACGAAAAACATTGAAACCAATTCACTTTTCAAGAAAACTAAAAAGTAGTTTTAAGACTGAATATATAAGGTTACTTGTAAGCCAAATTTCACAATTTTACGATAACGTTTACCTACTGTAACATTGAACTAGTTCTGTCAAATCCTTATGGAAAATAATATTTTTTATTTCAACAAAAACAAATTAAAAAAATTTTTTTTTTAATGTTTTTGCATGCTACACGTAGGTTAAGTTATGCTTTTTAATACTACTTTTTGATCCATGCCAAATACGCAATCGTTTAATTGCAGTTAAGTGAAAAGTAAATTAGTCCCATGTTAAATAGCAGGCCCTGCCAGTAGCGTGGTGGTTGACTCCTGCCGCCTCTTAAATGTAAATATTACTTTAATTATTTTAATAATATTACTTTAATAACATTTGAGAAGTTTTGTTAAATGTAAGCAGTGTGAGGAATGTTTTATTACTATAAAAAGTCAAAACAAGTACCTAACTATTTTATAAAAATTAATATTACTATTATTTTATGATTTATTTTATTTTAGGATAAGTTGAACTCTATCCTAACTGATATCACTATGTTTCCTAATCGTAGGCATTTTTAATAAGTTAGGCGTGATTAATAAAAAATGTTATGCTGATGTTTTTTAATAAAAGATTGTAAATATTCTTGCCTATTATCATTATTTTTGTATTTAAACAGTCATCTAACAATGTTACAAAATCAGGTAAAAATTTTGAACGTGCATTTCCCGTTGTGTATGAGAAGGGAAATCCCGTCTCGATCTCGTCTCGAAATTTTATGAGAAATAAAAAATCTCGTCTCGTCTCGTCTCGAACTAAAAATCCAATCTCGTCCATCCCTAAGCTCAACATCTCTTCGATAAACTAATTGGAGCGTTGAATAAAGCGGTTGTCTATCTCAGATAATATTAAAATTTTAATAAAAAATTATATTTTATCTGTTCATAGTGACCACACTAAACTCCTGGAGATTTGCACATTTTACCAGTAGCAAAACTTGGATTTCCCAGTCGCCAAGTTACTTTTTTACTAAAAAGCGAGTCATTGATATTTTCTGATGGGATCTGGTCAAGAGTTGTTGCATGAGCTAACAAAGTTTCATGAACGTTTATTCAAGCAAATACAGTCTGTGGGTGTTACACTCTTCTATGTTAGTCTTAAATCCACATTAAATCAAAATAGCATAAAGGTTAAGTTTCTAAATTCACACATACTTCCCGTTTTATTCCTGGTACAAAAAATTCATGTATGATTCCCAGTTTTGTCAAAATTCCTAGTCTGTGACCACCCTAACACTATTTTGACAAGATGGTCATAACTTGACCATGATCGTGGAACAATTTTCTCGGTTTGTTTTGTTGGTTGTAGGAACTAACTTGTACATTTCCCAGTTATTTATTTCCAACCTTAAAACCAAAATAGTATATTCTTGCTGTGAATTCCAAAAAATTTTAAAAATTAGTTAAAGAATGTGTGTGAATTTAGTTTTGTGTGAGTAACTATTTTCTCCCTCAAACTTTGACCAAGATAAAATATGTACTGTAGCTAAATAAATTGTGTTCTCGGACAGTTTGTTAATCAAACAGCCTACGTTCACCTCCTTAGAGTTTCCAGGTTACACCCAGACTTTGCTTTATACATACATTGGATGAAATAGATAGTATTTATTTTTTATTTATAAAAAGGATGTTTTTTTGTTTGTTTTTTGTAGTTTTACCTGAGCTGAATTTAATTAATAATTATGTAATTAAATAAATAAATATAAGAGAAGCTAAGCTTGTTTATGGATAAGTAAGTAAGTAGGTTTATGTGGATAGAATTTAAGCTTGATGACTGACACTGTACCGTTATATTTATGTTATCCCTATAATTATTTCATGGTTTATATCTAAATCTATCATATATTTCTTAAAATATTAAATTGTTTTGTTTGGATACAATAAGTCTTCAAATAAGGCTGATCAACCAGAATTAACAATATTCAATGCACGTTTCATTTTTTTAAATCCAACTTGCGTACTATTGACATTGATTTTCTGTGCAGGAGCGGACCTGAGCCAGTATACATGGTGGAGAGAGACAAGTCCGAACGCGAGCTACAGTTTGACAGCATTGCCCTAAATCAGTCGGTTGTCACCGAGTTAACAGTGCCAGAGGCCCAGAAAGCCGCTGCTGCTGTCAATTTTAATGACCTCTCATTGGGTAGGTAGCATTGACATTTGGATACTGAAGTTGACACCCCTTGTAAATGAGCCACCTTTCTACTATTCAGAATTCTTTTTTCCCTTAGTTCTTGTTTCTGAGCTAGATTATGTAACATATTCTATAGTTTAAGGTAAAGCTTCGCACCTGTTAGACATGGTTAAAAAGTTGGCAAATTTGACTGTACACTGTAATTTACTTCAGCACTTTGTCAGTGGATAAATTTAACTGCGATGTAAAAAAAATCCTTCAAGCCTAAAAAGTGTTTAATTGTCCATTACAAAATTATGACAATAATTTGCAAATTGGAATTGTTCAGTTATCAATCATTTACATAGGCTAATTGCTTGTTCTCTCCAGAGCTAATTTTACTGGGCGTAAAAGCCTATTTCATAATACATCATAGAAATCTAATTTTTAAATAAAAAAAATGCTTTTGAGAAATTTACCTTAATTTTGTCAACAGTTCATCAATTGACATTTTGGTTCAAGAAATTTAAAGATAGTTTAGTAGTAAAGCCATTATAATTTTGAAAATAATTTTTAAAAGGAATAATGCTTCAATTTTAATTTCTAACAGACCTGGCTGCAGAATTCCTAAATATATAATGAGTATTGCTTTCAGAGAACATCATCGTACATCCACGCAAGAGGTCAGCACGAACACCGGTGAACGGCGGTAGTGGACGCAAAAAGAAGCGGCAGACGACACCTCAACCATGTACGAGTCATGGTCAGACGTACAGTGGGCCTGAGGAAACTTATGGCGACACTGATAGTTCCACACATAGCACCTGCAGTCTTGATCTCAGAGGTGATTTTAATGTCACAGCGCCATCTAGATTAGTTTAAGTTTATCAGCTGTTTGTTGAAACTCGATGCAATCACAATCCTATTTAAAATTTTATGTCAATAATGATTTCATAATAGAAAGTAAAGTGATAAATCGATAAACACATTTGATACTTGGTGTTGGCAATCCACAGAGTCTAGCAGGTTATGAACTCAAAGCGTCTGGGTTGAAAATGCAGTCAGCGACAGTAAAAGTTTCCAAATCTTCGCCAGGGTCTTTTTCCCTTGATGTAAACCTGTTAACCGGGAAAAATTCCTAAGACCTAGGTCCTTATGACCAAGTGAAGGGATTTTGTGGTTATTTAACCACAGGGTCTCTTTCCCATTAAGATAATCCTGAAAACCTTAAAACCTAGGCCTTTCTGACTTATGATACATATTCTATATGTGAAGTAACTGTTGGTATTTTTTTTATCTCTTGACAAGGTGTTCTGATAATATCAGCCATTATTTGTTTCATAGTTAAGAGAGTGACTAGTTTAGTATTATTAGAGGAGCCACACTAGAATACAACCTATTTATGTCAGTTGTAACGACCAGCTATCAAAAATAATATTGTTTTTTACCACATGATATTGGTTTCAGGCAAAGAAATAAAACCACTAGATATAGAGTGCTTCCCAGCTGAAACTACGAGAACAAAACTAGCTTACAGCCGAGGCAACATGGCTTTCAAGAAGAAAGGTAGTAATAATCAGCTTAAGGTCACAATAAGCTCAAAAGGCTCTCTTTTAGCAGATGTCCCATATAGGTAATAAGCTATTACCGTAGCTCTCATGATAAGACCTGGACCCAGGACCGATTTACTTTTTCATTTGAGGTTCCCAGAGGCCAAAAACACCATCCGTTCAAATTCATATATATATATTTATATATGTGTCCGTTAGCGCAATAATTAGAGCAAAAATGATCCGATTTTGATGAAATTGGTATAAATGTGTAAACCTACATTTATTCAAACGTGTTCGCAAACCAGCATGATCAGACCATGGGAACAGGGGTTGATGGGGGGTTTTATGGGGTGAAAATTGGTTTTTCCCAATTTTGCCCCTAAACACATAAAATTTTGCAATTTATTTCCAAATCACTTTGTAGAGCTAAAAAAACACAAACAATTTAGTATATTGAAGCGTCGTTATGCGCCTAATATTTACGGAGAAAATTCAAAAAAATTTTAAATTTAAAATTCCTATGTTATTCTTATGGAGAATGAGTAAACTTTTTGTAGTTTGCTTGTTTATAAACATATTTTGATCAAATTTGGAAAATGCATTAATTTCATACTAAGGTTATCTTATAAAAAGATTTCATTTGCCTTAATAATTTCATACTAAACTATTTAACTTTTTACTAAAAACACTTTTAACCCTCCCTGTCGCTGCAAACCTAAGTATTTGTTAAACTAATGCTATTTAAATCTTACTCTTACTAATATTATAAATGTGAAAGTTTGTGTGTTTGTTTGTTTGTTTGTTTGAAGTTCAATCACGCATAAACCACTGGACGGATTGGGCTGAAATTTGGCATGATGATAGCTCACATTCCCGATTAACATATAGGCATATTCTTATCTCAAAAATCCTTTCGGGCTCCGCCCCAGTGGCTCTGTAGTTTCCCATGTTAACCTTATGAGTATTCATATTTAAAGGGAATTAAAATATTTAGTCAGCTGTTTCAACTAAAGAAGTGGGTTCTATGATATACAAAAGCATTAAAAAGTTATAAGATTTACCAACAGGGTGCAGCACAATATTTTTTTTTGCTAAGCAGCAACAAAAAACTGTGATACGCAATAAGAACTGTCAAAGTAGGATTATTTATGATTATTTTTATGTTTTTGATGTCATAAATAATTTTTGATTTTTTGTGAATTCGTAATAATTAATTTTTCTTTATTGTTTAGGTGAAGTGGTAGAACATTATGGCTATGGTAGATGTGTAATACCATTAGTATACCGTAAATTTAAAGAAGCAAATTTTATCAAACTTTTTCCTCCCCATTGCAATCGCAAAGCTTGAGTATAACTGCAATAAGCATTTTAAACTTATATGCCAGCCCCGAACGAAGGACGGGTACTCTGCTAGTAGGGAATAAATGTGATATTTTTAATGAGATTTTTTAGTGTAAATCCAATTAATGGAAATTCGCTTAGTCTGTAGGATTGCTGCGGCGGGGGTATTAGTCAGTAACAACGCTACGCAAGGCATCTCACTCCATTTACTCACCCTTAATTCATATTCAGGTTACAATAAGCACTTAAGCTTGCGTGTAATTTATTTATTGCAATTTATTGGTCACAAAAATATGAAAGAATCTTTACTTTTACTAATTTAAATACATACTAAGTTATTTTGAAACATATTTATTTGTGAATTGGCCTCTGATAGCTCGGACTTTTTAAAGATTTTGTTTCTGGACTTTGTCTGTGGATTTTGTTTACTGTAGGGTAACTTACTTCCATTGAGAAAAGAAACCCTTCCATTATTTAGGGCTTATCCTGTGAAATAAATTTTAATAAAAATTTAATAAATTTTAATGAATAATTTTAAACAAATGGTGAAGCCTTGATTGAGATACAAGGAAACATAAACAGTCACTAATGATTCCAATAATTACAGGGAAAGCTGAAGCTACAGTTGTCAGTGATTTGGGTCCCATACCAGAGCCGGGCAGTAACCTGTTCACAGGCTGTGCTTTTCTCATTACCTACACGGACAGTGTGAGGATTCGTGAATTGAATGAATCCCCCAGAACATCCAGTGCTGACGGTGAGGCAGTATCAACTACTTCATTATAAACATAAGTGACAGTCATGTAGAGTGCAGGGCTTTTATGTCCCGAAGTCCTCAGGTTCAAATCCTGCCAGTTACCAAGCCTTTAGCTTTGTGATAATGTCACAATCCTCTAGGTTATGTCCTAAAGTTATGTGTAATTCAGCTGATTTATAAGGTGAATCAGCTAAACCAAAATTTGGATGTGTAAAGGCAGTTTTTTTACACATTTAGTTGTTTGTGGTTATCAAGAAATCAATCATTGGTGCACTTTTTCAGTGAAAAACTTCTGTCTGAAAAATATAAGTTTAACATTATGTTTTGAAAAGGTTAATGACCTAAAATGAAAACCCACATCTACTCCTGAAGTACCAATACCTAAATTAATGGCGCACTATCTACGCTGTATTAACTGTACAGGTTGTACTTATACTAAGTGGGTTTTGAGGAGGATAAAGTGTAAATGCACAGGTTGGCTAGTGCTTTCTTGATGCCGATTTTCAATTTGGAATATATATTTTTTTTGGGGGGGAAGGATTTTTTTTAAATATTCACTCTGTGATTAGGTTATAAGATAATCATAATCTTGTCGGTGCAATTCAAAGAGTTATGAAAATCAATAACTAGTTGTAGAATTGGTTCAAACAAAGTAAATAGTAGTATCTTAACTTGAATACTAGGGTGCTTTGTCCCTGACCGATAACATACATTAGATTCTATATTTTATCTAAAAACTGTACATAGATTTTAGATCTGGGATTTAAATTTTAGATTTTATTTAAATTCAAGATTTAAGATTTGATTTGAATATCATTAGCTTACAGTCTGTTACAAGTTTGGTTATTATATTTTAACAAAATTTAACATTCATTTAACTGGTAATTTTAGTATTCATAGAATGTTATATTACAAGTACTTTTAACACGTTCGCTGTGGCCCACCAAATGGCAGGCGTAGCCCCGGTCCGAGGCAGCTTTGAACGAACCCATTTGGCTTTCGAATATTTCGGTGTTCGGTCTGACAAATAGCAAATGATGTGCGATGATGTTATGCGTTACAATGAGAGTCGACGTAGTTTGCTGAAACACTCACAGATAGCAGCACTGTCTGGAACTAGCTGATACCATTGTATTGCCAATAGGAGGGAGAAAGGCGGGACAACAAGTTGATTTCTAAGCTTGCCAGTAGGAGATTTTACGGGGAAATTTAATACCAACCTACATCACAATAAAGCACCTATTCCTAGCTAAACGCAGACATAAAAATGTGTTCTTCCCGGTGTGCTGCGCAGAAATTGAATGGAGTGTATGCGATGTCGCCGAGCGTTCAGGGTGGCAGAAAGGAACTAGAGCACTCACCGGTGAGTGGTCCGCAGCTAATGTGTTAATCTAACTGGTAATTTCGGAATTCATAAATTGTTATAGCCTATTACAAGTCCTTTAATTCTAATACAGATTCAAGGATTGAAATTCATTTTTATTTCGTTTGGTGTACATTTATCGCTTCTCTGCCTGTTGGCTAAGATCAAAGTGTACCTTTAATTCTAATACAGATTCAAGGATTGAAATTCATTTTTATTTAGTTAGGTGTACATTTATGTAATTTTCTTGTAACAATCCTTGTTGTCGTGTTGTAGATGTAATAGGAACCAAGCAGCAATTGTGGAGGAACAGATTACAATTGCAAATAAGAAATGGAGGGGGAAAAGTTTACAACTCTTTTAGTGAAGTAAGTGTAATATTTTATCAAACATACTATTAAAATTTGTTAGAGATGATGGATTGCAAAATCACACTTCAACTAAAATAGCTTAGTTAATTGCTTATTCTATTGGAAGGTTTGACTCTACAGTAATTTTACTCATGTTGGAAAACCTCGGTATACTTTTCTGAACCATTGGTAGTTAGTGCAAAAATAAATTTACGCCACACTACACTGTTAAATTAACTAAAAGCTTATGAATTATTAAACTAGAACCTTTTACCATAACTTTCAGCATTTTGAATTATATTAGTCTTTATTTTTTACACCTCAGGCTTACTTTAAGCTGGAATGCCTGTATTTACATTTGACATCAACTACACTACTGGTTACCGGTACTGTAATAATTCTTTTTGCAAAGGTTACCAAAGAAGATCTGCCTAACACGTACCTGATCACAGACAAACAGTGCAATACTCCGCTCTACCTCCAGTGCCTTGTCAATAATGTCCCAATCTACTCTCATCAAATCGTCATCATGTGTTGTGCAAAGGTGAGAACAGTTACTGCTTTTCAAATATCTGTTTTATTCAAACGAATAACCTCACTCTATTAGGGACCCCAACAATAATATAATGATACCAATGATGGAAATTTCCTGGACCCATTGGTGCTGGAATATTTTTTAACCCTTTGAGGTTGAATTTTTTCCTCATTTTTCGCCGGGTATTGTTTGTCATTAGAGCAGTTGAAATGATGGCGCCCGGCAACCTATACTCGCCTATTCAACTGCAAAAATCAACTCTTTTAGTTTTTGATTTTTTTTAGAATATGTCACCATTTTTTTGCAGTTGGGAAAATGGCAGGCGGCGACCTATACTCGCCATTCGTCCGCAAAGGGTTAATTTAATTTTTTAAGTTATGCCCTTCTATGTATTTTATCATGTAAGTATTTCAACATTATATGTACATTTATAACCGTAATAAAATTTTAAAAAAAATCAAATTTAGTGCACCCTATTCATGAGGTATTAGGACAATTTATTTTGTGATGATATTTATACATTTGTTATTAAAGAATTCAGAAGTTTCCTTGCCACTTTTGAGATGATTGTCATCAACCCTAATATCAGGAAAGTTAATGTGACTTTTTTAAAACCGAGTTCAGATTTAATGATAGACTTCCTCAAGCATCCTTACTCTTGTTTTCTGATTCCTTTATAAATTTACCATTATACATATTTTATTTTTCTTTCATTGCATACCTTGTTGAAAGTTTTATACCTTTTAACATAATTAATGAAGTTTCTATAGTTTAATTTCTTTAAAATTCTGCTTAGTTCCCTTTTTCCAATACCAGAAATGTTTACCTCTTGTTGCCCAGGACTTTTTATTATTACAAGGTTTATTACCACAAAACTTAGGAAAACATAGGAAATGCTTCTTCAAATAAATTTTGTAAAGTTAAAAAAAAATTAAACAACTATTATCAAAAGAATTATTTACAGATACATTCCAGAAGGTTTCTTTTACATTATTTACAAATTTTGCTGTATTTTCTTTTGAGTTTGTAACTTGGTAGTTTGTTGGTATCAACAGAATCGCCAGTGGAAGGAGGTGATAGCGGGCCGAGGGGTGAAGCGCATTTCGGGTGGCTACTCGCTGTCAAATCGCTGTATAGTCAACCCACGCAGTCTGACGCCGCTGCACAAAAGAAACCTCCTACTGGCGTTGTCCGGCGACCCCGCCCTCTCTGCGTTCTGGCAGAGCCTCATATCCAAGGCTGGCGGCTCAGTAGACCTTCACCCCCACGGACCATGTAGGTTCAGTTGTTGTGTTGGGTTATTTGTATTATTTCAACATTATTTAACCCTTTGAGTGCCAACGTCCGGGGAACCGGACGTTTTTAAAACGAGCCAAAAGTGCCGACTTCCGGCCGACCGGACGTTTTTAGGACGAGCCAAAAGTGCCAACGTCCTGCTGACCGGACGTTTCGTAATGATCGAACAGTTGTCATAACAACCGAATGGATACTCGGATTCTTTTAACCCATATATTAACATTGAGTCGAAAGTTACTAGATGCGATACATCGATTTTCGTTGGTCAAAATATCGAAAATTCGATTTTTACGAAATTTTAACCTAAAAATCGCCAGATCGCGCTCGGCATTTTTAGCGCGACCTTCGGGAAAAATCATCGGCATTTTTTGAGCGTTACTTTTATTTCTCGCCTGGCACTCTAAGGGTTAAACCATTTGATCTTAAATAAGGAAATTATTGTTTAAAGACTTAACGCTGTTGAGATTATGGGCTGGCAGAAAATGATAGATGTGTGAAGGTAACATTTGTTTTTACAAGCTATAGATATACTCTACCATTCAACATCCATGTGTTACAGTGAAAGACAACAATTACGACGTGGTAGTAGCAGACACGGACTGCGACAGGGAGCTGGTGGCAGAGGCCTGCAGTGTCCAAGTGCCTCTAGTGTCTATGACGTGGCTTCATCAGGTCATCATCACGGGTGAGTGGCGTTCGCCCACCGAGCATCCCTTGTACAATTACAACAGTTGTGGCGATGGTGACGGTTCTCCAGAGTACTAACCATCATGTTTTGCGTAGTCAACTTGGGAATTTCACCGAATAGCTGATATTTTAAACTTAAGTTTAATAGAAATAAATCAGCTATTCGGTAAAACTTTTCTGACCTCAATACTGTTAAATTTTGATTATTCGTCTCAGGGACTGATGCAGAAAATTTGTTGATTTCCGTTGAGGTGAAAACCATTTATTCCCTCATGTTTTAGTTTGGAATAAGTATGGAGAGAATTGTACTTTTAGTACGGCACGAGATTTATGTTTACTTCCTGTTTTCCAGGACAGGAATAGGATGGGATTTCCCTCCCATTAAAAATTAGAACCAAACATTTTGAGTAAAAATCTTTACAAATGTAAATAAGAACCAACAAAATAAATTTAATTTGCAGTCTTCATGGCACTGTTCTGTAAAAGTTTAACTAAAACTTTTATTTTAATGTTTTGTCAATGCACCGCAAAGATCAAATATATATTTCCCAAAAATGTTTGAGTTTCAGGACTTGTTCACCTTTAGTTTCAAACAATCCTTCATCTTAAAAAGCAATATTAAAAACTGATAGTTTTTTTCGTTTTTTTTCTTCTGTAGAAATATCTATGAAAATATTTTATTAGCTGATAACATCCAGTAAGTGAACTAAAAAACAGTAAAAAAAACCTATGACTGAATAAACAAACCTCTAATATGCATAATACTTATTATACTTATTTAAACAATAATAAAGATTGGAAAATATAGAATGGTGTGCATGATTCAAATAAAAAATGAACAAGTAGTATTTAAATCTATTGGAAAAAAGTACAAACTTTTCATTGTTAAAATGTGTTGTTATTGCAGGTTTTTTGTGTTATATATATTTTATTATTTTAAGTTATATTACTTAAGTTATACTATTTAAGTTAGTTTATTACTTAAGGAAGAATATGTCAGCGCAAAAAACGCAAACAAGGTGGTGCAAAGTAGCGTTTAAAATAATATTTTGCGGATTGGCATAGCATCCTGACTTGTGTTTTTATGTCTTATTGATTATTTTGGTTTTGGTTTAAACTGAAACAACACCACGCAATGTTTGTGTTTTTACCTTAACATGTCAATAATGTTATTTTGGATTTGTGTATGTATACCAGTACATCTTGTACTTTTAATCTAGATATCGTTGTTATTGTTTTTCTGTTGTTAAAAATCTCGTTGATACATTTTTAGTTTTTCAACAATATAAATGTGGTTATGAGAATGTCACAAATCTTGACATCTGAAACAAATTTTGAGTTTAATGAATGTATTAAAAAAAACAATAATTCTCAGGTCTTAGTGTTAAGTTTTTTATGTTTTGTTTGATAAACAATTGTTAATGTGTTTTTTAATCTATCAGCATTTCAAATTTAGATACGTGTTACATTTACAAACAAAAATGTAATACATTAAAAATTATTATGATATTGATAACTACACTATTTATTTACTACTACAGTTTACCTTTAAAGTAACCAGTTATGCTCAAGAAAGTTTTTAATTTAAAATTGATAGTTTTAGTCCTTAATTACTTAGAAATGAATTGCTATAAAATATGCCTTGTAAACTAAACAGTTGATCAAGTATTATTATTGTTTAGTATCCCTCACACTGTGTCTTATTTATTACAGGAGTATGCTTGTCCATCAAAACAATATGGGATGACAATAAATATTTGGTAATGTTTTTTTTTCAATGTTGAGATATTTTATTTTAAGAACTTGTCCCACTAAGTCTTATACGGGTACAGTATTTTTAATGTATAATAAAATTGTGTACAAAAGAAGTCTGTGTTTTCTTAATTAAAACGTCCAATACTCAGGAAATAATTGAAAACTTCACTGTGGTTTATATGGAGTTAGTTTATCACATATCTTTGTAATATCAAGTAGACCCTCTCATAAATGATCCTGGAATAACTATCATTTGGATACCTTATAAGAAAATACTAACAAGATATGGTTATAACCATGTAGGTTGTTTTGTTATGAACCACACATGAAACTTGCACAATAAATTCAAGAACCCTGCCGCAGCAAACCTGCAGACAACATATTTCTAAAACTAAGGCAGAAAATAGAATTTTAAACTGTGCTATTTCAATTTTTTTTTCAAACAATAGGCTACTGTTGGTCCTTGTAGGTCTACTAACTTCATCCAAAAGTACAGTATATTTAATTAAACATTACAGAAGCATAAATACATGAAGCAGAGTTTTACTTTAATTTACAATTACACTTATTTCTTCAGCGCTAAACATGTTAAGGGTTTTCACTCCACATGAGCTGCATATCTGGGCCATTTCTGCAGCATGGAGTACAGTCTGGTGTCAGGACAGGTGGTTGGTGCGGACTGTACCTGTCTGTGGCCGACCAGCTTGTAGTCTGCAGAGATGAAGCCCTCGGACACCCCCGAGGTGATCAGTTCTGACACGGCTGACACTTGATTGTCTGAGGGTGACTCGTCTAGAAAAAATATTAGTATACAAGAGTAATTCATTTTTACTCAATACATTTAAACAATATTTGTTCATTTGCCAACTGCCACTTACTACAGTTTACTCTATACTTTTCTTTCATGCTTACTTCATGTGGTAGTAGTAGTGGAGCCAAGGGAGTATTTTTGGCAACAGAAGAATTATTGTTTTTATGCTTTAAGAATTATTGTTAAGTGGAATACTGGAAAAACTTTTTGGCCGATTTTGTGTGTTCCCTTCCGGATTACTTCACAAATTGTCTACAAGAGGTTAAGTTACCTTTCCGTCCAAGTAATCCTTGAGTTTTCTAAATGGCGACCGGTTTTGTTGACTAGGTGAAAAGTGAAAAATGATGTCATAGACTACGAAACCGAACGCCAAAATGACGACTCGATAATTACTTGAACAGAAAAAGGTACCTTTAACATCTTGTACATAGCTTTTAACTGAGGCTGTATCCACAACAGTGTTTTTTCTAATGAAAAATAAAAAAATATTTTCTTTGAAGAGGTAAATTAAGGGCGAAATAGCCTTATGTACACTTAAACTGAATCAAGGATACAATCGAAGGAATGAAATCACAAGATGCTAAATTTAACAATACAAATGACAAATTACATCAAAATTACACAAAATTAAACTATTTAAAAAAATAAAGCAAACAAAGAAAGTACACATTCAAGCACTCCCACATCAGGAATTGCACATAACACAATCTGTAGGACACGTCAGATGGGCTGGGACAATCTGCGGTAAAGATATTTCAGTAATCTGTTTCTACTGACTTAAAAATATACAGGGTGAATAAAAAGTCAAGACCCCCCCCATCTAATATTTTTCAAAGTAAATATACAGAGATATCCTTTTGGGGGTCGTGCAATCTTAGCAGGAAGTTTCTTTTTATGATTTTGAAATTTTTGAGTGTCCCCCCAAAAGGGGGGATTTGGGGGGTAACTCAAATATTTAAAATGTAAACCCCCTTCAAGTGACACTTCATTTTAAAGTGTTTACAAAAACTTAAAGAATGGTGAAAACTAGAGGTCGCTATCTCTTCTCTGTCCAAAATGGTAGCCCGTCAAATGTTGTGGAAAATCAATGGTAAAATTTGTTTGTAATTGTAATATTGGCTACCATTTTGGATAGAAAAGAAATAGCGAACTCTGGTTTTCACCATTCTTTAAGTTCTTGTAAACACTTCAAAATGAGGTGTCACTAAATGGGGGTTTACGTTTAAAATTGTTGAGTGTCCCCCCAAAAGGGGGATGGGGGGGGGGGCAACTAAATACTTTTCAATGTAAAACCCCATCAAGTGACACCTCATTTTGAAGTGTTTACAAAAACTTAAAGAATGGTGAAAACCAGAGTTCGCTATCTCTTTTCTATCCAAAATGGTAGCCAATATTACCATTACAAACCAATATTAACCATTGATTTTCCACAACATTTGACGGGCTACCATTTCGGTCAGAGAAGAGATATCGACCTCTAGTTTTCACTATTCTTTAAGTTTTTGTAAACACTTTAAAATGAGGTGTCACTTGAAGAGGGTTTACATTTAAAATATTTGAGTTACCCCCCAAATCCCCCCTTTTGGGGGGACACTCAAAAATTTAAAAATCATAAAAAGAAACTTCCTGCTAAGATTGCACGACCCCCAAAAGGATATCTCTGTATATTTACTTTGAAAAATATTAGATGGGGGGGTCTTGACTTTTTATTCACCCTGTATATCTGAATGGCTGGGTTTAAAGTGGACCTAGCTGTTCTCCATTAATTGTGCTTTTTGTGATCCTGGCTGAAGAAACAGCTGTTCTAAGGAACAAAGCTACAAAATACATTTCACTATATTCTACACATTCTTCACTTATAAGGGTTGAATTATTGGTTGTGTCCCCATTTCAACTGGTGTAATCTGTACACAAAATTTAGGCAGTTTAAGGAGAAGGTTTTGTGTGTTCCCCCACCACTTTTTTAGCTTAATGTATGTATCAGCTGTCAGTTACTGTTCCAAAGTTAGGTTGGGGTAGAAGGGATGGAATCGCTTCCCTCAAACCACCTAAATTTTGTGAAAGGAGTATAATAATAGTGTTAGTAGAGTTGTGTATATTTTAAATAAAAACGTTTTCGCATAGAAACAATATTAGCTCTTATAGCTGTCACGTACCCTGGTAGTCTCCGATGAGGTAGATATCAACACTATTGTTGTTGGTGCTGCCTGTGACGCCCCACCCCCTTCCATCGGACACTTCCCCTCCTCCGCTGACCAGGAAGTTGCAGCCCCGACGAGCAGTGTCACCCCCAGAGCAGCCTCCGCTGTGTATCACTACCCACACTGCCACATTCTTTTTTGTCGGCTTTTCAGTCTTGCCCTGAGTGCTGGTCTTGGGAGGAAAACCTGGGAAAACATTGCATGTTTGGATTTGCAATTTTGAGTTGGATCAAGGTTAGATTGTGGATTAGACACTGAGTCACTATAGGGTGTGTTTTAGCAAACTTCATATAGGGAATAAGCTATTACATTAGGTCTAAATTTGCTTAGTCCCCAGATTTGCAGTGGCGGGGGTATTTTATTACTATTATCGTTGATGCGTCTTAAAAAGATGCTATGATTTACGATAAGTTGTATGCTCAATTTTGCTTGTTAAAAATTTTAATTTTGTGTTTACGGAAATCAGTAATTGACAATAGCAACAATCAGAACACTCGGTGGTTTGATTCAACCACGTTCTTTTCATTTCTAAACTACAGTAGTTGCAACACCCTAATTGCTAACAACACCTTTAACAATGAATAGGTATGACTTCCATCAACAGTCAAACATGATACCTACTTGAAACGCTAGTGATGACAAAGAATCGCAGCAGTACCGCAAGAGACGAGCACATCACTGTCCACCAAAACAGATTCTGGATCAGTACAACTTGGACTGAAGTGAGAAACTGCATTGTCTGAGAGGGGATGAATGGATGCCTTTACACGTTTCTCTCAGTGTGCATGGTCGTATACGATTTTGCTCTGTAACAAAATAAATTAAAATATTTGATTATTGGATCTATTCAATGCAGAGACAGAAGGGTGTGTAATTTTGGGCGAAGTTATGTGAATCAAGAATTTATTTCAACAAAACAAATATAGACCTTGTAAATTTTGCATTTAAAATAGTCGCAAAAGATTTAGTGATGCTGACCAACTTCTTACATAGCCTACGGTATATAGAGAAAGTATTATTTTGTCAACATTTTTGAGTTTGAATTATGATATAGCCATTTTGGGTCCCCCTGAACCCAAAAAAGTGGTTTTTGAAGTGATGTCTGTCTGTGTGTGTGTGTTCTGTATGTGTGGATGTGTACACTAAAGACCACACCTACAGTCTGATTTTGATGGAATTTGGTATGTAAGTAGGTAATAATCCATTGTATCTCTAGGCATTTTATTCATATTTTTGGTAATTTTGATTTTTCTGTAGGAGCCCATAAAATAACAAAAAATCAGATTTTTCAAAAAAGCCGGTTCAGAATGAAATTCCTTTGTTATGGTCCTTATAATTCTAAACAAAATATAGTGGAGCCCTTATAGCTATACGTTTCAAAAGATATTTTGCAACTTTTATGATTTTCCCTATAAAATATTGTATATCATAAAACTTACTCCCAGCGCTTACCCATGATAAAGGTTGTTGACAACTGAATGGTATAAACTATGTGAGATTGCTGATAACGTTTATTTTATTACAATTTGGATGTGAATTTAAATGTGATTTGAATGTGAAACAGATGATATTTCTGTTAAATGTTTAACCACAGTCCGATTGTAAACAAAAGGCACAAAAAGTTTAGGAAATATGTGTTTTTAATTTGCTACCTATCCGGTACCTGTACTTGTTTATAACAACTGTAACCTGATTGGGGTAGGTAAATCACTCGTTGTAGATATAAAGCAACAGATTTAATTTATTGTAAATTGGTACTTTTATCGCCCTAATGACAGTCTCAAACAAACTTAATTTTTGAAAGGATAAATATGTTTTCCCTCCGAATCGTACCCTATGAAAATGCACAAATTGCGCTCAGGTCCCTCTCATAGAAACAGTTTAATAACAGTAGTGTACTAACAAACTAAGTTTTGGTCCTGTGAAAAAATTGGCTTTACTATTATAATATGTTTTATCTGTATTTACCATAATTTCAACAACAACAAAAATTAGTTAAAAAGATATATATTTCCCAAATGGGTAAATATTTTAGTGTAAATACTTGATATTTTCATTAAAAGTAACTTTACAAAACTATTACTATGATTTATTTTAATATACATTAAATAACTATGATTACCTTCAATGTTTCTGTAACATCTAGTTTCAAAGCGCTACTGAACATTAAAGAGTGAAAATATTAATGATAACCCATTGAACTTAACATTTGACCTTCAACTGACTATTCCTGACCATTGCAATGCAATAATGACATAATGATTATAAAAACTAAATACAATGTTAAGCTACCTTTGGGCTTTTTAGTACAATGTAATCCCAGGGTTAAGACATTTGCTTTAAATTATACTGTACTCTTAAGATACCTACAGGCCAAAAAACAAAAATAGCTTTCTAAAAAATGTGCAAAACATTGTAGGACAAATATTTTCATAATTTATTTTAGTTATTAAACTTGCCTTTAGTTTTCATAGGAACTGAATACACTGTATAAAAGAAATCTCTCTGAAGTTTAAATGTCTTGGGTCACTATAATGGAAAATAAATAAACAATATCAGCAATCTGATACAAACTTTCTCCCATGACCGTAATTTTTTACAGCAGCGGGGGTTTTACCATTTTTGTTTAAAATTAAGGACCATAAGATACTAAATTTAGTCAATATCGTTCAGGAAATTGTTGTGAATATTCATTTTTCTGCTATTTCATGGTGTTTTTATGGGAAAATAGTTATTGGCTAGTAGCTATTAGAAAATAGTTAATACAAATACTCGGTATCAGCATTTATTAGGTACACTCGATAATGGGTACGTACAAATGAACACTTTACACCTTACCAAGCGAACTTGAGCGCCTTGAGTGGTTTGTGATATCACTCGTCACTCGATATCTAGATTGATAGAACAAGTTATTATAGTTTGTTTTCCAAAAAATGTCCTGGTGTTAAATAAAAATCTATAGTGACACATTTAAAAAAATTTTGATAGAGCACATTTGTACCAGCAAACACACTCTTTTACATTTTTAGACAAACACTCTTTAATATTCTAATTGAACTATTTCTGCTGTGCATACCAGTGCTGGTGGTTCTAGAACCTTTTCAAATGGGGGGGCTAATATGGGGGGGTTCTACACTAGGAGGGGGGTCAAGGGGGTGTCCTCTTTCGGAAAAATTAAATAAGTTTTTAACATCTAGAACTGTGTCCATAACGTTTTATGACGAAATGTAACTTGTATGTTAAATTTTATATTTTCAGGGTCCAATGGGCCATGGGGAGGGCTGCTTTAGCCCCTCCCCCCTTGAAACCACCAGTACTGCATAACATTACTACACCATTTGTGAAGATAAACGGTGCTGTCAATTTTATGATTCTAAAATTTTTACAGTTGGTTTAACAAATTCAATTCTTTAAGAAAGCGAAACACACTTTGGTGAGTATTTTTAAGTGAATATATGAATGAAGAGTGAGTAGAATGGATTGAGCTAATACGAAGCTTAATTAATTACTGACAAAGAGAATAGCTGTTTCTTAGCCAGGATCATTTAATTCCAAATTATCATACACAGCTGGGTCCAGTTTGGTACCATCAAAAAGCCTATATACATATACTTTTAGCTTGGAAGATCAGTGGTTTTAGTGCTCGCCTAGAAAAAATCAAAAGGTCTCGGAGCGATACTGAGAAAAGTTAGTTGTTTTTTGATGGTTCAAAACTAAACTAACTTGGGGCTGTTTATTAATGGTCCTGCTTAATGAAACAGCTGATAAGTCAACAACAAAGTTACACAATGAAGGCATATACTCCACTATAAACTCACCATTCGCTGGTATTTGGGTTAGCTTACGCACTTAGGTGGTGACCCCATCTCAAATGGTAATATACTTATTTATTAATTTATTTATTTTATATACCAACGGAACATCTCCAATTTTATAGACTAAACATAACAATATTTCTCTTAAGTGACTGTAGAATTCAAATACATTTTTGTAAACATTTCAATTTTTATAACATTTCATTGTAACATTTCATTATTATACTGATGATAAAATGATTTCTTTAGAACCATGATGATTTATTCACTATAGTGCATATAGTCAAACTATATCTAACCTCTATGTGTTTATTATAAAATCTATGGTTTACAACTCTGTGCTATGTTTTCCACCTTTTTTCTGTCGTTGGCGTATGATCCTATGGTGATGATGTGATCGAGTTCGAGTTTGGAGTTTGTGTTGATTCTGATTGGATTGTGAATGTAATGTGTGGTTGTGTTTTGTACGCTGTTGTGTCTGTTTAGATTATGATGTTTTGTTTTTATAAAGTATCATTTGTCTGTTTTAATTCTCGATAATTATTTGTCATATTATAATGTGTGTGATAAATGTGAATATATTTATGTTCCGCAATATTATATTCCACTTTCTATGAGACAATGGTAAGTATTTTCTAGCTCAGTGCATTTATATTTTACTTGGGAAGATGGGGTCCCTCATTTGCCCTTGTTTGTTATTGATTGGTTATTATTGTAAATACGCTTATTTATTCTTAAACATTATTTTTGCATAATTGTATTATTAGGATACTTGCTCCCAGTTATGTCAACATTTAAAATTTTGCTGGCATTCAACTTCCTAAATAGACCTGTCATCTGATTTAGGTCAAAACCCCTTATCTTACATCGTCCATATAAATAGGATAGCCTTTTTTTATTTTAAATATTTATTTTTAAATATTTTTCATCTTTACTTTGTGTTAAGAAAGGTTATTATACTTTACCCATGCAAGAGCCTACCCAGCTAATTAGGTATTCTTATATTTGGTGAATGGGTCATAAGTTACTAAGCCTAACTTAGGCTATGTTTTTTGTGAGTCAGTGGCTCAGTCGGTAGCGTCACAGACTTTGGGCCCAAGGCAGCGATATCGTGGGTTCGGATCCTGGTCACTGCCTATAAAATTTATCAGTAAACTTACAGTTCAAATTTGTACTGTACCGTACCGGCTCACCCCTTGCTTTGCTGGATACGTTCCACTCACGGACAGTTAGTCTATGTAGATTGTAGACGGGCAAATGCAAGGTTAAAAGAGGCCGCCAACCTCTTAAAAAAAACTCATCATTTCAAACTCATTGGTAATTTAAGCAGGCCCAAAATTGTTAAATTAATTGTTTATATGTATTAAGCTATGTTGACTTAAAATAGTCTACAGCTAGTCTACGGTAGAGCCTCAATAATAGTGCTTAAACAGGCAAAAAAAAGGCTTGGGACTCCTGCCATTCTCCACTGGTCTCACGGTTTTTGCCGATGTCGGATTCACAGTTTTGGATTGTAGACTTTCCTAAATTGCGGATATGCGGTTGTCCTGTCCTGTTCAAGTCCTTGCCGTGCCGCCCTAAGTTTATTGTGCGCATAGCTTTAAACGGTATTAACTTAATTATAATGTCAGTCATTATAATAACTGGCAAAAGCCATGTTTATACTTGAGTAATTTAACGCATCAAGTATAACAGTTAGGTAACAAATAACTGCATACATTTGTGGAAAACTAATCAGTAAAATTGGGTTTTGAGTGCGATGCTAAAAATAAAATAAATAGGTAAATAAAGGGCCTCTCTATTCCTTTAAAGTTCAAGTTAAATGTTACATTACACAACACAAGGAGGTGACAACACAGTTTATTTATAAGTAAAATTATTGTTTGCGGTTTTTAATGCTAAATTTAAAATCAAGAACGGCAATGCATCCGGCAATTAATTTAGGCTATTCATATTCATTCTTGCCTCAACCTTAAAATATGATTTTCTTTTTAAAACCTATAAATACAATTTTAATATACCGGTAATGTACGGTACTAATTTTGTATTAGGCCTATGTCTTTCTTGGAAAAACGCATTAATAAGCGTGCCAACAACGGGTAATAGGCTGTTGTAGTTTATTGTGCCTGATTTATTAGGATATTTAAACGTTTAAGTACCGTAGGTACTCGCTTTTACAAAAATCAGATATTATCTATTTAGTTTTACAGGTGTAACTTAGTTTTATTTTAACTCTTCCCAAGCTTTGACCGTATGTATACGGCAACAACACTATTCAATTGCGAGCGTTGGCCATATACAAGCATAGGCCTACCACGTATAAGATATAGGCCCTACCTCTAAGCCTGTAAACGTCATTTAGGTAGCCTATTTCAAAGCTGTTACTTTTCCGTCACCAGTTACTTTAGGCCATTAACTTATTTAATATTATTGTTGCGATAACTTTTTTTTTCTTGGTAAATTTCTGATTTGGTGTGTTGGCATCACTGATCTCGTAACATGTGTTGTTTACAAAACCGTTCGGCTGAGTCATGTTATTGTTTTGTTTTAAGTAGGCAGTCTGTTTATGTGTTCTTGATTGAAGTAAACAAAATAACTAAATAACATCAAGTTAAACCTAGTGGAATATACAGGTTGTTTTAAAAAAATATCCGATTTTGTTGGTAAGAGTAGGCCTAACAAATATACCATAGTTATTTGTGTAATTAGTGGGCGAAGTGGCACTTAGCTGCACACAAGAGAAATGTTTGCGCACAAGCTGTAGGCGAGTTTGGTAAGTTTCTCGCGTGCAGCAAAGGCTTGCACTTGTGTTACACATTATATTTTTCTTGCAGTTGTTAGTAATAAATAATAATTAGTCTTTCAAACACTGTTCAACACGTTTTTAAGTTAGGTTAAATCCAAACATTGAACAAAATGGGAAGAAACGCTGCACCAGCTGATCGTAGTCGCAATATCTCGTGTTGCCAACTTATTTTCAAGCGTACCTACACGGATTACGTGCATAATAAAAGCATGCTGTTTTGTGTTGTTTGGTTGGAATACTGGTGTGCGCCAAAGCACATTTTTTCACGCAAGAACAGGTTGTTCATTTTTAATCACTGTTCTTGTTCTAGGAATTGGTATTTTCAACGCTTTGAAGAATCTGGTCATATGATTGAGGTAAGAAAAGATAAACTATTTGTGGAATTTAATTACCCAATAAAATTTAACTCAGGTTTTTAACAATATTTGGCCCTATGTTAAGTGTACAAATTTTATTTATTTTTAATTCTTTTCAATAATAAGTTAACAAAATAATAAATTCATTGGGCTATGAATTAATGATGCTATCCAACAAAAAGGTCGACGTTAGATAGTACTTAACAAGACCAGGGTTTGGACAGTTCCCTTTAAAAACATAAGAAATGCCACTGGCGTAAAAACACATAAAATGAAAAAATGAAAATAACCTATGCAAAAAATAAAATTTTAGTAATTTAGCCTAAACTTTGAATATTTGCCTATTTAGGTTTTTAAACAAATTTTGTCTGGCTGGTGAAGGTTTTGACCGGTACTATATTACGGCTGATTTAAATAAGGCTACTTAGTCTACATCGATTAAAAGAATGTACATGGACTATTCCGACTGTCAAACACCATCTATTGGTCTACTTATAAAAATTTTTCAAGTAATTTCTTCCCAAAGGAGTATCTTTTTTATCTTGACAGTGAATAAAAATAAAATATATATATATGTGCCTTACTCGATATAGCAAACATTGGATCACACATTCAATTATTTCAATCATTATTACGTACTAAAAATTGTTTTTATTAATATTTTTGTATGCCTTGTAATCATGATTTATCGTTAAAAAATTGAAAAAAATACTTGCTGTAAATAGACAAAATGTCATGTTTAGTGTATAAATATCTGTTATTTAATATACCTATGTAGTGATACCTTGAATTATTTCAATAAAATTTATACCTGTCAATCAACTACCGGTATGTTAGATATCAACAGCTTTTATCTTTTTGTATTCAAACATAACATTTTCAGTTAGCTTGGTGGCAAATTATTCCGTCAGTAAAACATGTGTAAGACATGTGAGTGAGCAGATGTTGAAACAAAAAATTGTCATTAGATTCTGAAAAAACTCTAGTGTTGGTTTGGCGGAACTAAGTCACCAATATTAATAATAGTCAATGTTATTCACTTTTATCTTTAGAGTTTAGTTTTGTTGACCTAAACATACAACGTTTACCTCATTAGACAGTATTTTTGTTCATTGAAATGAGATATTTTTTATTAGAAAAAAAGGTTTAGATGAAAGAATAGAATTCATATTTTAGTCACTCGATGTTGTTTGTTCTATTAGATTAAAGGGTCTAAGTGAACCATTTTTATAAGTTTTGTTTTGAAGCCATTTAAATGGTACAAAATATGATTGTAAGTTGTAAAGTTGTAATTGTAATAAATGTGATTGTTTGTTTCAAAAAAGAATTTTTAAGTACCGGTATATTGAATAAATAAGGCTCATTTGATATTGAAAGTCTTTAATCATCTAACAACATCAAATCATAACTTTGCTAACATCAAATTTGGAATTGTTTTTCTTAATTACAGTTTTCACTGTATTTGATTTATGTTGTCTGGTAAATTTAGGGGAAGGGGACTTTTTTGTGAACTCAAATATTTGAACTGGGGGCTGGATAAGATAGGCCTAGTTGAGTCAGTTGAGCCTTGTTTTAGACGGAAGGCTAATGGTGAAAATGTGTTCTACTGTGTTTCCTGTACGCGAGACATTGCACTTAACTCCGTGTCAGGTGTGACGAGTGGCCTTCAACATTCGACCTGCTAAACAAAACAAAATCCGTTCAAATGTGAAAATCTTATCCTAATACAACATTTTAACAGGCATAATCAGACTTACCGAGTTTAAGTGTTCTAATCTAAAAAAAATTGTTTATTCAAAAAGTAACTTATCAAATAACTCTCCTACCTCAACTCAAGCTAAAACTTGATTACATCTGTATTTTATTTGGTAAGAAAATAGTGGTGTAGCTAGAAAGGGTTGATTAATATTGGATATTGAGTTTGATAATAGAAAATTAGGGTGACACACAAATTTGGTTTAATTTTATTTTCTAGTTTTAAGAAATCATTGGTGATTATGTAGTCATGCAAAGTGTTTGAAAAGTTTGGAATTGTCTTTCTATTTTTCATACCATTGCAGATATTATGGATATTATGGACCAATGGATTTTATCTAAGTGATAATGCCGCAACCCCTAGGTCTAGCCTGAAGTAGTGTGAAAAACAATCCCAGGCTCGTGCCTAGCGTCCTTAGGACAAAAAAAAAAAAAAACCATTGCAGATAGGCTATAAGCTTTGGCTGTGTTGACAATTTTTTTGATGCTTTAACCATCACACACATACATTGTGGGGACAGCTTGGGGAGAGTGTAATACAAATCTTAAATATAAGCATGTGTCGAGTGATACTTAATTTTAAACTACCTACTCAGTAAAGTTAAATGCCACAAACGCATCTCAAAAGCTTCATTAAAACAGGAATTATATTGTAGTATAATAATAAAACACTTTTTATAACTGTTGCTTTGAAGGGTAATTTATAATGAATTTATCCGTGTAATTCCTTATTTTGAAAATATGTTAATTTTTAATTTAGAAATGTTTCTTTCATTTTAGGTAGTTTAGTAGTTTTCACATTTTTAATAGACGTTAACTTTTTTTATATAGGGAGTTCTTCAAGGAGGTGACTATTTTGAAATTAATATACAAGACCTAACTACAGGGTTTAACTACAGTGCATTGCAATTAATGGACATCAGTTTGAAAGATAGGTTATGAAATAAATCAATTTCATTTTATTATTTACCATTTAGTTGTCTCTTTAATTTTTTTTACTTTTTTTTATACAATTTTTTCTTCAAATCAAGATCCACTATAATAAGGGTTTTGTAAATAAAATTACTTCAACAAAAATGCACAATTATTTTGTCATGTTCTGCCATTTTTCTGAATGGTGTTAATCAAGTTTCACTTACACATAATTTTTTTGTAGCTTGGAATATCAAGTTGGTAGCATTTTGTATGCGTCTGGTATCCTATATTACTAAAAGTAGCAACCTCTTCTTGGGAAACCTGATATTTTGTTAGTTTGAGTTGAACGCCTTTGTTAATGAAATGGTCACCCTTACTGTTGTAAGTGCCGGAGGAGGAGGAGGTGTCGGAAGGGTGGCAAGTGGCTCTCCTAGTGGAGAGCTGTTGTGACGATGTGCTAAGTGAGCTTCTCTCCGCACATTCTTGTATAAACAAGTAAAAATCTAGTGGTCGAATGAAATATTTACTTCCTTATAGTGAATGAGCTACGCTGTAAAATATCATACAGTATGTTGTGTGATTAAAATCTGTCCTTTTTATTTGGGTTAGGCTGTAGATGGGCTGTAGCACTAGAAATCTTGGTTGAATTTGGTTAAATTTATTAAGCGATTGTAAACTGCTGTAAATGGTTAAATTGATTAAAGTTAAGATACAATTTAAAATAAAATTTCACCAATACTTTGTTAATTCTTAAAAATATTCCAAGTTAAACAGTTTTTTTAATTGAAAAAAAACTAGGTGAAGTTTTTATTTTGAATTTTATTGAAGCCAATGTTACCAGTTCTTTATGAAGATCATTTAAGTTACTTATGTCAGGTGCTGATAACCTTACTAGAAACATTGTTGTCATTGATAAAATTCAGATTGAACTAAGCACTGTCAAAATGCTTAAAACTAATTAATTGACTAGCAATCGGATAAATACGAGTATATTTGTTAATTATAAATATTAGTTATATATTATGACTACCTAATAAATGGTTAGTAGGACAAAATAAACATAGGCATACACAATTTTGATTTGGAAATTTTTAAAAGTTCTAAAAGAGTTTCAACCGGATTTTGTAGCAGCCATAGGACTTTATCTGTTAAAACATTGATGTTGATAAAAGTTCTGAAATGGTTAGGAAGCTTTATTAAAATATTCTTACTGTAATGATTTCATATATTCTCGTTTCATCCTTGTCTCTCTAAATAAACAAAGCTCATCAGTCTCATTGTAGTACAGCTTCTTCTTTCCATATGCTGTAGATTCCCTTTCATTATTAAGGTCGATTCACACATATCAGTTCAGTCACAGTTCCGTTACAGTCCAGTTACAGTTCAGTCTCAGTTGCATCCACAATTTCTCAGTCAATAGTCCGTCAGTTGGTTTCCGTCAGTCTTCTGTCTCTAAAATTCACAGTAATTTACAGTCAAAAGTTTTAAATTATAAACCTATATTCTATCAAGTTTTCATTGTCCATCTTGTTGATTGTTACAAACAGTACTCAAAACATAAACACAGCCATTTAAACAACAATAACACTATTTTCTAACCTTAAACAGGTCCGTCAGGCGTCCGAACAATCCAAAAGTATCGGTGCAAAGAAATCTAAATTTAACTGACGGATGCCGGTGGAGCGACTGATGGGACTGCAACGGATAAGTATAGATAGCGCAATAGAAAATCCATTAAAGAATATTTTTGTTAACTGTGACGTGCCTGAAGTGACTGGACTGCGACGTTCCGTAACTGATGTGTGTGAATCGACCTTTAAGTGTTATTTTATGATGTGCCATATTTCTTTAGGGTCTTCCAACTCTCCTATGTTCAATTTCTTGCTTTAGCTAAATCTTTTGCTCTTTTCCTCTTTTCCTATATCCACCTTGTAATATAAGTGTTGTTTTATACACCCTAAGATTGTTACTCTATGTACTCTGCCTTTATTTAAGATTAAAGTAAGTAAAGTATATACAATGTGGATCATGCTGCTTCCGTTCACTCTGGCCCATAAAATGGCTGCTTAAAAAACTACCGTCTTATTGAGCCATTCCATTATCTCGAATCTTGAATAGTGTAGAGATATGAGAATAGCGAAGAGATATGATTGACAACAGAATATTCTCTTTTTATGTAACTAACCACATCATTGTCATTAAGGGTAATGTTATATGTAGTCTGTTGTGAGACAGCCACATAGGCTCTTTGCACTCCCATGAAAAAACCTCTAGACACCCAATATCTGCAATTCTAAAAAAATAATAAAATGAACTGTTTTGCATGTTGTGACAGGATGATTGAGAGCGTGTCGCGGCGCGCCCTCGGGGGCTCCAGCGGGACGTACAACGTGCGAGCGTCGGAGCTGGCGCGTGACAGACTAAAGACACTCAGCGCGACTGTCGTGTTCCTGGACGACACGCAGCACTGCTTCCAACTAGAGGTAAGACTAGTGCTACAGAGAATGTAACGTAGGGTTTAGGTTTTAAGGATTTAAGTTAGAATAGCAGGCTTGTGTGAATGGAAAAGAGTCAACTAATGTTACTCACAGCACTTTAAATCAAGAAATGTCAGAGTAGGGAAGGGAGATGACTGAATTGAGGTTACTATTGGGTAAAATTCTTTGTGTTTTTGTTTTAAAGAGGACTTTCACATACAATCAAGCTTACCATCCTGACAACAATCCTAATTTAAATCGGCAATAGCAAAAGTGCTTAGGGTGTTAAAATGTAAAAATATATAGCTTGATTTTCATCTGCTATCATGACAACTAAGTATTTACTTACTTAGTGGAATACTTGAACTCTTCATCTATGACTGGAGTAGAAAAAGGAAATCAGTATAATAGGGCCTAATTTTGGATCTAAGAGAATTAATTCTGAATTTTCACTGTTTCAAGAGCAGTTTAAATCTGGCCCTTGAGAGTTAACCATAATTATTCGGGACAATTTTGGGAGAAAGTTCAGATTAAATTAACAAAACTTTATATCTCCTGGGAGCATTTGGTACCTCTTACATGTAATACCTTTTACAGAATAGAAGCTTAAATTGTCTATTCTGAGTTGAATAAGATTAGTAAACTACTGAAGCATTTTAAACAATGCAAAAAACTGTGTAGTTTACAATGGAACATTCCTAACATAGCTGTTAAATTTGATTAACTGCTGTCAATTGTCTGTTTGGATAAAAGAAACATTCATGGGGTCCAGATTAATGCAAGTTTACTATTTGATCATAAAAGTCTTATCGCCTCACCATATTCAACTAAGCTTAGTATTATTCCGTACAATGTAAAAATACACTTAAGGCTCTATGTTCTCGAAAGGGTAGAAGTTATTGCATGCAATTACCGTAACTAAAAGAATGATTTGTTAATATCTGGCTGCGTTCATTTTTTCAGAAAAGAGCCAAGGGGCAAGTCTTGCTGGAGTCTGTCTTTCAACATCTGGAGCTGATAGAGAAAGATTATTTTGGACTGCAATTCTCTGAAACCGGAGTTCTTCCTAACCCACCTAATTCTGATCTCATGGTAAATTGAACATGACTCTTTTACCTGGAATGGTACACTTTTGTGTGGAATCTTAGCTTAACTTAGCTGCATACAATGTCAGGATAATACCTGGATCAGCACTATTAGATACATTAATATTATGCTAGATCATCTTATCTAAAAATCTAAATTAGCATATTTTTGTTAAAATTGTTATGACCTAGCAATTGTTGTCTTATTATTTGTTAATATTTTGCAGCTATTTTTTTTATAAAATTTAGCCTGAACAATTTTTTGAAAGGAGAAATAACAAATATGCAGACAAATAAAAAGTAAGAATTTTGTTATGTTTTGGATTTTTTACACATAAGTATGTCGGTATAGTAGAACCTCAATAACAAGGCCCTCTTGGGGATTAAAAATAAAACTAGTTTGCAATATGTGGTTATAAGAGTACCTAAATACAAAATTGAGGTTTTTTAATTGGACTTGCTATTGAGTGTCTTGTTATCAAGGTCCCACTTTACCGGTACTTAAAATTATTAAGAAAAAAATAAGCACAATAGAGTAACTAAGAAATTGCATTTTTGTTTCAGCGCTGGCTAGACCCTGTGAAACCAGTCAAAAAGCAGTTAAGAGGTAAAAGTACAATAGTTAAAAAAATTAACAAATGTTAAAAAATGAATTAAAAACATGTATAAGGGAAAATTTGTATAGCTATCTCCTGGACAAGTTGATAAGCCTAGTTAGTTTTGAGGGTGTGAAGCAGGGTTTTATCATGTAGCACAGTCGATAAGAGTTTTCCCCTGGAGAAATGTGTGGTCTAAGACCAAACACAAGCCTACTGCTTTGGACATAACCTCTGTAAAGATAGATTGAGTTTGTCTTTAAAATGTTTGTTTTTAATAATTTCTAATTTGACGCTGGTACTCTGTAACAATAGTAATCAGCTAAAAAAATATTAAGGGTGGCAACTATGAGTGAAACTGTGGAACATATAGGCTGATATAGTGATAAAGCACAGTGCTTCAGTCTACAAAGTTCCTGGTTCAAATCCTACCATTCACCAATGGCTCCAGCAGATAATTCCACGACCCTCTTAGCCTGAAGTAATGTGTAAACACTTCTGAGTTAGAGCCTAATGTTGGAGGATATGAAGGGTATACTAAATAATCTTAGCCAATATTTCTAACTTAAAATATCTACACTTTGTCAATAGGCAATGGAAACCTGTATTTCTGTGTCAAGTTCTACGTGTCAGACCCCAGCAAGCTGCAGGAGGAGTACACTAGGTACCACTTCTATCTACAGATACGCAAGGACATTATGACAGGTCGTCTGCTACTACCTCCCAGCACTGCTTGTCTACTGGCCAGCTACACTGTGCAGTGTGAGTATCTTGGAGTTAAAATTCTCCAATAGTCCTAACTACCAGATAACTACGATAGAGAGGGTTAAAGCTTATGGGACAACCGTGCGCTTTTAGCTCTGGTATTGTGGGGCGGAAATGTACTTTTAACAAGCAAGGAAAAGCCTGAACGGCGATGGCCACATAGCATTTTTGTACAGCAGTTGTAGCGCACAGGGTCTTCCTTCAGCGTGAGCGCTGCAGTACATGATGGCGAGGGGGGAAAGGAGAGCAGGAGGAGACGACAAATGGAATTTGCCCTAGACACCAGCAAATGGTGATAGGCACCGATTAAGTGTACCATTGAATGTATCCTCTGTTTCTTACTTCTCCGTTGTTACCACATGTGTCTAGCTGCAGTGACAGTTGTGTAATGTTGAGGTTATGTTGAACAGCTGAGCTGGGAGACTACAATCCCGAGGAGCATGGACCGAGGTATCTGTCTGGTCTACAGCTGGTCCCCAACCAGACTGACGAGATGGAGAAGAAGATTGCCGAGCTCCACAAACTACACAAGTGAGCCATAGATATGCTTCTACGTTATGAATTTTGTCTATTTTACCCATCTTAAAACCATTACTTACTAAGTTGTTCTTGAAGAAAAAGCTATTAGCTCCAAAAATGTATTTATCTGTGCACTTTCATCCATTTTTTCAGTAAGATAAGCCTGTTGTTAAACTAATGAATTACAAAATCCTTAAAAACCCTGGCCTAAAGCCATCTTTACCAGAGTAATTTTCTTTCAAAATGTTTTCTTTTTAGGTTATTTTGAAAGAGAGGTTTGTCACACTGTATTATATACAGTTGTAGTAGATTTTAAGTTTTGTGGTAATGTTTGTCTCAGGGGCCAGACACCAGCTGATGCGGAGTTTAACTTCCTAGATCACGCCAAGCGTCTGGAGATGTATGGAGTAGACCTTCACAAAGCCAGGGTCAGTAGACAAAGTTGTACTTAAAGTTAGAAAATATTTCTCTGATTACCCCTAGTCCGATCAAACATGTTAGATATGATTTTAAAATTGAGTTAAGTTTGAGTTGTGTGAGCATTGGGATTACGTTGTGGAATCAGTTATGACTAGGAATGTGTCAATTCTCGATACCACTGATACTTCAACATTGGTATCGGTATTGAGAATCGATCGTCAAAAGTTGACACCCAAGAAGTCTGTGAAAATCGCATGATCATAAAATTAACTTTTTTTTGGCACTGTTTAAACTGTATAAACACTGTATATTCACTGTATAATCAGTCTTGCCAACACATCACTGACTCAGGCTGATTAAACTGTGCCATTTTTGTTGATGCCATTCCACTACTTCCCTTCGAAGAGACCTCTTTGTAGAGGCAAAATATAAAATTAATTGTGTTATTCACTTTTTGTGTTTTTTAATCTGCTTGGAACTCTTTTCTCTGGTAAGTTCGTTGTGTATCCTTTACTTCTTCCCTGTATTCCTAAGCCAAATGCTTTTTCCAACAAAAACTGTATGAATCACGAGTGTTTCTCATCTTCCTCCAGGATGTGGGAGGCAAGGAGCTGCAACTGGGGGTGACCTCAATGGGGCTAGTCGTGTTCCAGAACGGAGTCAGGATCAACATTTTCTCCTGGGGGAAAATCGTCAAGATATCCTTCAAGAGGAAACAGTTCTTCATTCAGCTGCGGAGGGAACAGGTATGTTGAAATTAAGCCATGGTAAAATAGATGTCTAACATGATTGTGTTTTGTTGTAGTATGTCCGGTAAATTTTATTCCTACCATTCCAAAACCTATGCTCCTAAAAAACAAAAATTTTTCTTACTTATCTATGAATATGACGCCATTGTAATTTCTGCAAATAAAGAATATTTTGATTTGATTTGAATAGCTGCTGTACCCGTGCTTCACAAGCGAAGAGAATTCGGGGTTGAGGAACGTACTCCTATTTACAAAATAAAACATCATTGCAGTTAAAACTATCTTATAAAATAATGTTAGCCTATCAAAATTGGATTGATATGAATTTAATATAAATTAATGAAATAGTAAACATTTAATAATCGCAACTACTATATAAAAAATATTGCTAATCATCTTTCAGCACGTTTTTGTATACATACAAATCTATAACCATAGTCATGTACCCATATTTTCTATATTATGGTTGAAACTTTTCTTGTATCATTGCATCAATGGGAAATTTAGATTGAAATTTGAACCTGTGGAATGATAACTATCCAGAGAGATTGTAAAACATTAAATACAACAAATTGATTGATTGAGCGCAATAAGAATAAAAAATAGAAAATACATTTTTAACGATTAAACCAGTACCCAAAGAGGTTTAGTAACTTTTTCTACACCTCCATTACTTATTCCTGGTTATATTTCTCATAGTCATATTACTGTAATCATTAATCTCTTCTATTACATCAATTTCCCTATCAATCATACACTTGTTGCCCTTCCTCACCACTCTTTTTCATTGTTAATATTAATACATAACATTATTTCTGTTCAGAGTGAAAACTACGACACGTTGCTGGGGTTCAACGTGGTGACGTATCGCTCGTGCAAGAACTTGTGGAAGTCTTGTGTCGAGCATCACACGTTCTTCCGACTGCACTCTCCGCAGACCTCGCGCGGACGACGCTTCCTCTCACTTGGGTCAAAGTTCTCCTACTCGGGTCGCACTCAGTGTCAGACGCTGGAGGACTCGCGTAGCTCGCAGCGCACGGTCGACCGAACTTTCATACGCAGCCCTACTAAGCGGGTGATACGTCAAACGGTGAGTCAGCTGTTATATTTACATTTACACTAAACATTCAGTTTCCTGGTTATTTTTTGGTGTTGCCACCAGAGTCACCACTACGCATCCAACCTTGCTTTGTGTGTAGTTAGGTAGTGCAATTTCAGTATGAAAATGGGTTGAAATTGCCAACATTACAAGAAATGTTGTATATGCAGGTGCCACAGCCTGGTGGGTTGAAGGCTAGTGGGGGGCCGTCACTGCGACCTTCGCGACCACACGACCACAAGGTGACCAGTGTGGGTGCCCGGGAACCTCGCCTAGCCTGGGGAGAACAGAACACACACATCTCTGATGAGTAAGTCACCAAATACACCACGAATATAGGGGTCTGGGGGCCAACTTCAGTTTAGGGTGACAAATTTGGTCAACATCGGTTTGATTGAAAAAAATATTAATTGTGTACTACAATCGGTTTGTAAATAATTCTGCACATCTCTCATATCGCGGTATGTCATGTTCTGCAGTCTTGACGTAAATCGTGAACGTCTCCCGCAGTCACAGTGAAATCCAGAACATCTGCGGTCACGATAACATCATGATTGTCTTCCACGATTGCGGCTTAACTGTTGAACACCTCACGCAATTGTAGCAAAATTGTCATTCTTCAATGGCGCACCTAGGTGAACATATTTCCGGCCCAAACTGATCCCTCAGGCCAACTGTTGGCCCATCTGACCTGAAAATATTGATGACCCGCAAATCCCTACATAAATATTTTTTAAACCACCTTCTACTTACCCTGTTATAGTTTAGAATTTAACATAGGACAGGTGTCCAAGCAACTTGGAAACTATTGTACATGAAATTTGATAATCAGGCTCCCAAATAGTAGTTTTTCTGTGGCAGTCAAAATTTAATGCTTCCTATCTGGTGTGTTATTACAAGCTTCAAGAAAAAGTTTTAAAGTTTGTTGTACATTCTAAGTACAACAGTATCTAGTTTTAACCTCCTAACTTTTCACCTGACTACCATGTATAAATTTTGTGATTGACTATTCTGCTGACAATTTATCAATAGTTGCTGTAACTTGTTGTGTTTGCAGGGAGGGAGGGTTTCTCGAGAGAGTGGACGAGCCTCATGCAGCGTTCACTCCGGGAATGCCAGCTCGCACCATCACCTACGCAGACGACGAGACTGATAGTGATAGACTGTTTGAAACCCCCTTGTATGGAGAACAACTACCTCCTGTACAGGTATTTTATTTGCCTCAATACCCGAGTTGGTTTTTGCAGGAAATAATACTTTTGGAATACATAGAGGAAGAAGGAATGAATAACCAACTTGCCCTCAGAAAAGAGTTCCAGGAAGTTTACAGCACTTTTAACTAGGTATGTCTCGATTCTTGATACCACCAATATTTGGACATTGGTATCGGTATCGAGAATCGATTGTCAAAAATCTATTCCGATATCGATACCCAACACGGAAATCACTGGAAATGTCAATTCTTAACCATTTTTATTTGTCATCCGAGCTATAAATTACTTTAATTACTATTTTAAGATCAAGCTAAGAACTAAGTAACATGGTCTTGATTGTTCCTGTATAAAAAATATTTCAAATGCCAATACTGTTGATAAACACAAAAATAGTATCTAATTTGTTTTGGATCACTGACATGTAGGCCTACAGCCTATTGATATTTTTTCCAGACGGAAGAAGGGCTAGTGTCCATCAGGATGAGGCCGGATGAGCAAGGCAGGTTCGGGTTCAATGTGAAGGGTGGAAGTGATCTGAACATGCCTATCCTAGTGTCCAGGGTGGCTCCTAACACTCCAGCGGACACTTGCTACCCCAAACTGAGCGAAGGGGACCAGGTCAGTACAATCATAGACTAACGCACAGAAGTAGACTTCTCATCCCATTGTAAATTTTGAAGCTCGTTTTTCGAGTCTAGTTCAAGTACGGTGACACTGATTGCTAGTGTCGATGAAATTTTGTTTCTATTATTTTAGGGTTAATTTAATGATTTGTGGTTTACTGTTTGGTCATTAGGGTACGAGTTATTGTTTATGATTATATGGTTTTATTTGGTTAAACAGGGTTTTAAATGACTGAAATAACAAGAAACCAAATGTAAACAAAACACGACCTTTACAGTGCACCAAACAGAACTACAATAAAATTGGCTTCAGCTGTTCCATAAGGATGAGAAATCTACTTAGGGAGTATGTTTTCTATGGTTCAAGTATACATAGTCATATCACTCCCATGTTATAGTTATGCCAGTTTGAAATGGAAATTATCGTGGTTCTGAGCTATTGGCAAGGATGTCCTGATATCAATTACTGATTTTTGTGATCCCGCCAAATTTATAACCAAACCAAACTGAAGGACTTATGGTAAACTATAGCACAACCACTACAGTAGTATGAATAACTTGGGTGGAAAATCAGTTTTTCACTGTAACACATCCTGTAAATGGCAGATTCAACTATTTTATTTGAACAAAACGTTGACACAAGCTGGTCCATACAGATGGCATGTCTACTTCAGCATCCAAGTGAATGGTTCAAGACACTTCATATTTTGGTTGAGTTACTAACAGGGGTTTTATTCAGGAATAAACCCTTCACGACTTGTTTTGGTTTTAAAACTTGAAGAATCACGTAACAAATTTTTGGACGGAAATAGTTAAACAGCTTTATTTCGCCAAAGCGTTGTAAAGAATTTGGTTTAACTTTAATATAGAAAACCCAATGATGTGTTAGAATGTTTTTCGTTTGGTTAAATAAAAGATTAAATTATTTTAACAAACCAATAGTAATTTACACACCAAAATCAGCATCTCAGTCGTAGTTTTTTGCCCTTAGTTGAGTTGACTAATCTTTTACGGAATGGTTTGAAGCATTTAACACATTCATTTGACTGTTCTTGCAATGAGGGTGTAAGGTTATACTAGTCATAAGAAACATAAATTTGAAAAAAATAGTTTCAACCCATTTGATTTGACTTAAATTAAAGTTCTGTGCTTGAACATTTCTGTATCCACAGGTGCTTCTAATCAACGGGGTGGATGTGGGTCACATGCAGCATGACCAGGTAGTGAATCTGATAAGAGCTGCCAGAGACTCCAGGATGGGCGAACTCATACTCACAGTCAGACCTAATGGTAAGGGCAGTATCAGTTTCTATCAGTATTAGTTGAAGCGTGCTATGCATTAAGACAAATCTGCAAACATTTTTTGCCACTGTATCTGCTTTTTACCATGCACATCCTACTATTGCAAAGGAATTCATGTAGTCATCTATATCTATGCTCTTATTTCTTATTATTCTTGTGTTACATTATATTATTCTTCAGAAGAAAGTGTCAGGATGACTCCACTTCTTACTAATTGCTTCTTACCTTCTCCTACTTCCTTCTGAAACCCCCTTGTAGTGGCGAAATATCAAATTATTTCTGTTGTGAACTACTTTTGTGCTGTGTAACTAATCGTTTCTAGGATAAGTTGTGATTCCATTCCTTCTTCCCGTATGATGTTTCTAAGCCTAGTGCCTTTTCCTTGGATAAACTGATATTTTCATGCCAAGTGTTGTGTGTCCGCAGCTGTGTACGAAGCAGATAACCTGGAGGAGGAGCCGGCATATCAGTATGTGCCAGACACAGACACACCACACCCCATCACTTTAGGCAGCGACGCCCTCGGACAGTCCATGCTGCTGCTGGCCGACGGACTGGCTAGCGGGGCGCTGCTACAACAGTTCGACAAACTGTACCGCAAGAAACCTGGCATGTCCACCGCAGACGCCAAGCGTGCCGAGAACCAAGTAAAAAACAGATACAGAGACATATCACCATGTGAGTGACAGATGTAGTTGCTGGTTATGTTATTTAAGATATTATTAGGGGTGTGCGATGCATCGAAAATGCATCGAAATTTCGATTCGATTCGATGCATCGAATCGCGATTCGATTCAGTGGTGGTCAAAAAACGATTCGATTCAGTGGTGGTCAAAAAACGATTCGATTCACGAGGGAGTCAGTATCCATATACGAAAAACGCCTGCAGAAAGTCAATGCAATACCCGCAATACAGGAGCGCGTTGCTGTTGCGTTTCCTTTACGAAGGCGTTCTTATTTAATACATTCTTTGCATTAAATATAGCTTTAATTGTTTTATATTTTTTTGTTTTGACATTGCAAATGATTAGAGGTTTGTTTTTTGTCTTGATGTAAGCAGTGTGTGAAATATTTTACTACTGTGTACCTAGCCAAAACAAGGTAGGTTACTCCAAAATCATTTTAAAAATAAGTCTGAAAAATTGTTACTTAATACTTAACTAGTAAGATTAATGTTATAGACTGATTCATTTGGTATTTTTGTTAGGTGTCTGCCGGTCCCCGTCCCCGAATTTTTGTTGGGGCAAAAGAAAAAAAAAGAATAATTTATTTCCAAAGAAACACTCTTATATTATTATATCTATTATTACAGAGGAATTAAAATGTTCAAATGAGAATTAAAAATTAAGTTGGCTCACGACCTTTAAGAATAAAGACACAACAGAGCAATTGCCGCACTGCCACTAGCCAGAGCCAGGTCTAGTCGTCTACTGATAAGAGTAACAAGACAAAAGCCGTGACGCAACACTAACAGTGCAAAGAAAACAAAGTCAAAAGAATAGAAAGACTACTTATCCAGACATACTAGTATAATCATTTATTGTTTATTCAATACATAATTAAAAATATATTTTATTATTTTACATAATAAATTATAAACAAAAGAAATATCTGATATAGTGAACAGATCTGTATCTTGGTTAGATGGGGTTAAAAAAATATATTTCTAAGATCCAATACAATATTTACAACTCACAAATTACATTGAATTAATTTCTTTGAAAATAATCTCTAACAGTTTTGTGTTTTTGAATAAAGAAGTATATTTCTTTGTCTCTACTCCCTTGTTTCATCACTTGCATTTTGTCAGCAATTGAAGCAACTGGGTAGCAACCGGGTGGTGTAAGAGGGGAGGGGGAGGGTCTATGACCTTGAATTCACACATCGTTGCCCGGGCCTGGCTGGTGAGACTGATTCATTGTTTTTGTTGACATACTACTACCCTTCCTTAAGAGAAAAAGGCCCTGCTGTTCCAAAAACATTGAGGGTAGTTTAAAAACATTGACCTGTGCTGTGTTGCCAAGGGCACTAGGCTAGAAGATAGCATTTAACTTTCTTGTCTCTTGATTTAATATTATTTTAATCTTCTATATATTATTTAAGAGTTACTTTTCGGGTACCTAATTAGTTGTGATATTGTTTGGCTTTATTTTATGGATTTTTAATTCTTTTCATTCATTAGCTATCAAAATCAGTTGTTTTAGGATTTTAATCTCTTGCAGTAGGTCTATACTACTGTATGACATGATATGCATTTTTTAGTCCTTATTAATTATACCATAAACAATGTTTGTATGTTATTTACTGTTTTTGAGTTTTATAGGAAATTAGTTTACACAATATCTTTTCTTCAATGAGTTCTCCACTTGACATGTTGCTTCTAGCCTATTACTATTTTAGGCCCTATAAAAATAATGCCTAGGTAAAGCTGTAGGCCTACTGATGCCAATAATAATTCTTTATTTATGATGATGTAACAAATAATGTAAGTGTGAGGTTATTATACTAAGGAGGTTAGGAGGCAGGGAATGAATGATACATCTTGCATGGTGGAAACATATTATTTTTATTTTCTTCTTGCTTGCAGTCCTGAAGCCGGTCCACAGGCCCTAAACTTGTGATATGTAAATTTATTTCTTAATGGTCTTTTTATATTAAGTTCCATTCAAATTTGTTGTAATTTAGCTACCGGCACCTATTTAGTTATTTAAACAGTTATTAAAATGAGAATGAATGTCTTGATAAAAAAAATATTTTCTTCTTTCTTGCAGTTGAGCCAATTCAAGTAAAAATTATGAAATAGGCAAGTAAAGCAGCTCACTGGTATTTCCAGCAGTTATTCTAATACATATGATTGAAAATAAATATTTTTTCACCTAAAATTCATATGTTAAGTATGAAATAGGCCTAATACCACATCAACAAAAATTTGTATTACACAAATGTGATACATTTTAATTATTGTTAATCCACTCAATTGACAATTATGAATAGAAAAATACCGTATTGCTTCGAATCGAGTTGCATCGAATCGAATCGAAAATCTTTTTAATCGAATCGTTGCTTCGAATCGAAAATTTTTTGCTGCTTCGCACACCCCTAGATATTATTGTGTACATTTCTTACTATGATAAGTAAAAACAAAGTTACATTAATGTAACATGGTTGACGTTTTGGGATCTGGAATCTGATCTTGTTCTTGGATAAGAAAGTATCTGAAACCTAACAAAATTAGCAAAAAGAACAGCAAAAGTTGGAAAATCACAGTTACAAAAAAACACAGAGAAGTAAAACCAAGATTAAAACCAAATCCCTCAATAAAACTTTAAGGTAATAAACAAAATTAGGAGAATACAATTGACACATCTTCTCAAGATATGTTAGACTGATTTTGATTTTTGTTGTCATCAACATCTCCCAAAATCGCACAGACTTAATCGAGTTGTCTGCCATAGTGATGAAATCGTAACGATCTCCCACGATTGCAGAAACTTCTCCCTGGCACATAGGCAAAATTGTTACATATCCCACAGTCCCAGAGACACCCTCATCGTCTCCTGTGATCCCGTTCTGCAATCTTGATACTGCATTTCTGCTTTTTTTACACAGGTCCAATCCTAATGAAGACCTTGTGCTATATCTGCGGCAATACCGCACTGTCGCCTACTGTTCTGCTTTAGGGATGGAGACATCATTGTCGCAACTCGCAATCACGGCAAAATCTATGACCTTTGAAACAAATTGAGTCCAGAGAAAATTCCAAAATAATTTAAATCCCGTATAAAAGTTTTGGGACCTATCAACATCCATCCCTTTAGTTAACTAAATGTAAGTTATGTGGTAATAAACAAAATTGCCATTAAAGGTGAGAAATGTAAAAATTCATTTTGTTCCATAAATTTCATCTTCAGTTTTAGTTATTTTACCCTGTTGGTGTAAGTGTAAATATGTGTGTTTGTTTGCAGATGACGTGACAAGAGTGATCCTTGCAGGAGGCAGTGGCGGGGACTACATCAACGCCAACTACGTCAACATGGAGATCCCAGGCAGCGGCATCATCAACAGATACATCGCTACCCAGGGTAACAAAACTAGACTTAAATAAAACCATTTTTATTTTGTGCACTCAACAATTGCAAGAGCAACAATTGATTGCTCTTTAATTTGTAGGGAACATCCCTTTAATTGTTGGGGTTCATCTTTCTTTTTAGGTTATTTATGTTTGTTTCATGGATTTTTTTCTTCTACGCCAGTGGCATTTCATCATGGTTCTACACGAGGGAATCAGAGTTGGTAGGCAATCTGCTATGGTTGTGCATACTCAGCAGTAATGGTTTAACAATCATAAATAGCTTGATAACTATAAAATGCTCTTACGAATCTTTATGCAGTTTTTCAGTAATTCTGGATATAACCGCTATAGAAGACCCTTTGTAGTCATACGTTTTTGGTGAACTGTATCCTGAACGTGAAAGATAAGGGATAAGTTAGTGTCTACTGTAGGTGCGTAGTATTTTTCACCTTATGATTGATGAAGCTGTATGTAATGTGTGTGTTGTGTAGGTCCACTGAGTACTACAGTGAGAGACTTCTGGCAGATGGTGGTAGAGCAAGGCAGTACTCTGGTGGTGATGGTCACTACACTGGTAGAGAGAGGCCGCACCAAGTGTCACAAATACTGGCCATCACTCAGTGAGACCATGGAGCTGGCTCCCGGCCTACAGCTCAGCTGTGGCAAGGAGGAGGCCGACGCTACAGGCAGCTTTGTCATCAGAGAGTTCCTCCTGAGAGACCTACAGGTAACACATCTCAATAGGTCTTGTCATTTCCAACCTTTCGGATCAATTTACTTTTCTCTCACAACCTTAAATGTCTGATCAGACGATAAAAGAGTAAGCAATCAATTACCGTACATTTTTCTATCTCAGTCACAAAATTGAGTCAAGAAGTTTTTTCCCATCCCGATCTGATTTCTTCAATTTTCACAGACCCCTAGACAATTATAGTGGGTAGTCTTTACCATTTGTTGGGTATAGCTCAAAAGTTGGTGCAGTAATGAAAGAGTAGGGTACTTTCCTGTTAAAGGGAACATTCATTATTATCGATGATTTTTTTTCGATATTAACAAATTGAAACATATCAGCTGACAACTACGATAAATATTATTCAGTATATGAAACTGTTCTAAAAAAATAACCTAACATAACTAACCAAACTTGCTGTAACATTTAAAAATTCTGTGTTTAACTTGCCTTTTCTATTATCAACCCCAAACGGAAGTTTTAAATATTACAGCAAGTTTGGTTGGTTATGTTAGGTTAGCTTAGAACAGTTTCATTTCTTAATCCATATACTATTTTAGTCCAAACAAGATCAGTTAGTTGTTGTTGTCAATTTGTAATAGATCTGATCGGAAAACAAAAATATCGATATATCGAAAAAAATCATCGATAATAATGAATGTTCCCTTTAACAGGAAAGTATCAAGAGTAGTTAGTAATTGGCTTTTCTTTATAATATTTCATGTTAGTGTATCAATAGTCAATTACATACTGGTTATATGTTTGTTTACTTTGACAGACGGGGGAGGAAAGAGACGTGACACACATGCAGTATCTGTGCTGGCCAGACCACGGGGTCCCAGATAGTCTGGGAGGATTCCTGGTGTTTGTCGGCGCAGTGCGTCGGTGCCGCGCCGGTATGGTGGAGCCAGCCATCGTCCACTGCTCTGCTGGCATCGGCCGCACCGGAGTCCTCATACTAGCGGAGACGGCGCTGTGCCTCATAGAAGCCAACCAGCCTGTATACCCTCTGGACATAGTACGTCAGATGAGGGATCAGCGAGCCATGATGATACAAACACCGGTGAGTGAAAAATCTGCCCATAATATTATTTAAATATTACCAGGGGCATGTTTTAAAAAAATAACCATTTCCATTATTTAATGAAGGTTTAAATTGTCTGGTTACTGTCAAAACGACAGTAACCTATAACTAAGTAACCCCGTGTAGTTTGAAAGATTACAGATTTTTAGCAAATTGAGCACAACATCAGGTCAGAATGTCAGCTAAGGTATTTATTTACAAATTCATCATGTGGATTTTATCATACGTTTTAAATTTCACAGAATACACAAATACACACAGCAAAACCTGTTATAACTATTAACTGATCGACCAGACGGTCAGTCACAAACGTCATGTGTGTATTAGTAAGTAGGGTATTAAAGCACAAAAACCATTTGCAGAAGGAAAAAATTGTGTTTGTATTCCATTTCATTAAAAATCTCTGTTGAGTTCTTATCTTGTGCAATTTTTAACCAGCTTAACATCCATCCAGACCTGAAGATTTGCTGAACTTTTTACAGCAAAACAGCTTTAGCTTAATAAATTTAGTAGTGTCTTTAAAAACTTATGTTAGTTATCAGTGCTCTGTAAAAAATAACACAACATAAAAGTTTTCCAGGTGATAGTGACTTCTCTTACATATGTACAATGTTTATGTTTCAGAGTCAGTATCGGTTTGTGTGCAGTTGTGTACATCACGCCTACACAGAAGGGCTTGTCAAGCCTTTGCCCGAGTTCAGCTCCCGATAAACTCATTAGTGCCTTACCCTCCCGGTCCAACTGGCTGCAAGTGCCTGGCTATACGTTCATTACTCGCTTCTCTCAAACTTGGTAACCCGTGTCTTTTAAGTGATTTAAAAAATTCAATGTTAACGGAACAGGAAACAGTGGCCGTCCTTTGGAAGCGGATCCGTCCGGTGTGTAAGGCACTTGAAGAATAGCTCTGATTTGTTTGGGTGCTTTAAATTATCGTTTACAAATTATGTGTCTCTCTAGTCATGTGTTCAGAGCTGTTTTGTCATTTGTTTTATCGCCCGCATCAAGTTTGTCACAAATTGTAAAGAGCCAGTTGGGCCCGGCGTCCCCCTCTCATCGACCTGTGAGTACAAGACTCGTCTGTCCAGTGAACCATCCATGTCATCATCCGTCGTGGTTTAGATTATTTACAATTTTACTCGTGTGTAGTCTATCCGGAATGTTGTCAAGTAAATTTTAGCTTTTTAAGATTTTAACCGTTCGTGTTTAACATCGGATATTTTAGTACGGAAACCCACCCTTGGTCATTGTAACCGTTTTTTATGACCTAAGTATTTTTCTCTGTCGCATGTTTTAACCACACTACTCGTAATCAGTTAACAACTGCGGGTCGGTTTCCACATAGTAGAACTGCCATGTAGGATAGTGACTAGTATTTTTTCTAGAAGTATTTCGTGTTTTTATACCCGTGAACCTCACAAAACCCAAGGCACAATGTTGTTCTAAAGAATGGATCTGATCGGTAATACAAATGTGGCATTTGTTTTGGTTAAATACTAACAATAAATATTAAAATACGTTGTTCACCTTATTAACATCAGACTATACATCATATCAGTTACGCCCGTGCCTTGGTGGTCAGTAGTCACTGGATCATATTCTTTATGTCAGTTTGTATGAAACGGATTGATTTCTTGTACAGAACATCACTCGATATATTGTTGTTACCTGTTACATTCATGCTCTCTTTGAGTTTTTATTCTTATTTCCCTAATTTATTAAAATATAATTTTTTGTTTTCTCTGACTAGCAAGAGAGCTGCATCAATTATCTTTGTAATGGGTCAACGATTTTTTCACACAACCTCTATTCCTCTTTTTCAAACCTGTGTTTCTAATACAGTACTTGACCATGTTCCTACGTATACAGTATTGTAATGCCACAGGCAACGAAGAATGTAGAACACAGAGGTAAAAGAAATGTTGCTGAAGCAGAACAAATAGACCTATAAAGGAAAAATGTGAAAACCTTGGAGCATAAGCTTTTGACATTTTTATGAAAAGAGGTCTCAACATTTTTGTCGGGACACTGAACCTTGATCCCACCAAATTTTGATGGAAAATATTTTCATTCACTTTTTATTTTGATATTTTAACATCTTTTTACTCTTCCTCTAAAAAAGTAAAGCTGGGTAAATGATTCTTACTATCTTTTCTGTAACGCTGTGTTTATATTGAACTCGTCGAGAGCATGAATTATACAGGTCGGATAGTGATTACCCTGTAAATTATATTTTAATTTTTATGTGCCATCAGGTTTGGGTGTACATGTAACATTTTTGTTTGTTTTGTATAGATATTTAATATATTATATATTTATTTTCTGTAATTTTAATTGCTTTTTGTTGAAAGTATACCCTGTAAAAGAAAACTAATGTCAAATGATTGTGATTAATTTTATGTAGTAATTAAGTTAGTAACAAATTGTGTGAAATGTTTATGTATTTTAGCGGAACCATCCTGTATGGTGTATTATTTAATTGTATTTTACCAATCATGAATATAGATCTCATATTTCAGAAGAGTTATTTATAACTTCTGTTGTATTATTTTTGTAATAGTTGAAACAAACTGTATTTCATCTGCAACCAGATTGAATCTTTTGGTTGTATATTTATATAATTCTCTTTAGTTTTCACTATCGACTTTAATATGAGAATAAACAAACTGTGATTATATAAAGTGAACAATTCTCACATAACGAAATATAATAAAAGTTGTTAAGAGTACCAATTTTAATGTATCTTTTAAAACAAAAAAAAAGTTATTTGGTTGCCAAGCCGGCAGCTTCAATTAGGGTTGCATCCCGGTACTAGACCAAAACTTAATATAAAACTAAGTATACTGTAGAACAAATTTGTATTAATTATTCATTATGTATATAAGTGGCAGCTTTACACACAAGTCTCAAGATTTCCTGGATGTCAAAAATATAGTTTTTATAAGATAGTAAAATACCTATGTCAATTACATAAATAGGCTATGACTTTTTTAAAAAGTAATTTCATTAGTTCAACTCTCACTCCTATATGAATAATTTTAAGTTTTTCTAGTGGAGGTCATAGCTTGAAGTTTCGATTCTTGATTCTGAATTTAATAAAACCCCAAATCTTGAATCCAAGAACAATTTTTATAGGCCTAATTCATCTAGAATACTAAATTATTCTGCCAAAAGATATTCATAATATTTTTGAAATTTTTCAATCAATTCTAAAAATAAACAAAGATTTTGGGACTGTCATTCCTGTTTGAATTCCACTACTGAAAGAACAACCAAAAGAACTTATCATGCTCAACTGCACAGGTTGTGGTGGTGCCGGATAACAAAATAATAAAGTAAGTGGGTATAACTACTTTAATACTTTAATCTGAAATGACGACCATAAAAATGTAGGCATTTTTAAGCCAAGTGAATGGAGATGAGTAGGATGAGTGGCGCGATCTTGTAGTCTTGTTAGTGACTAAGGCTGACGTGTTCCTTAGACACAGCTGTTAATTAATAGCCCATACAGCTAATGACAAGTAAGGGACCTACAGTTTATAGTGGAATCCGAACCACATTTTTGCCTTGTAGTTAATGAATTGGTCTAATTATCAGGATAGTACTGCAGATAGTCGTAGTACTCACTAGTGTGGACGCTAAACCTCACCAGGGAGTATCGCATCCACAGTGCATGCATATAAATATCCACAATTCGTGACCTAGTAGCTGGAGTACAGGACGTCACCGCCGTCCCAGTCTAACTAAATTTTATAGTTAATTTCTAAATCCAATAGATTGAATATTAACTTTTTTTGGATCCAAGATTGGGTTTTAAAACATCACAAATCTAAGTATTTGTGAAATAAAGGAATATGACTGGCCTTGGTTGCAGAATCAAATATTACCATATTAAAAATATTGGTTCAATGCTTATATTTCTCTCAGCAAATAACAATCTAACACAAATAAAAGTCACAATTTTGATGAGACATTCACAATATGCTGTAGTTTTATAATTTCATTGTTGCGTAACGGGTACATTAGTTTTCTTAATATTGTCTTCTGTCTTCCCACGTTTGAAACCTGATTTTCTTAGGTTTATTTTAAGCTGTGTTTATTGTTATTGGAGTTTTTGAGAAATTTTTTTAGCCTCTTAATAGCAGCTGTTAATAAAATTTTAAACTCTTTTTGTGAAACTCCGTTGTAAACGTTGTTTTTAGACTTTGTGTTGTTCAACAAATAAAATAATGTTAACCTTAAATGTTTACAATAGGCCTACTGTTTGATCCGTTGTTGATTTCTTGTAAAAAAAAAACATCAATCTGAAAAACTGTTGACAAAAATTGGCGTTCTTTGGATTGTTGTAAACATTGGTTAGGTTGGAAACTTTTTAAACTCCAATGCAAACGCAGTTATATTTTTAATTAAGCCCCAAATACAAAAACATGAGCTTTAACTTACTTTTAGCTTGCTTTCTATATTAATTCATTTTCTGTTTTAAGTGTTCACAGAAAACAATGACACACATAGAGAATATCTAACATTTGTTTAGCTTAAGAATTATAATACCTAGTATTTTGCACTTAACTGTTTTCCTTCAAGCCGAGCATGCATTCTTCGACAGTTGAAACTGTGTTGGATTTTGTATTTTATGGTCCTTTGATAGAATGTGAGACAATATGGAGAAAAAAATAAAAGACTTATTCTAAAATGTTGTTATTTTTGCAACCCTCTCGTCATCTGATTCGTGCCGATCAAGCATTTTCGGTAATGCAGCAATAATTTGGTTTTTACCAATCTATATAATTAATACGCAAACACAAAGTTTGTCGGTTGAACTCCTCCACCATTTCTTAACTGATTTTATCCATTGACGTCTCATTGGAAAGAGCGTGTCACATAGATTTGCAAACTGACATTACATTTCTGAAAAAGTCCCTTGGTCTCTGCCTCAATGGCTTTTAAAGTTCCCATGTTATCCTTATGGAGAATATAATTGTTTACATTTGGATCAGCTGTATAATTTAAATGCTGTTATTTATTTTTCAATTCAATGAAACGCATTGGGTACATTTACTGATTTTGTTGAAATTAAATATTTACTATTTTAATTTACATTCGTACATATTACAATGTAAAAAATCGAGAAGCCTGGACAATTTATATTGTACGGTATTTCTTATCGGAAATTATGATTTTTATTCCTTTTTAATTAAGTTATTTGTTTTTCAATAACTATTTAACTTCTTTGCAATTACTCAATTTTGAACAACTTGTACACTAGTCAGAATTATTTTTCTAGACCAAGGTTTTACCATGAAGACTATGGTTAACAATATAGGAAACTTGGATGATAATAGTCTTTTTATTGATAAAATTTTAATTAAATTAGCTTACAGGTGTATTTGTAGAAGATGCTGCAATTTCAGCTTTGAACTTGGAGATAGTTTCTTCTGCTAACTTCAGCTTGTCTTTAAGTTCTGTAATTTCTGGCCGAATTTTATTTTGAGCTGCAATTATGTTGGCCAGAGTAACATCCTTTTTCTCTTCAACTAAAACAAAAATTGTTTTTCTTTGAAAATGTACTGATTTTGTTGAAATACACAACAAATTAATATGAGTGGACGCGAAGAACCAGTCAGCTGATTAAACAATAGACGACGTTACCCACAGTGCACTACGAGGAGTGGGGATGAAATTAGCCAGCCAGGGATCGGTCTTCGTCTACCTGTTCGTTCCCCGCCTTCCCCGTGATTAGGTGAGCAAAAAAGTTCGTTTAGTGCAAATTAAATTCATTTGCGGTGTTAGTCGGTCAATTCATATTTTCATTAAAATCGTTAAGCCTATATCCCGTAGGGATATAATTGCAGCGCGAAGTGGAAATAAAATCAGTTTGAAAACAAGTGTTGTAAATTAACTTTGCCGGCTAGCACAAATTGCCATTGAAAATTTCACGTTTCGTCAACCAAATCAGTTCAATCGCGTTTGTGGGGAAAAGCTCGCCTAATTTCGTTTTCCCTTCCTATCCCTGTGTGTCTTTAGTGTCGGACGTCCAAATTTGTAAGTAATTTATGTTATTTATTGTAATAGTTGTAAGTTTTCAGTGAATCGCACATGTGGTAAAATTTCCTGTTATATCTTGTTATATAAGCACATGTCTCCAGGATCAAGTTCTTATTGGTGATTTTTATATCCGTTTGTGGTAAATCAATCAGTATTATATAGTAGACTTAGACTGTGGTAATCTTATGTTTTTAAATTGAATTAAATTAATATATTATTGTAGGGGTATTATACAAACCTTAAGACATTGAAAATAGGTCTACTTTAGACAACATTGAAACAGTTGCGACAAAACATCACTAATGAGCTAACCAAACACTTTTCAAGGCAATTGAACAGTTGCTGGGTACTGAAGTATATGTCACTGGCTGTAGCCTATTTAAACTCCCATTAGGATTTGTGAAGTAACCAAGAACTAAATTGAAATGCAATTGTTCAGTTTGATGATTACTTAGACAAGCTTCAGGGTTAAAATATATTATTATTTATCATGCTGAACATGAAGATATAGGCTTGAGTTCATCATCAGCAGAAGTGCAGACCATTTAAAAACAGCACGTTGTTAAATTATTATCGTCAAGACTATACTGTCAAACAAACAAATAACACAACAGGCCAACAACTTTTGACTGGTCCAGTATGGGGATATGTGACGGGTACAACCACGATATTGATTTAAATTAAGTTATTTCCTGTTATTTGTGTTTTCCGTAGTGTACGATCTTAATCTTTAGAAACATTGAAAGTGTGCCATTTTATAAGTTCTTCACAATAATGATAATTAACTATTAGGTCCTTGAAACATGTCGCCTACAGCATGAATTTGACACCATAAGGCCTATGTCAGTAAATAGGCCCTAATATTAAATCTCAAAGTCTCAAGGCTTCTTGAGAGAGTAATTGGAATGTTAGCGCTTACAGTCAGTTTCATGTTTCCATGCGCCGACGGACACTTGACGAGTAGATGTGAGGAGATGTTGCATGTAGGCTGTTGGGTCCTGGAACACCATCTCCTCGTAGAACTCTGACACAAGTGTCTTGTGGCCGAGACTCACGTCTGCGGCCGACTGAAACAGCTTCAGTATGTGGTACAGCGTCACCTGAGAAAAACAACTCTAGAATAGTATGAGGGGAGACGCAATGGGGAGAAGGTTATGTAATTGTTGGTCATTTTCAATTTACCATATATATAGGGAAAGGATTAAGATTGGTGGGCTAGTGGAATAGAACTTACAATACTTTTAATTTGTCTCTTTCCTAAGCGAACACCACCCTCACACACTTGCAGGTTCCTAACAGTAACATTATACGCACAGATATCAGACTAGAACAACTTTTCTGACAACTCATAACTCAGGTTCGAATTATTATCACAGGAATGTGTCCACATGGCTACCAAGACCCTGGCAAGCTCTGGGAGGGAAGACAAAATACAACTACTATTAAAGAGCTTTAAGTTAAGCGGGAAATGTTGTCCAATATAGTTGGAGTTCTCCTTGCATGTGAGATCTTTTATTGGTGATTTATGGGATTTCAACCTGGGTCACCACAACTGAGGTGCTGTGCTTTAAAACCTAGAACACAAAATAGTTGACAAATCAGAGGGGCAAAACCCAAAAGTCATCAAGTAAGACTGAAAAGGAAATAAACTCTCTAGTGGTTAAACTGTCAAAACACATTAATTTAAGATTGGGCTCATGATAATTGCTCAGCAAAAACAAGCACAGCAATAAGATGGACCACACCAAAATTGCCTTCAGTTTATAATGGTGATGGGAAGTATAATTTATGTGACAGCAGACAATATAGTAAAACTGAAAAAAATATGTCAAAAGCCAAAATAACAACTAAGCCATTCGAATAGGCTAATCAGGAATGCATCTTTACTATAACAGTATTTTAGTTGGTGTCCAGGGATTTTACAAAGTTTTAGGCCTATCTGATGAGTTAACCTAATTTATAAAGTAACATTAGTCAAGATTATCTCACCGGCCGCTCATTTGGGTCATGGAAGTAAATTTTAATTACTATCTCAAACTCTCCCCATCCGGTCTCGGTGACTTCGTACGGAGGTTTGGTGACCACTCGATTTGGATTGGCATAGCTCTCATGGAGTTTAAAGTGAACTTTCTTCACATACGTTGACATGTCCTCATTGTGGTATGGTTTGACATAGACTGTCCATTGGTGAGTGTGGCCGTCTTCTTTCCTTTTCTCGCCAAAATATCTAGCAAAATTTCCATACACAATGGGTTTTACGATGGTAACCCCCTGAAATCAAAATCAGTAGAAAATTCATTTAAGATAGCTGTGGAACAAAATATTTAGGATATTGCAATGAACACTAGTGATTTGCTTATTAAAACCTAACATCTTCCCTAGCAAACCATGAAGGACTACACTTAAGAGGCGTTGAAGAAAGTATGACTTACATTTTAAGAGATTCTTGATTTAAGATTTGGTTTAGCCAATATTTTATCAGGAGTGTATTTTCGTTACAGTACTATGAACTTTATTTTATTTCAATAAATATTTATTTTAAGTTGCTGGATGCATCTGACAGGCATATCACCCAAGAAACAGATGGATAAGTTTATTCCATTAAAAAGTCATAAGTTATTTCTGAGTAGCCTAAACTAATGATTAATAAGATGAAACATTGAGATATGAATCCATTGTAATATCAATTGTTAAACCCTATAACTTAAAACAGGTATAGAAAGTTTGGTTATTGAGCGAATTGATACTTTTATTTTCCATATTACGATGGTGTCGGATATCAAAGTTGTACACTTGTGCAAGTTGTATACTCATGCATTACATGAGTAGGCCTATGTACGCCCAGAAGTAAATTTCACCTAAAATAGGCCCCTACATATTGCATATTTCAGATAAGAGAAGGGTTTGTATGTATGGTATAGCTTAGTAATGCTTGCTCCAAAATTTAATAAGTGGGCCTGAAACATTAGTTACCGGTAGTTAACTAACCACTGATATTTTTTGAAAGTATGTTGGCCTTAACTTAGTCAGTAACAAGACTATAAGATCGCGCCTCACTTATCCTACACTCATCTCCATTCCATACATGGCTTAAAATAAGTACCTACCTTCGAATGGTCGCCATTTCAGTTGAAAGTATTTAAACAATTTCCAGGTTTTTTTAACAATTTTTAAGCTAAGCCCAGGCAACAAATACGTTAGTTTGGAGAGTGAAAAGTTTGTAGGCTATCTAACCTGGGTAAATTTCTATATTAGGCCTACGGACCCAATGAGGGGTACAGTTTCTTAACTGGGCTATGCTAATATTGATTGAAACTATCAAATTGAAAATATTGATTAATAATTGATATTTTTCAGAATCAGAATCCATTTAATGTCATTTGTCAACATTACATTGCTATAGACAACGTCAAAGAACATAAGGGTACAGTAATATGCAGTTTAAATATAATCGGTTTTTAAATATATATCGGCTGCACTTTACTTTAGGTCCTACACTCATTCGAATGAAAATATCGATCGATATATCAAATATTCGATAATTTATATCGTTTGATTAGTTAGGTAAAGTTAACCTAACCTAACTAACCAAACGATATATCCATTGAAACAATTGAATAATCGATAGGCTAATTTTCCTTTGAATGAGTGTAGGACCTAAAGTAAAGTGCAGCCAATATATCTATTATGAAATAAAACTCTCATAACCTAACCTAACCAACCAAACTTGCTGATGGTGAAAAAATCGCATGAAGGTTTCGAATCGATAGTTTCAATCGATATTAGCGTAGCCCAGTTAAGAAACTGTAACCCAAATGAGATTTCTGTATTTAGTCTGGGTCATTATTTAAAACAGGACTGGTCCTTGGCAAAAAAATATGTTACCCTAGGCCTAGTCAGACATCAGAACACCGGTCCATTGGTCCAAACCATCAAGTACTGTACACAAATCTACAGCATCCCAAATAGGCAAATCCCGAATAAAAACTTAAAACGGCTGCACTTTACTTGACGTCCTACACTCATTCGATTGTTTTTTTCGATTCGATATTTTCATTCGATATATCGTTTGGTTAGTTATGTTAGGTTAACCTTACCTAACTAACCAAACGATATATCGAATGAAGCAATCGATTAATCGATATATCGATCGATATTTTCATTCGAATGAGTGTAGGACGTCAAGTAAAGTGCAGCCCTTAAAACGAAGTCATCAGAAAACCGGTATTAGGGACGAAGGATATTTTACAAAAGTGACATAGCACAACACAATACAGTATACAAAAGTTAGGCCTACGAACTCACTTTTAATCTCCCTCCAGAATCAGGTCCAAACTCAGGCGGTACAGCCATTACAAGTGCCATTTCTTAGGATGTAACAGGCACTATTACAGTATAAGAAACAGTTATTTGAATTTAATATGACAACATTTCTGGACTTTATATCAAAGAGAATATTGAATGAATATCAACAATAACAGACAGCAGTGAGTGAGCAGGAGCAGACCACGACCACAACAAACAACAAAACAAAACAGTAACACTAACACACAAAAAACAGCTTTGTTATTGTTTTCTTCCTCGTACTGTATGAAGATAGCCTGGCAACAAAACAACCATGCAACCACATTATCGTTCTGGTCCACTCCACTCTTACTTAGCGAATGTGGCGAATTTCCCGTTTTAAGGAATAGACAATTATCACAGGTCTCATGGTAAGACCTAGACCTGGGATTGATTTACTTTTTCGTTTTGAGGACTCCAGAGGCCAAATACACCATCCGTTCAAATTCATATATAGACACATGTGTCCGTGATAACTCAAGCAAAAATGGAAAAATAATTCGATTTTGATGAAATTTGGTAGGGTACAAACGTGTTAACCTACTTTTGTTCCAACAAGTTTGCGAACCAGCACAATCGGACTATGGGGACGGGGGTTTATGGGGTAAAAATTGATTTTTCCCAATTTTGACCCTAAAAACAGAAAATTTTATAATTTCTCTCCAAACCATTTTTTTAGAGCTTAAAAGAAGAAAAATAAGTTTTCACTAAAGCGTTGTTGTATACCCAACGGTTACGGAGATAATTTTAAAAATTCCCATGTTTTATTCTTATAGAGAATAAATAAACTGTTGTAGTTTGCTTGTTTATGGATATATATTTAAACCAAATTTGGAAATTTTGTTTATTTAATACTTAAGCTATCGACATTGCAATAAAAACACATCTTAATACCTTCCCTAGCAGCAAACCTATAATAAGTACTCACTGAATGTTAATTAAATAGGGAATAAATCTGACAATTTTTGGGGAATGTTTAATAGAAATCCAGCCAGGTAAATGGAAATTCGCTTAGTCTGCAAGTTTGTTGCGGCGAAGGTATTTGTCTTTGGATAGTCCTCACAGCAGTCGGCTCGCAAATGACAATAGGCAACAGTTAATTTATTCATCGTTTGATTGTTTTCAAAAATTGTAATAGATTTCATCAAGGCAATTTCCAGGCAGTTATCCAGACTATCTTGGATGGCCTCTTGAGGTTCACTGCCTTCAATAAAGCCTGCCTGAATTTGAATGGAGATGTTTATGCTCCTGAAGCCCTACCTCCGGTTCTCTCTAGTACATCTCATTCGCATAATCACAGTGATCTCGTCCTGGAACACCGTTGAGTGCCCTCCCCTATTTGGAGACAAAATAATCCCCATATTTCAAAACTGTGCACTCGAGCACTTGCGTCACCTTTTACATTGGAACCATAAGTGTACCATTACAGATCGTAATTTGGAAGGATGTGTTCCAAAGTGATGAATAATGATAGTGAATGGCCTGCGAAAAAACAAAAACCAAAATGAGAGCATTTCTCAGACCTCCTTCCTTACCAACTGACACAAAGAACCTCCTATGTTCAATTAAAGGGTTTCCCCCACGGATGTCTACAGGGAGTCTTGCAGTAAACTCAATGTGGAGGGAGTAAGGCCGGGCGCGCACTATCCCGACCACGACCACGACCACGACCAAACGCCCGACCAGTGGTTGTCATTCACCATGCGACCAGAGCACGACCCGACCACGGGGTGACCAAGGCAACGAATGTTTTACAAACTTCAGTGTCAAGATGATTGTTGAAGAAGTAGTTGTTATGGCGCATTTGTATTGTAAGTACGTTAAGCGGAAGAAGAAACTATACTGGGTACATCCAATGTTAACTGTCAGGTCTGAAAGGGCATTTTGCAACATTTTATGAAGAGCTACGTCAATATGAAGACAGGTTTCAAAAGTGTCAAAATCTTGCGACATTTTACCAAATGAGTCACTTCACAGACCGGCGCAAAAAACTAGTGCTCACCGTTTGATTGGTCTAGGAATAATGGGGGTTGAGTGGTGTACTGGTCGGGTCGGAGGCAAGTCGGGGGTAGTGCGCGTCGTCCCATTACATTGTGTGCTATTTTTGGCTGCAACGACCAGCGGGTCGGGCCCGACCAAACTGGAAAATTTTGGTCGTGCGACCAGGGCCCGACCAGGGTCCGACCAGTCGACCAGTGCGCGCTGTTCCATTTATTCCTATTATAAAACTGGTCGTATCCGACCAGTCGTAGTCGTGGTCGTGGTCGTGGTCGGGATAGTGCGCGCCGGCCCTAAGAGTCAAGTTGAGTCGAGAGTCCAGTAATTAAGGCTCCTGAACATGCATTGTCCTGGTGCTGGGAGACAGTAAAGTTTTTGGATAGCAGCCAAGTCTCTCACTGCCAGCACAACTCCAGCCAAGTCTCTCTGATGTCCATTTTTTGTTGCATATAATAACTATTGGACTATGTTTATTATATTTAGTACTCTTTGACTTCCTTATGAGAATTCAAATGTTTTTGTTTTACATATGGTTTTCTGTTGTTCATTAATTATTCTGTAAATAAGTTTGACCAATTTAGTACATCATAAAAGTTTCTTCCAGTAAAGTATTCTTTTCATTTCATTCTATTTAACTTGTAACAATAGTATTTTATAACAGGTTATGGGCCCAGACACCCTTATATTGTGTGTTACAGGTTTTAAATAGAATAATTTATTGCTTGAGATAAAATCTTTAGTATGGAATTCGCTATGCAGAAAATGGAATTGCTGCATGGAAAGGACAACTGGGATGATTGGAAATATCTCATGCAAATTAGGCTTAAAGGAATCCCAGATGCATACGAAGCCATTTCTGGTAAAATGGAATTGCCAGAGAAACCTAAAGATGAAACACAAGCTGCAGAAATGAAAGAATATAAAATGAAGATGGATAAGTTTAACAAAACACAGTCAGAGGTAATGTTTATGTTAGCATCTTCATTAAGTAAGGAAGTAAGAGCTCAGGTAAGAAACCTAGAAAAACCAGATGAGGTTTGGAAGGAGCTGCATAATCTATTTGCGGAAATAGAGGAAAATAAAGCCTATGATATATGCTCTCTGTTCTTCACCTACAAATGGGATCAACACTTGGATATGGCTGGGAACCTATCTGCAATCAAGTCGTTATGGGTAAAGCTTCAAGAAGAAATTAAGAAAATTCAAGACAAGAAAGAAGATAGTTTACCTCAGATATTGTTAATTTGCAAGATTTTTGAAATCCTACCAGCAGAATATTCCATCTTTCAGACAACTTGGTTAATGATTCACAAGGATAAAGCGAGAAACCTTGACAATCTTACAAATTGGCTGTGTACAGAAGCAAGAAAGTTTACCTCAAAGGAAAAAGAGAAAGAAGATACAGCTTTAATGGCGGTCAATAGATCTAATGAAGCCAAAGGTAACTTAGTAGGTCTACAGAAAAACAGCAAGCACAATGATAAAAAGAAAAAGTTTCCATGTCACTATTGTCACAAGAAAGGACATTGGTTGCAAGAGTGTCAGAAATGGATAGCGGATGGAAAACCTGAAAGAAAACCTGAAAAGAAAAGCTTGGAAAAAGAATCCAAACAAGCAGCACTAACCATATTAAGTAATTGTGTTTTTCAAACCCAGAATACTACCGTATCACATGATTGGTACGTGGACAGTGGTGCTACCAACCATGTTACACATTGTAGGGAAATGTTTACTGACTTTGAACAATTTGAGTTACCTCATGCAGTTACAATGGCAAATGGACAACAGACAAGTGCTATTGGTAGAGGAACAATTTGCATGGAAGCAAATTTGGATGGTATTTGGAATCCAGTAAAGCTAACCAATGTATGGTATGTACCTGGTATTTTTGCAAACCTATTTTCAGTAACCGCTGCTCAAGATTTAAATGTAAATAGTAAATTTGTATCGACATCCAAGGATTGCACTTTGTTTGATAGAAATGGTAAACCACTCATCAAAGGACATAGAAGTCCAGGCGGAGGCTTGTTTAAATTAGCAGTAAGAAAATCAGTAGACCTCATGGCTGTTATGATGGAAGGAGTTCCAGCTGTTAATCAGTTGCAGTTACTTCATGAACGACTAGGACATCAAAGCAAAACTCATGTACAAGAGTTTGCAAGAAGAGAACTGAACCTTAATCTCAAGCTCGACAATGAGGTATGTGAAGGATGTGCTTATGGGAAAATGCACAGGACACAATTCAGAAGCAGAGATGAACACAGAGCTTCAGTACCTGGTGAAATCGTTCACTCTGATGTTTGTGGACCTTTCTTTGAGTCGATTGGAGGTTCAAAGTACTTTGTATTGTTCAAGGATGACTTTACTCGCTACCGCAGTGTTTATTTTATGAAGACAAAATCTCAAGTTGTAGAGAAGCTGAAGCAGTTTCTTGCAGAAGTCAAAGTCACAGGCCATGTAATATGTAAGTTGAGATGTGATGGAGGAGGTGAATTCGACAATGAAAGTATTAGACAAGTCCTTCAAGTGAATGGAATACAACAGTTGATCACAATGCCATACACACCACAACAGAATGGATCTGCAGAGAGAGAAAATCGGACCATAGTTGAATGTGCAAGGTCAATGATGCATGCTCACGGTGATCTGCCTCAAGGCTTGTGGGCTGAATTGATAAACACCGCAGCCTATATTTTGAACAGAACTGCTAAGTCATCAGTTGCCGGAAAGACTCCATATGAATCATGGTTTAGAAAAAGACCTGCAATAGAACACGAGTTATCGGGACAGATTGTTTTGTCCACGTTCCAAAGCAGAGAAGACGTAAGTTTGACAAGAAAGCGATGAAATGCAAACTTATTGGATATGAGGGTAATGATGGATATCGTCTCTGGAATTCATGGAAATGTACTGTCATTCGGTCCAGGGATGTAAAATTTTTGAAAGAGCCTATTAGTGAATCCATAGTAAATAGGCCTATATCTTCAGAAGACAAAGTCCCCGATGAAGAAAAAGATGAGAACTGTTCAGCCCCTGTAGTAGAAAATGTTCCCATTCCTTTTCCTGAAGATGAATCGGAAGATGATAAATTGACAGACGAGGAAGCAGAACAACATGAAGAAAACGTTGTGCAAACTCGCCAACTTCGAGATAGAGCTATGGTACGGCAGCCCATTCGTTTTGAAGATTTTGTGATGAGTGCTGTTATGGGGAACACACATTATGAACCTAATACATACATGGAGGCATCGAACTGTGAAGATCATCTGCAATGGCAAAAAGCAATGGAAGATGAGATTAACTCACTTCACATGAATGAAGTGTGGACACTTACTGAACTACCCAAAGGTCACAAAGCCATACCTTGTAAATGGGTATACAAAGTAAAAACAAATGCCGATGGATCCATAGAGAGATACAAAGCCCGTCTAGTAGTCAAGGGATTTGCACAGAAGAAAGGAATTGATTATAATCAAACCTTTAGTCCAGTAGCAAAAATGCCAACAATCAGAAGTGTTATCGCAGTAGCTGCTAATGAAGGCATGAAACTTACACAATTTGATGTGTCTACTGCCTTTTTGTACGGCAAAATAAATGAAGAAATTTATATGCACCAACCAGAAGGATTCAGTGATAACAGTAATCACGTCTGCAAGCTTAATAGAAGTTTGTATGGTTTGAAACAAGCACCAAGATGCTGGAACGAGAGAGTTGGAATGGTCCTAACAAAACTGGGACTGAAAAAGAGTGATGATGATCCATGTCTTTTTATCCGTAACAACAATGGACATAAGTTAATCGTTGTTCTATATGTTGATGATGGACTCATTGCTTCAACTCATGATGAAGACTTAAATTCATTCCTAGTAGAATTGAAAAAAGAATTTAAAATCAAGTCAAAACCAGCAGATTATTTTTTAGGATTGGAGATTTCTAAATCTGGTGAAAATATCAAATTAAGTCAAGGAGGATATGTTTCAAGAATTTTGGAAAGATTCAACATGGAAAACTGCAGATCAGCACCAACACCTATAGTAAAATCTGAACAGGAAGACAAAAGAACAGATGAGACGTCTTTTCCGTATCGAGAAGCTGTCGGAGCTCTTATGTACCTCATGGTTAGTACCAGACCGGACATAGCGTACGCAGTGAGTGTCGTCTCCAGAAGCCTAGAAAATCCTACAATAAATGATTGGTGTCGAGTGAAGAGAATACTCAGATATCTTCAGGGTACTAAAGATTGTGGAATCGTGTACAAGAAGCACATTGGAAGTGGCGTTCTTAATTGCTACAGTGATTCAGACTTTGGTGGTGACCATGAAACCAGGAGATCGACAACAGGACTACTGACTCTGTACGCAGGTGGAGCGATATCATGGATCAGCCAACGACAGCCTTCTGTTCAACTTTCCACTACGGGAGCAGAGATAGTAGCTGCGAGTGAGGCGGCCAGGGATGCAATTTGGTTAAAGCGATTACTAAGCTCATTAACTGAACTTAAAAGTACACCTGTGATCTTCGTAGACAATGAAGCTGCTATATGTCTAGCACAGAATCCAGAGCATCACAGAAGAACCAAACACATTGAAATAAAACACTTTTTCATTCGAGAACAAGTGACAGCAGGAAACCTGGAAGTGAAGAAAATTGACACAAGTGAACAACTAGCTGATTTGTTTACAAAACCTCTTCTTGGACCAAGGTTGAAGGTTTTAAGACAGAAAATTGGACTGGCTTAACGTTCCCATGAAGTCTCTAAGGAAGCCTTGAGTAGGGGGAGTGTTGCATATAATAACTATTGGACTATGTTTATTATATTTAGTACTCTTTGACTTCCTTATGAGAATTCAAATGTTTTTGTTTTACATATGGTTTTCTGTTGTTCATTAATTATTCTGTAAATAAGTTTGACCAATTTAGTACATCATAAAAGTTTCTTCCAGTAAAGTATTCTTTTCATTTCATTCTATTTAACTTGTAACAATAGTATTTTATAACATTTTTGGCCATCATTTCAGCTCACCTTTTCACCGTTGAATAAAGATGACATAGGTGTCACTACAGAGACCTATAGCAAAATATGCCTACATGAGATAACAAACTACTGGATAGATCAACAAGGGCAATGATGGCCCAATAATTTAGTACTGTAATCATTAAAAACAACTGCACAGTAAAAAAAAATTTTACAAAGCATTTTCAATGATAAAAAGTGTATTAGTAAGAATCAAAATACAAAGTTTGAGCCTAAAGAACTACTTACAGTATTGCATTATTTATCTAAACACAAAAACATTTTACTTTGAATGATTTGATTTCATGCTGTTTCCCTCTGAATCTTTTGACATTTTTAAAAGACTGTCTGCATATTGCTCGACAAGTAAAACATCATCCGAGTCTTGCCCTGTTGCTATTCGTATAAGCTGGTCAACCAATTGCAAAGCACAATCCAAAGCAGATGACCTTTTTTTCTCATCACAAGTGATATCGAGTAATTCATCAACTATGGAAACTGCTACATCATACGCAGATTTACCCGATGCCAGTCTATGCAGGATGTTATCAATTGTTGATAATGTTTCTACGCTAACATGGTCTTCAGATTGTGTTTGCTCATTTTCATAATGTTCTTGAAGGATGCCTGTACTATCTTCAAACTCTTTTGGTTCCTGTTTAACCTCATCGGAAACACCCGTCATTTCAGAATCCGCTTCATCCTGTTTTAACACCCTTTGCTTTTGTCTCTGTTGGGCCTCTGGTGGTGTGCACTTGTAGCTAAGAACCCTTATTTCATGTTTCAACTCCTCTTTAACTTTTAACTGCTCTTTTAAAACTTTATTCAAATTTTCCACATCGAGTTCATATTTTTCAAGTTCATCGGTAGTGATAACTTTTCCTTTCTTTTTTTCTTGAGTTCGTAAAAGTTCTTTTAAATTCCAGGTTTCATGTTCAAGCATAGTTTGCAGTTTTAATTTCCGGGAATTTTCTTGTTCCAAACTGATAAGCTCATCAGTAAGACGAGATAGTTCTTTTTTTTCCTCCCACATAATTTTGTTGTACTTTTTTCTGAGCAAGTCAACTTCATAGTCCCTTCTGGCCTCATTAATCATCTTTTTTAAAATTTCATCTTCCATTAAATCAATATTTAAATCTTCTCCAAACTTTTTTATGACCTCCTCTTTTATCTGTTTGTTCAAGGTCTTTGTTATTTCTTGCATTTCTTTACAACTTTTACTCAAACGTTGCCTCAAGAGTTTTTGCTGTTTGATTTTGAGATTTTCTCCTTCTGTTTCCACCTCCAGCTCAGCTATTCTGTTTGACAGATTAAAAAGAGCCTCACTATGAAATACCAAAGGATCACGCACAAGACCATCTTCTGGGTGGCTAGTTGATACAAAGTGGCGAAATTGGCTTAAATTTAGCACAACTATAGTTTCAACATCGTTTAGTTTTTGTTGCTTTTCAAACTGAACCGCTTCAAATTCCTCTGTAATGTTTTGAGCATCCGTATCCAACCGAAACAACTCACCATTATAGACATGTAACTCTTTCTGGTATTTTTCCAAATGCTTATGTAACTCTGAAATACTTTCTTCTATCTCATACCTTTGGTTTCTAGAGCTTATAATATCTGCAAATAGATTAGGATCACATCCTTCTGGACAGACATTTTCATCCAGTTTTAGTGGTATGAAGTCTTCATCATCTTCATCACCCAGTTCGTCCTCTGACGAATCTTCAGATGTTGAAGACTCACTTTCTGAATCATCTTGAGTTTTGGATGTTCTTTTTTTCTTAAAGATACGATTCAGGAATTTTGAAAAATTGGTATTCATAGTACTTTCATAAACATGCTCTTGAAGGTCTGAAAGTTTCATTTGCAACACGGCAATATCTTGTTGTTTTGAATCAATACAATCTTGAATTGAGATTTTCTGACGTATCTTGTCATTTCTTATTTGAATTGTATTGTTCAATTTATGAGTGATTTTATGTTCTCTACCAGCATAGCTGTTAATGATTACAAGCTCCTGGTATAATGTTAAGTAAAAAATTTCCATGAGTTTAATATCACGGGCATATTTAAGTCTGTCCACACATAACTTTTCTAGCTTTTCATCAAATTTATCTATCCTTTCTTCCATTTCCCTTACTATGGCTTCTTGTCTGTGAAGAGTTTTTACCATTCTGACAACTTTCAGCTGGTGCTCCCATTCTGTGTCAGAGTTGGTGTCATCAATAAATGATGATCTTGCAGATTCCAAATCAAATTCAGTAGAAACAGGATCAGAATCTTTTATCTGTAGAACATGGAACTCCTCATCATATGGCTCAGAAACAGGGTGGTATACAAGAGGATCAGCTCCAAATTCAAGTCTAAATATATGTTCGGGAAAATTATTTTTTAGGTAACATTTTGGAATTGGCAATCTCTCTTTTCTAAACATTGGGGCTATTTCTTCTTGGATGGTATCCAAATCATGATACAACTGCTTGAATCTGCGTACTAATGCAATTTTAGAGCCACGGATTTCACACACCTTTTTGTTGAATGCTTCTTTTGTCTCGTAAATTTCTCTATGAAGTTGAATCATCTGCCAGTATTTTTGAGCTGGTGTCATCCTTTTTTCCTGAGGCACCTTATAAGTTTCCGCTGATTTTAAGTTGAAATCACCTATGGTTGTGGCAGCTTTTTTGTATTCTGCTATGTCATTTGGGTCATCTTTGTTTATATCTGGTTTCAATTCCAAAAATGTCTGCCACTTTTGAGCACGCTGGTCTCTTTTATTTCTGCGTAATTCTTGTTTGAATAATGCTTTACGTGCTTTTAACGTCAATTTGTTATAGAAAGGCTGAGCTCTAAACATGGAACCAAGGATTGACTGCCTGTGTACAGTTACAATACTTCCAGTCTTTTGTGATCCAATTTCAAAGGTATGATCACTGACTGTAGTCGGAGGATCAAAAACATGCTGCAATTCACATTCAGCTTCCAAGAACTGTTTTGAAAGTTTATTGTGAGTAAAAGCTTTTATGCGTAAATCTTCATTTTTTATTGCTCTAACAGTGACATCAAGACAAGCAATATTGTCAACAAAGTGGTTTTGCATTTTCTTCACGAGGAAGCGTGAACAAGACACTTTGAATGACATCTGACGATTCATCAGTTTGATATCATCAGCGATTTTTTCCTGCAAAGCTGACGTGATTCGAGAGTCTAATTCAAATACTGAGTGATTTAATTTTTGACTTAAAGGAAGTGAGTTGTTTTTGTCGAGTATGTACTCAAATTTCACTTGCAAGTGTATCAACTTACGACGAATATTTTCTTTGCGTTCATTTGCTACTTTCAGGAGATTGATCTTTTGCGCATTTATTTTTGTTTCTTCAAGACTCATCTCCAGCCTTCCATCTGCATCTAACACCACTTCTCTTGGAACAGGACCAAATATGACTGAAGTCTTCCTAGAAAACTTTCTTTTCTCATTGTTTTCATGAACATCCCCATGGTCTAGATGTAAAGAAGCTATATTATACATGAAAATGTTACCATCTGAACCACAGCTAAACATATATTTACCATCGGAACTAGAGCATAAGTGATTGATAGTTCCATTTTCTGTATCATGCATGGGAAGATCAAAGAAATGTTGCATATCAAGACTTTCTTTGCTGTGAGATACCAAGCGAACAACTCCGTTAGCCATGCCAAATGCTGTTATCTGCCCTGAGCATAGATTGGTAAAGCAGAGAAGAGGTGTATTCATTGCATTAGGAACTGGAATACTGTTTACAGAACCAGATCTCTCCAAATTATATTCGTACAAAAACCCACAGTCGTAGCCACCCATCGAGAGCAAAAAGTTATCAGATGGTAGCATTACCACAAAAAGTATAGGGCTAGGGGTTTCTGGATAGAAGAGTGGAGGGAATTCCACCTCATCATCGGAATCCAATAGGAATAATTCTTCATCAATATCCAGATTTGGATTATCCTCCTTAAGTTTTTCTAGCTCTTCTTGTTTTTTTACTGTTTTCGCTGCCTTCTTAGATTCAATATCTTTTAATTCTTGAGAACGAATAAGCTCTGACTTGATACTTTGGAAGTGTATGGTTTTCTTAGCCAAATGAAGGTCAAATGTAACACTACTTTCATTAGTACTTTTTTCTGGTAGCCCAACTTCGGTTAAACTTCCATCAGCACAAGCGACAAGCGCAGTTGCAGCTAGTTTTGGTCTCCAGGTAATGTGAGTAACTGGACCAGGGAGTTGTAAGTAGCCTACAGGAAGGAGTACAATATACTCTCGTTTAGGAAGAATTTGATAGATGAAAATCGTGCAATCTTTACCCCCAGAGACGAGTATATTACCTCGAGGATTAAGGCCAACTACTGTCACCGGGGCGGTGTGAGATTTCACCCTCTGTATAATATTAATACTTGTAGCCGTGTCTGGAGATTGGGAGAAAGAGTTACCATTACGAAGAGCTCTTTCAACTTCTCGTAAACTGACTACAATCATCCGCAACATTCCATCGGCAAATCCACCGACTAAAACTGCCCCAGTAGCTTCTACGTGTACAGGTAACCATATCAAAGCTGTTCCTGGTGCACTAAAATGTCTGCGAGCCAAAAGATTTTTTGTAATAGTTTCATAAATTAGAAGACATCCGTCACTACCGAGAGTAGCCAGATAATGGCCAACAGGAGATGTAGCCATTGCTGCCACCGAGCCTGCATGACAGACGAACAACCTTCTAGGTAGAGGACCCTCAGCATTCAGGCTAATGGACCATATTCCTCCATTCCCATCTTGTCCAAACCAATCATAGTCTTCACAATTTGAATTCTTTTTACTGAGTGAAATAATTTTGGCTTCTCCAAGATCATCTTTTACCAAGACCTCTAACAAAGGTTGCATTTCTAAATACCAGTCTTCGTCATCCGAGGGATCAGCGGTATCAATTGTGACTCTGTTCCACTGTTTGATCCAACCATCTTTACTGACTGATATTATGTCGTCAGTTTGAGCATTGTAATGTATCTGCGAGATGTCTACGTTGTGGCAGTTGCCTTTCGCTTTCTGTTTCACTTCCAGTTTGATTAGGCGATCTTCCCAGACCAGCAGATTACCCCATTCGCTACCTGATACTACTTTTTCATCTGGCATTGCATAAATGCCATTGATGTCGCAGAGCTCAGTTTTACCGAATCGGCCGAGTTCTCCTTGGAGCTTCAGACCTGTAAAGGTTTTAGCCATTTTCCAGAACTTGATATGTCCCAGGCCGCAGGAAGTCAGTAGACCCGGTACAAACTGTGAGAACTCAACATTAAATACGTCTTGACCGTGGCTTTTAACACGAAGGATTATTTGAGAGGTCTTCCAGTCCCAAATAGTAATCAGGTGATCTGGCTCACTTCCCTGGGACACAAGCATGGTTCCATCGGGACTGTACGCGAGATGGGAATATCCACGTGTTGTCCCACCGGCCATTTTGGATATTATGTTAAAAGATGGCCATTCGTAAATCACAATCAGAGGCTTAGCACATTTTTCACCGACAGCCAGATGAGGTTCCGTTGGACTTTTCACAACGTGGCCGATTCCACTACCACTGTAACTTCTCTTGAATAAGAATGTTTTTGTTGAATGGTCAAATATATGAATCAAGGTTCCAGAATAGTACACCAACGTGTTTTCGTCCACGACACAGAGATTAAAAGGCTGCTGACAGTCGTAACCAAAAGAGTATTCAAAAGTTAAAACTTCAGCCAAAGGATTCACCTCCACCAAGGTGGCCTCACTATCTGGTCCTGATATGCTTGACTGGACTGATAAACTTTTCTGTGAAAGTGAACTATCTCGTTTGGACAACCTAGAGGTGCTTTTAGACATTGAAGATACCCCTAAATGAGAATCTGACATTATGAGAAATGTATAAACTGAAATGAAATAAAAGATTGTTGATGGTTCTTATTTGAAAATCACTTATTTACCCTCCAGTTGTTATTGTTAGTTTTTCATGATTTGCTGGGTTTAACAGTTATTGGTAAACAAGAGCAGCTGATAAGTCAGTGTCATGTTATCATTTGGATACTTAATTAATTGCAATTTTAATAAGAAAGACTTTTAAATATTTATGTTTAATATTGAAATAAATGTGTTACTGTATAAAATGGTAATTTAAACAAACTCATTGACAAAATATCATTTGGTGGTTTGATATGAATATAAAATTTGTTGTCTTATTTGAACCTCAACTGCATTCATCCATCCATTCCATTTAAAAGTGCAGGGCAAGAATAGGCCTATATAATTACAATATGATACATTTATATATTAAACACACATCCCCACAGAGTTATCATCATTGTGGATCAACTGAAGACAATTTTATGTAATTTTGTTGTTTACTATCTAACAAAACAGTTTTTAAATTACTGCTTGCCTTCTGGTATTACAACAGAGTATCCAAGAGTGTTCACAATGAAAACCTTACCCTGAAATGTAGAGAAAAATAAAGTGCTTATACATCGGGCACACCAGTATATCTGGGCATATGCCACACATTTAAATTTCATATTTTATAATAGGCAGAGAATCAGTTTAAAATTGTTTTGGTGAGTCGGTAGAGCCATGGCAATCAGGCCCAAGGCAGCTATGTCGTGGGTTTGGATCCTGGTACCTGCCACCACTTTTTATCAGTACAGTTAACCCTTGTCCTGCACAGACTAACCCTTTGCTTTGCGGGATACATTCCAAGCACAGGCCTCTGTGCCCATGTGGACGGGGAAATGCAGTGTAAAAGAAGCTGCCAACTTCCAAAAAACACCAACAAATTTACATAGTCAACCTTGGTTACAATGAAATTCTTTTGATTTGAAGAAACAGACTACTTGATTACATGGAACATTAAACAGCTGAGTATCTGTTGAGTATGTTTTCATTTCTGATAATCTGGGAAAGACTTTCCATCTCCACATTTTCCCACAGTAAATTTATTGATAAAACTTTTTTTAAAGAGATTGGCAGGCTCTTTTACCTTACATTTGCCTCTCTACATGGGCCACAGAGCCTGTGCAAACGTATCCAGCAAGTTAAGTGGTGAGCCAATACAGTACTGTTAAAAAGTTGGTAGGTAGCAGGATCCGAACAAACGAGATCACTGCCTTAGGCTCAAAGTCCGAGGCGATACTGACTGAGCACTCACTGAGCAACCAATCCCTCTGAGAATATTCTTCATTGGTATTTTCAAATACAATTTTCTGTTGATGTCATTTAGACTGTATATAATTAACATGATTCTAACATGTGATTTATCTAAATATTTTGGTTGGTAATTTACCAACATTATATCTAACCTCTTATTTAAATTTTTGTTTTAGGCTTTCCAAATTGCATTTTAGATTGTAAATTTTCCATTCAATCTAAACTAATTGGACTTGAAAATAGACATTTTCATAAAATAATATAAACATTCCTAGAAAATTCATCAACGATGAAAGGAAAAGATTTTCCTGGTAAAACCTTTAAAGCAGAAGGGGAAATAGATTCTGATTCTTCCGAGGATAAAACAGATCATTTGTCATACTCTTACTCATGTGTCAAGTCGTTTCGCAAAAACCAAACCATCATAGGGGACTTGGCTGGTCTGTATAACCGACAAGACTACCAAGGGAATGACCATCAACCGGCTTTGTACAGTTTATCAGGGGAAAGGAATAGACCTTATAGCAACACAATATACTGCAGTCCTGCCATGGATAGTGACAGTTCGGAATATGAGGAGGAACGAGTAGTGAAACTGGCAAACAATATACCTGACAACAATGTGTCAACCAACAATGAAGCTCAACCTCATCCCATCAAAGTTTTGCTCTACCAGTGGTTCAAAGAACAATTCAAACAAGTAAATTCCCTCTGGCCACTTTTACCAAGAGTTTTCAAGAGGAACCAAAATATGAAAATGGAAATGACACTGAATGGGGTTGACAAGGAAAGAAAGGATAAATTAATTGAGTACATAAATAAGTTGAATCTGACCTTTGAGGAACGTTGCAATTTGTGTACGGGCAATGAAACTGTTCTTGAAATAGATGTAACCTCCATAGCGGACGACGGAGAACGCTTGCAACGCTTCTTATCGTTCTTAAAAGGTTTAGAATATTTTAAATCAGAGATTCCGAGCTCAAAGTGTGAGGTAAAATCAAACTTGTTGAATCCACAGTCTCAGGAAAGGTACGATAGTGTGAAAAAAATTGGGATGGTAGAAAAGTTAGATGGGGAAATAATCCACCGCAGAACTTCTAAATATCATGTTGATAGAGGCTGCCAAATCTCTATTTCATCTTCAACATCGTCTGAGTCAAATGAAAGTATAAAAGGGAAATTGAAGCAAGGGAAAAAGAAAGCTGGACAGATAACTACTATTTCAGGTACCAATGGACAAGGTTTGGTTGACCAAAACAAAAATTCATTAGAACAAAGCCATGAATTTTCAGACGCTAGAAAAGTTCACTTTGAGCAGAACATTCTTAGTGTTCATACATGTAAAAATACTTTGAGAGATAAGTCACCCCAGTTTGTAACTAAGATGGAAAGTAGACCATCTTGTAAATGTTTAATGCATGAAAACCGAGAAGATTATTACAGGTTTAAAAATCAATGTTTATTAGGAAAAGGAGATGAAATGAATAATAGTTTCATCAAATTTGTGAAAGAAAAAGAAAATAACCCATCCCATGATTCACACAATGACCTGTCAAATATTGTACCAGACGAGATAGATAGTAATAACTGTTCCACGATTGGATTGGCTGATGAAAGAACATATGAACCTAGTGAAGTAAACATGCAACAAGATTCAATCAATAAACCAGAATATCAATACACAAAAAATCACCTGAAATCAGACTCAATTGAACACTTGAAAGAAACTTGCTCCAATAATAAATGTGTTTTATCAAGTATTAACAATGGCCCTTTTAACGGGAAAGATAAAAAAGTGCTAGCTGAAAATGCCTGTTCCAAAAGTTTAAGTTATTGTTTGGATTCTCTTCCAAACGTAAATAATGCAAAGGAACGAAATATTACAGATAATGGTAAATTTTCTGAAATAAATAGATACAATAGGACTAAGGGTACAAGTTGCCATAAGTATAATGTATACTTAGAAAACCATAAAAGACCATGTTGTAATGGGGTAATTCCTACACATTTGTTAAACAACAATAATATAGAGTTAAAAGAAAGTACCGGTAACCGCAAAGATTACAATGTATTTAAAGAATATAGTTTTGTGGACAGAGAAAGAAAAAACATTCAAGAGGAAAGTATTGATGATTGTTGTGTAGACTTTACTAACCGATCTACAGAAATTGACAACTTATCAAGAGACACATCCTTGAATGACGGTGTTGATAATAAAACGTATCTTAAAAGTAACAACAATAAATGTTGTTTGGAAGGCTGTGACTGCGGAAAAAGTGCAAAACCTAAATCCAACATCAGAACAATCGTTTTTAGAATCGGATCCTCCAAAAACACACTTAGTATATGCTCAAATCAATCTTTAACAAAAAAGAGTCCTAAACTTAAGTCATTGAGGCCTAAAGGTTTACACAGAAAGATATCTGCAGTTTTCAAAGGAAACCAAACGAGTAATGGAGAAAGTGTTAGGTTAATATACAAAAACAAAAACACCGAAAACACCACTAATAACTCATCAGTAGGTGTTGAGTCGTTTATAAATAAAACAAATACTAAAACAAGCTCATGGACAACCTGTGATTTCAGTACCGTTTCAGATTCATTTCCTAGCACGACGAAAGGAACACCACAAACATTTACGCAAAATTCAGTTATTCCTGAATCATATTTATTAACAGCTGATGCCTTGGGGACTCTAGTTTCTGAAATAAAACACCAACAGATGGAAATTAATTACATGAAAAAACTATTGGAAAATCACATAATGTAAAATTAGTTTTTTAAAAGCAAAACGTAGACTACCAGTACGTAAAAAATGTAGGAACTTAATAACTATTTGAGTTATTTTAAAAACAGTATATTTAAGTGAAAACAGTCAACATCGATTATTAAAAATTGTAGCATTAAAAGTTGTAAAACTTGTCATTTTTATCTATATACTTAATACAATAAGGGTTTTCTCTGAACCATACCTTTTTCAGCCATTCTATTCAAACAAATAAACAATTTTTATTTTTACGATTGATGTGTCTTTGTAAAGCTTATGATCTAGGGGAGTGTTAAAATGTTAAATAAAATGTTCATTACTGTACCTTTAAGGCTTGTCCCCCCCTAGCGTTTCATTTTAGCGAGTTTCCCATATAGGGAATAAGCTATTACCGTAGTACTCATGGTAAGACCTGGACGCGGGACCGATTTTTTTTTTCGTTTTGAGGTCCCTAGAGGCCAAAAACACCATCCGTTCAAATTCATATATATATATATATATATTTATATATATTTATATATATATGTGTCCGTTAGCACGATAACTCGAGCAAAAATGATCCGATTTTGATGAAATTTGGTACAAACGTGTAAACCTACGTTTATTTGAACGAGTTCGCGATCCAGCATGATCGGACCATGGGAACGGGGGTTTACGGGGGGTTTTATGGGATAAAAATAGGTTTTTCCCATTTTGACCCAAAAAACATAAAATTTAGCGATTTCTTTCCAAACCATTTTGTAGAGCTTAAAAAAACAAATAATTTAGTATATTGAAGCGTTATTATGCGCCTAATGGTTACGGAGAAAATTCAAAAAAATTGTAAATTTAAAATTCCCATGTTATTCTTATGGAGAATAAGTAAACTGTTGTAGTTTGCTTGTTTATGAACATATTTTGATCAAATTTGGAAAACGTTTTTATTTCTTACTAACTATTAAACAGTTTTACCCTCCCTGATGCAGCAAACCTAAGTACTTGTTAAACTAATTCTATTTAAATCGGGAATAAATGTTATATTTTTAAGTAGACATTTCAGTATAAATCAAATCACTCAAATGGAAATTCACTTAGTCTGCAGGTTTGCTGCGGCGGGGGTATATATATATATATATTTTTATATATATATTTATATATATATATATTTATGTGTCCGTTAGCGCGATAACTCGAGCAAAAATGATCCGATTTTGATTAAATTTGGTACAAACGTGTAAACCTACGTTTATTCGAACGAGTTCGCGAACCAGCATGATCGGACCATGGGAACGGGGGTTTATGGGGGGTTTTATGGGGTAAAAATGGGTTTTTCCCATTTTTGACCCAAAAAACATCAAATTTTGCAATTTCTTTCTAAACTATTTTGTAGAGCTTAAAAAAACAAATAATTTAGTATATTGAAGCGTTATAATGCGCCTAATGGTTACGGAGAAAATTCCAAAAAATTGCAAATTTAAAATTCCCATGTTATTCTTATGGAGAATAAGTAAACTGTTGTAGTTTGCTTGTTTATTAACATATTTTGCCCAAATTTGGAACATGTTTTTATTTCTTACTAAACAATTAACATTTTACATAAAAAACACTTTTACCCTCCCTGTTGCAGCAAACCTAAGTATGTGTTAAACTGATTCTATTTAAATAGGGATAAATGTGATATTTTTAAGGAGACATTTTAGTGTAAATCCAATCAGGCAAATGGAAATTCGCTTAGTCTGCAGGTTTGCTGCGGCGGGGGTATTTTACAATTATATTTGATATACCAACTTTGTAATTTCTTTATATCCGTTTATATGAGAGTTTAAATGTAAACAGCTGATCTTTCAGTTGAATGTTTAATCACAGTAAGATACAGTTTATGAAAATTTATTTTAAATACGCTCCTTTTTGTATAACTGAAAACTAAATGAGGTAGGTAAATCCCATGGTGGAAGGAAAAAACATAGGTGTGCTATTCCCACATATTCTGACGTCACTCGGATTGCAAACAAAAGATCACCTGATTGTAACTGTCAAATTCGTATATGTATTTGTTTTGATTTGGTTGTTATTGTTTTTATTATTATAAAAACAATAACAATCCAATCAAAACAAATACATACTAATTTGACAGTTACAATCAGGTGATCTTTTGTTTGCAATCCGAGTGACGTCAGAATATGTGGGAATAGCACACCTATGTTTTTTCCTTCCACCATGGGTAAATCCCTTATCATGTTGTGGATCTAAAAGCAACCAAATTTATTGTAAATGATTTATCCTACTAATATTATAAATGAGAAAGTTTGGATGTATGGATGTATGTTTGTGACAAGTGAACGCGAAAAATACTGGTCGGATTGGGCTGAAATTTGGAATGATGATAGCTCACATTCCCGATTAACATATAGGCATATTCTTATTTCAAAAATCCTTTCGGGCTCCGCCCCAGTGGCTCTGGAGTTTCCCATGTTAACCTTATGAGAAATGGAATTATTGAATCTTAACAGCTGTTTCAATTAAACAAGTTGGTTCTGTTCTATGATGTTCAATAGTATTAAAGTTACAAGGATTACCAACAGGGTGCAGCACTATTATTTCTTTTACATTTATGACAACAGCTAATTTGCAACCAAAAGGCGAGTTAGCGTAGCGAACGTGCTAACCTGAAGGCAAGTGAGCGCAGCGAACGAGCTCCAACCTAAAGGTGAGTGAGCGTAGTGAACAAACTTCAATCAGGACGTGATTGAGCCATGCGAACGAGATAATCTTGAAAATTAAGAAGTTAAACGGGGCAAAGCCCGCGGGTTACAGCTAGTTAGTTATATTCACCAAATAACTGAATGAAACAAACATTATCTTTGGTAAGTAAAACCGTATTGCATTATTCGTTTTGCCTCGGAAAACAAGTTTTAAACCCTACTAAAATGTGCAATTGGCGCAAGGGTCTCGTAATTAATTATTTTTTTTAATTAATTTTTTGTGTGTTTTTACGCCAGTAGAACTTTTTACATTTTAACCAGGGAACGGTCCAAACCCTGGTCTTGTTATTATCTAACGTTGACCTTTTTGTTTGATAGCATCATTAATTCATAGCCCAATGACATATGGCATCTGGGTCTGGAAACGATCTCGCAAGGATTCTAACCAGCGACCTTCATATTTGAAGGTTAGCACTATAACCACTCGGCTACCCAGATAATATATTTAGATACAATTAGATATTTAACTAACGCTTTTGAGCTCCATCGGTCAAATTAGACCACAATACAATACTACCAAAAACTGAACTTCCAGTAGCAACTAAGCGAGTGTAACTCAACTAAAATAGCTTAACCTGACATGAGGTGCAGCCTAGAAATTAATTATAGAACTACTACAGTTGGTTAACCAGTGTTGTAAGTACAGACAATTGATAGGTCTGGTCAATAGACGAGCAGTCTAAGGCGTTGACAGAACTGTAAATGGAGGAATGGAATCCTTTTTGGTGTGAAACTCAAGAGTTATTCATCTGCCTGAAGCAGAGTTAGGTGGAAGAGGCCCACCTAAAATAACCGTGGATGGTTCGGGTGGAAGTGTACAGGATGTGTGAATTATTTGTTATACTCCGTTTACAAAATTAAGGCGGTTTTAGGGGAAGAAATCTATCCCCTCCACTTTTTGATCCTGCAATTAAAACATAGCTCAACAGCTGAGATTTGTCAAAACTTCAAACAGCTGGAACATACATTAAGCAGTACAAAAGTGGTGGGGGAACTTACCCTCAAACCGCCTTAATTCTGTGAACGGACTATACACCTCAAATCACCTATATTACTACTCTTTACCTTACTGTGTCCACTACTAACTTGTAACACTTGGTCTTATCATTATGTGAGCCCTCAGTAAAAATGTGCACGTATCAATAAATAATCCATAGAGTTCAAAGAGTAAATAAATTGCACAGTTGTAACCTATATAAAAATACATTTATTCATAAATAATATAAATATACAAATCAACGTTAGAAAATACGCGAAAAGCATTTCAAAATATAGTTGACGGATCCCAGGCGTACTTCTCTTGACGACAGAGCAAGGAGATGTTATAGATCTCTTCACTTGATAGTACAAAGTCCAACTGGGTGTTAGAGCGAATATAGTCGGGAGTTACTGACTTGGGTATCACAGCTGTTAACACATAACACTAACATTAGACTTGTCTTTATGCACAGTTAAGAGTTTCTTTTGGGATAGGGATAGGAGTAACTAGCTTACCTGAGAGCATGTGGTGGAAGGAAAAAACATATGTGTGCTACTACCGTCATAGGCTGACGTCGCCCAGATTATAAATAGATTAATCACCTGATTGTAACTGCCATATAAATATATATTTGTTTTGATTTCATTGTTATTTTTTTATTTTTTTCTAAATAGTGAAACGGCGTTTGTAATCTGAGTGATGTCAGCATTTGACGGGAATAGCACACCTATGTTTTTTTCTTCCACCATGATCTGAGAGAGCCGCAGGGCTTTTAGATACAGAAGAAATCCAATTATTATCCTAATTTGTAAACTCTTTCTCTACACTTGACAAAGTCCCTCAGGGGATGAAATTTTGTGTGCACAGTGTATTTTCTTACACTTTCAATTTAAGCTAGCTGCTATCCTCCTTTTTCTACAATTGAAAATCCAGGCCTAGGGCTTGAACAAAACGAGTATTATCCTAATCAATTGGGACTGTACCACATTCGTATGGTTCTGAATTTGGATAATTGGCCTTTCACAGAAATTGGGGGTATGCTATAGAAATTGATTTCATTTTTGCCGATACAGATTGACAGAGAAAGAAGTTTATATGCATTGGACATTTTAACACTCTACACAAATTATAAAATACTCCATGCAAACTTCAATTCCCTAAAAATTGTAGAAACAAAACGGTAGTATAATGAAAAAACGATACTTTGAAAACAGTAAAAGAACGGTGGTTTTGTTTTGAAACATAAAAAATAGGTAACATTTTTAACACGTGAAGGGCATTTGGTTCCTACAAAGGGAGCTGAAGTTTTCACAGAATACTTTTAAAACATACTCCACAGATTGTGTGGTCTCAGAATGTTTGTTGCATGGATGAGCGTTTTAAACGCTTTGTAGAACAGTGAATACAGAAACTGACCGTATCCGACTTGCAGCGCCCACCGCAGCAGTACCTGCGCAGCAGACACCTGATGTTCCGCAGCCGCCTCGCGCACAGCTGGCTCTGTCAGCAGCTTCATGTTCTTGTTGCCGCCCAGTGAGCTGTACGCTTGCAGCAGTATACGGTGTTTCTGACAAACCACATACATCTCGTCTGGCTGACGGAAATGTGGATGGAACTCCACCTGAGGCACAACCACATTGTTGTAATCTCACAAATCTAATGTTAAACTAGCATATTTGTATGAAATGGTTTATCTGCATTAAGTAATCCTTGATCACTGTGATCGGAATTATTTTGAACCAATTTAATTCAGCTTTACAGTCAACAATTACTTCATCAACAACAGTTTTTTGTGAGAATAAAGAGAGTAAAAATTTACAAATACTCTTTAAAAAAAATGACAAAATGGGGGATTATCTGACAATAAAAAGTTTAAGTTTTCCACTAAACAACTAAGATCACCTGATTGACAGCTGGGGCAACCCCAGTAGCCTTGATTATCTGCTCTAGATGTTTGGGTGTAAAGTTGCTGACACCGATCGCTCTCAGAGCTCCACGACCTCTGTCATGTGCTTGTATCATCGTCTTCCACGCATCAATCCGCAGCCGTGCGTTGTCTGGACTGTTAGCCTACACACAATCACTGAATAAACCAATATGCAAGATGAAGGAGTGGAGTGAAATAGATGTGCTTTGTTGCTGAAAGATATTAGCTGTTGGACAATTTGTTGTAGGGATGGATGATATTGGATTTTAAGTTAGAGACGAGACAAGATTTTTCATTCCATATAAAAATTCATAATAATAGTACAAGAATAGTAATGGGCAGGAATATTTAAAATCTTTTATTTAAAAAATCAATAAAACATGGTGATATCAGTAAAGTTATGAAATAGTTCAACTTCGAAAAATACAAAACATCAGCCTGTAACATCAGTCACAAGTAACAATTTTCCAGTCTTGTGTTGGCTATGTTTACAGTACCGGTAGTAAAACATGTCCCACACTGCTTACACTTAACAAAACTTCTCATAATTTCTGATGTCAAAACAAAAAATTGTTAAAACAATTAAAGCAATATTTATATGTAAAGAATATATTAAATAAGAAGGCCTTTGCAAAGGAAACACAACAACAAAAGCTCCTGTATTGCAATAGCATTGACTTTCCGCAGGCATTTTTATGTTTTTCCGCAGTCATTTTTATGTGTTTTTTTATGTCGTCTCAAAAATATGTCAATCAAAATAAAATCTCATCTTGTAGAACAAGATTTAAAATTTCCCAAAAAATTCTCAAAATTTGAGACCCGTCCATCCCTAGTTAAAAGCCTAATGATTAATTGAGTGGCCTTCTCCACTGTTTTCAATTCTGTGCCAATATTCTCTATGAAGCTCTGGTGGACTTCGTTCCAAATAAAGAATAAATCTGTCAGACGGTAGTACAGTTGGTTGGAATGGTCTCTACGGATTTAAGACGAGTGTGTGAAAAAAGCGTCAGATTTATTTGGTTTTTATTTCAACCGTCTAAGTAATGTTGCTCACAGCAACGATGTAGTTATTCGCTTCAGAGTCTCCTTGAATTTCACATAGTATATAACAATCCCCTTGACTTATTGGTTTCACTATTGCGTAACAGCCTGGGGATACAACAGATGGGGAGAATAGCTTGTACCAGATAAGAAACTGACTGGAATCTTTGTGAATGGACTTTTGAACTGGACTCTTATCTATAGCTGCGGACAAGCCTACTAAGGCTTTTGTAGCTTTGTATGAAATGTATTTTGATTATTATGTTTTTTGTTGCATGAATAAATAAATAAATAAATAAACAGCCAAAAATTTACAATCTTTACTTAAAACTTCAATAACAAAAGCACAATGTTAATCATCCTACTACTCTGTTATTAATTAAATAACATTCAACAACCAACAATCTGAACATAATAATAGCAAAGAAAAACCTTAAAGTGTCTATGTACCATACACTTAATAAATTAAAGAAATTCATGAACAGTAAAAAGTTAATGGAATAACGTGAGTTGAGTGGTTATATTACCTGCACACCCTGCGCTCCGGGCCAGTGGATCAGATACAGGTCCAGATAGGAGACTCCTAGCAGTGCCAGAGACTTGTTGATAGCTACTCTGGCCCTCTGCTCAGACAGGTCTTGAGGGGCTGTAGTTAGAATATAGCTTCAAAATGGTTCAGAAAGACATTGCAAAGTGTAATGTTTTGAGGGTTGAAAACAGGAAAACCATTTTCCCTTATAACACTGTGTTCCAATAGTCCATGCTGGTTCACAAAATCATTTGAAAATGTGTTTTAGACATTAGAATTTCATCAAAATTGGATGGCCCTGAGAACCTCAAAGCAAAAAAGTAAATCGCTCCAGGGTCTATGTCTTACCATGATACCTACACTTATATTTGGGAAATCCGAAAATTAAAGCACAATTTGAATAAATATACTGCATTAACTAAACAAATTCATTTTGTAAAGTACATTTCTTGGCAAGTTGATGTTACTTGAGGAATTGTTAGTGATTGAACAATATATTAAAAAAAAAAAACTATGGCCACAGGAGCTCCCTGTAGATGCCATGTCTACATCATTGTTCAAAAGTAAATGCAACTAGCATAAGTCAAGTTTGAGTACTAATCTTGTTTTAGGTTCTTTCTCAAAGTTATGAAAACTTTTTTTTCGAGATGAAAAATGTTCCCAGTAATTCCTCAAATACCTACTATAAAGTAGTTTTTAAAGAGGAAAAAACAACTTGGCTTTCGAATAATTATTGAGGGGGAAAGGAAGGATACACAACTAACTCACCTGGATGAAGAGTCCCAGGATGTCAATAGAACACATAGAAAGTACACATTACACTGATATTTCGCCCCTTTTACGGGCTTCTTCTGAGGTAATATAAAGTAGTATACTGATATAAAGTAGAAGCTGTTACTCACACAACTTAGTAGTGATGAAGATGTCCTCCCGCCTGAGGTTGTACTTGGGCAGAAGGTCTTTGAGAGCGACACCGATGGCCTCCTCATTGTGGTAGACTGCAGCCGTGTCTGACACAACAAAATACATTAATTTTTTTCCCAAACGTAGGCTTTAGCCCAGAGCCGTTTTACATATGGATCAAATCCATTGGTACTTGACTGGATTTGAACCTGAGACTTCAGAGATCAAAGTCCTGCGCTCTAGTCATGCTCGCTCCTAAAACATCATAATGGGAAATATTTCAAGGGTAGGAAATTAGGTATTAACTATACAAGCGGAGCGGAAAGCAAAGTTTCATACATGCAACACTGTTACAATCTTTCCCGGTGAGTTGCGTGTCTAAAATACTTTTTGCCAAACTGCCAACAACAAATATTAACGCTGGGCCAAATAAAACACGACCCATAAAATACAATGCATAATTAACACTATTTTAACAAAATGTTGAGCTTAAAAAATATGACTTTCTTAAAAAAAACCAAAACAGTATAAACATTAGAGTACATTAACGGATGGTTGCTTGTACTACAAGAATGTTAGGTAATTATATTTTTTGGACATTGCATGATTTTGAATTGGTGTGGTTAGCTAAAAACAGAGGAGAATAGGTAGTAAAAAACAGGTCAGAATCTAGCAAGCAAAGTTTATACCAATAAAAATAATCAACTAGGCCCTAGCCCTAGTGGTTTGAAACTTTAATCACATCACAATTATTGTGTCTACTTACCAATGTGTCTATAACCAGCTTTCAATCCCTCGTCCAACACATCGTAGATCTGATTTTCGGTTACAAGGTACGTTCCGACTGAAAACAGCATTAAGAGTTTTAACTAGTTGAATAAAATACAATTTACTCAGCCTACACTCTTTACATTGATTTTCTGGTAGAAGAGATTCACCCTCATAGGTTAAAATACATGTAATATCTCCATCTCATCTTGGCGTCTCCATCTCCATGATGGATAATTGATAAACAAAGACTGGAAAAGCTCTGTAATGAAATTGATAAAATAAGATTTATAATCTCTTTTTTAAACATCTTTGCCACCAAGACTGATAATTGAATATAATATAATAGGTTACGTACCTTATTCCGTCTTCAGTCTTAACTTAGTCAATGCTGGATGACTAGTTTCGGGAACAAAGTCCCATTATCAAATCCTTACTTAAAACATCAATTGAATATGGTCAAATATCCGACGTAAGTCTTCATCAATGTATGCATGCAGGTTGACGACACATAAAGTTTACACATTTTACATAAATATAGTTACAAAAACAATTACGATAGGCTGGCCACGTTGAATACGGGACAAACCGACGATAGTTCTGTCGTGTCCGCCGTGTAACCTGCGTCGGTTTGTCCCGTATTCAACGTGGCCGGCCTATCGTAATTGTTTTTGTAACTATATTTATGTAAAATGTGTAAACTTTATGTGTCGTCAACCTGCATGCATACATTGATGAAGACTTACGTCGGATATTTGACCATATTCAATTGATGTTTTAAGTAAGGATTTGATAATGGGACTTTGTTCCCGAAACTAGTGATCCAGCATTGACTAAGTTAAGACTGAAGACGGAATAAGGTACGTAACCTATTATATTATATTATAATCTCTATAACTATATCTTTATAGCTGTTGAAATATTAACCCTTTGAGCTCTAAGGATTGTAATAGAAAAAGTGACCAAATTCCCACTTTACAAAATCTACGCAAGTTTGTAACCTAACAAGAATTGCTCAATATTTTTTTAAATGGGAGCTGAATCTGTGAGGGTCAAGTTTAGAGTTATTACACTTAGGCTTTTGTTTGACTAGTGTTGTTAGTGAAATAGACAGTTGGGTCTTATGAATAGCCGAGCGGTCATCGACCAGGAGACATGACCATAGATTGAGAGTTTGAATTGTGTCTCGGCCAACTATAAAGGAGCAGGACCTGATGAGATTTCTCCATCGCTACTCAAGTACTGTAGCTGTATTCTTGCACCGCACATAACAATCTTCTTTAATTCATTTCTTTCATCTGGTGTCAGCCTAATAGACTGAAGACAAGCTTCGTTGTACCAATTTTAAAGAGTGGCAATCCCTCGGATATCAAGAACTACAGGCCTATAGCGATTCAGCCAACGCTTGCAAAAGTGTTTGAGTCTCTGGTTCTTACTCGGCTGTCTTTCTTTGCCAGAAGTTTTCTGTCTACAGCTCAACATGGATTCTATAGTGGCAGATCCTCAACGACCAACTTAATAACATACCATGACGACATTATCTCAGCTTTCAACAGAAACCACCAGGTGGATAGTGTGTATATAGATTTCTCGAAGGCATTCGATAGAATCAGCCATGATCACCTTATGGCAAAGCTTGGTATTTTGGGAGTGGCTGGACCTATGCTGAGGTGGTTTCGGAGCTATATTAGTGGACGCTGCCTTATTGTGAGATATAATGGGTCTGAATCTGAAGCCTTTCCTGTGTTATCTGGAGTGCCACAGGGCTCTCTTTTGGGTCCTGTACTGTTTTCAATCTTCATTAACGACCTAGTCCATGCTGTCAAGCATTCAAGAATGTTGCTGTTTGCAGACGATGCTAAAATCTATAAGGAAGTAACAACGGACTTTGAATGTGAGGAGCTGCAGAGTGATTTGGACAATGTGCTGAGGTGGTGCTCGGAGAATGAGATGGAGTTGAACATATCTAAGTGCGTTGTACTCTCTTTCTCTCGTCGCACGAATGTAACGGTATTCAACTATACCTTATTTGGTTCGACTCTCCACCGATCCTCTACAGTGAAAGATCTCGGAGTAACTGTTTCCTCGAATCTAAGTCCTGAACCTCTCTTAAGAAACATAAGTAAGAGGGCTTATTCTGCTCTGGGATTTGTTGTCCGAATGTCTCGAGATGGGTTTTCACCTCATGCCCTAAGGACTTTGTATGTGCAGCTGGTCCGCCCTTTGTTGGAGTACTGCTCGCCAGTTTGGTCACCATACCTGATATGCCATGTTGATCTTCTCGAGGGTGTACAGAGAAAATTTCTCCGAGTACTTGGAGTGAGTCTGGGCTTTCGCTACCTTGAAGTACCACTGGATGAGATGGAACGTCGGTTTGGACTTCTTCCTCTGAGTTCGAGACGCAAAATCTTTGATCTGATGCTCTTAAGGAAGATCATCACAGCCTCGGTCGATTCACCAGATTTGCTGAGCAGGGTTGATTTTCGTTGTGCTCGGGTGGTTCGATCCAGAGGACTCTTTGAGAGAGCTCATTGTTCGACACTGTACTCTTACCACAGTGCTCTGCCTCGCCTTCATCGTCTGGGAAACAGCCTGCCCAGTTACATCGACCTGATTCAGTTCTCCGAGAATCGTCTTAGGAAAGAGCTAACCAACTTCTTCTCGTCAGAGGAGCATGTGCATGTTTGATTTTTTTATTAGCTTTTTCGTTAGGAGTGTGGCGATGACTTAGTGTTGGGGCCGTCGACTCCCCTCACTTCCGAGCCAGTGAGTGCAATGTTTCTGTGTGTGGTTCAAGAGTGTGTGGTAGTGTTGGGGCCGTCGACTCCCCTCACTTCTGTGCATTACTTTTTAATATTTATTAATATTTATGGTATATCTTGTTGTTGCCTTTATTGTTAAGTTTTTTTTTTCAGAGTTTACCGTACCTTTTGTACATTGTTCGCTTATGTAAATTTGCTGTTTTTGCCGCCATACTATGTATTTATTTTGTAGTGTTTCATAATTTTGGGTTTGCTTGTATTTGGTCTCTACTTCGTTAATATTTATAGTATTATTGTTCCTGCATGTTATTGTTAACTAGTTTTTATTGCCACTTGCTGTGATATTTATCATATATTTATTTTCTCAACTTTGTTTTGTGAATTGAGTGTGGGTATAGGAGATAGTTGTAATGGTCGCATGTATTATTATGTAATCTTTTTTGGCCATCTGTAGTATATAGCCTAATTGCAATGTTAAATGTAAAATGGTGTTTGCCGTATACAAAATAAACAAACAATAAACAAACAAAAAAATTATGGTGTGCGACTCATGAGTTTCGCATGTCTGGCAGTTTGGTGGAGATGTCTAATTCAAGTCGACATAGAAAAACTGGAGTGTATGTTGACAAAATGGATAAATTGTAAATTATTTCTAAAATCATAATAAGCTTTAAACTGAATGTAGATTTTTTAAGTCACAACACTTTTCTATGAAAATTTTTACATTTTTGAAGGCTAAACCGACATAAAATAAATAAATAAAAATGCCTTTATTTATCAAGCGTTTCTCAGTACAAATACTGCTTCTCAGAACAACTTTCGTCAATAACAATATAAAACTAACAACAAATAAATAGAGCAATAACAAAACAGAAACAAGACAATAATTAACCCTCAGTGCACAATTCTTTGATCTTAATTCTAAATGACATGCAGCTTAATTCCTTTCTATGTTAAGCTGAAACAATAGTTAGTTAAACAGTGACTTACGCCCGATGACTGGCATGGACGTCCCGCTGTTGAGAGGAACGCTCGTATCTATCACTCGTTTCTTTGTGTCCAAAACATCGAGCACACCAACATATGTATTAGGTCTCCGACCAGTGTCTGAAAAGATAGTACACCTTAATTAGAGTTGTGAGAGAACTATTTTTATTCATTTTTTATCTCTCACAACATACTCTCTGAAGAAAATTTATGCTAGAAAGAAACATCAGTGTAATTATATGGGATTTTTTACTATCTACTGTATAAGGCCCATGATTTTAACAAGTAAGCTAGTTTTGTATCCCTTAAAAATCTACTTATCAGCCACATACTTATGCATTGAAACATAAATGATCTTTTAATATTATTTCATACTATTAACCAGCCTGTGACAAGGGACCTCCAAGTTGGTGACCAAACTAATACAGAATTGTTGATTAGTTAGCATTAACAGGGATAGTGTGCAAAAACACACAGAATGATTCATACGATTATAAGAGTAAAAAATTTATAGATTGCTGTGCTAAGGTACTCAATCTATGCTCAACCCCGCCCCCGCAGCAAACCTGCAAACTAAGCAAATTTCCATTTGCCTGATTCAAAATACAATTAAATATATAAAAATAACATTGGGTTTAACCGAGTACTTAGGTTTGCTGCTACAGGGAGGCTAATAAAGTGTGTTTTTTTTCTCTTATTAATAGGCTTAGAATAGTATAAAATAAATAAACACATGTGTGGTAGTTTCAATGAATATTTGGAAATAAATAAGTTTTTAAACGCTCGTATCAGTTCGCCTAATGTTATTACACTGAATCGCTTTAATAATTCGGTTACTCTATGCGTTCTTACTCACAATCGATGCACCGAATATTGACATAGCAGATTTAGTTTATTTGCATGACACGTTTTGTAGCGTTACTGTTTGCTGAACTGAGGATTTTTCTGCATAAAATAAGGTTGTAGACTTTCTACAGAAATATTTTCTGCAAAAAAACTATTTTTTTAACTTGTTATGTAGGATTTTCTGCAGAAACTTATACAGGTCAAGTGTAAGAAAGGACCATGTAACCTTAACTTTTGTCTTTTTCTGTGATAGTGTTAAATTTACTATTTCAAAGAACACAAATTCTTTCTCACTAATTATTTCAGTTTACTTCCCTATAGTTTCCCTAAGTAGTCATTGCCTTGGGTGGCAGGGTAAGACCTGAAGCCAGGACTGGTACATACTTTTCATTTCAATGTCCCTAGAGGCCAAAAACACTATTCGTTCAAATTTGTACATATTCGTCCTTGAACGTTATTATAAATTGAGTAATTTTTGTCCGATTTTGATGAAATTTGGCTTAAAGATGTAGGGCGGGATGAGCTTGGATGAGTTTGAAAACCAGCATGACCGGACCATGGTAGCGGGGTTTTGTGAGGGGGTTTTGGGGTAAAAATGAGTTTTTCTCATTTTTGACCCCCGAAACAAAAAATCTCCCAATTTCCCACTAAACCATATTAAAGAGGTTAAAAACACATAATTTATTATACCGGTATTAAAGGTTTTTTTTTATTGACTATGGAAAAAAAGTAAATTTAAAATTTCCATTTTATTCTTACAGAGAATAAGTAAACTGTAATTACACTGCAACTGGGTTTGCTAGTTTATGGATATATTTTGATCAAACTTGGCAAATTTATTTATTTTATACTGAGCTATTGATAAAAAAAACTTTATTTTCCTCCATGATATAGCAGCAAACCTGGGTACCCATTAAACCTAATTTTATTTAAATATAGATTTAATTGAAAGTCCAATCAGGCAATGGAATTAGCCTGCAGGTTTGCTGTGGCGAGGGTATTATGCTTTGGCTGGCTCCTTGATCATTTACTAAAAGCCCGATGATAAAGGACAGCTATGTCTAGTTTCTACCATAATGTACTGACTTTTCTCAGGATTGAACTCGCAACCTTTTGATTACTAGGTAAAGTTATAACAAATTAGCTGCCCATCTAGATAAGTAAAAATATCATAAATAAGAAAATTAAATCTATAAATAATACTTGAGGTTCAAAGTGTTATCTTAAATCTGTTAAAAATATAACTTAGGCTACTTATCTTTGCAGAAAGCCTTAAAAAGTTATAACAGGTTATAAACCAAAGAAAAAGTTTGCCTACTCTTAACAGATAAAATATTTTTCATATTTAATAGTTTAAGGTACTAAATCTTTAGGCCTAATAAACAAAGTTTAACTAAAAAAAGTACATAGGTGGCCTAGCCTACAACTCATTACCTTCACCCTTTACATTGGCTCTATCTGCCTTTTGCATGGTTCAAATCTAAACTTTAATCACTTAACTTGACAATTTTGAGGACTCAAGACAGATTATTGTCTAACAAAATTTAGGCTAAGTTAATATTATTTAATGAAGAAAGACACTTTTTACGGTACCATATGCACTATTTTTTTTAGATTGATATAACCTTACCTAATAGGTCAAGGTATATTTAAAAAAAAAACATATGCCATCAGTATGATTTGTTTAGGTCTATTTATTAATTGGATGTTTTTATTTATTTCTGTCATCATGTTGCCTCCTAGACTCTCCTATGTAAAACTAAACTCTTGATGGCGTTCCTTCAAATTTTATGACATTAACATTGAAATTTTAAGAAGAAAATAAGCTGGGTATATAATATCTGTCATCACATTACAGTAGACTCCCTCTTAACCGGACAACTTTTAACCGGACTACACTCGGCAGAAATGACATCTCTTTAACCGGACAATTTTTATCAGCACATCGGTTTAACCGGACTAGATCAGCAGGAAGTGGGTGGTAATGAAACACTATTCTGGTGGGAAAGATTTGAGACCAGTGATCACGTGTCTAAATACAATGCTCTCCTAAATTAAAGTCAAATATTTGGATTAGCCTACATAAGTTTTTTTGAACGTCGGTTTAACCGGAAAACCCGTTATCCGGACTGGCCTCGGTCCCAAGGAGTCCGGATAAGAAGGAGTCTACTGTAATAGGATCTATAATTAATACACCAACACGAAATTTGTCCTTTGAACTCCTCCACCATTTCTAAACCGATTTTGACTATTGACATCTCATTGGAAAGAGCGTGTTACGTAGAATTTCAAACTGGCCTTGAAAAAGTCCCTTGGGTTCTGCCCAAGGCCCAACTAGAAAAACAGGCCATGCTGCAGCACGGGCAGCTCAACACTATGTCACAGTGGTAAATAGTTGTACCAAAGATTAAATATGCTACGCAAAACACTAACATCTCACTATTAAAATCTGACATACAGCCAGCTTATTTACCTCAAACGTATGGGATATGGCAGTGAATCTATCAGAATCTATCCACTAATGTGATGTCATGGATCCTGCAGCATGGCCTGTTTTTCTAGTGAGGCCTTGCTCTGCCCAAGGCCCCACTAGAAAAACAGGCCATGCTGCAGGATCCATGACGTCACACTAGTGGATGGATTTCATTGATAAATTCATTGTTCATTGTTGCCATTCCCATATGTTTTAGATAAATAAACAAGCTTGCTGTTTGTAAGATTTTAATGGTAAGATTTTAGTACAACTATCCACCACTGTGACGTAGTGTTGCGCTGCCTGTGCTGCAGCGTGGCCTGTTTTTCTAGTGGGGCCTTGCTCTGCCCCAGACGCTTTTAAAGTTCCCAGGTTATCCTTATGAAGAACATAATTGTTTACATTATGATCAGCTGGATATTTTAATCTATAGGAAAGCCCAAAGTACCCATGAACTTTTGAGAAAACTACAAGTCACACCCCCATAAACCATATACTTAAAATGTTCGTCATGACAAGAAACCTTGCGCAAAACTATCCATTATTTCATAAATTGCCCTATAATGTCGTAGCCTAATTGCTTTCCAAAGGGAATTTTTCATATAGGCAACCTAATGTTAAAAATACCTCAGCTGTACTTATTTGTGTTACTCTTTTAAATCATTACCTTATTAAAATCAGGTGTGATTATTTTATTTGTATTATCGTACTGTAGGCTATTCTGTTTTTTTTATTTCAGCTTAACTTAACCAATCAATAGTTTTATTAATACTTATGAAGTCAAACGGGGTGAAACCTGTGGGTAACAGCTAGTTAATGTTAATATTTATATTTGAGTTGCAATTCAAGGAAATGCGTTCTACAAAAATGAAATTTTACTGACCTGGTTAAAATTAAATTTACTCTTTGAATTTGGTTTTGCCTACCTACTTATTATAATGGAAAATACCCCCGCCACAAAAAGCGTTTGAAATAAACTAAAAAATAAAAAAAAACACATGAAAGTTAAACTAAAATTGTAAAAAGGAACATTTTCAAGCCCCAAAAATCATTGATTTCTAGTGTTTTTTCATTTTTGCGATGTTCAATTGCGATTTTCAGGGTGACATATCTTAACGTAGCCTACTGAGGCCTAGTCATTTCCCCCAAAAGTGCCAAAGGTGCTTAAAATAGCCTAATTTTTGTAGAAAAGGTGATAAAAATGCAATAATTCTAAAACTAGGTGGAAAGCTGTCACAAGTTGTATATGCATTAAGAAGAATTAGAAGCCTAACAAACAAAGAAATCACTATAACTGCTTATCATGCAATTTTTTTCATCACATATCAGATATGGCATAATAGCCTGGGGCTCTGCAAATGAAATCCACATCCAGAAAATAATAACCTCACAGAAGAAAGCAATTTGGATAATAGAACAAATTGATCAAGATGAACCACAAGCCCACTGCAAACCTCTTTTTATCAAAAACCGAATCCTAACTGTAATCTCCCTTAACCTTTTTGAAACTATTACGGTACCTCAATCAAATCAAATCCTCCCCAACTCAGAATCCAATGTCACAACTCCAACATCAGACACAAAACAAACCTAGACTTAGGGTAGGCCTACCATAGGCTAAACAAAACCAGCAAAACTCCAAACAACATGGGGATCAAAATGTTTAATCTCTTGCCAAAAAAACTCAAAGAAATAAGTGAAAATAAAGCTTTTAAAAAACAACTCAAACAATACCTAATTGAACGACCATATTAAAAATTAACTGAATTTATCAACGAACACAAATATAACCCAAACAACAAATACTTAGGAAAGCAATGCTCAATTACACTCTCACACACATACACTATTACAAGAAATTGACGATTTCCCTGTCTACAAGGACGGCGGAGAAGACATCTATGGTAAATGGTAAATATAAGTTACTTAACATAACTTAAGTAAGTTCAGTATTAAAGGTATTACCAAAAAAACTTGTTGGGCCTACAGTCTTTCATTATAATCGATAAACATTAGGCCTACTTATAGCCTAATCATCACATCAGCTGCTTTTTCCTTGCCATGCAAGGAGTTGCGCTTAGGCCGGAGAAGAAAAAGAGACTCAACCCAGAGAGTACGGTAATCAAAACCTTAAAAACTCAACCTAGCCATCCTTAACTTAGTTCAGGGTATCAAATGTTCAGTGTTACCATACTGTCTTTAAAGTCGATTTCCACGAAATTATTGTTAAAAATTACTGGACTTTTTCGTAAGATAGCCTACCTAACTTAGCCTAGTTAAAATATTTCCGGGCGCATAGAATTATTCAATTTTTGATGGAGGTAAGGTGAAACCAGGATCCCCAGAAATTTCGGAACCCCGGAAAATGTATGGAATGAAAACGAATTCCCCGGCAATTGGCAACACTGGTGATATCCCAAGACTAGAAAGTATTAGGCCTATTTCTAAAATGCTAAACTTTGAAGGGCTCTCCTGAAAAGTTTTGCTTGACCCTTTTGGAACCCTACTGTTCTAAGGTCGCGACATATAGGGTAGACCTAAACGGGGTGAAAAAATAAACTAGGCCTAATTTTAAGGTATAGACAATAGACAATAACTATTTAACTAGCCTATTAAATAATACTGTAACCACCAGCATATAATAATTGATAAACCGTTGAAATAAACAAAGAAAGAAATAATAAGCTACAGTACTAGCTTACGACTAACCTTCTTCCTGATATTCACCGAAGCAATTGCACTGAGGTTTTGGCTCAGACTCCATTATTTTGACAAATATTCTCGCCAATTTTATTGAAATAGTAGCAAATTGAATAAGTTTCATTTACATTATAAGTTTATCTAAACTATTAGCTTCGACAATGTATGATTAACACAATGACAGTTAGTTGATTTAATTGGTTAGTTAATGCAATGCAATCGCAATCAAACCGAAGCCGAAACATAAGTAAACAAAAACAATTACAATAAATTTGTTTACTTTACTTTTAGGCTACTATTACTATTCAATATTCATTCTACCTAGTACCTAGTTAGTGGTGGGAATCACCGTGCACCGAATGAAAATAACCGAATCAATCGGTTATTGATGCTGAATAGACTAATTCGGTTATTTTATCCTGGTTCGGTTAAATTAGTCTTACTAGTCCAGTCAATAAAGGGGTTGTAGAGGACATGGAGAGGGGGAAATTTTTTTTCTGCGGGAATGTGTTCGGGGTAGTTAGAAGATAAAAATACCAAAAGTCCCCGCCCCTGGCCCTGCTGCTTCAGCGGGGGGAGGGGGGGAAAGACCCCATTTTTTAGTTTTTTACTTCTACACTGAAAACCGTGCATCGTACGGAAAAAATGTAAATTATAAAAATAAAGATGATGAAATTTTCTACAAGAATGGTCATATTCATTTCTTCCGTATATGCATTGGTTTAAAAGATATTCTCAAAATAATATAAAAATTATTAAATAAATTGATTTTTCATGCGTTTTTTGTCAAATAAGTTTATATAATCCATTAGCCTGTTGTTGTTTCACATCAATCAGGATAGAAAACAGGTTTATTAACATTAACCTATATAATATAATATATCAATCGTATATATTGTGTTAAAAATTGTGTATATAAATTTAAATAAGTTATGTATATTTGTCATGGAAACAAGTAATTTTGGCATAATTATTACACTAAAAATTAAAAAGATTATAGTTGTAGCTATATTTGTCCAGGTTTATTTATATCAATTACCGAAACCAAGACTTCATACTATTTTTCATGGTCTGGCTCACTTGGGACGGGAGGGTCCGACTTCTGTCCCAAAAACTGGTGCCATCTGGAACTGAAAACCACCATCTAGGACATCTCCATCATTCAATTCTTGTTGATTAGACTCAATATTGGATATCGAAGTGAGAATTCGCTGTAGGCCTATATATTCTTCATCTTCCTCATTCATCAGAATGGGCATTTCATGTAAAAAGTTCCCTTAGCAGTTCTGGCATAACGGAGAACAATTATTGGACATTTTCTTGCATGCGCAAATTGCACATCTGGCACTGTTATAATCTTTAGTACATTTGCAAAATACTTGGTTAAGGGATTAACTGTTCCTGGTTACTATAATTTTGGTGTCTATGTTCAAATGAATATCTTCTGACCAGTGGCGGTCCCTTAGGGGTGGGAGGTATATATCCTCTCCGAAATATTTTATTAGCTAACATAAATACTATTAGCTTGAAGATATTTTTGAGCTCAAATGCATATCAAAATACGTTATTGTGCTTTAAATTCCACATTTTTTTTCGGGGGGGGGGGTTAGCCGTAGGCCCCCCCACGGAAATTAAATTCTGGGACCGCCACTGCTACTGATTTTTCAAACTGTAGCGTCTTTCTTGGTCTGCCATCTTCGTGCTGTTTTCTGAATTGCTATATCCGTCAAAAACAACAGTGCATTACCTTACAAGGTATCCACGTACCTCACGTATCCATCACATATATCGCAGACACTGAAGATCCCCTTTGAGTTTGCCATATAACCTTATGCGTGAGAAATAGCCCATCGATAACCAAATTAAAAGTTGTTAAAACTGTTGTTGGTTGGTTCCAAAAAACTTGAACAGTGCAGACATTTTTGGTCTTTACTCATACCACTCTCATTAAATAAAGGGAAATGGAGCAGGTTCAAATCGTTAACAATCCTTTAAATCTTGATAACTTTTTTAACTTATACAAATCCTTTGAAACAGAATTAAAGGTTTTCCTGCAACGTTTTAATCATTGATATCGATGGTTGAACTCACAGAGGACAAAGGGAGAGCCATATTTTCCCGTGACAGCCTGTTGTCTGCAAATGATTACAAGCATTACAGCATCGTAACAGTTAACGGATTCATCTCCTACAACCCCAGATGCTATTGACATGATGTCTTGAGTTTCAGGGAAGAGTGGGTGATTTTCAAACATTGCTGTCAGTTTAGAAACATTTGATATTTTATCATTTGTATCATTTAATCAAGGACAACTCTGTTTGGAAAACCAACTACCCTCAGAAATGTGGGATTGAGAGCGCAAAAAAGGTAATCTATTCCCAGTTTTAACCAATGAACCACCTAACCCATGAGAAATATTGGGCTTGTTTTTTGCAAATATACTAAAGATTGTAGCAATGAAAGATGTACATGCAATGAAATGTCCATTAAATGTTCCTCGTTGGCCGTTATGCCAGAACTGCTAAGGGGGCCGTTTAAATAGAATGCCAATTCTGATAAATGAGGATGATGAAGAATATATTCACTGCACTCTCACATCGATAGCAGATATTGAGTCTAATGAACTAGAATTGGATTACGGAGAGACCGAGACCATGAACAATAGTATGAAGTCTTGGTTTCGGTAATTGATATAAATAAACCTGGACAAATATAGCTACAACTATAATCTTTTTAATTTTTAGTGTAATAATTATGCCAAAATTACTTGTTTCCATGACAAATATACATAACTTATTTAAATTTATATACACAATTTTTAACACAATATATACGATTGATATATTATATTATATAGGTTAATGTTAATAAACCTGTTTTCTATCCTGATTGATGTGAAACAACAACAGGCTAATGGATTATATAAACTTATTTGACAAAAAACGCATGAAAAATCAATTTATTTAATAATTTTTATATTATTTTGAGAATATCTTTTAAACCAATGCATATACGGAAGAAATGAATATGACCATTCTTGTAGAGAATTTCATCATCTTTATTTTTATAATTTACATTTTTTCCGTACGATGCACGGTTTTCAGTGTAGAAGTAAAAAACTAAAAAATGGGGTCTTTCCCCCCCTCCCCCCGCTGAAGCAGCAGGGCCAGGGGCGGGGACTTTTGGTATTTTTATCTTCTAACTACCCCGAACACATTCCCGCAGAAAAAAAATTTCCCCCTCTCCATGTTCTCTACACCCCCCTTTTGAGCATTCATTGACTGGACTATACCGTGCGATTCGGTGATTTAGTTATTTAGTTTGTCACATCATCAGGTAACTAAAATTTATTCGGCGATTCGTTCGACTAAAAATCACCGATTGACGCTGAAAGACTAAATGCCATTCAGTTTCCCATAGGATAAAAATTAGTTGTGGTTTGTGATAGTGAATAATGACTAAAATTGATTCGGTGATTCATTCAACTAAAAATAACCGATTGACGCAAAAAATAACTGATTGATTATTCGGTCATGGAAACCATTCGGTTATCCCATCACTACCTCTACCTCTACGTGATTTTACGCTCAACGCTCATGCAACAACAACAACCAGAAGAGAAGAAGTCAGAATCAGAACGAGAGCGAGAGTGGACTGACTGAAGGACGGAATTGCTCAGTGCGCAATTCTGTGCCGACAGGCCGGATCCCGGATCTAAAGAGGTTCTCGTTCTCTTCTCATCTGTCTGCGGGTGCGGAAGCGGGCGGAAACCGAGACGCTAGTGTCAACGGAACGGTCAACATCAGTGACCCTCCCTTCCTAACCTATAAGTATACCCATAGATAGATAAAACATACTCTCTTAGGGGTATACCATAGTGTCTGTGTCAAGGTCAAGTCAATTAGAAATTTAAATGAATGATTGTCAAAGGATCGTGGTGATGTTTATGCTCGTCGCTCATGCTGGGAATGCTAACTGCTTGTGGTACTAGGCTGTATAGGGCACAGGCTATCAAACCTTAACTTAACTGAAACATTCAATCGCAGCTTTAATCCTACATTTTCACACAAAATAGGTGAGGGGACATTTTAATTTTATTTATGAATGCCTAGGCCTAGTTTCTTAATAGGCCCCTAACTTACTTAGGCTATTTTATATTGGAGAACGCAGAGGATACGCGTCCGGTAACCGGACGTGGATTAGGCGTCCGGCAGTTACTGTCATAACCTAACCTAACCAACCAAACTTGCTGATAGTGAAAAAAATCAAATGAAGGTTCAATTCTCTTCATAACATAAAATTATAAATGCAAAAAATTCTAACAAAAGATGTAAAGTTAAGAAGAAATGGTAATTATATCGACCTCCGGACCTCACGCGAAATTAAAAAAATTTTTTTCCAAAATATTCGAAATTTCACGCTGATTTCAAAAATGATTGTCGTTTTTTTCGGAAACGTCCCGTTTTCCCGGAAAATGGGAAAAACGGGAAAAATATTTCTTTGCTCAAAACCCATGTTGTGGGTACTCAGATTGTGCGGAATTTCCTCCTGAACAAGAATACGTAAATTTTATTACGATCGGACCACTATTAAGTAAAATATCACCGAAAAACGGGAAAATGGGGAAATTTGTCTTTGCTCAAAACCCATGTTGTAGGTACTCAAATTGTGCGGAATTTCATCCTGAACAAGAATATGTAGTTTTTATTACGATCGCTTTTAAGTAAAACATCACCGGACAGGTTACCCAACCTAACATAACCCAACTTAGGTTTAGATTAGGTTAGGTTAGGTTAGGATAGGTTAGTTTAGGTAAGGTTAGGTTAAGTTAGGTTAGGTTAGGTTGGTTTAGGTTAGGTTGAGTTTCGTTAGGTTAGGTTAAGTTAAGTTTGGTTAGGTTAGGTTAAGTTAGGTTAGGTTAGTATAGTTTAGGTTAGGTTAAGTTAAGTTAGGTTAGGTTGGTTTAGGTTAGTTTGAGTTTCGTTAGGTTAGGTAAGGTTAAGTTTGGTTGGGTTAGTTTGGTTAGTTTAGGTTAGTTTACTTACTATACTCATGTTATTGATAAACTTACCTAACCTAACCTAAGTTCCTAAGTTAGGTTAGGTTAAGTTAGGTAACACTAAACTAACCTAACCTAACCAAACTTAACCTAACAAAACATAACCTAACCTAACCTAACCGAAACTAACCTAACCTAACTTAACCTAACCTAACCAAACTTAACCTAACCAAACTTAACCTAACCTAACGAAACTCAACCTAACGTAAACCAACTTAACTTAACCTAACCTAACTTAACCTAACCTAACCTAACCTAACTTAACCTAACCTAAACTAACCTAACCTAAACTAACCTAACCTAACTTAACCTAACCTAACCAAACTTAACCTAACCTAACAAAACTCAACCTAACCTAAACCAACCTAACCTAACCAAACTTAACCTAACCTAACGAAACTCAACCTAACCTAAACCAACCTAACCTAACCTAACTTAACCTAACCTAACCTAAACTAACCTATCCTAACCTAACCTAATCTAACCCCAAGTTAGGTTATGTTAGGTTAGGTAACCTGTCCGGTGATGTTTTACTTAAAAGCGATAGTAATAAAAACTACATATTCTTGTTCAGGAGTACCTACAACATGGGTTTTGAGCAAAGAAAAATTTCCCCGTTTTCCCGTTTTTCGGTGATATTTTACTTAATAGTGGTCCGATCGTAATAATATTTACATATTCTTGTTCAGGAGGAAATTCCGCACAATCTGAGTACCCACAACATGGGTTTTGAACAAAAAAATATTTTTCCCGTTTTTCCCATTTTCCGGGAAAACGGGACGTTTCCGAAAAAAACGACAATCATTTTTGAAATCAGCGTAAAATTTCGAACATTTTGGAAAAAAAAAATTTTAATTTCGCGTGAGGTCCGGAGGTCGATATAATTACCGAAGAAATTACATTCAAAGCAAAATCTGTGACAAAAAGTTAAAGTTACCGATGGGTTTCGAACCGGGGACCTCTCGCATATCAGTCGAGCACTCTATCCACTACACCATGAACACTGATGGCTGAACATCGTATCATTGTGGTAATGGCGTTCCGGGACCCCCTACCGGACGCCTAATTCACGTCTGGTTACCGGACGCCTAATCCACGTCTGGGTAATTCTGAGCAATTACTTGGTCAACCCCAATTTTTTTCATACTTTACTACGGTCATCAGGATGTTCTTAGAAAACAAGAAACATATAATTTAAGCCCCGCAAGGTTAAGTTAGGTTAGGTTAGGTTAGGTTAAGTTAGGTTATGCATTAACCTAACTTAACCTTGCGGTGTTCTGTTGCGATGGTTCCCCGTTGTAAACTTCACCGAAAGCCCGAAACAAACGGTGTAGACTCGATTCTATTCCAACAGTTAAACATGTGTTTTTTTTTTTCATTTAACGTCATCGACCCGCCACATTGTGGACACTCTTTGGTACGTTGCAAAACGCTGTGATCGTTTAAATATAGTGTTAACTTTTCCTGATCTTCACTTAAAACCGTGAAACTAAGTAACGTGTTTCACCCGTCCAATAAAAAAGGATTATCGGAGGAACTACTAGCCATAGCCATAACGGTACTGTCACAACTGGCCTTCCGCGTGTCTCTCGCAAACCACTGTTATCGCTTGGAATTTGAAAGTTCTTATCGCTCTGCAACCTGTACGATGGCCTTGCGGGGCTTAAATTATATGTTTCTTGTTTTCTAAGAACATCCTGATGACCGTAGTAAAGTATGAAAAAAATTGGGGTTGACCAAGTAATTGCTCAGAATTACCCACGTCTGGTTACCGGACGCGTATCCTCTGTGATTAGAGAATCCCTAGGGTGGAGGCTAGGGTATTTGTTTAGGCCTACTTTAGTTGCTTTAAACGAGTTTTGAAAAAAAAAATGTTTTTTACTTATTAAGTTTTAGGCCTATTTTAAACACTTCCACTTAGGCTACATTTGGTATTTTGGGACAAACGCCTTAAAAGTTATTTTACCCTGAAAATAGCAAAAACTGTGTTTCTTTTTATTATTATTTTTATATAGGTAGGCCTACTTCAATGTGTTTTTCCTCCCTGGCACTTTTAAGGTGACTGCCGTTTTTACCCAGGAAATCAAGTTTGAACAATCATATTAGGGGACAGGCCTATGTAAAAAATTGCGGGTACACTTCCATTTTGGCACAAACAACCGAATGAAAATATCGATCGATATATCGATAATTCAATATATCGTTTGGTTAGTTAGGTAAGGTTAACCTAACCTAACTAACCAAACGATATATTGAATTAAACAATCGAATAATCAATATTACTAGCCTAATTCAGTTGTTTGTGGCAACAGATATGATATGGAAGTGTACCCCGGGTAGACTTCCGTACATCTGTTGGCACAAACAACCGAATGTAAATATCAATTGGTTAGTTAGGTAAGAACCTAACCTAACTAACCAAACGATAAAATGAAACAATTGAATAATCAAATCAATAGGCTACTTTCATTCGGAGCCAAAAACACTATCCTTTAAATAGGCTATTAGTCAATTTACCATAGGCCTACCTAGGGAAGCTTAGGCTACTAATAGATTTCATGGTAAGACCTCGACCCGAGACCAATTCAGGCCTAAGTTACGTTTTCGTTTTAAGGTCCTTAGAGGCCATATTAAGGTACAGTAAGTTAACTTTATTTTAGGCCTATCGATCACAGACATCACGCTAAAGGACATACTTTTTTCCTTATTAACATATTAATGCTAAATAACGTCCTTAATTAAAAAATGATTGTCATTTTCCTGGAAAAAGTACCGTTTTCCCGGAAGCAGAAAAACAGCATTTTTACAGAAATAGGTCTGTGAGTAGCCTACTCAAATATTAATAGAAATACGGCCAGAAAAGCGTCGGAGTTAGTCCACAGCTTCACGATACGACTCTTCTGTCGATAGAGGCTCTTCATGTGTTGCCATCGGATTTGTCAAATGGTGTTCACTGCGTTATAGTTTGACATCTGATACTTTTCTAGTAGGCCTACTTGATCGAAGTAGCCTATGTCCTCTGGCTGAGAACTAATTCCATCACTTGTTTGAACAATCTCGATTTCAAGGTACGGTACCTAATTTTCTGGTTTCGATACTTTGATTTCAAAGTTTTGATTCAAGTTCTGCGCAAAATGCATCAACTTTTTTTCAACTCGTCACATACATATTAGTGTACTGATTTTGGCAACGTAGTTCGGGCCGCTGACGCTTGGGTCGCGGTAGTCTGTCGGTAGTGCCGTGCGCCTCTGAAGACCTTTTAATCATTTAGTATTAAAAGTTTATTATAAAACAACAAAAATAGAAACAAGCATACAAATTTCATCAACAAAAATGACATTTTACAACCTACAATGAAAGCAATAATAAAAACATAACCAAACTGCCTTAGGTACCGACAAGCCCAAGGTGGAGTAGTTCTGGCCACTGACGCTACTCTGCAACAGCGCTGTCCAGGTAACGATAACCTCAATGAGTGACTACTCTAGTACGTGTACTCAATGCTAGTACCATACAAGAGCTCATCAACCACATATACGATAAAGAACATTTTATTTCATTTCATTTTATTTCCCACGGCAATGCCATTTACAATAATAAATATCAGTTAAGACTATAATAAGATTATATAAACTCAAACTCCAAGACTGACTTAGAAACTACAACAAAACATACAACTAAACACGGGGAACATCTTAAAACAAGGTTCTGCTGTACTCGGTTTGAAATGTTGAGATTTCATGAACTCAGAAAGTCTTTTATTAAGGACACTTTGGACTTTTTAGTTAACATTGATACCAACTCACTGGTTTCATATTAGCTACCGGTACCTATTTTTCAATTAGGCCTACAATAGACTCCTTCTTATCCGGACATCTTTTAACGGGACACCGGTTTAATCGGACTGGATCAGCAGGAAGTGGGCGGTACTGAAACGACTGTTCTGGTGGGAAATATTTGAGACAAGTGATCACTTGTCTAAATGCTCTCCTAAAATTAAGTCAAATACTGTATACAGTAAGCATTTAAAAGAGGTCCGTTTTAACAAGTTTTTGGGATGTCGGTATAATCGGTAAAACTTGTTATCCGGACAGGTCTTGGTCCCGAGGAGTCCGGATAAGAGGGAATCTGCTGTCTTTCATTTTGTGTTTTGTCACTTAACACTTTAACATGTTCAAATGTACCGGTAACTATCAATATTTGTTCTACCTAGTTTTATCTCCTGAAGTCAAACCCCTAAAGCTACACTGGGTTTATTGTTATAGCAAACAGGGAAGGTTTACTTATGTATTTAAGTTATCAGCTATCACTATTTGACTTAGTTGCAGTTTAAATTGTTTAGTCGCATTACTATTCAGTTTTAACCAAAATCATTTCCTTTCACTTTAGGCACAATCATCATCACTGTCAAAAGGAAAGGGGATTCCAACCAAAACCTCGACAGCTCCAACCTCTCGACCTTCAACTCCTCAGCTAGCATCCAAAGCAGCCTCCTTTGACTCCTAAGGTGAGGGATTTTTAAATACAGTATATGTTCAATAAGATGTAAATAACCTTTTTATACAACAAATTACTTCCTTGGTAACTTACAGAAGCCACTTGCTGATCTGGCTTGTTCAGGATCTTTAGTAATGTCAGATTGTTGAGGGCTGTCAAGAAAATAGGATTTAATGTAGGCCTAGAACACCAATAAAATATAGAGTAGAAAGAGCAATTAATAGGGTTAAGGCCATTTTGAATTGCTCCTTTCCTTTTGTGATATCTCTGATTTTGGTGAGAAGGTCTTAGGGAAGAAATAATGGTCACAAAATATAAGTTAATGTAAATGTATAGTATATTTGAATGTAAATTTTATTGATGGATTTATTACAACTTCTAACAACATGACAAGTGAGCAGTAGATGGCCCAAAATTGTGGATGAAGATTTGTTATCACTATTTAGTTTGCCAGCAATATGCAAACATGTCTCATGGACTTATCAGTGTTAACAAAACAGAACCTTTAGCCTTAGACCGATTCTAAACAATTGAATGGGGTGAATTAATGGAGTTTTACATTGTGGTTAATTTTATAACCCTGAATCACACATAACAGATGCAATTTATATCTTGATACAAAATATGAATCTGGACTTGTCCGTGTTAAGTAAGGAAAACATCAGCTAAAAAAAACCTTTACAAACAGAATGGCCTTCAAATCCATCAATTGTGACAAGCAACAAGACCAGGACTGTGTTTCAGCGGTTGCTGGGGACTTAGACCTGTGAGGGGCTAAGAAAATTAATTTTGCCACCATTGCATGAGACGATGATGAAGTTTCCGTGACAGCGAAAGATGTTCATGAATTCTCCGTAACTTAACTCCGTAACAGGAAACGTTAATGATTTTGCTGGGATTGCGGGGCACTAAGATTATGTCCCCACAAACGCAGAATATTTTACAAATTCATTGTATTTACAGAAGATGAAGAAAATGTCTCTATGATCATGAAATATTTTTTATTTTGCCGTGAATATAGGAGACGGTCAACCGTGCAAACTTGACAAATAAACAATAGCAATATTCACTGTATTAAATTTGTGAAGTGTTTAGTTTGGGTTGGGTCACCTAGCCTAAACTTACCTCCATTCGCTCGGACAGCTCGAGAAGTCCAGGATTCTCACGATAACAGTCTCCATCGCTCGCTACTGCTTTTCGGCCTTCGTAAGATGCTATTGCGTCGATCTACCAGTACACGAGTACACCACTGTGTATGTCGGCACATCGACGCACCGAACACTAATTACTCTTATAACGCGGTCTCAGCACAGCGACGCACTGACAAAGAACAGGTCGATTTTAACTAAAATGTGCCTATGAATGAAAAGGCGTAGTAGACTAGGAACTAAAATAGAGAGCCGGCTCCTAGGCTTAACGAAAGAAATCACTTCTCAAATAAAACTAAAAATAATCTTCTCGCATTTAACAGGAAAGTCGCTTACTCGCGATAATTAAATAACGTAATTGCTTACTTACCTTGCTTCCTTGTTTCACTCTTTGTTTGTGGATCTTGCAGTCGAAGTGAACAATGTCATTTGTTTAGGGGACTTGAACGTTGATCTCATGTCGAAAAATAGTAACGAATATCAATATTACAGCCGACTCTTGAAAGAAGCATGTGCTGTACAACTAATTAATGAGCCAACGAGAGTAACAGCAACTTCAGCCACCTTGTTAGACCATATCATTGTGGACAGGTTGACTGAAGTCAAGAGGACCGGCATAGTGGATGCTTCGAGTATAACAGATCACAGAGGCATTAAGATAACAGATCATAAGTTAATTTATTGCATACTATGTACAAGTAGGAACAAACCTGAAGCCAAGTTAATAAAATATAGAGATTATAGAAATTTCGACATTAATCAAGTTGTAACTGAGATTGCCGCAATGGACTGGAACAGTATTAGGAACGAACAGGAAATAGATATTGTGGAAACATTGATTACGTCTAATATTAGAAAGATATTTGATGACAATGCACCAATAGTGTGCAAAAAAATTACAAAGAGGAAGGCTCCTTGGCGTAATGAAAATATTAAACGGTTGACAAAAGAGAAAAATAGACTGCGAAATCGTTATTGGAAAGATAGATGTGATGAGAATTGGGAAAGGTATAAGGGCGTTAGAAATAGGTTAAATAATATGATCTGGAGTGCGAAAAAGACATATTTTTCTGATAAACTATCGTCCTCAAAAGACCCAAAAGAATTTTGGACGTGCCTCAAAAGGAATGATATAATTGGCTCTAAGAGTAACTCAAGCATTCCACATGATCTGCAAGCTAATGAGATTAACGAATATTTTGTAAACATGGGAGCTGAGACCGATATTGATAAACAGCTTTGGGAATATTTTATGGATAATAAACGAGATGGCATTATAAATACCTTCAAATTTCAATATGTCAGTGAAAAAGAGGTTATGAATGTAATGAATGAGATCAAATCTAAAGCAGTGGGTAGCGATGAAATTTCAATTGAAATGATTAAAACTGTCAGTCCGTATGCGATAAAATCAATTACCCATCTGATAAATCTATCACTAGACAAGGGACAATTTCCTAAGTCCTGGAAAATTAGTATTATCCGACCATTACCCAAACTTACAGCCCCAAGAAAAGTCGAAGACCTAAGGCCAATCTCAATATTACCAGCTATGTCAAAGATATTAGAGAAGATAGCTATTCGCCAAATAGTCAGCTACATAAACACACAAAATATATTACCCAAACTTCAGTCTGGATTTAGACCTAACCATAGCACGTGTACAGCCCTGACGAACTTATTTAGTGATATGATTGACGCCAAAGACAAGGGTAAATATAGTTCTCTAGTTATGCTGGACTATTCAAAGGCATTTGATTCAATGAACCATGAGATGCTATTGGCCAAAATGAAATATTATGGCTTTGACGAAAATATTTTGAAATGGATAAGGTCATACTTAGACTCCAGGCTGCAAGTGACGCAGTTAGAGAGTGAAACATCAACCCCGCTTGTCAAAACCCAAGGAATTCCCCAAGGCAGCTGTCTTGGGCCTGTTCTGTTCAATTTGTACGAGTATCAAGACGATGGATAAAGTAAACAACACGGGTGTTTATAAAATTAAATGCGACGATTGTCCGAGTTTTTATATCGGACAAACTGCCCGTTCTTTCACTACAAGGTTCAAAGAACATCTACCAAGGAGAAACTCTAAGTCTGCTTTTGCCAATCACCTCATTAATTCGAACCATAACTACACCGACGTACACACTAATTTAGAAATCATGCATCTATGTAATAAAGACAAACAAATGGATACTATAGAAGAATTCAAGATCTACAGAGCATCAAAACAACAACCCAATCATATATTAAATGAACAGCAGTCCTTCAAATCAAATATAATTTACAACACTGCCATCCACATTATCAACCAAAACAAAAGAAACCAGAGCAAAGATAATGGAAGAGAAGGGGAGGGGGTCCCAACTCCCGACACGGGTCAGTCATGACTCATCAATATTTTAATGTTTCGTATGTGTTCGTGTTATGTGTCCTAAATGTGCTGACGACTCCACCCACGGATGAGAAGGCTGTATTTTAACGTTCATAGACAACCTGAAGATGTACTCGTTTAGCAGTACGAAACGGCCGTAGTTATTTGATAACTTAAGGATCAATTGACACAACAGGTAAATTCAACCTTGTATATTTTCATTACCTTGATCCAGAGGCTAACCCATCATGAGATATTAGTAAACTAGTGGCTTGTAGGGACATAAGTCCCTAAAAAGCTCAATAATATAAAACAAATTATTCCAATATTTAAACAAACTAAGAAATATATTATCGCTGTGTCAGAATAGATATCACTGTACGCCATATCTTTTGTGTAAAAAAACAGTTTGTTGTTTGTCTTTGTTTGCCTTTGATGATGTTATTTTCAATAAATCTTTTGAATAACTACATAGCTTTTAACTCTTATAAAGGCAGCAAACATATAATTGTTTGTGAATAAATACTGGTTTATTAAGGTAGCTTTGGTCTTGTGGTTGATTGTAATAAAAAAGACCTCCCTGATTGGAACTTTGGAAATTGTCTTCGTCAAATAAGAAAAGGTAAATAAAGGTGTTTAATAACAAACGTGTTTATAATTCTAAGTTTATACTTTTTTTGTTAAGGTTTATTAGTGTAAAGTAATGGCATCCCATTGACCAAACTTAACCCTAGATTTCTTCTGATCAACATAAAAAAAACTACAATTAGTGGAAGTTTATGTGGTGGTATTCCTCTTAAAGGTGCGATTGACGTTACATATTCTATCAAATTAGGGCTAATCATTGGCTGATTCTTAACTCTTTTGCGAGCAACAGACAGTACCCGTTTAAAATCTCCAAGCATATTGTTTATCCTCCCATTCGAACTTGTCATAGTACTTACTTAATTAACAAATATATATTTCCTGTACGAACCTATTCCATCTTTATTTCAAGGTTATTTTCTAAAGCCTCCACTACATACAAAGTATTGATTAAACACTACAATAAATCTCAAATTTAAAAGAAAGAAAGAAAGTGTAGAATAAATCTAGAACATATTTTTTGAAATAAAAACAAAGCAGAAGTTTTTCATTTAATCTTGAATCGTTAATTATTTAGTCAATGTGGTTATTTAATGTTAAATGTTAAAAATACACAAATTTGAAAAGATTCACAGTAAAATTATTTATTTCCCCATTCCATAACGTAACTCTTAATTCTTACAGGTAACGTTATCCCTGGTTTTATATAGTACATTGCAGAATTGACTGGCAAATAAGTCATCCAGATTAATGTTATCATTGCTTATACTGGCTTGATGATAAATCACGATCAGCTGTATTGAAGTAAACAAAAATCAGCATTAAATGGCTTCTAATGCTTTTCTTATGGAGAACATTTATGGAGGCTGATTCTTAACTCTTTTGCGAGCAACAGACAGTACCCGTTTAAAATCTCCAAGCATATTGTTTATCCTCCCATTCGAACTTGTCATAGTACTTACTTAATTAACAAATATATATTTCCTGTACGAACCTATTCCATCTTTATTTCAAGGTTATTTTCTAAAGCCTCCACTACATACAAAGTATTGATTAAACACTACAATAAATCTCAAATTTAAAAGAAAGAAAGAAAGTGTAGAATAAATCTAGAACATATGTTTTGAAATAAAAACAAAGCAGAAGTTTTTCATTTAATCTTGAATCGTTAATTATTTAGTCAATGTGGTTATTTAATGTTAAATGTTAAAAATACACAAATTTGAAAAGATTCACAGTAAAATTATTTATTTCCCCATTCCATAACGTAACTCTTAATTCTTACAGGTAACGTTATCCCTGGTTTTATATAGTACATTGCAGAATTGACTGGCAAATAAGTCATCCAGATTAATGTTATCATTGCTTATACTGGCTTGATGATAAATCACGATCAGCTGTATTGAAGTAAACAAAAATCAGCATTAAATGGCTTCTAATGCTTTTCTTATGGAGAACATTTTACGTTATATCTCGTTTTATGGTAACTTTATGGGAATTCTGCTATTTTTCCCGAGTCCTTGGGGTCAAGACCTTTAATTTAAGACCCCTCCCACTTTTCTGTGACCTACCAGACGTCCAAAATTTTCTGGTAAAAATTTTGTCTTACAGAATTATATATAAGGATATTTTCTATCGTTATAGGTTCCACACTCTACCCAGGTGAAGCCGACTACATCAAATTCTGTCAAAATCATTCAAAACCCCAAATAAAGAATTAGAATTTATTGAACTCAATTAAAGGAGAAAGAGTAAAGCCTCACACGCTCCTGGTGGTAAGTATATTAAATTATTCTCAACTATTTTATTTAAGTGATTTAGTAATTATTGATGCAGGTTTTGTTTGATGTTAGATGAATACTCTAAGGCGGCACCATAAGGCCTATTTTACCACTGTCGTAGTACCAAGATTCGCTAACAGCAGTTAGTTGGTGTTTCACTACAAGAACAAACCCTTCACTAGATTATATTACTCGCAACTCATTTCACCATAATATGGTTTGTCGTCGCCACTTAATTTTATTTAAATACTAGCTTGTACCCGCGGCTTCACCTGCGAGGGTATAACCAATATGAAGCAGAAAAAGAAATAAACCGAGTATTATAGTATAAACCAATAGAGGTGGCTTATATGGATGCTTGGCAGTGACCACAGTAAGATAATATCATTATTTATTGCCTAAAGCATAGTTTGAAAACATATCACAGTTGAAAAATGTATAGTAGTTTGAAAGAAAACAAACACAAAACCTTATGAAAATAAAAACTTAGACATAATTGTAAACCATTATACTATGACAATTCTCATTGTATCACATCTTTGTGTTATTGTTTAGTTCAAAACACCTGTCATCAATATTTTATTTTTGTTTATTGGTAGGCCTAATGAAAGTCAGCAAACCTAAGTCACTGTTTGCTAGGTCTGCAGATTTGCTGTGGGGAGGGGGTTTATTTTTTATTGTGTTACCATTCCAGATGTACACCTAAAACTGCTTTCTTATGACTGTTATGTGATGTCAGTATATCTACGTGCTGCACTCTGTAGGTAAACCTTATAACTTTTTAAATGCTATTGTAAATCATAGAACCAACTTTTTTAGTTGAAACAGCTGGCTAAATTCTTTAATTCCCTTTAAATATGAATACTCATAAGGTTAACATGGGGAATTACAGAGCCACTGGGGCAGAGCCCGAAAGGATTTTTGAGATAAGAGTATGCCTATATGTTAAACGGGAATGTAAGCTATCATCATGCCAAATTTCAGCCCAATCCGTCTCCAGTCGTTTATGCATGATTGAACTTCAAACACACAAACAAAATAACAAACACACAAACTTTCACTTTTATAATATTAGTAAGATAAGATAAGATAAGATTACAACTAAAACTTAAACCAAAAGTTAATTTTAAACTGATTCAACAATGTGCTGTCGGTGTTTTTGTGCTCAACTATCCAAAAAGTATTTGTAAAACGAGTACTGTAGAGATAACTAAATGGAAAATAACGTTAATTAAGAATACCACTAATTTTTTTACATTTGCCTAGTGGGTCTGATGATGATTGGAGTAATATATAGATTTGTATAAAATGTTCTGTGAAGATGGATTTCTGTTTCCTCATCATAGGCTTGAATATGTTCTTTAAATCTTTTTTTAAAACTTCGGCTTGTTTGTCTAATGTAGGATTTATCATATTCATTTTGTTTGACATTATGTTGGTTATAATATTCAGTACATTTGTTTATGTCTTGTGCTTGAGTGGCTATATTTCCTTTTTATATTTTGTTATTTATGAATTAGAAACACATTCTTTGTTCTATAATAGATTTTTATATTTGAATGCTTGAAAGTTTTGCTTATTAGTACATGTAGAATTTTACTAAAAGACTAGGCCTAGCAGAAAACATATAATTTGTTCCGTTCATGAATCTTGCAGGAAACGTAGTACCTAACATTAGGTTTTGAAATCTGAAAAGTCCCTAGTGATTGTGGTGGTGGAAGAACCATTTTATGGAGGTTAAAGTTTATGGAGGTTGAGAACATTTTTATCTATGGGATCCAAGCAAGTGGGGTGTTGTTTTCTATGTTTCTTAGGATGCAGAATTGAAAAAAGCACAATAAAATCAATGCAACCGACAGTTTATGAGAAAAGGACAACTTTATTCTTGAAAAACTAAATATGACAAATTAATTAAGATAAAATAATTCAGTTAATATTAATTATTACAAAATTGATCATGAGTCTAAGACATGAGTCTAAAACTCATGAAGTCATATGTTAACGTTGTTAGGAAAATCAACCAAGAAACTGGTAGTTACGCCTCTTTAACCTTTACGTGTAGTATTGTTCATCAGCTACTGATGCATCATCACCATTGATGGAATTGTCAGGTTCCTTAACTTCTTCCACATCAACGTCTTGACTTGACACAATTTCACTGACAGCACGGGAGTTTGGTTTTTAGAGCTTGTACATGCCTACCTTCTTCACAAAAATGGCATGAAGATGAATATTATTAATCCCACTCTTTATTGTGATGTTGAGCAGCTACCTTAACACGAACAAGATACTAATTTAAGTATTGTCTCTGGAGCTGGCTCAGTAGTCGTTCCGATTGGTAGCAAGTAGTTTTGTTTTGTGTCTAGCCATACCCCACTCTTATGGAAGCAGCTTATTCCATATTGAGGGTTGTATCTGATAGTAGGTGCGGTAGGAGTTTTGAGTAGCACTGTCCGATGCTAGTGGTAGGGAGCCATATCTGGCAACTCTTTTCTTTAATGATTTATGAAAAAGATTAATTAGATTTAGGGTAAGTGTCCCGTCCTAGGATCCGTAAAAGAAAAGCCAATACATTCCCTTGCTTGTTTCACCTCAATGTGATTGGCGTCAGGTTTGTGAAAGGTGTGTTTGTGGTTGCTTTCAGTCTACAGCAGTTTGAGTTTTTTTTTCTTTGACATAAATTGCGCTGGTGGTAGGATATGTGTTTCAGTCTCTACAGTTGCATTTAAAACTTTGCCATTTAATAAATTATGTTATTTTTAATTCAATTTATTCTTTTCAGGTCCTGAAATAAGAATTATTATGTGCAAATGTGCTGGACCTTTCACAGTTCAATATCAAGATTAAAATATTGAAAAGCTTTGAAAATAAATTTTATTGTGATAAACTAAAATTCAAATCTGCACAAAAACAAAATGTTTCACGACATACCTAGTGTTAGTGTGTGATGTTGTAAAGGTAGTTGTGATTCTTTCAACAAATAAACATGAGTACTCCTCCGTGGTTAGAATCATTGTCTCTACACAATGCTATTGACAAATTGTCTGTAGACGATATAAAGTCAATGTTGGAGCTTAACAATCATAAATGTGAGATTGACACTTTGGACTGCAGAGGAAGAACACCTCTGCAGTGTGCCATTTCAAGGGGTTTTGAGGAAATTGTAAAACTATTGATAGACAAAAATGCCATGCTAAATGCAAAGGATATTGATGGAAACACATCAGTACATCATGCTGTTTTGGGAGATGATGAGAAGTCATTAAGGATATTAGAACTCTTGATCGACAAAGGTGTAGATCTGAACATTGCTAATCACTTACATCAAACCCCTCTTCATTTAGCAGTAGAAAGAGATTTTCAGCCATGTGTCAAGTTATTGTTGGACAATGGTGCAAAAGTAAATGTGCAGGACAATGTGGGTAGAACACCGTTGCATTATGCTGTTTCAGAGAAAAATGATAGCATTGTAAAGCTGCTTATAAGACCAGATTCACAATTAGACCTTGCAGACAAAAAAGGAAAAACTTCTCTTCACCTAGCAGCAGAAACCAAATTTGCATTTGGTGTTTCCATACTATTAGAATCTGGAGCAAATACCAATGTCCAAGATGATTTGGGGAATACACCTTTACACTACTCTGTCCTTTACTCTAAGAAACAACGTCCCTGCTGCAAGCAAATGATCAATATATTGATCAACAGCAGTGTGATCTCACAGAAAAATAAAGAAGGTCACACAGCATTGCATTGTGCTGTCGATGCAAATAACTTCACAGCAGTCGAATTATTGCTTCAAGCTGGAGCAGAGGTAAATGAGAGAGATGTTGGTGGCCGCACTCCACTTCACCATGCAAGTATGAGGAAACGTATTAAATCAAAAATAATGAAAGCTCTTCTTGAAAGTGGAGCCCAAGTAGATTGCAGAGATGAACTTGACAGAACCCCTTTACATTGGGCTGCCAATGGCTGCTTCGTAGCCAGAGGATCCTTGTTGATAGAATATGGAGCTGACATCAATGCCAAGGATAGAAACCTCGACACGCCACTCCATCTTTGCATGTCTATACATCCATCCTTTGCAACATTGTTATTAGATAAGGGATGTGAAGCTGACTTTAAAAACATACATGGCAACACACCACTTCTAATGGCAGTAGAAAGAGATCTTCAATCAATAGCAAATCTACTAATAAGTAAAGGTGCTGATATTTTTGTTAAACATAGAGGTAAGAGTCTTCTTCATATTGCAGTTTCAAATATGAGTGAGGAAATTGTCAAGAAACTTATACAAAATGGTGCTGAAATAGATTGCAAGGATGACAATGGGCGCACAGCACTTCATTATGCAGCTCTATATTGTTATTTTGACAACATAAATATTGTTCATTTAATTCTAATGAGTGGTTCATATGTTATGATGAAAGATAACAGAGGACTAACTCCAGCTGACTTTGCTCTCAAGAATAAGTTTTACGCGATGGAAGTTTTGCAAATTCTGTTGGAATGGCATTGGTTCTCTACAGATTTCGAACAGATTTTGAAGAACTCGAACAGTACAATGAGAGATGTATTTAAAACGGTTCTTGACAAGATATATGTGAAAATGAAACATGCACAATTTTTACCTCTAGAAGAAGAGGATTCTTTTTCCCCCTTTTTGCATTTAAAGTGCTGTATTGAAATAGAAAAAATGATGACAAGAAAGTTCAATCATAATGCGCTCAGTGACATATTATTGAAATACTCTGATCTCACGTTCTTATCAAATGATGGCATAAGAAAGAAAATATTTTCATCAAACTTAGATTATGATTTTCCAGTCTACAGTAATATTTTGAGGGCTGCCTATACAAAAGCAAAAGATCGACTTGGCAAAATCAATGTTGTGTCTAACATTTTAAAGTTTCCCCTACCAGAAGAAATGACATGGAAGATTTTAACATACATTAGTGACCATGACATGGAAAACATTATTAAAGCATCAGAAATATAAGGATGAAATAGCTTAGCTTTATTGACTTATGTATTCTTTCTAGAACTTAGTGGTTTACATGTACCTATATATATATATATCAAATGTATTTTTAAACCATGTATACTGTTTTTAAGAGAGGTAAAGAACTTGAAACCTGAAAAAAGTACTAGCTCCTAACTATGTTTACAAACACTCACTTTACGGGGAATAAAAGGTGGCTTGCAGCCTATTTTTAGTTTCCTGGATATTATTGTTAGGTCAATGATTCACTTCTGTATTTTTCATGTTTAAGTATGTAAATGTATTTTTAAACCACGTAGACTGTTTTTAAGAGAAGACAAGAACTTGAAACCTAAAAATATGACAAGCCTCTAACAAATTTTTTTTAACACTTATTTTATAGAGAATTAATGTTAGATTGTAGCATTGACTATATAACACTACTGTAGCCTATTTTTGGTTGGATGTTATTGTCAGATCAACCCTGGACTCTTTAACCAAAACAACCCTCAATAACTTACTAGAGGTCAACTATGTCTACTTCAAAAATTATTTTCAAGTTGTTAAACATCAAAAATATGCACAGTGTACTGTTGTGTTGTTACTTTAAATTGTTCATAAATGTTTTCTCGTTCTTTGTTGTGACCTATTTTTTACCTTAAGGTACCTAGATCAGATTTATTAGACATTAAAAACTTTGTTTACCTGTGTAAAGACAAAAATGTAAAAATTACACAGACTATACCACTGTTACAATAGTATATTTCGTACCTAGGGCCGAAAATGAGGTTTTGCCGGCTCGAGATAGTTTTTAAGTTCGAGACGAAGTCGAGAACTTAAATCGATCGAGAGCTGCAAAACCATTTCGGTCCGTGGTACGAACGCTATTTTTCACCACACTATACCCTATTACCACTATGCACCACTATGCACACTGATAGTCAACAACCTACAACTTTAAGGTTATGAGAAGAAATAATTTGAGGAATCAGCAAAAATAAAAATAAATAGTTGCTAGGCAACGGTGACAATAACACAATCCTATTGCAATGCTATGGATTTTGATTGTGTATTTAATAGTATATTTCGTACCTAGGGCCGAAAATTTGGTTTTGCCGGCTAGAGATAGTTTTTAAGTTCGAGACGAAGTCGAGAACTTAAATCGATCGAGAGCTGCAAAACCATTTCGGTCCGTGGTACGAACGCTATTTTTCACCACACTATACCCTATTACCACTATTCACGACTAACACAACTACAACTTTAAGGTTATGTGAAGAAATAATTTGAAGAATCAGCAAAAATAAAAATAAATAGTTGCTAGGCAACGGTGATAATAACACAATTCTATTGCAATGCTATGGATTTTGATTGTGTATTTAAAATGCATTCATGTTTTAAGTAAGTAAGCAGACAGCTGATTTTGCGGCCCCGGCCTGTAAAAACCTGCTCGGTCCCCAAATTACGATGACAGCTGGCATGGCCAGCAAAACGTAACTTTCAGCCACCAATTAACGTATGTAATACAGCCAAAAACATCATAGTGTGGTGAAAAATGCATTCATGTTTTAAGTTAAGCTGACAGCTGATTTTGCGGCCCCGGCCTGTAAAAACCTGCTCGGTCCCCAAATTACGATAGCAAAACGTAACTTTCAGCCACCAATTAACGTATGTAATACAGCCAAAAACATCATAGTGTGGTGAAAAATACTAAATAACATTAAGTTTTTGGGGAAAGATTATCGTTCCATTACTCCTCAAGGATTTGAATAAAATACCAGCTTATCAAAACAATAACATCGTGAAAAATGTATATCATCTTACAAAAACAAATACAAAGCTAGAATAAAAACCCCTATGATTAAATGCAATGAGGAATTTATTTAAAGTTCACAAAACAAATGTAAGGCTGTATGTAAAGTTGTTAGATCAGGAGGTGGTTTATTTTTAAAAGTAAAAAGTTATATTCTTTTCCCTGGAAAAATTAATTTTATTGATAATCTGTTAGTGGGCTTGGTTTTTAAATCAAGCTTTTAGTCTCACGATGGCTGAGTGTGTCAGAATAAGTTGCCTGAGCGAAAAACATAGTTTTGCTGCCATCGCATGAGACTATGATGGAGTTTCCGTGACAGCAAAATATGTTTTATGTAAAGATGTTTCATGAATTCTCCGTAACCATAGGAGACGTTCATGATTTCACTGCTGTCGCGGGGCACAAAGATGATGTCCCTGCAAACACAGAAGTTTTTACAATTTCATCTTGTACACACAAGATGTAGAAAATGTCTCTGTGATCACAAAATATCTTTTATTTTGCCTTGAATAAAGGAGACATTCAACCAGGCAAGCTTGACAAATAAACCAGAGCAATATTCACTGTATTCAATTACACCACAAAAATACACAGATTGACAAAAAATTCAATATTGTAGTGTTAAGTGTCTGTTGTTTTCAAGACAGAAACACCCTGAATTGATTGTTTTCTCCACAGAGTAATAAACACCTTTGTTTGAATATTGGAAGGCATACAAGTTTACCTATAAAATGTATGTGATCAGTGGCGGATCCACGAGGGGGATAAAGGGCTACACAGCCCCCCCCCCCCTATTGGACCCTGTAAATATAAATTTAAAAATACAATTAGTCACAAAACCACACCGGAGGTTTTTGAACACAGTTTTATAACTTAAAAATGGCCTTAAAAGTCAACGAATGGAAAAATAACAAATATTCTGGAGGGGACACCCCTACTGATGAAAAGCACCCCCAGTAGCCCCCCCTTGTCAAGTTCCTAGAACCACCACTGTATGTCATGCAAATGGGTTTGTTTCCTTTGTTAATTTTGTCACACAAAACGTCTGTCACTTTCTGGACATTACTCATATTTATGGCTGGATAGTATAGGCCTGGTATTTATTCCTTAGAACAATGTTATATTAGATGCTTTAAGTTAACTATCAGTAAATATTTTCTATCGTTATAGGTTCCACACTCTACCCAGGTGAAGCCGACCACGCCAAATTCTGTAAAAATCATTCAAAACCCCAAATAAAGAATTAGAAGTTATTGATCTCACAGATAAAGAAGAAAGAGTAAAGCCTCACAAGCTCCTGGTGGTAAGTATATCAAATTATTCTCAACTTTTTCATTTAACCCTAGCAGTGGCCAACCGTCGCCTGGTGACGGTATGACGTTGATGCTTAGAATGGCCAATGTCGTCTGGTGACGGTATGGGCCGAAATTTTTTTAACGGTAAAAAAACACTTACAATCAACTCAGATGAGAATAATATATATACCATTCGAAAGATCACATTCTGAACTTTCATTTGATTACATAAACAAACCCTGTAGCAGGTATATAACAATGTCACGACGATTAGAAATCAAATGAAATTTTGGCGCGGTACGACTTTTGCAGCCGACACTTGGGAACTGGCAAAACACGTCTTGTTTGGCATTACCCTGCTCGGGTAATTTTCGTCTTGGGATTTTGCGGGTGGTACCACTGGATAGCCATTGATTTTATCTTCATTGTGGTAGTGATATTTATAACTAAATATTGATTGCACAATCGGTACGAATTTATGAAAACAGCTACAGCTGTTTTCGAAATTTCTAACAAATGGCCAACAGTCGTCTGGTGACAGTATGGAAAATACGAATTATATACAGTGAAAGTTATTATTACTAGTCATATAGTATATCATTTTGAAGAGGAAGAAATTTAGATTCAGAGAGTGGCAGCCCTGCACTCAGGGTTATTTCTGTATGCTCGCATGTAGACGACAAGTGAGTCATTAGTGACTGCTTGCTACAGTCTGTCAGCTGTCTTGTATTGCCATTGTTTGTTTGTGTTGTTGCCGGTAATAGTTTTATCCGCGATTTATTACTAAATATGTTATTAGTTCGTAGTGTTAGTGTTAGTGAAGTGTTGTGTGTGTGTATAACAGTAATCTTCATGCATAAATATTACTGAATTGTGTGAAATAGTGTTCATAAAAGGTTGTATTTTGTTAGCATCATGTCCTAAAATGACGATTCTGACATTCAGAGATTGTTGTACCTATATAATGATATACCCAAGGTGTTATACATTTTTATAAAGGTAAATGAATACACTACAACATGTTTATAATGGTTTGGGGTTAAAAAATTTTGTAAAAAAGTTATAGCCTATACTAAATAGGCCTACTACTGTATTTTGTTAGCATCATGTTCAAAAATGACGATTCTGACATTCAGAGGTGCTATATAAGTTATGCTATATAATGATTTACCCAAGGTGTTATACATTTTTATAAAGGTAAATGAATACACTACAACATGTTTATATTGGTTTGGGTGTAAAAAATTTGGTAAAAAAATTATATAGGCTACTAAATACTGTACACTCCATTTTCTCGAAATGCGCAAAAAATTCAAAACGTTTTCAAATTGATACATAATCATAGGTGAAAATAACTTTTTACCATCATACTTATGACTTTTTTGGATTCCTTACTTCATTAGCTTTACAAATATGTAGGCTACATATCATCAGCCTACATAATGTTTCACAACACAAGCAAACACTGTAGGCTATAGTTTACACTTATTTGCGGTTTTGCGGTTATTGTATTATTATGTCCCTATTACGTACCTACAAAAAAATATTTCTAACATGTTATACATTTTTATGTAGGTAATTGAATACACTACAAGATTATTATGTTGGTTTGAAGTAAACAAATTTGGTACAAAAGTTGTATACTAAGTACTGTGAATTTTTTTCTCGAGAAATCGCTAAAATATAAAAACATTATTTTATATACGTATGTTTATAGGTAAAAAATTATTTTTACCATAAACTTTATGACTTTTTTTGATTCCTTACTTCATTAGCTTTACAAACATGTATATATCATTATTAGTATACACATATATTATAGAACTTTTTACAACATAAACTAACACTGCACGGCTTTCAATTTTTTCGATTCTCCTTTTGTCATTATATTTCGCCCCAAAAACTTATAAAAAAATATTTTCCTAACATGTTATATATTTCTATGTAGGGAATTAGATTGTCTACAAAATGTATATAATGAATTTCCCATAAAAAAATCCGTAGAAAAAAAATGCAGAGGCCGCTTTTGAAATTTCAAAAAAAGATTCAATTTTTTTTTTTTTTCACTTTACCGATAAAATACACTGTCTAAATCATTATGATATTATTTCTAGATTCTCCTGTTCTTTCCGAACAAAATGAATATGAGGTTGGCTAGGTTTACTTGTACGGTTGAATTTTTACGAATTTTCAAAAAATGGTCTGCAAAATCGCCAAAATGGGTTGGCCATTCCCCACTTCTAACATTGGCCACTGCTAGGGTTAAAGAAATTATTCCAGTATTTAAGTAAATTAGTAATTATTGATGCAGGTTTTGTTTGATGTTAGATGAATACTCTAAGGCGGCACCATAAGGCCTATTTTACCACTGTCGTAGTACCAAAATTCGCTAACAGCAGTTAGTTGTTGTTTCACTACAAGAACAAACCCTTCACTAGATTATATTACTCGCAACTCATTTCACCATAATATGGTTTGTCGTCGCCACTTAATTTTATTTAAATACTAGCTTGTACCCGCGGCTTCACCTGCGATGGTATAACCAATATGAAGCAGAAAGAGAAATAAACAGAGTATTATAGTATAAACCAATAGAGAAGGCTTAAAATGTGGATGCTTGGCAGTGACCACAGTAAGATAATATCATTATTTATTGCCTAAAGCATAGTTTGAAAACATATCACAGTTGAAAAATGTATAGTAGTTTGAAAGAAAACAAACAAATTTTCTACAACAAACAAACAAATTCTAAACAAGCTGATCTGCCTTATAGCTACACAGTTTTTACAAGTGCCGCAAAATCTCTTATTTTACCGTTCTGACGTACTCTATTACTGTTTACTCCTATGAAACCATCTATCGTAAGTGTTTTGCACGTAATACTACATTAATAACGGACGATTACACAATTCTGAACACTATTACAACGTCTTTATAATCTAACCTATTACAAGTTTTACAAATTGAAGTGGTCCACGACCGTTATTTCAAAGTTGGCGCATGCGCACTTTGAAGACTTGCTGCCAACAATATAATGAGACATTTCCCTCTGTTCTGAAGAGCTTCAAAATCTGGACTGCAGATACCACCACTAATCAACAAACCCGCCTTATCAGCGACCGCAATCCTTATCTCTCGGCACCTGAACTCCAGAGCTATTATCGCTACGCTGCCATTCATAGAACCATCCTTCATTCATTTACAAATCACTCATTGTTCCGTGCTTATTTTACTTAAGCTATAAAATATGAAAAAACTTGAGGAAATTGTCATTGAATCTCCAGACTACAAAAATAGTATGACCGACTATATATCAGCTATTTGTTTTGAAATAAATAAAATCAAAGCGAATTGCCCAGAAATAGATTTAAGTAATTTAACATGTGAACTAGAATCACTAATAAAGCATTGTGACGAGGTGATGCTTGAAAACAATGAGAAGACAAGCCAACTAGACCTATCTCTCAGAGAGAACACTGTGTTAGAACACAAATTAGATGAAGAAAAGAAATTAAGATCCTCTGATCTAAACCACTCATTTACAATTCAGGATGCTGAAAACACTGAGAAGCTTAAACTTAAAAATAAAATTAAAGAACTGGATTTGCAACATAACACCATCGTTGCTAGAAATAACTGCTTACTTGCAGAAAATTTGGACTTACAACAACAAATCAGGAAAGCTAACTCGCAGTATGAAAACTTGGTTGAAAAGAGCAAAAATAAAGATGTTACTATATCTGGACTAAAATCTTATTTAGACACAATGAAATGCGATATTTTGAAACTACAGTCACAGAAGTCCTGGGGCAAGGATAAATGGGTAGATGACTCTGTCCTTAACGACTATTTCGCTGCCATGTCGGACAACCTAGGCAACAAAGATGTTTTATTCTTAGGACCCTCCGTGACCCTTACTATTACTCTCGGTACACAAGACATCTATGAAGAAAGCTTAAAGCTAACATCATACCAGAACTGTAAATATGTATTTCTATGCTTAAGCGATTGCACAGACGGGGGAGCAGAAGACACTGGATCTCATTGGAGTTTATTATTCTTAGATAGGATAAACAAAGCCGCATATCACTTTGACTCTGTCCACTCTATGAATATGAAGAATGCAAAATCTGTTGCTGCGAAACTTGGAATACAATCCGATAACGTGATCGAAATGCCCTGTGTCCAGCAGAAACAGACATTTGAATGTGGGATCCATGTACTGGCTAACACTAAGTACATTGCAGACCACTTTTGTAAAAGAAATATTGGTTCAACTTTTGCGGACTGGTATTCTGGAGCCGTAAAACCAAATGGTGTCCCCAACTGCAACATTGCGACAGCATCACAAAGTCAAATAAATGAAAATCGCTATAAGTGGAGGACAATCCCCTCGAAAAAGACTATATCTAAAACAAAAAAGTCCAAACCTAATGTAAAATTAGTAACTAAAAACCGATTTGAAGTTCTGGACGTAATAGCAGAAATACCGCAATCGAATGTAGTCTCTGTTAATAGCGACCTTCCAGAAACCACCACTAAGAAGAACAATGTAAACAAAACAAAACATACAAGGCCCGGTCCAATGAAGAAACACGTATCAGCTCCTCGATCAGACTCCCACAAGTTATCCATCTCAAGTGACAGCCAGGGAAGAGACTTAGCTGCATTCATCGAACATACAAAACACGGAGCTAGTACTGTTCTCCAAATTATTAACCACTGTCAGCCAGGGGCCCCTATTAAGCCAATACTACACCAAGTTATGAATTCTGCCTATTTCAAAACTTACACAAAGGAAGATTGTATCGTTATTCTAGCAGGAACAAATGACATCACTAGTTCAGTCATTCGAGCGCCAATAAATCCAGTTTGTCAGTATCTGACAGAGGCTCTTCCCAAGTTTGAGCACACAAATCTCATTCTGTCTACTATACCTAACAGATACGATCTAACACCAGAAAGCCCTGAAAATAAGTTTATAAATGACACAAATTTAATGATAAGACGTATGCTCGCAGATTTCCCTCAAGCTAAAACTCTTGATCTGCATCTCCTCCAGCGCTGGTACCACACTCGACATGGCCTGCACTTGAACAGTAAGGGGAAAAAGTGTATAGCCAAGCAAATAATAAGGCTAACTAATGAATTCCTACATGAAAATAAAACTAAACAAAACAACGCATCTAATACATTGCCATCCCCTGTAGTAACACGTCATGTTGCATCTGTTTGTTCTACTAAAGATGTTAACCATTCGAATGTAGTATCTACTGAAATACCCGATAGCCAAATTCAAGTTCTTGAAGGAAATATGGACAGCGTTATTTCGGAAAATCAAAACAAGTCGTCTGTTGCTTTCGCCCACTGTATATCGGGTGATTTTGGAGACCAAAGACAGATGAGCCAAGGAGTGGCAGTCATCTTCCGCAATAGGTTTGGTAGACCAACAAAAGCGCAATGTGTGAGCAAAGCTTTGGCTTTACAAAACACTCCGAATGGGGCACTTGTTTATAGTCTTATAACTAAAAATAGATACTGCGAAAAACCTAGTATATCAGACTATGCGGAGGCACATAATCAGCTCATAACAGATTTCAAAAGTAAGAACCTGCAGGAACTGATTTGTTCTCCCCTGGGATGCATACGTGACCAGATTCCTACAAGCGTGTTTGCGAAACATATTGTTCAGTTTCACCGCAGCACAAAAGTCTCAGTCAAAGTTATTGTGGATGATGAGCGAGCTACCAGACATCTCAGAAGAGGACTAAAACACAATGAGTTTGTGAATCAGCTACGAAAGGACATTGCTGAGGAGCTAAGGAGGTACAACATCTCAACACCACCTACCACCAACATCACAGCAGGGCAGGAGCAGTCACAACCACAGGCATCACCATCGCCACTACCTGCATCCACAACAGTACAGGATGTCGAACAAGCGTCTGCCAGCCCTGAGGAGTCTGCAGAAGAATACAGTGGGGGAGGGATCAGTGAAAAAGTCTCTATCAGTGAAGTGGGGAGTGCAAGCCCTATTGTAGTATTTCCATCCGAAAATAACACACGGGACTCCACTTTAAACTCCCCGCTCGTGCTAGGGATGGAAGAAAAATAACACCGCCCAAAAACATTTTTATCAATAAAAATAACAATAAAATAAAAATATTCCATCAGAACATTCAACATTTAGCAAGCCGCATCGAACCACTAGAAATTATTTTAAACGAAAGTAACCCCGATATAGTAGTTTTAACAGAGCATAAATTAAATCAAAATGAGATATCCAGATTGCATGTAAATAAATTTAAATTACTTTCTCATTACTGCCGCACCACCACGACGGGAGGGGGTGTTGCCATCTTTGCGCGTGGAGCTGTGAAGTGGAGTCCAGTTGTTATTCCTGAAGTGTTATCCTTACATGAAGACAAACAGTTTGAGAGCAGCATGGTTTGTTTTAAATCCGATACTGAATCATTCTTGTTGGTTGCAGTTTACAGATCACCAATTTCTAAAGTTCCAATTTTTTTAGACAGGCTAAGTAAGCTATTAGATATTGTACTAGCTAGGAATAAATATGTTATAGTGGCTGGTGACATAAATATTAACACATTAGGAAATGATAGGAATGCCACGGATCTAAACTCTGTTCTAGTTAGACATGGAATGCAATATTTGGTTGATTTTCCCACAAGGGTAGTAGGGCCCTCGGAATCTGCAATAGACAACTTTTTGACAAATATTCCCAAATCTAATCTAAAAATAGAGGGACTGGTTACATATCTATCTGATCATGATGCTCAAATTTTGACCCTTGATAAATTAATCAAAAAAACATGGAAAAACGAGTCACTGAAGTATTTAGACTATAACCTATCTGATGAAAATCTAATTAATTTCAAAATATCATTACAAAACGAGTCCTGGTTTGAAGTTTTTAATGCAAACTGTGAACAAAAATACGAAACATTTTATAAAATTTTCAAATCACATTTTATCACAGCATTTCCAAAACAAGTAATAAAGAAACAAACTAACAGTAAAGAGTGGTATACTTATTCATTAAAGGAGGAATTCAACGAAATCGTGGAATCATCAAAATTAGCTAGATTATTAAAAGACGAAAACTTGTCTAACCTCTGTAAAACAAAAATGAAGACTTTTAAAAAATCGGCAAACAAAACTAAAAGATTACACTACGATAAAAAAATAAATAACTCGGATAATGTTATGAAAACAACCTGGAAAATTATAAATAAAGAAGTAGGTAACAAAGAAAATAACTTAGTAAATGACATGACCATTGCGTACAAAGGAACAACTATTGCAGATCCCAGGGCAATATCTAATGTACTAAATGACTACTTTGTAAGTTTATCTGGAAAGAATGGTTCTGTAAACTGTAATAAGTTGTTAGATAATCACCAGCCAGTACTAACAAATTGTGTCAAATCTAAAACATTATTTCGATGTGAACCTGTTTCATGTGAGGAAGTAGAAAAACTGATAAACTCTTTAAGTAACAAACCTTCACGTGGGCACGACGAAATTCCCGTTAAAGTAATAAAATATACAAAACAAGAACTAGTTCCAATTTTTACTCATTTAATTAATTCATCTTTTATATCCGGTCATTTTCCAAAATTATTAAAAGTTGCTAAGGTTGTGCCTATTTTCAAAAAGGGGGACCCTCAGTGCGTAGAAAACTATCGACCAATATCACTTTTGCCAGTTATTTCAAAATTATTTGAAAAGGCAATGAAAATTAGGCTAGTGTCTTTTCTAGAAAATAACAACCTTCTATTTAGTGGCCAACATGGTTTTCGCTCAGGCAGATCAACAATTACAGCTGCTTCAAGTTTTTTTGAGAGTATAATAAATTCAATTGATAGCCACGAAAATGTTATAGGAATATCAATGGACCTTACGAAGGCTTTTGATAGGGTATGTCACCAAACTCTAATACTCAAACTAGAAGATATGGGAGTAAGAGGTCACATTTTGGCGTGGTTCAAATCATATTTATCGGAAAGAAAGCAATACGTTGAAATCATGTCTAATAAAAATAATTGGCTGGTAAAAAACAGATCAGAAATAAAACTTAATCACTTTGGTGTCCCTCAGGGTTCAATACTAGGCCCTGTTTTATTCCTTTGCTACATTGATAAGATTCCAAATGTTCTGTCGTGTGTACCTTGTGGAAATATGTGTTTATATGCTGATGACATTAACTTAAAAATTACAGGAAAAACAGTAGAACATATCGAAATAGATACCTTTATAGAACTTGCAAATATTAAAAATTACTTACTATCCAACAATCTCAAAATAAACAAAAGTAAAACTAATTTTATATCATTTTCAACTAAGCAATGTAAAAACAAAATAGAACCGTTGATTATTTTGGATTCCGATGAAATCAAACAAGTTGAAAAAATAAATTTTTTAGGTTTAAAAGTTGATAAACATCTATCCTGGCAGGACCACGTCAATCATGTTTGCTCAAAGATAAATTCAGGGATATTTGCTTTGAAAAAGATGTCATATCTATGTAATATCAATACTTTAAAAACAATATATCATTCTCTTGTCCATAGCCACATTTCATACGGTATATCTTTATATGGAGCTACAACTAAGAAAAATCTTAATCGAATCTTAAAATTACAGCAAAGGGCATTAAGAACAATGATGGGACTAAAAAATGATGAATGTGTTAAAATTCATTTCAAAAATTTTAAAATATTAACTGTGTTTGCCCAATACATTTTTGAAACTGCTCTCATAGCGAAAGAAAGTATATCAGATAACGCACAATTATGCTACAATACAAGAGGAAAAGCCCTAAGAGAAAATAGTCGCAACCATCTTTTATTTTCAAATAAAAAGCCCACCTGTGCCGGAAGAAGATTTTTACGGTTTCTTCCAAATCATTTAAAACCCATTGGCAACTCAATCAAATTTAAAAACAAATTAAAAAATTATCTCATAGAAATCGCTCCCTACTCCATTAAAGAGGTGTTTCCCCAATTAACCTGATTTTATTTTTAGTTTTTTATTTTTAGTTTCTTAGTATTATATAAATTGTAATTTTAGCTTATAACTTTATTTACTAGGTTAGGAATCTGACACTATTCAATGTACAATGTACAATTGTTGAATAAAGATATTGAAATGAAATGAAATGAAACACACAACCTTATGAAAATAAAAACTTAAACATAATTGTAAACCATTATACTATGACAATTCTCATTGTATCACATCTTTTTGTTATTGTTTAGTTCAAAACACCTGTCATCAATATTTTATTTTTGTTTATTGGTAATGAAAGTCAGCAAACCTAAGTCACTGTTTGCTAGGTCTGCAGATTTGCTGTGGGGAGGGGGTTTATTTTTTATTATGTTACCATTCCAGATGTACACCTAAAACTGCTTTCTTATGACTGTTATGTGGACAGCTGATGATGATGGACCACTAATTGACCTTGATTCCGATCATCTACCAGTCATTCTTTCATTTGACGAACCACCTGAAATAGAACTTCCAAACGAAAAACTTATTAAAGGAGTAATCGACTGGGAAAAGTTTAAAGAATGCTTTCATGAAAATTTTCTCCTTCCTCGCCAACTAAAAGATAAAACCCAAATAGATGAGGCTATCGATTTGTTTGTCACTTCCATTCGTCACTCAGTAGAACAAGCAACGGTTCGTCAGTTTAAACCTAACAAATCGTTTTCCTCGATTCCTCGATACATCCTGTCCCTTATTAATTTGAAGAATAGACATAGAAGATTATGGCAACGCTACAGAACTCCTTCTTTTCGCAGAAGATATAATCAGCTCATTAGACGAGTCAAGTGGGAATTAGACCGATTCAGATACGAATCTTATAACAAATATGTATCAAATCTGTCCTCTGATGACAACAACTCCTTATGGCTCGCAACTAAACGAATATTGAAAGAACGCACCCCAGTACCCAGTTTAATAAACAATGGTCAGGTATATGAAAGCAAAACGGACAAAGCTAATGTTTTAGCCGATTACTATCAGCGTTCATTTCGTCCGAATGATGAATTTCAAGACCCTGAATTTTCAGCTCATGTTGCCACAGTTAATTCCTGCCCACTTATCACGGTGGAACGGCCAATTAAATATACTTCTCCATCTGAAATCTCTAACTTCATCAAGTCGCTAAGAATCAAGAAAACTCCTGGACACGACGGAATACCTAACATTATTTTACATAATCTACCACGAAAAGGACTTGCTTTCCTTGCTTCTCTGTTCAATGCCTGTCTCACAAAATCATACTTCCCGCGAATGTGGAAACATTCTCTCATAATTGTCATCCACAAACCTGGAAAGCCTGCATCGCAAGTAAATAGTTATCGCCCGATTAGCCTCCTCCCCACATTGTCTAAATTGTTTGAAAAAATCATTAAACAACGGCTAGACTCCTACGTAGATAGTGCTTCCCTAATACCTCCTCATCAGTTTGGTTTTCGCTCCCAACATTCCACGACACATCAACTTTTAAGAGTTTCTGAAGACATCATTAAAGGATTTGAAAGAAAATGTCATACTGCTGCAGTTTTTCTTGATGTAAGTCAGGCCTTTGACCGTGTTTGGCACGATGGTTTGTTGTATAAACTAAGAAAGTTCGGAGTCCCCTCCTACCTACAGGGAATTATTGAAAGCTTCCTTGAAGACAGAACGTTTTCAGTTAATATTGATGGCTCCCTATCAACTGCCAGACCAATTCAAGCCGGAGTCCCACAGGGAGCAATTCTTTCACCCCTATTATATAACATTTACACCTCTGATTTGCCATTGTCAAACCATGTCCAAACAGCCGTGTTTGCTGATGACACCCTTCTCTACTCTACACACCATGACATCGAAGTTGTGGCCAATAACATTCAAATTTCCTTAAACGATTTGATGGACTGGTTCACAAAATGGAGAATAGCCATAAATCCGATGAAGAGTGAAGCGAAGATTTTTACCCTCCGAAAACCGTTAGACCCTCCAAAT